CACATGTACCGATACATGTTCCGTGGTGAATCCGCGATTCTGGTTTTCTGGGGAGAGGAACAATGCCTTGGGCCCTTTTGTCCGAATACTCACTCATTGTACTTGTAGCATCATGGTTTACAGTGTTACCTCTAGGATATACCTTGGGTCTTGAGCGAACCTCTACCCGTACCTAGGTAAATCATTGGTCCCTGGTCTGCGGTGAAGCTCATGGTCTGGGTCATTGGCATGGTTATTTATCATGGCATTAATCATGGGGAACCTCGTCTGTCAGTCAAGGCCATTGCTGTTGGGTCAATTGGCATTTCAATTTGCTCCTCTTTGTTTCTCCACGCTGTTCCGCAAGTGTTCCGTACATGCCAGTATTACGTACAAGGCGCTCGCCGCATTACCTAAAGGCCGGACCTCGGGCCTGTGAAAAAGGTTCCCGGCCTCGCTGAGAAAAGTCGCCGTGGGTTGTTGACAGCGGGAGCGGTATCAATCAGCATAGGTCGGTACTGAGTAAGCTGGAGCTGCTCTTGATAGGCAAAGCCTTGTATTACATGGCAGATCGATATCGACCATTTGATGTCATTGATACGCGTACCGTGCCCTCTGCTATGCTTTGCTTTGCCTTGCTTTGCTCAGCGTGTACCCTGAGGAATCTTGAGTGTCGACACGCATCTTGACCCAATGTATCTGTACCTGCCAAGGTACCAACATCGCCATCATGCGCACCCCCAAGTCCGCGTTTCCATATTTCCAGAGCGAAGCGTAGCCGCAAAAAGCTGCCGACAGCTCCATTCGTCCCCGTCGCAGCTCGGCCTAAAGCCTAAAGCCTCCAGCGACAGGCGCTGTACCCGGTACTTGTCGCCCACTAGCCCTCCAAGCCCGCAATCGACTTTGCGCGACCCCTCCAGGTACCTGCCAGTGGCCTCCTTGGTAGCATTGCTCCGTGCCGCCTGCGGTGGTACAAGAGCACGACTTATCTAATAGGCGGCGCAAGTACTGCATACCGATCCAACATCCTCCTCCTCCCCCCCGTCATTGCATGTACAGCACAGTTATTCCCACCTCCGTAACGGTTCTGCTCCGTCTCGTTGCACCGTCGTCGCTGAGACACCTCAACCCTACGCGAGCTCTGCGCTCCTGTTTCGCCTGGGCGCAGCTGTGCATCATCGTCCGCATCGGATTTTTTTCCTTCTTGTTCTTCTCTCCTCTGCTCTCCAGCACGTCTTATTCCCGGACGGGCCTCGAGCGTCACCGCCTCGCCCCCAAAAGTCGCCTTCGCTGCGGCATCGTCGAGCTCTTCTTAGTGGTCTCGCCCTCGTACACTAGCATCGTGCAGTGCATACAGCTACATACACACACACAGCTTACCTCCGTGTGCGCCCTCGCGCCGGCGCCGTCGCTGCTGTTGTCCGCAGTCTCTGGCAACAGCTGCCGCTTCTAGAAGCTCCCAGGGCCTGGCACTCCAATGCGAGGCTGATCTCTCGACGTCTGTGCCTGTGCCTGACCGAGCCTGTTCTGCTCTGTGTGTGGGCGTGCGACGACAAATAGAAAAACTCGAGAACTTTTGTCATCTCCATTGCTGCTTCGACTCCACCCAAACTGCGACAACACGACACGCCAGTCCGACCTCATCTTGCGACCCGAGTGCTGCATCCCGCAGACATGAGGTGAGGTGAGTAGCTAGTCCACGGAGCTTCCCTGAGCTAGCCAATGCCGGTTGTCGCAGCTCCGAGCTCTTCTTTGCGCCTCCTCGCCCGCTGCCCGCTCGTCGCTTTCTCTCCTCACATCCCGCCTCCTCCTCGACGCCGCTACAAATCCTCCTCCATCGCCTTCTTCCTCTCCCCCCCACCCCCCTCATTCTCCCCCAATTCACGCCGGACAATCCATTCATCGCTGGCTGACCGCAATGGGGACAGTACAGATGGCCCACAGGACTGAGACCTCTCAGAAATCCATTCCGGCAATCGATAGACTTCAAGACTCGCCCGGCTCCCGAATCGTCCCCGTTTCCATCTCCGTCTCCGTCCCGCCACCTACCATCAGCATGTCTCCACCTAGTCCCGTCGACCATCCGATGGAGGGCACATCTCCAGAAGACAACTCGCCTACTGCCCACGGCCCCGACTCCGACCCCAGCGCCAATGGCAAGCCGGCCGTCGCCCGACCTGGCAATGCATCGCCACAAGATCACACCGCCGTGACGAGCTCAATCAACATGCCCGCTCCTCCTCCGGCTGCCGCGGCCGCTGTTCACCAGCCCAAAATCGTCCAAACTGCCTTCATTCACAAGCTATACAAGTGAGGACTCTGAACCCTCCCCTCCCCTCGTCAACTCGCCCCGGGTGTCCCCCGGACCAGGTGACAGCTACTGACGGTGCAAGCAGCATGCTGGAGGACACCAGTATACAGCATCTCATTTCATGGTCGTCATCCGCTGAAAGCTTCGTTATGTCGCCCTCTGCCGACTTTTCCAAAGTATTATCGTAAGCAACCCCTCAACAAACGACCTCTGCCCTGATCAGCTTGCTCACCCTCAACCCCCTAGCCAATACTTCAAGCACACCAACATATCATCTTTTGTTCGCCAGCTCAATATGTACGGGTTCCACAAAGGTATCTACCGCTTCCGTTTACATTGTTCCTTGAATAGACCAAGTTCGGAGAAGCTCACACCCATCTAGAACGAGACGTATTCCATACCGGCAACCCTGAAACGACGCTATGGGAGTTCAAGCATGGCAATGGGAACTTCAAGAGAGGCGACCTCGTTGGTCTTCGAGAAATCAAGCGCCGCGCTAGCCGACACGCTCTTGTCAACAGAGAGAACACCTTCCCCAAGACGTCTACCTCTCAACCCGGCACGCCGGTCGAGCCCGTCCAGGTACCGCCAGATAGCATTGAGGCTAGACTGGCCAACCTGGAGCACTCACTATACGATACGGCGGCGAGACTCCAGAGGAGCGAAGAATCCGCCCATTACATGCACGTTAAGAACCAAGCAGTCATGGAGACACTAAGTCGGCTGCTCTACTTCAACCAGGAATTGTCCAAGGGATTACTGTCACTGGTCCCTCCGGACAATCCTGTTCATCGAGATGGTACGTTACACATGATATAATGCGGGCAAAAAGACAGGTGTGAGGCTAACACGCATGGTTTAAAGTCTTGACAATCCAGGGCGAAATGGTGAGGCAAGCAGAAATGCTGCGCTCTCTCGACGAGCCGCACGAACCCGTATATTCTGCCCGGCAACAATTCTTTGGCACTGTCGACAACGCTCCCGTCTCGCCCAGACAGCTACCGCAGGATGACACCAGACGAGTCACTCTGAACGTTCCGCAGGGCCGAACCCAGCCATCTTACCGCCCGGCCGTTCCCTCCAACCTGTCCATCGGCACGCGGCGACCCTACGGATCTATCAGCGGCGGTGCTGGATCTTCACCTCTGCGCAATGCCGCGCCGGCTCCTCCTCCTGGGCCTCATCCCCTTTCCAACGTGGAGACGGTTCCAAACAGCCTGGCCAGACGCCATACCGCTGCCGACATTCGCGCGCACGGATGGCAACCAAACGCACCTCCATTCCCTCCAGGAGCTGTGCCACCGCCCGTGTGGCCCCAGTCTCCCAACCGACTTGCGCCAGAGGATCAGAGGATAAGGGACTCGCTCTCTTCATTCTCCCTACAGGCTCCACCTACTCATAGCCATCCACACTCGCGGCCGGCGACGCCACCGCATGCCCCCTTTTCGAACGGTGCCGGCGGTGGGTCGGATACTTTTGGCAGCTGGTCGTGGAACTCGGCATCGAACCGTGAGAGCAAAACAATTGGTGCATTGAAAGAGTCATCAGCACCTCCTACTAGGAGAGGAAGCATGGCACATATTCTCAACCCTAGCGATACCGCTGAACGATCAGACGAAGACGAAGATCCCCGAGGCGAAGATGACAGGAAGCGGAAACGAAGGCAGTGATACGGTGTCCAGAGCCTCGGGCATGTAAACGTTCGGATGGATAGGAAGGATGGATCATGACCACGGCGCATGAGTTCTGGCGCTGCTTACGACCAAGGGGTCGCATTCTGAGGCTGGCGTTTTAAAGAAATATCAATACCTCACACATGTTTTCGGATTTCTTCAGTTGTTTTTATTGGTTTATTCATCTTGTTTTGTTTTTGTTTTTTTGCAAATCCAGATTGGATACTTAGGCATGGCAGCATCACGGCCGATCAACGTCTTTTAGCTATGCTCAAAGATGGTGGCCGTTTTCGAGTTAACACATTCGCATTCAATTTCGATTGTATAATAACATCCTTGGACTGGATCTTGACCATCTCCATGGCACACTACAAACATCATTCAACTTGTGGGGCCACCTCGCCTTTCCTTTTCTTCTTGATTCAAACATCCTTTTGGGGGAGCATCACCAGGAAACGATGTGGACAGCGTCGCTCATTTTTTTTTATCGAGCCTCTTAATACGATCCTTGATTGGATATGACCTGCCGGAAACATGTCTACTACGTCTGGGGTTACCATCCTCATCCGTCGTTGAAGCGCCGGACAAAAAGTTGCTGTGTCTTTAAAACTTCTTTTGGGTCTGATTTTTGACTAGTATTTTTTTGACTGCCATGGTAAGAGGAGGAAACTGGCTTTTTTGGGACTGATGGAGAGGTATGAAAGCTAGGATGGAATGGTCTAGACGGTCTTGGTCGGGTTGAAGATGGACGAGAGTGTGGCTCGCGAAGAGAACAGCAAAGAGAAGGGCTACTAAAGGGAGAGGACAAGGCTGCTGTTCTGGCGGTAATATCAAAGGGGGAAGGGGATTGATTGATTGAGAGATTTTTTTCCTTTCTTGCAGAAGTACGTTGGAATAAAGTATATAGGTGTGATCTCTCATGAGCTATGTTGTGGTTAAGAAAAGAAAAGTATTATAGGATGATATAATTTTTTTTCTACATTGGCCGCTTTTCTTTTTTTAAATGTGCTTTGATGCTGAGAAAAATGGTAAAACTGTTATGAAGCATTGCCGAGTTTCTTCTGCTTCTGCTTCTCTTTCTCCCTCTGGCGCTTCCTTTTCTTTTTATTCCTTTTCGCATCATCCCCGTCGTTGTCTTCTTGATCTGGTATTGCCACTTGTTGCTCTTGCACCAGAACAGCGTCAGCGTCTTCATCTCCTTTCCCATCACCCGTGTCCATATCTTCAACCTCATCCTTTCCCAGCTCTTCTCCCCCCTTATCTCCGCTCCCCTCCTCATTCTCCTCCACCGCATCTTCCACCACATGCTCCCTCCTCGGCCTCTTCCTCTTCCCCAGCCCACTCCTCCCAGGCTCCTCATCACTCTCGCTCTCAACCGCGAACTTCTTCCCCGCCGCAGCAGATCCCTTGCCGTTCCTCTGACCCTTGCCCAATAATCTTCCCCTCAGCATCCTGTCCTCCCTCGCGGCCGCGTCTCCGGCGGCGGCCTTGCGGTCGGGAACATAGCCCACGCCTTCGTTGGGCCGGGGCCCGGAAAAGAGCTGCTCGATGTCGTCTGCGTTGACGTTGTACCGACGCGGCGGCGGCGTGGAGGATTGAGTTGATGAAGAGGAGGAGGCAGGGTTGAGTGTCTTGAGGAGGGACGTGCGGTTGGAGAGGAGGAGGGAGATTTTGTTTGATATGGCGGCGCGGTCGGGGGCGAGCGGGAGGGGAGGCGGTTTTGATGAGGTTGGCGGCATGGTTTTTGAGTGTGCTTGGAGATGTGGAGGGTCGTGGGATGGATGAGTTTTTGTTGACTTTTGAGGGGGAATCGCTGTAGTTGTCGCTGTTATGATAGCATCGTTTACTGGGGGCCCGCTTGGATTTGACACGGCAATGGGTTGGATTTATCAAATGTCAGGATAACAAGAGACAAAAGTTGCTGGCAGAAAAAAAAAAAGTTAGAGTAGCGTCACTCTAAGCACCTGGGAGCTTCAGTGGGGTCTTCTAGTTACTGCTTCGGGAAAGCAGCTGCGTGCTTCTAGAAGCGTCAACCATCATTCGTCCTCTCTCTTAGATCTATTTATTTATGCATACGAAGCAACAGTGTCTCGGGCTTAGGATAATAGAAAACAAATGATAAAAAAACCATGGCCGATGAGCCAGTAAGATTAAATATATTAAAGATGTCTCGTCTAAAATCACAAAAGTACCCAATGCTTCAATGCTTTTGTTTTCATGCTCTGGTATCTTCTCTTGGCTCTGGAGCCTTCCTCGATAAAAGTTACAGTCTATTTTAGTTATACCCCCATCGTCGCGTAGCAGTCATGACATTTCCCCTGGCCAGCCTGGGCCTTCAATATCGCGTCGCCGTCGATTCCGTCAGGGAGAGAATATATGGCAAGTCGCTTGCATCCCCACTGTCTGCCAGACGGATGACGGATCCTGAGCCATCCGAGGACCTAGACCGCAGGCTGACGGTTGTCGAGTGTTGGCTGGAAGTATAAGTGCGTCGCATCTGCGTGAACCCACTGGTGCTTACATTGCGTGATGTCATATCCATGGTCCTGCTGCCGGGCGTGTTGGGCGCCGTGCGATATGTATTGGTGCGCCGTCTTGTCCTCCGAACTGAGCGCTGAGTGCTCGCCGTGGAGGGCCGTGATATAGTTCTTGGAGTAGATGGAATGGTTTCTGCTGGAGCATCGTTGTCAATGTCACTTGACATTGTTCCTCTTCTAACCATCCTCTCTCTCTCCTCTTCATCTTCGTCTTCGTCTTCGTATATGTGATCTAGGACCACCGGGTCCAGAGGCTGTATCGATCGCAAGATTTCCGCAAAGAGATCCATAAGCTCACGGAATCCAGCATTGCAGATTGGCTTCGTCGAGAAACGAGCCGCTTCATATTTTGATAGGAATTCGGCCACCGTCTCGTCCATGACGGCAACGCCGAGACTAGTCAGATGGGCAAAGTAGTCTCGGAGGCTCATGCTGGGAAGCCTCTGCAGCAATTCTGCAGCTTCGGGGTCCAGCATCGGGGGGTTGGATTGAGAGGCAGGGTCCGGCGGCGCAAGTCGGAGCGCTTGCGCCTCTATGAGATTCGGAAATTCGTTGATGACGTCGTTGTACTGCAGGTTGGCAAGGTCCGGCGAGTTCGGAGACGCCCAGCCGCAGTGCTCGATGACGCCCCAGACAGGACGATGCGGCGGCATGGGCGTCGGTTCGTCTCTGTCCAGCGCATGCTCGTTCCACGACATCAATCGTGCCCGCGTGCGCGCTTCGTCCTCGTCCTCGTATTCATCCCGATCGTCTCCCATCATCTCCTCGTCAACTCTGGGCCGCGCCGCATACGCAATGGCCGAGCTCTTGCTCAGCCCAGCCCCAACCATCTTATAAACCGCCTCCTTGACATCGCCCTTGTCGACGGGCACCCATGACTTCGGGATCGACGCCAGCACCGTTCGATTAACGTAGAGCCGCACAATGTAGATGAAGGCGACGATGAAGACCGTGACGACGTAGCCCGACGCGATGATCCAGATGTTGTACCACTGCTTGTTTTCCACGGATCGCTGGATGGCGTCGCCCGGAGTAATAAGAAGCAGGCCGCAAAGCACCACGTAGAGGAAGAGGTAGATGGACCGGTAGAGGATACGCAAGAAAAGGCTGTGATGCGCCATGGCGACACGCGCCCAGGCCCTGGTCTCAACTGATTCGTCGCCGCCCTTCTGATTCGGATAAGGTGAAGAATCGCGGTCGCATGGCTATAGCTGATGGAGATTCATCCGGGATGCTGCCGTAACTGCTGTTGAGAGAGGCCAAAAAGCGATATCGTCATGTCATGTCATGGGGGAGACGAGAGTTTGTCAGGAGGAGCTGCAGCCAGGTCAGGAGGACGAGATTGCGTGTGGCGCTGGACCTGTGCTGTAAAGCTATTCTAGCAGGGCCCCAGCAGGTAATTACAGGCGCCTCGCTTGCAGCTTGGATAGACCAGGGTTGCCATAGGTACTGCCTTGTAGGGGCTAGATGGGCGATGATGTACATCTACTAGGTGACCAGGCATTTAGCGCGCGCAATGCAAGGTACGCGCGACCTGCTCCGCTAATCGTGGGTACCTCGTCCAGCTTTGACGGGAGACTTGTGGCTGAGACCCTGCGTTGGTCCCTGCAGCAAAATACTGTCTTGATTGAGCTTGTCAAGTACCTACCACGGAACTTTAGGTACTCTTATGCAGCTGTACAAAGAGTAGCATTATTTAACGCATTGTTGTTTCGTTTCATTTCGTTTCGTTTCTCTTTCAGCCATGTGTTTTACAAGTATTTTCGTGTTTTTTTTATTACGGTATAGTGAACCCTCAAACTCCGGTATCGTCTCATGCGATATGCGACATCCATGACCCTCAAGCGATTCTCAGTCCTTACAAGTACATGTTTCTCTTCCAGCTCATCTTCGTCTCACAAAGCCCTGCTTTGGCTATCGAATTTGCTCCATCTCCGGCTGCTTGAATTCTACCCGTTTGAACTCTACCCGCGCCGGTCTCTTCTGTGCCCAGTCTTCATTTCTTCTTGTCCCGATGGAGGCGTCTTTGGCTTTGGGTGCCACCTCCTTCACCTTGGTCGTCTGCACTCCGGGTTTGCCAATGGCCTCCTTTGCAATCCGCAAGTCCGTAGGTGTAAGCCTCAGATCACTAGTGTAAGGCTCAAACTTGGAGATGACCTGCTCTAAGCCTGTCTTCAATGCCTCCAACAGCTCGTCCACCTCGGGACACTCCTTTAATCCCTTTACGTCGGTCCAATGCAAAGGGAATTGTGCCTTCAACGCCTCCACTTTCTTGATGATTGATGCCAGGGTTCGAATTATGCTGGGGACATCTCTGTGAACATTGCCATAGGAGTCCTCTGCCAAGCTGTGCACTGCCAATTGGCAGAGTGCAGTGGCCGCGTTTGCGGGCAAAGTTGGTTCGGCATACGGACCGCCTAGGACTGCGGCGGCGAATTGCGTCCGGAAGTTTTGTCGGATTAGATCGCCAATCCATCCAATTGATATTAGGCCAGTGACAACTTGTCTGGCTTGGTCCATCAAATGGTCGGGAGAGACTGCCTCTTGCTGCTCTTTGCTCAGTACTCGGTCTTTAGCATTCTGCCAGGTTTTGCGAGCGATGGGGCTAAGCTCTGAAGCGGGCGTTGAGCCGGGATTCCGTGCCAGTTTATCCAGCGCCTTTTCAACACCAGTCCGAAGGGTTGCCTGTCTGGACTGGCTTGTGAAAATGGGATCCTCTCTCAACGGGGCCGATGAGCGATGCTTTTCTTCAATTTGGATGGCTCCAGGAGTTATGTGTGCGGCCGGCTGTCCATAGGCATCAACGTGCGTCTCAATGCTTTTGAGGGTCTCCATGCAGATTGCGTATATCTGAGACCACATGGGGCCGCCTTGGCGGTCAATGTCGTTGAAAATACTTTGTCTTCGGGACTGGTGGTTCTGAGCAGTGAGGGCCAATTCCCACATGGCAAAGGACTATTATCATTCATTTTCGTCAGCAACTAAGACGTTACATGTAATGTTAACGAAACCATTCAATATCCTTACCTTGATGGAGAGTTTCTTGCTCTTCAGGCCATTCAGGAGGCTGCCGTTGGGGTCTTTGGATTCGGACGTCAAGGGATTGCCGTTTTTCAAAGGCTTCTTAACCATGAAAATTGAGAAGGCCCTGTTACCCGCTGTCCACAAAAATCCAACACCAACTCCTGCTAAAATGCAACGGGCCAAGAGGTAGATATCCGAAGGCCAGGACGACGGAAGCATGTTGGTCCTAGGCAGGTTGTAGAACGGGCGCAGGAACGTCAAAGTCCACGACCAGGCAAACGATCTCAGGAAGAAAAAGTACAGAATAAGAGTCGCGGGTATAGCTGCGAGAGCCAGCTTGAAGCATTCAGCTAGGGCCATAGGCAGTTCCTCCATAATAGTTTGAAGGGATCCCGATATGACACCAGCGTTCTTTTGCTCCACCACGGGCTTCCTTTCCAGCGCGCCGAGATCCAGACGGTCGATATCATGTCTGTAATGCTCAACGGTTTGAATGAGGGCGAACGTGAACATGTAGCAGGCCAAAAACACGGGTCGCTCGTTTAGCCTGGCGCGATCGCCGCTAAAGTATGTGATCCATTGAAGATTCGTTTCCTCATCCGCCGTTCCTAGATAGATGGCGCAGTAGAGGAAACTCGAAGCACCGTACCAGAAGGCTGTCTCGTACGTTCGTGGGCTGAGAAGTGAAGATGCAAAGGTGTGCAGACCCGAACCTGTCGTCTTGATGCCCACGTGGTAACTTGCAATTCGAAGAATGAGAATGGTGAGGCCGCATATGAACAGCAGCAGCGTTCGAAAGCCCGCGGGGCCTAGAGGAAACCAGGACCAGAAATCTGCAGTATTACATATCGCCCTTAGTTAGAGATGGACCGTCAGAAGACTGGGAAGAGGGATTGGCTTCTCACAGGAGTCCCAGCTGCTTAGCAGAACCGATTCGAGGTACGACACGGCCAACAACAGGCTGGCTGTTGAAGAGAAGCGTCGATGCAAAGCAGGCTGCAGAGTGTCCTTATAGGGGGCTCGCCGCGTCTGTGTGCCCGCCATGGTCGCGGCGCATTCCCTCTGAGAAATGGAACGTCGGGTCGAGAAGAGACGCTGGCGACGGGATAGGATATAAATGAATGGTTCACGAGATGAACGGAGTAAATAAAAGAAAAATCCCCGGCTAAGCAACCAGAAGCTGAGCAGAGCTGCGCTAGACGCGCCAAGCCTGACTCTATCGGCACGCGTCACGTGGAGATAAGCAAAAGTGGAATGGCGAGCGTCGCCTCTGATTGGCGCGCCATCGCCCAAGTGACTTGCATGTCGTAACTCGGCCGTCGCAAGAGGTTACGTAGAGCCCCATCGTCCCATCCAGCGGGTTTCATTCATCCTCCGTTTTGCATTCCGAACGGCTTATCTTGGCCATCTTTGTTGCTCGCAAGCGCTAGAATCGCATCGCATCTCGTTGGTTTCTATCATTCTGTGGCGCCTATACACTATATACCAGGAGCACGGGCATATTCCCCTATTCGCGTTTCCCGTTTCGTTTCTTTTCCGCCCTGTGAACCGCTGCGACCATGGCCTACGACCGACTCTCCAGCCTCGAGGCCGGCCAGACCGGCGGCGGCTACAGCGACGACCCTGCGTTCCAAGACCTGCAGTACGAGTTGAAGAACAAACTGCAGTCCCTGCTAAGCAATAACCGCAAGCTTGCCAACGATGTCAACGTTTTGGGGACCAAGAAAGATACCCCTCGCTTGCGGGAGCGGGTTCACAATACAATGGAGAAGTCCCGGGAGATTTGCAAGGACATTGGCGATGGCGTGAAGAAGTTGCAGACATGGGAGGACCTTACCGTACGTCTGCACTTGCATCTTGCCATGCGACGTGATGATAAGCTGACTCATATTGCTAGAAACAACAAAAGTACGAACAGACAAAGGTCTCGAGCGATTTTCAGACTGCCCTCCAAGAGTTCCAGGGTTTGCAGAGGAAGGCCTTGGAAAAAGAGCGCGCGTCCATCACTGCAGCCCGCGAGGCGCAGGCATCAGAAATTGCGGGCGCTGGGGGAGAGGAGCAGCTACAACTTCAACAGCAGCAGCAGCTGTCGCAACTAGCCCCACAGGACGAGGTGGATTTCCAAGAAGCCTTAATCATCGAACGAGAAGAGGAAATTCGAAACATCGAGCAGGGTGTCGGCGACTTGAACGTGCTATTCAAGCAGGTGGCGCAGATTGTTACCGAGCAGGGCCAGCAACTCATCACAATCTCCGATACCGTTGAGAATATCCACGAAAGCACTCGCGGCGCCGATGTAGAGACTCGTCAAGCAGCTCGATACCAAAAGGCGGCTCGCAACAAGGGCTGTTGCTTGCTGCTCATCTTGGCCATCATTTTAACCATTGTTCTTTTGGCGATTTTTGTTGGCTGAATGCGAATTGCGCAAGACGATATACCGGGCTAATTAGTGATTTTTGTTTCTACCTACACGGAGTTTCCTCTCTTTTTCCTTTTTGTAGTTCCTCTCTTTTGTTCAAGGCGTGCTTTATGGCTGGTTTATACAGTATCCTGACCTCGTTTCGAAGATGTATATAGGTAGGATTCGGATCACTTTGGGCAGTTTTGGAATTTTCCCTTGAGCGCGTTGAAAATCAAAATTTTATTCATCTATTCGGACTTGGCTGTTCCTTGGAAGCTACCACTCCTCGTAGATAGGGCAGTACTGTCGGTGGCTTTGGTGTAAAATTTAAAGATGTCGGTGACTTTGGTGGAAACAGTCTCCCTAGGATGGCCTCGTTGACGTCGTTGAGGGCAAACGTCGATGCCCAGTACAAGAAGATCGCGCTGGGCAGGTCGGCAAAAAGGATGGGGAAGAGGGGAACTAAGAGAAGCGTTCGGCCTACCGCCGTTCGAACCCTCATAATTGGAGTTTGTGGCATCTGAGACGGGCCAACAGTCAGCAAGGCCCGAAGCTGGTCCTTTGACAGCCTCCCCCATGACGTTCGGGCAAGCAGTGCCGAACAGATGATGGGAAGCGCATAGTAAGGGTCCATGGCAGTCAGATCTGTAAACCAGAGACAGCCACCATCCACCAGGGATTCGTCAAGATAGCGGCGAGACATCTCCACGGCTGACGAAACAGCTTGAATATCTACCAGTCCGAAAGAGTGGCTGAGCCATCCCGTGGGGGCACCGCAAAGGCGCCTTAGAGCCTCTGAGACGATGATAAAGGGTGCCATGCTCAGAAAGGGGGCGAATGACTTCCATCTTTGAACGCCCCAACTTTTATATATCCGGGCACGGGACCTCTCTGTCAGGCCAGACACCCGCAACCGCCAAAGTCGGGCTCCCTCCTCGCCCTGGCCCTGCGGCACAGTCGCAGCATGTCGTGAGCTCCAGGCTGTGACAAGCGGTGTCAACTTGTTTCTGGTGACCACGAGGCGCCTTGTGTAGTACTGAATTGGGAGTCGAAACGAAAAGTTGACGCCGACGGCTACGAGGGGAATAGAGATGAACCAGGGTAACCCGGCGTGGTGGATGAAGGTGATACTGTCAGCTGTCCACAGGACGGCATCTCCTACGGCGCTCAGATGAAAGCTGCGCCGTCCTGGGATAGAACCGGGTCTGCTTCGGATCACAGGAAAGGGTGTTTGAATTAGATGTGAAGGCGAGGTCCTGCTACCATGAGCCGCAAGGCCCTTGGCTGATCTAGTGAAGAAAGCCATGGCCAGTCATAGCTTTCAAGCGGATAAAGATGTGAACGCGGCCCTAATTGGTGGGAATCAGATCGGCTCGAGGGAGGCTGCAACACCATTGATTAATAAGACTCGATCCAGCACATGGACAGCAAGACTGAATGAATACAGCAAATAGAGCGTCGTCATGAGAACAAGGTCGAGCGTGATAAAGTCCCGTGAGTGGGTCTCGAAGAAATTCAACGGTCAAGCCACAGTTGCCTGGAGCTGGCGCCACAGAATCGCTTGATGGTGGCTTCACAGTGGTCCCGAACTGGAGCTAACGCTGGGACAAGCTGTCAATACGTAGCAAGTCATACAGGCAGATTCCCCCACATGCTTCCCTTCTTCACCTCTCACTCTCGTTTCTCTCTGTCTCTGTCTCTGGCAATGCTACCGGCCATCGCGTCAGGGCGTGTGGCATTGCAGGCATTTAAATAACCGGAAATCAGCGGCTGGACTAGAAAAATACAACCCAGACATCGCCAGTATCAAGAGAGGACGAGTTTCCCGTCTTGCCCATGGCGGACAAGTGCTCGGCAGAGGCGGCGACATGCAGCCAGCCGTCTTCTGCTCTTGGGCTGAATTCCTATTCAATGGCCATCTTCGCGACTTTTGTGGCAACCTCGCCGTTGATTCTGCTCTTCATTCTTCCTCTCATCGCCTCCGGCATCGGATGGATACTGCGGGCCAAAACAGATGGCACGCGAAAACACCTGGTCAGCCTGATGGACGAGGAACACAAGAAATATTTACAACAACGCCCGGAATCAGGCAGCACAACCAGTGATTCATTGGATGCAAACGGTGAGCTCAAGGACTCCAAGGATTGGGACGGTGTAGTTGGCTTCTTTCACCCCTTCTGGTATGATCTCTCTCCAAACGGCCGTGGCCCCTCCCTTGCTGTCGTCCCTCGATGACTTCCCATTGCATTTCATTAACACCGCGTCAGCAATGCTGGAGGTGGCGGAGAGCGAGTTCTGTGGGCTGCCATTCGTGCGACACAAGATCGATGGCCGAGAGCCAAATGCTTTGTGTATACTGGAGATCGCACTTTGACTAAAGGTGCAGTTCTAAACCGAATCAAGGTGAGAATCTTAATCAAGATCCAAACGTGGAGAGGCAGCTTGATTAAACTGTGATGTAGACCCGATTCAATATCCAGCTCCACGCTCCGACTGTCCAATTCCTCGACCTCTCCAAGACGCGTTGGGTTCTCGCCTCCAAGTGGCCAGTGTTTACGCTCCTGGGACAGTCTCTGGGTTCCATAGTCCTAGCCTGGGACGCCTTCTCCCTGCTGGTGCCCGATGTCTTTATTGATACCATGGGTTACGCGTTTGCACTCAGCTTCTCAAAGCTCTTATTCCGGAGCGTGCCCACTGGTGCCTATGTACACTATCCGACAATATCTACCGACATGCTAGAATCTCTAGATCCTACATCTGCCGTGGGCTCCCAGGGAGTCAATGCTGGCCGAGGCACTGGAGCCAAGGGGGCAGTGAAGAGGGCATATTGGCACTTGTTTGCTCTGCTCTACTCCATTGTTGGATCTTCCATCGACGTCGTCATGACGAATTCCACATGGACCCAGGGTCATGTGAAGAGCCTGTGGGGCCCATACCGTCGGGAAAAGGATCGGGCAAATCCAATTGCTGTCGTTTACCCCCCCGTGGCCGTCAGCGAGTTTGAGAAAGAGGTCGATGTTTCTGCAGAGAGCGAAAAGAAACGAGAGCCGATTCTCATATACATTGCGCAGTTCCGCCCTGAAAAGAATCACCCTCTTGTCCTCCAGTCTTTTGCCGATTTTGTCAAGACAAAGACGGAAGCTGCAGAAAAGGCACGCCTGGTTCTGATTGGAAGCGTGCGAGATGACTCGGATTCCAAAAGGGTCTATAAGCTGCGGCTAATGGCAAATGAGCTCAGCATCAAGGATCGTGTTCAGTTTCATATCAATGCCTCTTGGTCAGATATTCTTGAGTGGTCAAGGAAAGCTTCCGTGGGCGTTAATGGAATGTGGAACGAGCACTTTGGAATCGGTGTTGTGGAGTATCAGGCCGCCGGTCTGATTTCAGTGGTCCACGATAGTGGTGGCCCCAAGCTGGACATTGTCACTGAAGTTGATGGTCAGCCAACAGGTAAGCCGAGAGCATGACGAAAGCAGGCACGAAGAATATTAAACTAACGTGACAATCTTAGGCTTCCACGGATCAACTGCAGCCGAGTTTGCGGCAGGATACGAAGCGGCACTTTCGCTTCCCGATCCCCTGGCAATGCGCCTACGCGCGAGGAAATCAGCAAAGAGATTCTCCGAGGAAGTATTTGAAGAGAAATGGCTGGCGCAGATGGACCGGCTGGTGGCACTTTGCAGAAGAAAGTGAAAGAATAATAGTTTCGTTTTGTGTTTATTGGCAGAATGCTAGGTATATAGAACTAGGAGATACCCCCTTTTCTTTTATTGATAGACTGGTTAGCGGAGGGTACGTTTATAGATTTTACTTGCTTTGTTGCGGAGACTATGGGGACAGTATTGCTCTAAGCGTAAGATTGGAGAATAGAATAAAAAGCGGCATGGCGAGCGAAGTCAGGAAGAAGAAAACCAAATGTTTGCGCTTATGCTAATGGTATCACTACAATGTCTAACTCTATTCATTGACCCTTCACAAACTCCATGCCGTCCTATAGTGTGTATCCTGCGCTGTTCTTCTGTCTCGGCTCGCTCGCCGCCTCAAAGACGCCGTCGGTGAATCTCCTCACAGCCTGTACGGAGCTCAAGCCCGATCGAACCCACGTCACGTTATGGCCTCTCTTCTCCAATCCCAAAGCCACTTCGTCATCAAACATTTCTTCCAGCAAGACAGTATTTGGCATGAGTTGGTCGTGGAGACGCGGCCTCTGTAGAGCCCCTGCCAGGGTGGCATCGTGGTCGTCGAGGACGTGCCATAGGACCTGGGCTGTGGCAGAAATAATGCGGGAGCCGCCTGCGGCACCGATGGCGGCGTAGAGGGTGCCGTTGGGGAAGGCGGCGATGATGGGGGTGATGGAGGAGAGAGGGCGCTTGCCAGGGCGGATGTAGTTTGCTACGGAGGGGGCGAAGCCGAATTCATTGCTGACGCCGGGGATGGAGAAGTCGTTCATTTCATTGTTCCTGAGCATGGTGTGTTAGTAGCGGGAATTTGCTCTCAAAGGGAAAAGAAAGGGAATCCTACAGGATGATGCCGGTTTTAGGCTCGACGATTTGGGCCCCGAAAAGGAGGTTGACGGTTGTCGTCAAGGAAATGGCCATCCCAGACTTGTCGGCAGCCACAATGTGCGAGGTACCATGGTTCTCAGGAACATAGAAATCCTCAGGGTTGTAGTACTTGATGGGATGTGTTTGATTGTCCCAAATCCTCTCATAAATAGCATCGATGTTCTTCGGGTCCAGCATCTCCTTCTCAAAGCCCTCCACGTCGCTATCCACAAACTCTGGGTCGCCGAGGCTGATTCGAGCGGCGTACGCGAAGCGCATGGCTTCGGTGAGGCGATGGCGGGTCAAATCCTGATCGGACCAGTCTTCCGAGTCGTACCGCTCCATGATCTTGAGAATCTGGAGACTGACGGCACCACCAGAAGGGGAACCCATACCATGGAGCGTGAGGCCTCGATAAGTAACATTGTGGACGGGGCGGACGATGACTTTGTAGTTTGCCATGTCCTCGAGGGTCATTGTCCCGCCAGTACGCTGGACATAGTCGACAATCGTCTCGGCTATATGTGATGGATGGGTTAGAAGCTGTAGAGAATCATGTGTAAGCGTGAGGCTTACCTAGTTCTCCAGAATAAAATATTCTAGAACCATGCTCGGAAACCTTCTCAAGAGTACTAGAAAAAGGGTAAGCATTCTACTCGAAGCTTAAATAATTCTACGGCTTACTCTGCGTAGCGTTTCCGCGTCATCCAGGCACCTTCTTTGACCAAATCCCCTAGACAAATTAGTTAGCGTTTGACTCATCTTACAAAAAGAACAGCCAAGTTTCTGGACGTACCATCAGGGGCAAAGTCTGTAGCCCAGTTGGGGTCTTTCGTGAGAAAAGTCTCTCCGTCCGCCTTGAACGTGCTGCCCATATACCGGACAAGATCGCTGGAAACTGAATTTCATATCAGTCCATGTACACAGAAATATGTTCAAGCGCTCAGCGCGGACATACCTCGGAATCCATTGCGAGCCACATGAATGGCGCCCTGCATGACCGTCTTCCAGGGGAGGACGCCGTACTTTGTGTGCATGTACTCGAGCCCTTTGACCTCGCTGGGAACGCCGACAGCGAGACCACCGCGAACGCTGGCGCTGGCGTTGTTCTTGTACATGTCCTCAAAGGCCGCGGCTGGCGCAGCTTCTCTGAAGTCGATGGCTTCATACTCGCCGTTGGCATCGCGGACCATCGCAAAGCCTCCACCACCAATACCGGAGTGATACATGCCAATGACGCCGACACAGAACGTCGTGCCGACCAATGCGTCGACGGCATTACCCTAAACGAGGAAAATATAGTCAGTTTGTTGATGGCGATGATCTTGATCCTTTAGCACGCGACATACCCCTCGCGCCAGCAAATCTCTGCCTATGGCGCTGCATTCTCTGCTCTCGCTGGCGACGCCACCGAGATGTCCTGGCGCATCTTTTTGAAAGATGACTTCTTGGATGGCAGCCGCCTGGACGGTGAAGGCATGGGGAAGTGTGATGGCCAGGAGCAGCGATCCCAGAAGCTGGGGGCCGCGAACAGCCGGTGATTCTATCCACATCGTCCGTCAATAGGCTGTAAGAGATAAAAGGGCAAGTAAGTGTAGTATAAGTTTGCAAAAAGAGGGAAAAGTTGTTGGCTTATTAGAGACGGAATTGCAAAATGAAAGAGAGATAAGATGAAAAGAAGAAGAAAAGAAGAAACCCAGGGTTGTCACTCACTCATTTTGGGTGTAAAAGAAGAGAGGGATGGGTGGTCGGCGTCGGATCCGGGACGTCGGCGTGCGCTGGGCAGAGCGGTATTATTAATGGATAGCCGGCTGGACGAGAGATTCCAGGGATCAAATGATATTCAGGAGACCCCGGGGGATGTACATAATCAGCCGGTAGGGCGTCCGTCCTTATCTCCAGTGAGTGACAGATTTTGTTTGTCGCCTTGATTCGGGCCACTTAATAAGCGCGGGTTGGCACGACTCACTTACAGACTGACTGACGTTAGTTGGAAACACACGGAACGAGGTAAAGGCAACACGATGACTAAACAGCAGACACAACGCTGCAGAGGCCGATGTGAATCCTCCGTACTGTACCTAGTATTAGTCTATGGTATAGTAGTAGATGGGGGTTTATCACAGCCTCCTCATCGCAGATATACACTCATATACATTCCGTAATACCCTCCATAACGCCCTCTCATTACCAGCTGCAGAACCCATATCACCTCAACCCGCCCCAGAAGCACGAACAAAACCCTTCCCCCTTAAAACCCCGTTGGCTGCCACTTGTGGATCGCGCGGCTCCGCATCTGCCAGTCAGCTGGATCCAAGGCCACGCTCCCGATGAGATGGCTTGCCTCTGCCCTCGTGACGCCAAAAAGGCCAGAGTTAGTGTCTTTCTAGGCTCGGCGTCCCCTGTGGCCGCCTATCAGCCATGCCGCATGTCTTATCGCAGCGGCAGCCAATGAGACGCCTTCCATATCTGTAACTTTTTTTTTTCTTCGTGGATGCAAACTTTCTGCGGAAACTCGAATCAGTAGATGAAGCCATCGGGAGCGCATTGAAACGCAGCAAAGGCAGTGTTATAGCTCCAGGTCATCCGAGTGTCCTGTGCTGTAACCCATTCTCCGATTGCTACAGAGTTCCGCATCGTCTATGAGAATCCTGATACGACCCTTTTCATCGTATCCCACCATCACCAGCCTTGTCCTCCAGCCTTGCCGGCTACGACCACCACCTGTCCACTTTCTTCGATCGTTGGCATACATGGCGACCGCTCAAGCTTCTACGGCCCCTGCGGCCCCTGCAGCTGCGCCTCAGACAAGCAGCAATGGTGCCAATGGCAACAGGCCCAAGCGGCCCAATCCCGGCGGCAACAATCGCAGCTGGAAGCAGAAGAAGACTAAGAGAGAAAAGAACATCACCGAGGGATCTTCAGAGGAGGTTCTGAGATACGACATCGAGGCGCTCCTAGAATCGCGCAGATCCGAGGCCGATACCCCCGCCGACGGCGAAGCCACCGAGACACAAGAAGCCCTGCCCGCTGAAGGCACCGAGACCGAAGTCGAAGTCCTGGACCTCTCCTCCACCGGCGACGGCCTCGCCATGAGGCCCGGCTCAGACCAGGTCTACGTCGTTCCCTTTACCGTGCCGGGCGACGTCGCAAAGGTCAAGGTGTTCCGCCACCTACGACGCGAGAACCAGACCGTCGCCGACTTCATCTCCATCGTCGAGCCCTCCCCGCTGCGCGACGACTCCCGCATCCAGTGCAAGTACTTTGGCACTTGTGGCGGCTGCCAGTTCCAGATGCTCGACTACGCCGAGCAGCTCCGCCGCAAGCGCAGGATCGTCGACAAGGCCTTTCAGAACTTTGCCAACCTCCCGGCCGAGCTGGTCCCCGCCATCCTCGACACCATCGGCAGCCCACTGCAGTACGGCTACCGCACCAAGCTGACGCCTCACTTCGACGGCCCGCCGGGCTTCCGCCCGCACAAGAGAAACAAGGGCCCCAAGGCCCAGTTCGAGAAGTGTCCCGACATTGGCTTCATGCGCAAGGGCCAGCGCAAGGTCATGGACATTGAGGACTGCCCCATCGGCACCGACGTCGTCCGGCTGGGCATGAGGCGCGAGCGGGAGAGGATGCAAAAGGAGTTTGGAGACTATCAGCGAGGCGCAACGATCCTCCTGCGAGAAAACACCCAGCGCCATTCCGTCGACGCTTCCGGCGATGACGCCGCCCCCTCCGCGGACAATCTGCCCCCTTTCACCATCCGCAACGACAGCGAATTCGGCATCGACATCAAGACCTGCGAGACCGACTCCAAGTCCACCACGCACGAATACATCCGAGACCACCACTTCACAAATCCCGCCGGCTCCTTCTTCCAAAACAACAACTCCATCCTGCCCGTCTTCACAGACTACATCAAGCAGCACGTCCTGCCCCCGTCATCATCCCCCTCCGACATCAAGTACCTCATCGACGCCTACTCCGGCTCCGGCCTCTTCACAATCACCCTCGCCTCCGTCTTCCAGCACTCCACGGGCATCGACATCGCCGCCGACTCCATCGCCTCCGCGCGGCAAAACGCCAGCCTCAACGGCCTCGGCGAGGACCGCTGCAAGTTCATCGCCGCCGACGCCGGCGAGCTCTTCAAGAGCGTCACCTACAACCCGGACGAGACCACCGTCATCCTCGACCCCCCGCGCAAGGGCTGCGACGCAGACTTCCTCGGCCAGCTGCGCCGCTTCGGGCCCAAGAGGGTCGTCTACGTCAGCTGTAATGTTCACACACAGGCGCGTGATGTGGGCGTCTTGGTGAGGGGTGAAGGGGAGGGCAAGAGATATGAGATTGAGAGCCTGAGAGGCTTTGATTTCTTCCCTCAGACGGGTCATGTTGAAGGCGTTGCTGTTTTGAACAGGGTAGACAACTAGCATTACTTATAGAAATGACACGGCAAAAAGTTTCTTTTTTCTTCAGCTTCTTCAATTCCATTTAACCTAATGTGATGCATTTTGTTCCAGTAAATATATGGAAATCATGAGTCCATGTATATAAGAGAAGGAGAAACAACGGAGCCTGCTGGGATGCTCAATGCCAAGCAACTTGATTCAAACCATGGTGGCTCTAAAACAAAATGAAATACATAATTCCATTGGTAGGAGAAAAAGAAAAAGAAAAAAAAGGAACAACGAGAGATGTGAAAGATGCTCCCCTATCCACGCTACTCTTGTCCTAAAAGCGCCTTCAATGTCTCAACCGTAAGCTGCAGAACCTCCGGCCTCCTACTCAGCTTAAGAGATTGCTTCAATGCCTCGATTCCATCCGCCTCCTTGACCTTTTCCCGCGCGAGCTGGCAGACTTCGACATCTCCAGCGACCATGTTGTAGAGCGTAACTACACCTCTATGCCGTAGCCCTTCATCCTCATCTGTGCACATGCCTAGGATAACCTTGATGCCCCCTTCTCTCTGTAATACCAGCTTCGCTACACTCTCATAGCCTGTCAAGGAAGCCAGAGCACCACCTGCTGCACTGCGCGTACCTGCATCTTCGGCATCTGCCAATGCTAGGAGTATATGGATTCGATTCTTGGCTTGTGGATTGCCATCCGCATATAGCGCTATGCCCTCCGGTGCTTGCATCAGATTACACACCAGCTCAACAGCCGCTTGAGAGACGCGGTCGTTGGAAGACAACATCTGCTCCTCAATCTGACCCCATGCGATACTAATAATAGAACGAGGAACATCTTCGTCTTCCATCGAAGCCAAGTTGGTAAGTGCCATGAGCGCCTCAAACGTGGGAAGTAAGTCTCGTCTGTCAGCTGCTGGATCAGGCGGTAAAATGAAGGCCAGAGGTCGGATAGTAGCAATGGCTGAGTTGGAACGATTGCCACCAAAGACAAGCATAGGATTGGTGCTGATGAGGATGCGGGCAATTGCTTGGGCGGCCATGCGACGGCCAGTCGCTTCGGTTTCTGGAAGGGTCGTCCATGCGGCCAGTAGCAGATTAAGGGCTCCCCGCTGAGCCAAGGGGGCACGAAGTGCCTGTGTCATGGCGAATGAGTGAATGATGGATACAATGATAGATAGTGATGCTGGTGATCCGTTCTTACTGTGCGTAACAAGAACGGGTGTGAGGCCGGCGTCAAAGACGGCTTTGCATCTCTTGGCGACGTGCTCATCGTCATCCAGAGCGTCTGGCGGAGCCAACTTGCCGGCCGCGTCTGCATAAGCCTTGAGTTGAGACATCTTCTTCTCCTCTTCAGTAAGGGAAGGTCGATATCGAGTCAGGTTGAGAAAGATGCTAAGAGCTCCATATGTCATTGGAGACCGAGGTGGTGCATCCTTGAGTGTTGTGACGAGTTTCTTGAGTAGTTCAGGGTTGCTAACGATGGATTCCTTAACCTTTGGCCGTAGGGATGCATAGGCAAGGCCTTCTATAGAATGCTGCCTTCCGTGATCCTCGTCACGCATAATCATCTTGGTAAACATGCCGGATAAATCTTCAATGCTCGTTACCGCCGCCTCGACCCTAGGTTGATTCGGGTCATTCGCTGATGGGTTCGAGGGCACAACCTTGATTCTGGGTCAGTCAGCCATAAACAATTACGAGCTTTTGTTGTGCCAAAATTTAGAACAGATGGGTTAGTTTCTCACCCTGAGTTTGGCCAAAATGACAGCGGCCAAGTGCTGGACCTGCTCGGAATGCTTCCTCATGTTGATGGAGCCGCCCTCGCTGTGAACGTTGGGGTCTGCATTCATACTGAGAACTTCTCCATCCAGATCCTGGTCAACCACCTCCTCGAGCCACTCGACGCAGTACTTTTGAATGGCCTCTCGACACGCAGAGTTCATACATGAAGCGTTGAGCATTTCCAAGCACGCCGTTTCAACCTTTCGGCTCTTCCACTTCCTCCTCATCAGAGGGCCCAGTGAAACGAGAAAGCCTTCGTTGAGAAAAAGCTCGGCGGAGAGATCCGGAACGATGGGGAAGATGGCGGCCGCAACGCAAAAGGCCACGATGTAGTCATCATATGTGCCTCTCTTGACCCGCTCAAAGAAAAAATCAGACAGCTTCTTGGAGCCCTGCTCGTTGGCAGCTCTTAGATAGGCCGATGTGGTCAGGGTGGCATGGCCGCGGACAACCTCGGGCTGGCGCATATCAAGATAGCACAGAATCGTGTCGACGCAGTCACTGTCGATGAGCTCGCAGATGGACTTGTGGTCCTTGTTCTTCTGCTGGGCACCGGCATCGTCGTTGAGCAGCTTGGTCAGCTCATCCAGGTCTCTACACGTCTCTTCATCCTCTTGGCCGCCCTCCATCAGCCGCGCAAAGATGAGGAGTGTCTGGTCCTCCAGGGACGCGGCCGGGCCCGAGCTCTGCAGCGTCTGAGCCACCGTCGCCATCTTTGAGCTGAGGTGATCTGTTTCAGGTGGTGTCTGGAATAGGGTCAAGGTCAGGCTCAAGCTTGGGGCAGCATTTATCGCCGATCAATGTGCCAATGCTCCTGGAGTCGGGAGTGTCTCGTACAGGCCAGTTGCATAAACAGCCTTTGGAGGGTTGGATAAGGCAGAAGCAAGCTGAGGAATGGAGGACTGGGAATTGACTCTGTCGAAACGTCACAGGCCACAGCTTCCCCCCGGAGAAAAAGATAAGATACGGCGGTTTAGCTGATAAAAATGAAGCTCGAAGCCTCTGTCCCACTTTGATAGTCGATGCGTAAACCCCACCTCCTGGCGTCACCGTTTGTGTTAGCGACCTGGTTGGCGCAATATTCTCCCGCGATGCAGCCAGTGATGTCGCCGGAAATACCACGCTGGCGCACGTTAATTTGGGTTCCATGGCTGCAATTGGCCTATTATCGAGTATCGCTACAGGGAGTTCTTGTCCACCCAAATCCGCCCTAATTCAATCGAGGTCTGGTCCCTAGCGGCTTGAATTTGCATAGTACTGTACAGGTGCCGCTTCTTCATCGTCCAGCACCTCTTCTGTTGTCACTTTTGCTTTCAGGGCTTCGTCTTTTTGCATGACGTCTTTCAGCAGTTCCTGTTTTGGCACTTTTCTCTTTTGGCACTTCATCTTTCAGCATTTCATCCTTCAGCACTTCATCCAGTATGTACTGGGCAGCGACACCGTGAAATCGCCCTGGCGAGCCCAAACGGGCACATCAGGCCCAATTTCTGGTTCCCAGCAGAATTCGACTTGCTCGCACGCATTAAAATGAATAACTCGATCCTCATCATCATCATCATCATCATCATCATCATTCGGGACAATTGTTAGAAATGACGGGTTCTTGAGATGCTTGAAGATCTCTTTAGGGATATGCAGGCATGTAGCCGATTTTACCTGCCATCCATTGGGGTACCTAAGCTTTAGCACATCTCCACACTACATCATCAGTATCGCATGTACTATGTACTATGCAAGCTCACCAGCTTGGCGATTGGATCTCGGTCCTCTGCTTCCGCCATTTCCACTATTTCAACGCTTTAAAGAGCTCACAATCAGAAAACATGGCAAGCCGCCTACTACATGTAAGATGCCCGTACATGTTAATAACACAAGATGCAATGGATTGCCTTATCGAGAAGCACATAGATTAATATGCAGGCGCCCAGTCACGTGCCTTGGCGTTGTGCCTCGCCAAGAGCCGTGTAATCCCGGTCTCTCTCCATTTTTTGGTCTCAGGTCAGCCTTGTCCATGACGGAGCTGCGTCTTGCAGCTGCTAGTCTCTAGCCTCACCTGAACATGCCATGAACATCCTTTTTGGCTCTGGTTGTTGAGCTGTGGCTGTTCCATCGCATTGCCATTTTTATCTGTCGATTCTAGAGACAATATCCGCATCCTTATCTTGGCCTGTCTTGCATATCTCCATCTTTCTATCTAGGTCCTTATCCTTGGTCCAACGATTCCTTCAAGACCATTATTCCGCCAACGAACCAATTTCGACATCCAATCCAAGCAAATAACGCTGAAAATTTCCCACCTCTCCTCTTCCTCCTCATAAATAGGCCTCGTAGCTGTCTCCGTTAGCCTACGTCCCGCCCATCCACCGCCACCATGGATGCCGTCGACGTCTCGGAGCACTACGAGGTCACCGCGGCCGACAATTCTCCCTCCCTCCTCTCCATCGTCCTCGACACAAACCCGCGCGCCTGGGCTGCTCTCGACTCCTCCCTCTCCCTCGCCCAGGCAATCTCCAACATCCTCGTCTTCGTCAATGCCCATCTGGCCTTCAGCAACACCAACCAGGTCGCCGTCATCGCCGCACACGTGAACCGCGCCGTATGGCTGTATCCCGCTCCTCAGAACCCGTCTGCTACCACCACGACAAAGGACAATTCGGGAGATGTCCAGATGCAGGATGTTTCAGCCGAGACAAACTCCTCCTCGGCATCGGCCAACAAGTACCCTCAGTTCGCACAGATCGAGTCTTCCGTCTTCTCGTCCATCCAGACGCTCATGGCCGAGACCACCGTGCAAGACCTCGACCAGGTAACAACGCAGCTCTCCGGAGCCCTGACGCTCGCCCTCTGTCGCATCAACAAGACCGCGCAGTCTCTAAGCTCATCAGACACCACCATCTCCAATGCCGCTCCCGTCAACTCCACCGCTCCTCCTCCCGTCAAGGGCCGAATTGTCGTCATCTCCGTCTCTGACTCCGAACCCTCCCAATACATTCCCACCATGAACGCCGTCTTCGCCGCTGCCCATAATCAGGTAGCCATTGATACCATTGCTCTCGCCGGTGACTCAACATTCCTCCAACAGGCTTGCTTCAACACAAATGGCATCTTCCTCAAGGCCTCCAACCCACAGGGTTTGCTGACCTACCTCATGTTTGGTCTCATTCCTGACACCGAGGCCCGCGGGTCCCTTATCACACCGACTCACGATACTGTCGACTTTCGAACTGCCTGCTTTTGTCATGGGAAGGTCGTCGACACCGGCTTTGTCTGCTCCGTGTGTCTCAGCATATTCTGCGAACCACCAGAGAACGCCGAGTGTCTCACGTGCGGTACTATCCTTGCTCTGGGTAATTATGGTGCGAAGCCTGCCGTCATACCTCGGAAGAAGAAGAAGAAGAAGAAGATTACAAACGGTAGCGGACGTGAGGAGACAGGTAGTGCCACAGGGACACCGAGACCATGAGCCATCCATCCGGTCGTTGGGGGTTCTTTCATTGGGGAGAAGTGAAGAAGAACAGGACATATTTTGTGACTACATAAAGAAAGGGCTGTCTGTGGGTTTAAGCTATAATGCAAAGGAGGAATTTCAGACAGCCGTGGTCGTGTATCGATGCCTGAGCTGGCGTAAAGGTGATTGTCAGCCAAGGGCGCCTTGCAATATTAGCTTTGGGTAAAAGACATGGGAATTCTGGAAATAAAAAGATATCTATAGGAATAGAGGAGGATAATCACTATACGAATATCATACAAAGAGAGAACCAGTTACAATTATCAGGGGAGAAATGGAGAAGATGAAGATAAGGAGCAACAGAGCAAAACGCCAATGTGTCAAGGTCGCCAACCTATTCCTGGTATCCTCCCGCTAGCCTGTTATACCCTGACATACCAAATAAAACAAAGTATTCACCTCCTTTGTTGGCTCATTATTCTAGTCGAACCTTGCGGCCACCTTTTGCAATCTTAGCACCGTCAGGGAGTCGTGACATGACACATCGCGGCTCTCTTTCCAAACCGCCCATGGAAGCCAGGGCAAAGGAGTCTGTGTTATGAGCAAAGTATAGATAATAGCCGTTCCTGGTCTTCTTTACGGCCATGATACCAATGGCGCCCGCAGAATGACAGTTTCTCACTCCTGGGTGATCCATAAAGTCCTTAGCTATGAAAGATTCCATGATTGCATCTTCATCGTCGTCTTGAACGTCGATGCCAGCTGGACCACGGCGCGTTCCATGGTAAAGACGTTCAGCGCATCTCTGAGAAGCCATTGTGGTGGCCATATGTTCACCCGTGCCGCTCGTTACGGCCGCAACCGTGAGATTGTCGTTGTCATCTTCAGCGCACGGCACAACGGCCGTCCCAATGCCGACCAGAGCTGCTGGTCCTAGGCGGCCTCGATGTTTCATTCCAATGCCACCTGAAGAGGATCCTGCTGCAATGTGGCCTCTATCATCAATCGCAATAGCACCAATAGTGTCTGTAATCGAATCCTCCTCGGGGCTACCAGACTGGAACTGGCGCTTTGCAGTCTGTGAATTTGAGTCCTCGTTTTCATGTGATACGTTAAGGGGACGCTTAAGACCGCGAATACTTATGACAGCTGAGTCTTCTTGTTGATATTGATCCTCGTCAGGTACGCCTGAAACTCTTGGGGGTTCATCAAGATCCTTGCTGGAGGGGTTCATCCTATCAAAAGTCGCTCCTCCGGAAGTTTGCGTCGGTTTAGCCTCATCTCTAGCGGAGTTGGCATTCACACCGTTCCCGCGATTGCCTTGGTTGGTGTTTTTAGGGTATCGTTTTAAGCGGCTAGGTGAAAGTCTTGGGCTCATATCGCCTGTTAGAGCCGTAGATGTTGTCTGCATCAGCACTCCTGACGCTGGTCGCAAGGGGGTTCTGGGTGAGCTCGCTGGCGTTGAGGCTAGAGCACGAGCATATGTTGTCGGGTATGCTGGGGGTTCAGAAATGCTACTTGCATCGGGATTGGGTGTGCCGACATAGGGGGAATCTGGTTGTCCTTCGTTCCATGTCCCTGCCAGGATTGCTGCGGTATGGTCTCGTGGAAAGATTTTGTGAGGATCTGTTACCGCCATAGTATCATACTGGCACGGAGCGCAGCCCATGTTCATCTGGCTAGCAGCAGAGCCAATGTTTGCCCCTTTTGACGCGATATCAGCTTTCTTTAGATCCTCTTGCCATCGTAGAAAGCGATCCCTGGAATTCTTCGAAACGAGATATTCGTTGGCAAAAGTTGCCATGCCGTGTTCCTCAGCAAAGTTTCTTGCTCCTTCACCGACGAGGGCATTTGGAGGGACTCGGCGGAGGCTCAGGGGTTTGTTACTTGTGTCCAATATGAGCTTTGCCAATGAAATCGGATTTCGAACATCTAACACCAACAACCTTGTTAGCTGGACATGTTGTGCTTCATTTGTGTTGAGCTAGATGGGACAATTGACTGACTTGGAACAGCTCCGCAGGCACCACTGCGTCCTAAATGATCAACGATTGTCGCATCGCACTCGACGGTGCCATCAATGGATAGATTGGAGCCGTAGCCTGCATTCGTTATCTCTTTATCCTCGAGGATGCGAAGAGCAACTTCGACGGCCTCGGTGGCAGTGGCGCCAGCCTTTAAGAACTTCATGCCCATCTCGCAAGCTCTAACAGATGATGCATATGGTTAGCATATGGAGCATATATAATGCTAGAAAGCAAATCAGATAATCAGGGGAAAGCTAGGAATGAAATCCAAGAAGCGGTGGAAAGGGGAGGGCTTACGCCACGCAGGCCTCAAGGTGAACATGCTCGTTTTGGTGGCTATGAAAGCCCGCTCCAGCATGAATAAAGATTGCCGGAACACACTTGAGCTGTTTCTGACCGAGACCGAGAACGCGATCGAGTGCACCATCAGTACCGTATGTGTTGTCGGCCATCATGGGGGAAACTTCATGGTCACAGCCACTGCTCATGCTTCGGATGCGAGGTCCCGTATAGAAAGTATACAGAAGAGTTGTCCAGAAAGCTTTGGCACAAGAGAGACAGTATTGATATACAAGAGAAAGGAGCGTGAGAGGGCGGATAGGGCGATTGGATTGATCCCCTTGAGAGGGAACAGAGAGTAAAGGAGTAGAAGAAAATAAATCTAGGAGGCGTTGGATTTTTTTGGTCTCTTCCAGGTGTGTGCAGAGACTTTGCTCTCAGCACGAGACGAAGCCACCGCCTTTTGTTCTGCCAGCCTACAGAGCGCAGTCGCTTTTCAACAGGCAGCCGAGAAATCTGCACAGAACACGCAAGCGGCAGGCAAAGAAAGTTGGTACGGTGAAAATGCTGGGGCTTTCTATAAATATCCTGAGAAGCCTTAGATATGGCAGGCGAATTCAAGAAGACTGTCGATATCGAGCCAAAGCGGTCAGACCGTCAGCAGGCCGCAACTGTGGTAGGCAGTGACTTGGGAGCGCATTATGTGGTTGAGATTTCTGCAGGCGACGCCTTCCTTGTTGTCGACGAGATGCTTGAGTTTGTTGTTTCTATCGTACCTGTGATGTCTTGTATTGCTTCTCTGTAGAGCTTCATGGTCCGGGTCTACCTATTCTTGACCAAAATCGCATCTCAGCAAACAACGCCGTGATATTTGAGTGTCAATCCGTATCATGCATGAATTTGCAGATAGCATTCATTCACTGATGCCGATACAGAATGCAACACGCAAGTAACTGGAGAATCAGGCAGAAACTGCAGCTGTTACGACCGCGTGATGTGGCCAACGCTCCCAAACCGCAATGCCATGCAAAGCACAGCACACACTGTAGTCCCGAAAAGCTGCACCAGCAGAGGAAGCTATTCGCAGCATGACGTCGGCCCAACTCTGGTAAGCTCCCCACAGAACCCCCCTTAAGCACATAACCCCGGCCGCCCTGGTGGCTGGCGGGGCTCGTGAGATTCGTCAGAGCAACTGGAGCAACTGGAGCTGCTGTCGTTTAGCGGTCTCGCCCACTGACAGCGTGCCTAGAATTAGCTGAGCTAAGGCCTGGCACGTTACGTACGTGCCTCTCCCATCTCTCCCCACTTGTCCCTAGAGTCCAGCTGTCGACGCTCCGTTGCTCTGCTCTCCCGACTGCAACTATCTCGACGCCTCACCGTCACGAGTCTGGGAGCTTTTGCCTGTGCTGCCAGCACCTTTTGCAATCATGGCGAACCAAACTCCCGCCGTTGTCATGGACAAGTAAGTCATTGATCCGCCGCCCTCCTCGTTCCTCTTGCCCCCCTCTCTCCTCTCCTCTCCCTGGACGACGCTGTTCCACCGATTGCCTGGTTCAAAGTGCTAACTCGAGACTCTCACAGCGGCACGGGCTTCTCCAAGCTAGGTACCATCTCGCCGCCCCTTGCATCCCGTCTCCGGAATTGGGCTCGACTGACATATGCTCGTTTCGTCTGCCAGGTTTTGCCGGAAATGATTCCCCTTCGTTCGTCTTCCCTACCGCCATTGCGACCAAGGCCGGAGCTGGTGGGGGCAGCGGAGGATCAGGATCGGGTCGTCCTTCCGTTGCCAACAAACCCTCGTTCCTCACCGGAGGAGCTGGTCCCAGCGGGCACCTGAGTGCAAAGCGCGGAACCGAGGACTTGGACTTCTACATTGGCGATGAGGCCATTAGCGCCGCGGCCGGGCCCGGATATGGCCTCCACTATCCCATCCGCCACGGTCAGATTGAGAACTGGGTATGGTGTCTGAGGACCACGGATTACAAGGAGCATACGGTCTAACGGGCACTTAGGATCACATGGAACGGTTTTGGTCAAACTCCATCTTCAAGTATCTGCGAGTCGAGCCTGAAGATCACTACTTCCTTCTCACTGAGCCTGTACGTTTCACGTCCCCCACGCACGACACCCCCTCCGGTTGGAACGGAAGACAGGGAGCCGAATTGCTAACGGTCTGGTAGCCGCTGAACCCCCCCGAGAACCGAGAAAACACGGCCGAGATCTTCTTTGAGTCTTTCAACTGTGCCGGAATGTACATTGCCGTGCAAGCCGTTCTTGCTCTCGCTGCCTCGTGGACCTCGTCCAAGGTCTCAGATCGATCGCTGACCGGTACCGTCATCGACTCTGGTGATGGTGTCACCCACGTCATCCCCGTGGCCGAAGGATATGTCATTGGGTCTTCGATCAAGTCGATTCCCGTTGCCGGAAGAGACATTACATACTTTGTCCAATCTCTTCTCCGAGACCGTGGCGAGCCCGATTCGTCCCTCAAGACCGCCCAAGAGATTAAGGAAGAGTACTGCTATGTCTGCCCCGACATTGTCAAGGAATTCGCCCGATACGACCGCGACCGCAGCCGCTTTGCCAAGCACGTGGTGACTCAACCTGGTGGCCGCCAGGTTACCGTCGATGTCGGTTACGAGCGCTTCCTGGCACCCGAGATCTTCTTCAACCCCGAGATCTACACATCGGATTTCCTGACCCCGCTGCCCACGGTTGTGGACGGCGTCATCCAGCAGTCGCCAATTGACGTTCGACGAGGTCTATACAAGAACATTGTTCTCTCTGGTGGAAGCACCCTCTACAAGGACTTTGGAAGGCGATTGCAGCGAGACATCAAGCTGCTTGTGGATGCCAGAATCCAGGCTAGCGAGCAGCGCAGCGGTGGAGCTCGTAGCGGTGGAGTAGACGTCCAGGTTATTACACACAAGAGACAGCGACACGGCCCCTGGTTCGGCGGCAGTCTGCTTGGTCAGACTCCCGAGTTCCGATCTTACTGCCACACCAAGGCGGAGGTACGTCACACATATAACTCGCCCGAGCATGTTTTGATGGCATCATGGCTAACGTTTGACTTAGTACCAAGAATACGGACCCAGCATTGTGCGAAGATTTGCTCTTCTTGGTGGTCCTGGTGGTTCATAGAGGGGGGCGTTATAAGCGGATTAGGAGACGGCGCGGGGTAGATACTAGGAAGATGCTTTTTGTACTTGAGAAAATATATGCATTACATACACATATATTACGTTGATGAGAATTGCGTGTAGATTTTCTTGCATTCTGTCATATGTATGATATTCCCTTGTAGGTTGGTGAGATTGTACCATGAAGATAGTGTGACAAGTTGTAAGCTTATAGCAATGGTACCTTAGTAGTAGGCAGCAAATACCTTAGGAGAGAGGGTTGGCAAAGACACTACTAGGCATTAACAGCCATTCACAGTTCTAACAGCCACACAATTGAGGATGAAATTGTCACTGTGGCCAAATATTCGTATCATGTCTCATCAATTTAATTCAAAAGAAAACAAGCTCATCATAAATACTTTACATCTCCCAACGCTCCGCCGCCATGTTTATCGAAACAGCCCAACCAACCGCCCAAACAACCGGTCATGCTCACACCAACCCACCCGCCTATATTCGCCCAAAGTTGTATCTAAACCCAACACTTTTGTTTTACTTTTTTCATAATTTCTTGTAGTTGAATGGAAAAAAGAGGGGTGATGTATCGTGTCCCCTGTGTTTTTCAATTTATTTCGTAGGGTCGACAACGATACGGCCGGCAATCTTGCCCTCGTGCATCAGGGTGTAGACCTCCTGGAGCTGGCTCAGGCCAATGGTCTTGAAGGGCACGGTAATGAGGCCGCGTCTGAAGAAGTCGAGGGCCTCGGCGGTGTCGGCGCGGTTGCCGACGTAGCTGCCCTTGATGGTGATCATGCGGATGACGGTGTCGAAGACGGGGGCGCTGAGCTGGGCGCCGGCGGGAAGACCAATGCACACGAGGACGCCCTTGGAGCGGAGGTACTGAGTGGCCTGCTGGAAGGGCTTCTCCTGGGCGGCGACGAGGAGGGCGGCGTGGGGGCCCTCGCCGTCTCCGGTGGCGGCGCGGACGTCGGCTACCAGGTCCTTGGTCTTGGTGAAGTCGACAAAGGCGGAGGCGCCCAGCTTGAGGCACAGGTCGCGCTTCTCGTCACCGCCGTCGATGGCAATGGTGTGCAGGCCCATGGCCTTTGCGTACTGCAGAGCAATGCTGCCCAGGCCACCGCCAGCACCGACGACGGCAATGGTCTGGCCGGGGCGGGTGTTGGACTCCTTGAGGCCCTTGTAGACGGTGATACCGGCGCACAGGATAGGAGCGACGGCCTCGAGGTCGCACTCCTTGGGGATGCGGGCGACGTGGGCGGCCTTTGCAATGGCGTACTCCTGGAAGGTTCCGTCGACGGTGTAGCCAGAGAGGAGGGCCTTGTGGCAGAGCGGCTCGTCACCGTTCTGGCAGTAGGAGCAGCTGAGGCACGAGCCGTTGAGCCACTTGATGCCGGCGTAGTCGCCAATCTCAATGTCCTTGACAAGCTCGCCGCGGGCAACGACGACACCGGCACCCTCGTGGCCGCCGACAAGGGGCAGCTTGGTGTCGAGGGGCCAGTCGCCCATCATGGCGTGGAGATCAGTGTGGCAGACGCCGGAGTACTTGATGTTGACGAGGACCTCATCGGGACCAGGCTTCTGGACGGGGATCCTCTTGTAGGCGACGGCTGGAGAGAAAAGAATGTTTGTTAGCAATGGATACAAGAAAAGGAATTGGGAAGAGAAAAGCGTACGTCCACCGGTCTTTTCGACGACCTGCGCCCACTGCTCAGAAGGGATATCGACGCTGCCCATGATGGATGTTTTGGTGTTTTGGAGAATAGGTGGGAGATGGAAATAGGAATTGAGTCGAGATTGAACTGCTTTCAAGAAGAGATGTGATGCTGAGAGGAGAGTCTGGAGAGACAAGCTGTAGAAACTTCAGTCTAGGAGGCAAACCGGCGCCTTTATACTTGTTCTCCCGCGTGAAGCTTCAGCTTCCCAGATACGGCAGTGCAGTGATATCATCCATGGCAGATAGGGATAGGGCAACATCCATCTCGTTTCGGCGTTCGGCTGGGCGGACCCGAGCCATGATTGGATTGGATTGGTGTGACTCCTTCACAGTGGCAATCAATCAAAAGCTCAACAACCCAGTGCAAAGATTGCAGCAACACGAGGCAGTCAATCGAGGCTGGCGATTTGACGCGGCGTCGGAGAATCAACAGGCGACCAGGGCCTGGGGGGGAGCTACAGCTACACCCATGCAGAAGCAGCTGCAGGAGCCCCGCCGGCGCTGCGAAATGTCATGCCATGGCGCATCAGCCCATCAAACCATATCAGATGCACGCGGCATGCCACCTCGCAGCAAAAGCAAGCCACATCCTCATGTCCGCACAGCACAATTCGCCGTGATTTGCCCCGTTGGCCCTTTTGGCATTGTTCTAGTACATCTATTGCGTCGAGGCGATGTCGACGGACGCCCCGCAGCAAAGGGCCGGCTTCACGCCCGGTTTCTCGTTTTGGGCGAATCCTTGTTGCGAGAGAGAAAAGGGCCGTGTTTGTCGTCACACTGTCTGTTGCGGTTCCTCTTTTATCCTCTATCTTTCTTTCATCTTATTGAGTAAAGATTGTCGTTTACGAAGCATCGATATTTTTACTGCATTGGTATACCTCTGCATAACTATGCGTACAAGTCAGTACGATGCATTCTCCGTGTTGGTTTACTTGCATCTACGACTTGTACGAGGTCACTCTGTAAGTGGATAGCAGTATACAGCATACACACATGTAAGTTACCTCAATGCTGCACAACAGCTTCAACCCGATGCAGATCCCCGTACAACGAGCAGGCAACAAGAAGGAATGAAGAAGAAAAAAGGTGTGCAGCGCTAGGTGCAACGGAATTCCTCAGCAAAGAGATCATAGAACCCAAAATGTTGGTCCTTTCCCTTCTTCCTGCATGCCGGCATCTCAAGCCGCTTCATCATAGAGAGTTAGACAAGCTACCCAATGATGCCTAGATAGCTATGCTCTACAGGGGGATGCTATGGATTCTTTACTAAAGCTTTGACTTTACGCCAAGCCATTATCTTCTCCCACTGTGAACAGCCACCGATGCGATGTCCGGTTACGTACAAGTTGCGGGCAGATTGAATGCTGAGCGGCACTCACGGGCAAAAGTGGGCTCCACGCCACGATTGTTTCGAAGACGGAGGAGGGAGGGGGGGTCATCTAGATGCAGAGTAGCGTTGCGAAATCCGGGGATGGGCAGGAAAGAGGAGGAAGCGAGGCCCTCGAATCTCCGAGTGTCACGATGGCGTGGGGTTTGAAGCAGATGGAGATTGATGGCGGCTGACGTGAAAGAGTCTGTCCTTTTTGTTGCTTACCATGCAGCAGGGAGTTTCGATGCTTCGTCCTTGTGACCGGTTTCTGGAGCTTGGGCGATGTGATACAATGTGATGCTAACAAGATGCTCGCAGACAAACAGATAGACAGACAGACTTAGACACCTCTTGAGCGAGAGCCGGATAGTCAGTAGCAAACTCCCTAGAATCTAACTACTCTTCTGATCATAGATAGCTATAGTCCTAAAGATAGATCAAAAGCCGGCTTCACCATCACCAGCTCCAAGCCTCAGATCAGATCCCATGACAAGCCAGCTCGGTATAACTCTCCCGAAGCCGTCCTCCAACCCCCATGCCTCTCCTCCACAAACACAACTCCTCTTCCCCAGAAAACCTGAATCAGAACAGCTGCCTAGACCCCCAAGATCCTTCCAATCCATTCCCAGCAATACATCCCAGCAAAAGCCTCCAAGCCCGTCAATGCCAGCTCCCCGTTCCGCCGATGGATGCGGGACCTGATAAGGTCCTCGCTCGAACGGATCAACTTGCCAACCCAGCTACTTCCCGGGAGGCTTTCCGGGCCACTATCCCCCTCTTGGTTGTTAGCTTTATTTCCATTGTGTACGGGGGTTTTTTTCGCTTTTATTCCCCCAGCTTTTTTTTTATCTCCCTCCCCTAGCAGAAATAATCCGGGGTGCATAGTGCAGGTTGGGGCGCAAGCCCGACGGATTATTGGACTACCCTGGACCTGTGCTTTATGCACTGGGGGGGAAAAGCGTCAAGGTTTTCGGCCATCAAGAGTCCGGCGCTGCGGAGGGCAGATTTGAGAAATGCGGGGGAGATTCGAGAGCTGGGCCTAGAAGCGGTGCCTTGTAAAGGAGCTTCATGCTTCAGCTGGCGGGATGTTGGGGGGGGCGTTGGGGATGAGATTATTGGTTCGTATCCATGTGCCGCTGGATGGACGGAGATGCTTTACGAGTACTTCGCCAGGCACCCAGCCAGTAGTAGCCAATAGTCGTCTCTACATGTAGTAGATCTACAAATCATCAATTTCCACTTCTCAGCAAGATTGATGAGAATTCCGATTCCGGGCTTACATGGAGTTGTCACAGGATATACTGCTCCTGCTCCTGCTTCTTCTCTTGTTCCCGTTCCTCTTCTTCTTCATATTCTTCTGCCATATGTGTATGCTCCTTGCGTCTGGGCCTTTCAACCGGATACATCTGCTCTCTTCGGTCAATATTCAGACCTGTTATCTAGCAAAAGCAAAGGCAGACACAAAGACAAGCAAACACAAGGACAAACATGCCACACAACGCACTTGCACATCACCGCAGCGAAGCACGCCTCTCTCTCTCAAAGCACACGAAAGCTGTCAAACTCCCAAAAAGGATCCGTTATTTCATTCGTTAATAAAAAGGAGACAAAGCGCTCAAATATTCGACGTATAGTAGCAGCGAAAACCCCCTCCCCCGCCTATCTCTCTCTCCTGTCTTTCTACCCCTCTGTCATATTCCAGGCTCTCTCTCCCTCTACGCGGTCGCCGGAATCTCAATAGACTTCTCGATACCGTCGGCCGTCGCCGAGTTGATCTTCTTGCCCGTCTTGGCAATCTTGCTCAGGACCGTCTCGTAGGGCAGCGCAGTAACGACCTTTGCGCTCTGGTTCTCGAGGGAAACCTCGTAGCTCTCGACACCTGCGGCGCGCATCCCCACGTCAGCCCAAGAAACAAAAAAAGAACAACAGAACAGATAAGAGCAAGAGGAGACAAAAGAAAGGGTGGTTACATACCCTCCAGCTTCTTGAGCACGCGGTCGATGGCGCCGGAGCAGCCGCCGCAGGTCATGGTGACGTTGAACTCGTAGGTGTGCGTGTCGGCCATTTTTGCTTTGTTTTATGACGAGAAATAGCGATTTGCAATGATTGCGAAAGACGAGAGAAAATAGCTTTTTTGGTTTGTTTGTTTGAATGATGCAGAGAGGAAAGAGGTGCGAAGAGAAAGAAACGGGCTTCTCTTTATGAAGGCTGACAGATGACACAAAAACCCTGATTAATAATTGCTCTTCTAAGATATAACAAAGAAGTATCGTCGGATAAAAAAAGGCTGCTGCTCATCACTGAAGCGGGAATTGCGCCACACCAAATAGAACGCTGTGTGCTGTAACTCAGTCTGTCCCAAGGGGGGAGGGGAAGGCCAGATTTCATGTACCAGATACTTGATATGCTAAGCTCTTGACGCCTTAGATGGGTGACGTGAGGGAGATTCGCGTAGTATAGGGTACCGTGTTGGAAACAAGCGCCCCCGCCGGAGGAGCAGTGGGGAGGGGCGTGATGTGAAACTTGCTCACTTGGTTTTTGATTGACGACCAGTTTCTGGTGAGAATAGGAGAAGACGGTGGAAGGGGGGCGCAGGTGAATTACGAAGGGCGTTGATTTGTTTGTGTGTTTGCCCCTTTATTTTGATTGTTGGAATGTGCTTCATTGTTCGTTTTGAGGCTGTTTTGCGGTATTGCGTCATTTGTGCCTGGTCCTCTCTGACGTAGCTAAGCTATCGTCAAGCTGTTTCAGCTCTTATACGGACACGCAACGAAAGATACGTGTGTTGGTCATCACCATCTCTACTGATTCAGGATATACCAATAAAGGATCAGAATCATTACCCATACCTAAGATAAGATGCTCGTCATACAAATCACACAGCATACAGTCACACATCTCCAAGCAAGAGAAAGACATCGATACTACCATCATCAAAGTCCACAACACCAAAAGACCTAGAATCGCGACTCAACCTTTTGCAGCGTATCCTGCAGCGCCCAATCACTCCTCGCCGCCTTGCTCATCACCGCCTCCGCCTGCTCCTTCGTAAACCCCCTCGCCTCCACCGCCGGATTGTATCCCAGCCCATTCGCCTCTCCCACAGCCGCCGAGTCCAGCGCCGGCGCAACGCCCCCGTCCGCGCGCCTGTACACCGTCACCACCACGGCGCCGCCCAGGCCCAGGTTGTGCTGCAGGCAGTGCCGCGTGTTGGCCACGGCGCGGTTGTTCGCCCAGCCGCGCAGGTGCCAGACCAGCTCGGCGCACTGCGCGATGCCCGTGGCGCCCAGCGGGTGGCCCTTTGAGATGAGCCCGCCCGACGGGTTGACGAGATACTTGCCGCCGTACGTGATGCCGCCGCTGCGCACCAGCTCGTGCGCCTTGCCCTTGTCGCTCAGCCCGAGGGCGTCAATGGCCACCATCTCGTTTGCGCTGAAGCAGTCGTGCAGCTCCACGACCTGCACATCCCGCGGCGTGATGCCCGCCTCACCCGTCGCCGTCTTGACCGCGTGCTGCGTCATCTCGTAGCCCATCAGGTCAATGGCGCTGCGCGAGAAGACGCTCGCGCCGTCCGTCGCCAGGCACTGCCCGGCAATCTCCACGGCCTGCGCCTTGAGGTGCGGCCGCTGGTCCAGGAACTCCTGCGACACCAAGATGGCCGCCGCGCCGCCGTCGGACGTCGGGCAGCACTGCAGCTTGGTCAGCGGGTCGTGGATCGTCGGCGACTTGAGCACCTCTTCCAGCGTGTACACCTGCTGGAACTGCGAGTACGGGTTGTTGGGCGAGTGGGCATGGTTGACGCGCGCAATCTCAGCAAAGTCCTCGGCCGTGGCGCCGTACTTCTCCATGTACTCTCGCCCGGCGTTGCCAAACATCTGCGCCGCCCCCGGAGCGTTTGTGACGCCCCTCGTCTCGGCCATCATCTTGACCGACGTGCCCGTCGGGTTCTCGCGGTCCTTCCAGAAGCTCTGCAGGCTGCCCGGGTTCATCTTCTCGAAGCCCACCACCATGACGCAGTCGGCGGCGCCGTTGGCGATGAGCGTGCGGCCCATGGCCAGGCCCGTCGAGCCCGTCGAGCAGTTGTTGTTGACGTTGTAGACGGGGATCTTGGTCAGGCCGAACTGGTAAAAGACACGCTGGCCGCAGGTGCTGTCGCCGTAGCAGTAGCACGCGATGCCCTGGTCGACGTCGTCGTAATTGATATGCGCGTCCAGCAGCGCCTTGACGCCGGCCTCGTAGCCCAGCTCGGTGTAGTCGACCTTGCCCCGGGGCTTGATGAACTTGGTCATGCCCACGCCCAGGACGTAGACGGGCGACTTTTGCTTGCGCGCCATGGTTTTGTTTGTAGTATTTGATCTGATTGTTGCTTTTCGTTTTCAACCCATCAGAGCCTCGTAGAACTACTACCAAGGCAGCATATACCGCCTTTTATACCGGCGTATATAGGGGGAGCAGCAGCAGCTTATATGCACGTGAATGTAAGCATCGTTGGCAGAATGCGGGGGACAGCGTTGATCGTGCCTTGGGATCCGGGGCTCGATACCGAGGTACGGCGGGCCGTCGAGCCCGTATTACCCGTTTCGAGTTGTTGGTGGAGCGATCAAACTGCCTGCTTTTTGTCCATGGGTACTTGTAGCTTCGGGGACCGCCACAATCTTAATCCGAGAGAAATCCCGTGGGCTACCTACGGTGCAGCAAAGGAAGAAGTTGTGACACCAAGATGCTGATTGATTTTTAATGAGCCTCGCTTTTTGTGCACGTGAGATGGAAGGATTTGGAGATTACAAATGGCTGAGAAGGAGAAGGGAACTCGGCCGATTAACTTGTCTGTGCTTTGGGTTGCGGCGCTGCAAAAGTGGACTAGAATTGCACCGCTGCGCCGGCCGAGTGTCACGGATCCGAATCACTTATATCGGCCGAGTGGACGGATTGATTCCAAGATGACCGAATGGCAGAAGCATGGAAACAAGTATTTAAAGGGCTTTTCCAGATCGTGTTGAATGTTTGTAGAATCTCACAACTACCGTGCTCCTTCGATTCAGACAGACAAAATCAAACTCGCTGTTTTGCTTGTGTTAAATACGGCCTTGAGTTCACTTACACGCGCTCTGCACGATACCGTCATCTCAACTACATACAGCTTACACCCTCCCACTCCAAATCAACAACCACCACCAATATTTTATACCTGCTATATTAATACACCATGCACATCTTCATTTCTGGAGCCACCGGTCGCAACGGCCGCCTCGCTCTCGACAACGCTCTCTCCCGCGGCCACACCATCACCGTCCTCACCCGCAACCCATCCTCCCTCCCCTCAAACCCAAACCTCACCGTCATCAAAGGTACGCACATAAGCCTCACCCTCCAGAATCTCAACAAACACAACTAACCAATTATCCCACCACAGGATCCCCCTCCTCCCCCCAAGACGTCCAAACCGCCCTCTCAACACCAACACCCCCCTCCGCCATCCTCCTAACCCTCAACCAACGCCGCACCTCCGAAAACCCCTTCTCCCCCCTCTCCCCAGACTCTCCCCCGGACCTCCTCGCCACCACAACCAGCGTCCTCCTCGCCGCAATTGCCGCAACGCCCTTCGCCCGCCCCCCCAAGATCATCGTAAACTCGCTCTTTGGCGCCCGCGACTCCTGGCAGAATCTCAGCTGGCCCTTTCGCGCCGTCATGAGCCACAGCACGATGAAGATTGCGGTCAAGGACCATAATAACATGGATACGTTGATCCGCGACAGTGGCGTGCCGTTTGTCTTTGCGAGGCCGGCGAGGCTGACTGAAGGGCCGGCTGCAGAGGTCAAGGTATGGCCTGATGATGGGCAAGGATGTGGCTGGAATGTGGTCATCAGCAGGGAGAGCTTGGCAGCGTGGATGGTCAGAGCAGCAGAGTCTGATGAGTGGGATGGCAAGTCGCCGGTGCTGACCAACTAACAGCCTGTATACATTACAAAAACAGTTTCACTTTTTTGGTTTTTAGATAATAGAAGAGCAATAGCAGTGTAATAGCAATATATTAATCATGGGCCCGTCGTCCACATTGCGGGTACGAGTTGCCGTGTTTTCTGCCCATTATTATCCACCCTCCCTTTATTGTACATATACAACTAAAAGAAGAAAAGGAAGGGGAAAAAAGACTGTTTACCATGCTCCAAACACTCACGCGCGCGTAGGGTATCTCCTTCTCTCTCTCTCTTTCCTATGAGAACCAACCAGAATGTGACCGACCATGTTACTCAGAGCCAATACTCGCCAACCAGTAGCCTCTATATGAGGAGGGACCCAGTGACCATAACGTTCGTCGCTCGTTCAAGCCGTAGAAGAAGACGAAATAATCATGATTATTAGAGCACAAATAAGGAAAAAAATAAAAATAGACAGACAGATAGGCCAGAAAGAAAACAAAACTAGTGACAACAATAGACAGACGCACAGAGCCACACAAGGACGGGCTGGAGAAGTTGGAATTAATCCCAGCCATCCCACATTATCCAGCCGCCCAGCTCTGTGGTGGAGTCCGAAAGGCCTCCCATGCTGTAGCCATGCTGTACGTACGGCATCCTCCCATGAGAATATGCGTCGTGCTGGAATTCACTGGCGCTACCAAGGGACAAACTGCGAAGCTTATCTACGGTCATGTTGGTTGCCCTCAAGCAAGCATCCAGCAGACCAAATAGATTATTGGTAATTTCTTCGCTTCGAACATCCGCCTTCCTTACACTCTCCAGCACAACGGCGATGCACAGAATGTCCTTGATATCGCTGCCGCGAACAAGCCCAACTAGGAGATCAATTGTCTTCTGCACGGTGGCAATTAACCGCGCTGGCGTCCACAGCATCAGATCATCCGGGATATACCCAGGGAAATCATCTGCAGGGGCCGGTGAAGACTGTATCCCATGCTGATCGAGCATCATGCTGTCAGCAGAAGGGCGAACGGCCGGCTTGATAAAGTAGCAGACGCTCAAAGACGCCTGGACAATGTCTCGCCGCAGCATCTGCACGTACATTTCGGCAACGTCCTGAAAGTGCGGCAGATTAGGATCAACCTCGTCTATGTATTTCAATATGACCATGCAAGACCGCAGGTACGCTCGTGAGATTTGCGTTGGGGCTTCAGGGGCTGCCATGGCAAAGGGCCGATACAAGGCCAGCAAAGGCCGCCGCACATGCATATCGAGAATGACGCGATTTCTCCAAAGCCTGCTCTTCTGCGCATCGCTGAGGGATGCATGCCGCGGGAATATGTAGTTGATGTCCTCGAGGAACCGATCCAGCTTTCCGCCCACATCTAGCACCTCTTGATAATCGCGGATGGTGTCGATGCGGTTAATCATGTGCGCCACCTTCATCCGCGTGGGGAGCGTCATGACTGTATATACCTGAATCTGACTGTCTGTTGCTTGGTCAAGTGGCAGAGACGGCGGCAGCTCAGTCATATCTGGGTAGAGGTCGGTGTCGTTGAGATTCCGCGGCGGCCGGCAGGAATAGTCGCCGTCCCGAGTGAGACAGGGCATGTTGGCAGCAATGGACATGTACAAGTCCATGTCCAGGACTGTGAACCACAGCCTTCTTCGAATCTCGCCTTGGAACACCGTCATCCGTGGCTCAAATTCAGAGGGGTCTCTATGGAGCCCCATGGACATTGCCATGCGTACGACGAAACCCAGATGGTTCCACGAGTCTTGAGCCCGTGGAATAATCATCCTCTGGGCCAGCAGCAACAGCACCTCGACTTGCAGCGTGGCAAGCTCTACGAGTTGCTTGCCCTTGAGGCTGTCCAGCCATATTCGAACCAGTGCGCACGCAGTCGGGATGTGCACGCCCTCTACGCGTTCTTGGTGGAGCAATCCCCTTGATTTGGTGTCGAACCGAGACGCTACCGCCAAGACTGCTAGCATCTGTGGAAGAAAATGCTCAGACTGCGGGTTGCCCTGCCAGTATTGATTATACTGCTCCACGAATGATGGTGTGTGAAGGATCCTGAACTGGGTCTCTGATGTCTCGAGATAGGCAGCCAGTAGGCGATCACAGACTGCCTTCTTGGGCAAGATGTCTGTCATTCTCTTGTGTATCGGCATCATGGAATCCACAAAGACGGTGATGGGCGTCAGCGACTTTGTCAATTCGCCTCGCAAATGCTTATGCAGGGCCTCAAAGCTGATAAAGGGCTCCCGCTGGAAGTTGTGGGCCACATAAGCCTTTGCATCGTCAAACTAGAAAAACGGGAAAGCGTTGAGAGTCAGCTTCTTGCTGGCCACACCAAGGGGAATCGAAAGCAAAACTTGCCCCTCCGACACTTGACTGATCCCAACTTACCAGATTCAACAGCACTCGGGGGTCATTCTGCCCGAAATACCGTGTTCGCAAGGCTCCGCGCTTCACTGTTAGTCCCCGTATCGTCTCTGGCGGTGCGGCGACGATTCTGCTGCCTCCGAGCTCGGCCCTGCTCGGACTTCGCACGAGTACCTGCTTCTCCAGGCGCTCCATTCGTATGGACAGCTCCTCGAGCAACGGCAGACTGGTAGAATCGCCCGATTTCGTCGGCCTGGCGGTGCCAACATCGCTGTACGTGCTGCCCAGCCCGGGTAGAGTGCTGTGCGAGTAGTTGCGCTTGGCTGGCCGGCCTGGCTCAGCTGCCTCTGCGTCTGAGCCCTCGGACAGATTGCTCGAGTCCTGATCGGGCGCGTACTTGCAGGGGCGGTTCGACTTCTGGCACTGCGAGCAAGGGCAGAGGCGATCGCATCGAAGCTTGCGTTTCCGACACTCGGTGCACGACTTGACTGGCCTTGGCCGCTTGACGCTGCGCTGTGGTTGCTGCGGCTGCTGGAACTGCTGCTGCAGCGACTGCGACTGCGACTGCAGCTGTGACTGTGACTGTGACGCGCCTAAGAGATGCTGGTGCGGCTGCTGTCGCGGCGAAGGCTGCTGAGACATTGAGGAAGTGTCGTAGGGACTCGCTCCGTCACTGGGGTTGGAGGCATCGACGCCCATGGCTGGTGACTGAGCCACTCCCGGCTCGGTGATGGAAGGATACGTATGCATTGAGGCCATCCGATGGGCAAGATGGGGCAGAGATGGATATGCGAGATGGCTGGGCGGCCGAGTGATTCGGCCGATCGGAGAAGGGGGAGAGGGTCAACTTTGAAATAGTATGTGCTTGTGATGTCAAGGAGACGGCAGGCATACAAGTCGCTTATCTAACGGCACCACGCCCACGCCAAGCATAGCGGACAGGAACGGCAACACAAGGAGCCAAGAGATGCAGAGGACGGCGGAGGAGTGGGAAAGGGAACAGAGGAAACGACCAGGAAGATGGAGAAGGGGGGTGCTTGTAGGAAGTGGCTTGAAGAGAGGGCTACTTTTGACGCTCTCGCCGCTTGCCAGTAGCTTTTTGTCTGCGACTTGTCTCTTTGAGGCTCTGTCTTGGTCGTCCTCTGCTGCGCTCATACGCCGCTTCTCTCTCATACACCAAGGAAAGCTCTCTGGCTCTCCCTATCTCTGCTCCTCGTCTCCCAAGCGTGATGCTGACCAGAGGCAAAAGGGACGGAAATCCAGCTCAAGCCATGCAGCGGAAAGCTCCGAGCTGCTGTGCGCCGTCAAAAGCTAGAATGGCCTCGCAAGTCTCGCTGACTACAGGACGGCGATGGGAAAGGTTGTGATCGGCGTTGCTTGGCCTGACGGGGCCCATGTCAAGACGCCGGAGTACTCCGTGGCCTGCTTAAATTTTGTTTTTAATTTTCCTCTGCTCTATTTTTTTTTTTTTCCTGGCCAGCACATGCCAGCAGCTGGAACTAGTTTGAAGCCTAGCTTGCGGAAGTGTGAATGGTCTTAGCGAGGCTTTTGGCTCGGCCGAACCATGACCCTGCAAGCTGTCGAGGTGGGGGCCCAGCCCGCGAAAAGGCAGAATAGTTTGACCGGGCACAAAGTTAAGGTGCAGTAAGGAGTCGGACGTGATCTGGCGTGGGAAAGACCCGATCATCAGCCTGAAGTGTGTGTGTATGTGTGTGTGCGTGTGAGTGTGTGAGTGGCCCAAGGATCAGGATCAGGATCCCCGGAGCTGGCCGCCACGTGACGGGCCACGGGCTGTAGTCCAACGACGTCGAAGCTGCAGACCGGACAATTCAGCTGGGCTCTGATAGAGACGGTATTTTACCATCAAGGAACAATTGCAGTTGCAAAAAGTCGTGTAGCTCGCCGTCTTGAAACATGCAATTCCATCAGGCCTCCGGCTCAGGCTCTGATCCAGGCTCCGTGCGGGCTAATGTCTGGTGAACTCCATCGCTGCTGTGGTGGTGCTTGCAAAAAAGCGGCAAGGTACATGCACATGCAGCTAAGCTAAAGACAGGCTCCAGGAAGACGGGACATTTCTGTGCTGCTCCCCCATCCCATCAAATCCATCACTGCTAGTGCATCACCCGCTAGCATCAAAGCGGTAGCAACAAGCTGAAACTCTAGATGTACCTATAATTATCCATTACCAGTCCATCCTCCCGTCAGCAGCGCTTCTACTGGCCAAGAGCATCATAGGTGATAATGTCCAGATCAAGTCAATGCCGTCAACTCCAGCACTAGCGCTCCGGCAATCCCTGACGTCTTCGAGTGCGTGTGCATGTGCGTGTGCGTGTGCGTTTACTCGTACATGCACAAGTCCATACACCACATCCACAGGTGACATCGTCGGCGATGCGGCCGTGGAGTGTCGAATTGGCAACGCGCGCCGTGCCCGCACCCTGCAGACGGAGCATTGCGCCAGACTGGGCATGATGGAAGAAGGAAAAAAGAACGAAAAGAAAAAAAAAAAGACTCGACGGCCCCATGCTCGTACTCTTGCTTCTCCACAGCGTCAAAACCGCTCCAAGGGCCCTTAGCACGGTGCTACGTCGACGATACTCGGCCGTACACACGGGCCAAAGCTCCGGTTCTGGCACCAATAGACGTCTCCCCCTGCGTCGCTGCGACCCTTAGCCCGCAAGCAGCAGCCTTTCCTGCTCTAAAACGTTCCCATTATTATTTTAACCCTTTCTCCATCGCCCTTAGTGCTGCCTTTAGCTGCCATTAGCCCATCCTCAGCAGTAGTTCGCTCCTCCCGGCCGAGAGCTGCAACTCCGGGGCCGGAGAAATCGCATCTCCTATTGCCGCTATTGGCCGCTCCGTAAATGTATGCAAGGCCCTGCACAGTAGCCTTGGGATCGTCGATGCCACTAAAATCCAGTAACCTGCACAGTGCATGCCCGACGACAGCCCGCACTGTGCTCTGGATGCCATTCATGACCCTTTGATACTGGTACGCGTATTTGCCCGTGCTGCTAGCAACCGGAGCCCATAACGCAGCCACGGAATTATCTCTGCTTTCACTCAAATCTCCCTCTCTATCTCTCTCTATCTCTCTCTCTCCATCTCGGTCTTCGCCCTCGCCATTTCTCTCTAATAGCGAGTCAAGAACCCGTCTGCCAACACCAAAAGTCCCGTCCCCCTCCTTCTTTGCCGTAGCAACGGTTCCCCCCTTTGGTTTGGCCTTGTTCACACACACCCACCCCCCTTCAATTTTGTCCTTTTCCCGCCCGCCTTGGCCTTGAGCCCTCAAGATGGCGGTTTAGCCGTGCGACCTCCCGCCATGGCCCGTTGACGGCTGAGCGAGGACGCGGCACGTTTCAAGCCAGGGGGGGATAGGGATGCATCATTTTATTGTGTTTTGGCTTGCTGCTAGACCGGCGTGCTTTGTGCTCCGGTGCGGTTAGTCTTCTTTTTTTAATCTGTCCTGTCCCCTGTCCGCCTGAATGGCATGCCGCACGGGATGAATTCCCATTGCCGACTTTTCGGAGCTGCATGCATCTGATTGACAAGAAAAGTGAGAAAACAGGGCAATTGCCCGAGACTTGCCAAGCCTGTTAAGCACAAGTCTGTTTTGTTCTTTTCTTCTCTCTCTCCCCTTCTAGACTCAACCCTCCTTACCTAGTGTTGTTGTTGCATGTATGTGGCCAACCATTCCCCATTCCTCCCATCAGCCCTCATCTTCAAGTTTCGAAGCAACAGCACGGCTACAGCCAATTCTCTCGCTCTCTCTCCTGCTCTCTCTCCCCGGAGCTAGCACTTCCTTTTTCGGCCGGAATGTATAAATAGATTCCGGATTCAAAGTGATGACGGTGGATCCCCCTCCCGAGCCACTCAGCCCAAGGGCTTTGTTTGCGCCGCCGCGTTGGAAACAACTCGCCCTATGGCAAGGCCAGCCACAGCCAACACACGAAAATATCGCAGCCATCATCCTTCATGCCGTGCTTACTGTCATCGCTGCCCTTGATTGGACTGACCCGCGGAACCCAATTCCGTCCTCTATTTTATTTTTCCGAGTTCCGCATGGCTTCCGGCAAACGACTCAAGACTCTAATCCCTATCTCTTGAGGCCAGCCACCCCTTGTCAACCAACATGGCACTTCAGCGCAGTCTAAATTAGCCCAGGTGCCAGTACACTACAAGTACACACACATGCACACCAAATCTTGTGGCATATATCTACTCCGTACCCTGTAGCGATATACCGTACTGTTCAAGTGCTTCATACCCAAGCCATTCATGATGAGGAATCTCCCCGATGAAATGTTTAGTAGTTGCCTAAAACCTGCGCTTTGTAATTCTTTTGTCACACACCGAGACCAATTCGTCCACACCGCATGACAGGCCCTTGGACGAGTTACAGTTGCAGGTGCTTACAAGCCCACCGTCTGCCCCCCTGGCCACGTTCCGCCTTCTTCGCATTTAGTAGCCAGACGTGCCAGAGACGGCTTACATACATACATAGACCTGCATTAACTTGATAGCGGCAGTTCTATAATTACTCCTCCGCACGGCGACCACCACTGCTAGTGCATGCCCGGTTTCTGCAGTGACATTCTAGACACGTGTATGGTATGACTTGCGTGAGGCTGAGAGCAGCCCTGGCAAAAGGAGGCGGACACGGACACGGACACGCACAAGACATCACCGAATTCCTTTCGGCAGTTATCCAACATGCCATTTACCCCCTGCCAATCTAGCTTATTCTTACATACAAAAGTGATAGAGGCAGTAATCGCGAGCCTCACTGCAATATGTAGATAACAACCCAATGTTCCTTCAAGGTTCTCATGGCCCCCTCCATTATTCTCGCCGACCTTCTTCGGCAGGCCAGGCCCCCGGGAGGTCCGCAGTCCCCGAGCCATCGTCTTCCTCGGAGTGCACGTCGGCGTCTTGTCTAGGTGCCTCGCTTTCCCTCGTCTCTGCACCAGCCTCCCTGGCGCCTCCGAAGCCCAGCATCTGGATGAGGGCCGCGACCATTCCTCGATCTTCGTTGCTCACCGGCACTTCATCCACGTCATCGTCGCCTCCAGCCTCGCGGTTAGCACCGAAAAACGCTCCATCACGAATCTGCTCCATGATATCATCCTCGTCTTCCTGAGGTGGAGGGGCCCGGCGCGCAAGAAGCTCTTCCATCTGGGCAATGATGTTGCCGAGGCGCGCCGGGGTCTGCCGCTGCTCACGCCAAGGGAGCCTGCATCCTTCTCCCGTGAAGATATTATCTTTCTCTGCCGGCGGCAGGGGATCGAATTCGTAGTTGGGTTGTTGTTCCAGCATGCTCCGCGGTACCAGTGAGAGGAGAGACGTCTGCCCGTCAATGTAGGCCATTCGGGCCACGTCCAAATCAATCGGATGCTCGTCTTTTGGTAGTGACTTCGCGTCTACCCGGTCAATACTCTTGGCCACATCCAGTAAAAGCTGTGTTGCCTGTGGATTGTTCCACAAGTCCTTAGACTGATATAGGTACAACTTCACCCAGAACTCAGTCGTCTCCGTCTCGTAATGGATGCCCCAGACAGACGGTGGGGTATCGACATTCAGGCTTTGGAATAGTGCACAGTATAGCCAGGGCACTCGCTGCATGCCCTCGATGAGATACTGCCTTGCCTGCTGGTGGTCGCCCATCTGCAGCATCGCCAATACTCGGCTCTGCAGGATATATACCGTGTCGTCCCGGCCGCCCTCTGTCTCTAGATGGTGTAAGAAATCGAGAAGCCACTTCGATTCATGCGCCCTGATGGCTAAGAAGTGAATCAAGTGCCTCATCGCATAAGGATCGCTACGGTCTAGAGAGTAGAAAAGCTTGGCCCACTCCAGTGCCGTCCTATAAGTGCCTTTTCTTATGAGGCTCCTGATGTAGTGGTACCCTGCCAGCCAAAACTGACGGTTCTCTGGTCTCCTAAAGTCCATCCGAGCCATTCCTTGTTCGAGACTCTGTTTGAAGGACGAGGGGGCTACTCGTCCGAAGCTGAACAAGGCGCGCTCACACAGCTCTGCAGCGAGTGCCATGTTCTGATCTTGCTTTGCTACACTGCTTACTTGCAGTAATGTTGAGACGTGGTATGCTATCCGCATATGTGAGCATGGTTTTCAAACAACAAATAGGGCTCATTCTGATTCTTACGAAATTGGCTGAGAAGATGCACCATTCTCATAGGATCTCCCATTTGCACTTGTGCAAAAAACAAGGCCTGGATTTCATCATATTCCGCGGCATGCGCATAGGTATACTCGATTCCATCAGCAGTCTTGCCGAGTTCTTTCAAGGACAAACCCCCAGTGGTGCTCATTGGCCAATGCTCCCTTCCTTGGATAAAGATGTTACGTCTTCGAGACACTTCAGGGAGCTTGCGGGCGTTTGGTGGTCCTCTCAGAAAGGTCTCCAAGTCCACCTGTTGCGGCATGATTCCCTGGCGTGCCCCACGGCGCTGCTCCTCTTCTTCTGCGTTTGCCGATTCAATCGTATCTCTGCCGAACAGGTTCCGCATCTCATTTATGGCCTTGAGATTATAAAGATTAATCTTGAAGAGACCTTGGGATGTAGGAGCATTGCTGGTGACAGATCCTGCTTGGGGCCGCTGCTCAATCTTCAGTTCCTTGAGGGCTCTGTCGATCTCATCGTCCTCGCTCTGTTCGACATCCTGGGCCGGAGCAGCCGTCTTCTTCTTGCTCTTCTTCTTCTTCTTTTTATTTTTCCGGCTAGAAGCTACAGCAACAGGCTCTTCCACAGGAGCATCTGGTGCTGATGCTTGCTCAGGGTTCTCCTCGACATCGTCGCCGCCTTCATCCTCATCCTCATCCTCACCCCCCAGCGCAGCAAACAAATTCGCCCGAGGTTTTGCCACTACAGGAGCGATATCGTCATCCTCTGCATCGCCATCACTGCCTTCGGATTCATGGAGAGTCTTTGCTTCCAATTCCCTCTGCTTCTGTAGCTTCCTAAGCTGTCTTGTCGACATCTCTGAATTTGTGCCCCAGGGAGAACAGAGAGATGGGGTATATCTGAAGGAAAGAGAGTAGGGAGATGGGGATATCAAAATATAAAGGGGAAAAAAAAAAAGGAGGGTTGTATAATACAAAAATCAGCAAAGACTCCAGCAATTTTATACTTTTCCAAATGCTGCAATGGCTTCCGTATCACTCGACAAAAGGCCAAAGGAGAGGTGTTGAAATGGTTCAGGTTAGTTGCGCAGGCACCTGGCCGTAGGGTTCGCCTTGATATGCGTCACGCCGCCTTGAACCTAGCGGGGCTGAGCGGCAGAACCCACCTGCTCCGTTTGGCCAGCTGTTTTGCGCCTTTCACAAACTCCAATTTTCGGTCTGACAAGTTGCGCCCATCATTGCCACAATTTCCAGCTTGTTGGAGTTGGAGCCTTGTTGATTAAAATGGATCGTAGCAGGCTTTAGAAAAAAAAGTATCTTGAGTCATTGGTACCTTAATTCTCATCCCCACACGGATGGCTCTGAATGGCTGAAGTGGGTTGGAAGTAAACTCGAATACACTTTATTGCACTCTCATAGGTACCAACCTCTCTGCATCACTGGATCTACTGAATACTTCTCATTTTGGCACTTGAACATGGGGAATCAATCCTCTTTCTTTTCTAGATAGCAAGCCGCAAAGCTGCCCACCCACTACGAGGTACCAACTCATTAAACTTCATTTGTCTGGTTGTTCCTAACCAGCCCCTGGTGCTTCATGTAGAAGGTACAGGTTCATTATATATTCGCATGCTTGTCCCCAGCTTCATTGTTCAGTGAAAGAATCCAGCTTATTCCTAAGCGCCCCCCTACTCCTAGCGGAAAAGATTTTTTTTTCATTCATCATGTCTCCTCATGATTCATGGAATGCAGTGCCTGTGCCCCCCCTGAAACGCAAACCGAACTCCGGCATCGTCGTCGAGTTCCGTGACCAGTGAAAACCATAGCTCCTATCCTGAGCTGAAAGCAAATCAAACATGAATAATATAAGTCTTCGTAGCTGCTCTTGAGTAGCTTAGAAGAGGCAAACATTGAAGGATTTTGGTACATTGGTGGAAGTAAATTAAGAGGAATATTGATGGAACACGAGCTCGTAGTCGCGCTACGAGCTCGCAAAGGTGGTTGTTGTCGTTATATCAGTCTCATTTCAGAGACTTGCATGGGGAATTGTTCTTGAGATTGCAGCCCGTAATCCATTCGAAATGACAGTTATCATACCAGATGTATCTTACTGACCAGCAGCTGTTGGCTGATACTGCGGACGAGGACCTCCTCGTCCACCACGGCTATAGCCGCGACCGCCTCCTCGGGTTCCGCGTCCGCGACCACGTCCACGGTAGTTTCGATATCCACCATCGACGCTTCCTTGGCCAAACGTCTCAATGTTTCTGCGCTGCTCCTCGCCGCGCCACTCGCGTCCGCCAGGTTTTTGGCCATTGTTTTCGGCTCTCTCCTTTGCTTCACTGGAAATGTTGTCGAAAAACGACCTTGACTTGTTGTATGCCACGGGAGTGGTGCCATCCTGGGGCTCTGAGCCTTCGGTGACAGGTACGGCAGGAGCCTCGGCCGACGGTGAACCAGCAATAGCTTCCTTAACAACGTCTTCCTTGTTGAACTTTGCGTTTGACTGGGCAAAATCAAAGTCCGCATCGGGAACCTCAACCTTAGTTGGGCGGCCACCGCGTCCACGGCCACGGTTTACGTTGCCACCTCTGCTAGCATTGACGCGCATCTCTTGGACCTTGTTAGTCAGATTGTCCATAGCATTCCCGCCAGTGTTGCTCAATTGTGCCATCGCCAGCGCCACAGCTGCCCTGGCTGCACTAGTAGCATCCTGTACACTGCTTGGTCCGGCAGCTGCAGACTGAGGAACGGATTGGGATGCTTTCTCCGCCGCAAAGGGAGGCTGGAAAGGCTTAGATGCAGGTCCGGTGAGGGGTAAAACTGGCTGGACACGGTTGGCTTTGGGACCAGTAGGGATAGCCTTGGGCGCATCGTTTGCCTTTGCGGCTCCATTCGACGCCAACGTTGTAGCAACTGCCTTAACTTCTTCCGCGGACGGCTTGGACTCGACTGGAGGAGCTGGCGCGTTGGAGGGCTGTCTCGCTGCTTGAGCATGGGCTTTGGGCTCTGTTGGGGGAGCTCCCTTGGGCTTGTCTGCACCAGGTCCAATAGGAGGAACCTTTGACTCTTGGGTCGAGGGGAGCTCAGGTGCACGCTGGCCTTGGGGAACTTCGGAGCCCGGGGGACCACCGGGTCCCGGAGGAAATGGTGCGTTGCCCCATGGACCTGGGCCACCAGGTCCAGGTGGGAAGCCTTGGCCTGGAGGAGGGTACCAGCCTGGGGGTGGAGGTCCCGGAGGAAATGGCGCATTGCCAAAACCTGGTCCAGCCATAGGGCCGGGTCCACCTCGTCCCCAAGAGCCTGGAGGCGGAGGGCCACCATAGAACTGGTTGGGAGGATATTGGTGTTGTGGGAAGCCTGGGGCTCCGGGGGGAGCTCCAGCAGGAGCGTTCTGGTTTGGTCCTTGTGCTCCAGGACGAGCTCGGGCCTTTGCATCGTTTTGTTAGAACAATGGTCTCAAAATACAATTCTCAAGAAAATAGTGAATATGGTCCTTTGCAATCAGAAGGAAGGCAACGGAAATCTCGACATGGTTTTGCGCTTTCCGACGTGACAAAAAGTTTACATCCGCAATATTTCATCATGAAAGGGTATAAAGATCTTGGCGGTAAAGAAAATGGATAGCACTTACGCCGACAATGGCAGGGTCGTCAGGCATGGCAGGAGGCTTATTCTCCTTGATAGCGGGGTGCTCTTCAATCCGCAAATCCTTGACATCGCTTCCGCGGAAAACGATGTATTCGTAGACTTGGTCTGATGGCGCTATCTCCTCTTCAGGCCTGCCCCTGCGACCCTCTGTGCCGAATGAGCGGACATTCTCCAGAGACACTGTCGACTCGTCCGAATTGATCTCGTGCAGAGTCCCCACGTAGCTCCACTAGAGGTCAGTGACCGTCTTGGTGAACGAGGAGCATAGATTCTCACCGAATATCGCTCTTGGAGATGAGGGAAATACGGGATCTAGAGTCTCGCTTGTCAGTCCGAGTGAAACAGAGCGTGAGTTGAGGCCATTCGCGCATACCCAAGGAATTCAGACATGGTGGGCCGTGAGGCCACGTCGACCACGTAGCGAGCTGTAACGAGAGGGTTTCGAAGTAGGGAGGGTAAGTGCGTCTACGCACTAGAAATAGAGAAGAGAAAAATTAAGAATAGAAGAAGAAAGGGAAGAGAGTGTTGGGGGATGGAGAGGGTGGAGGATGCGGAGAGTTGATGTGGTTTGTGCGAGGAAGAAAGTTTTGTGAGGCTAATAAAAACGGTTGGACAAAGTCTGAGCTCTCGTGAGGAACCCTCGCGTAAGCGCAAGCGTCAACTTCGGGTTTATATCGGAATAAACTCGGCTATCGAGCTTGACACTAAATTACCCCACACGCAGTTGCCCAACCACCCATCAATTTGTACCTACTGGGTACCTATGGATTAATGTCACTTCATTCCCGAGGCTTCTATTTGGTACTACTGGCTTTCTTTGTCTTGGCTGTTGAATACATCTCTATGTTGCTTGTCTGAGATAAAGAAAAGGTAAAAGGCAAACACAATAGCGATAAACAATGCACTCTAGCAGTGCATGCTTTCAAAAGGGCCTTCAACACTGTTGCCTTCTCTAATCGAGTTGCTGCTATTATCGCCCTGCTGTCCGTACCAAGGTTGATTTATATGTGCGAGTCTGTATGTTGCGAGAGAAAGAAGAAGAAAAGAAGCACGCAATAAGTCCAGTTGAATTAACTCCGAATCGCCGATATAACTCCAAACAAGGCCCCTGCTTTCATCGAAACTTGCTGAAAATCACAGCAATGATCAAAAGCACCAGGATAGTGATGATGGAAATTGTAATCACTCGGTTCGTAGCCATGCTGTTCACCATCAATATTCTGTGCTTTGACACTGCCGGCGTTGGATTACATTACCTCCGAGCCATCCCCCTCAAGGTCTTGACACTGCGATCGACATAACCTTCGCTGTCCAAAAGAGTGTCGTGCGTGTGGCGAATAACCTCGCCCTGCCTATGCAAATCGGCCAACGTTTCAGCTCCGATAGCCTCTGTCTCGTTGGCAAGCCGCTGGCTGTTGAGAAGTCGTTGTGTGCTTCGGTCGAGTCTCTCCGTTCCTGACAGCAACTGTTGTCGCTGTTCCAAGTTGATATCCGTTGATCCGGATGGTTCGTCAGTGTAGCGTGAGCCGAACAGGGCAGCACGGTTAGAGGAGAGGCTCGTTAGCTTTCGGCGGTTTGTATCGATGTCGGCTTCGTAGTTGCGGAAGCGCTGGTTGACTTTGGCTCGTGCAGATGTCGGGATGTTTTGCTTTTCAAGGCGCATTTGGCCAAGCTATGAGTACGATTCAATGTTAGACTTGTCTCCATGTGTATGCAACGGTGACAGTACCAGTTCATCTGCCTCTTCCAAGGCGCGCTCAGCCTGACTGACGGCAGCCTTGCGCGGTTCGCCAGTCAGTTCGGGAATCTGGTCCAGCTTTTGCGCCAGATCGGCCTGTACGAGCTTGAGCTCCGCTTCATACGAGCTGAAAAGTTCGGAGCCAGCATCCGTATCGAGAGGGTTCGCCATCTTGCTTGTTGGGTTCAGGAGAAAGCGGAGAAAAAAAGGTATACGATGCAATAAGCTGTTGTGAAGAAATCAACTCGCTGTAGGTGTCCAGAAAAGGGAGCCTGATGAAGGTCTCTAGGCTTGCGATGCGCGCTCAACTTGTGTTTCTCTGGTGATGTTGAAAATGGCCGCCTGAGAATTGAAGCGCCGTCATCGTACGTACGCATCCAAGGCTAAGACAGGCTGCCAGGCTGGTTGGGCAATGCGAGGGGGTACTGTTTTGCTGCGGGCAGCTATGTACTTCACCTGCATAATGGGTACGACATGGTACCTTGTCTCAGCCTGTTGGCAAGTACTACCTGCATTTTCTGCAGCCCAGGGCAGCACAACACGTGCAGCGTGAGGCCACGGCTAAAATATGGCAAGTGACTAAGCTGTTAGTGGTCCGTGCGTTTTGGTCAATATTATCTCTCAACAGCGTGCAGAATTTGAATTTTTTTCTCTTTTCTCAATAAGTTGATTCACCCCGGCTACGAAGAATATAAAGGCTAAGCGTCTAGACTTGTCGATGGCGCACAGTTGAGATGCCGGGTAGATTGATGAAGGTTTTCCTACACGGCGCTTTCAAGAATTGGAGACTCGTTTCCCACGTTTCCCGATCCCGTTGAGTGCTCGACATGCCACCTGATGGCCCAGCCCTGGGTCTCCGTCTCTAGCACGAGGTGCGAAGTACTGCTACCAGGCATTACTCGTACCAACTGCTCGAAAAAAAACTCGGCCAGCAAGGCGGTGAGGGATCAATGACGATGACACGACTGGCATTAGTCTGATGATTTGCACCGGCTGCAAAGCATGTGATAATGGAGGCGAGATGGAAAAAAAATTCATGCTCCACTGGGATATCTCCACGTCGAGGCATGAATTGCATCAGGCCATGCAGTCCTAGGCCGAGTTTGGTGCTGGGCGGCTGCGTTATCGCCTCAAATCCTGGCCAGCGCAGCGGTACTCCGTACAGAGTACCTTTTCGTAGCATTGCCTCGCTGTGTTGTTAACCGCCAACCATGCTAAGACAACTCCGTAAAGCCCAGTAGCTTATTTTCAGCTGCCGTCTTTCTGCCGTTTTTCTACCAGCCACGTCTTTATTTCCCTTGGCAGGATATGATATGCCGAATCCGTTGGCTTACGTCGCTCGATGCAGGAACTAATGCATCAATTACCAATGTACAGGTACGGAGTGCTCCGTGCAGAACGCGGCATTTCGTGGAATGAAGCGAGGCCTTTTGTAGCAACGCAATGCTCGATGAAAGCAAATCGACGTTGATTGAAACCGTCAACCCGTCACAGCCACCTGTGGCGCTAGCTCAGCCGCTTTCATCGGGCCTTGAAATACACCTACCCAAGCAAGCCCAAGGTAGCCAGGTACTCATACAAGACCCTGGCAGCAATTAGGAGTACATAAACCAAAGGCCCTCTCCTGCTAAATCCCCGAGCTGTTCCTGTGGTGATCCGATCCCTTGCTTCTGCTTTCCGCACATCAGCACAGACGCAACAGACGTACATATACATAAGGCGCAGGTACCTGCTAGAGATCGCTGCATGTACAAGTGACTATGCCCCTGCGAGCAGAACCGCATGTGTGAGTTGTTTGATTCTCCTGCATGTTATCTCTTGCCTGTCATCGAATCAGGGCCGCGACACTTATGCAGAGTTCCATGGGTGGCGCCGGCATCTTTGCCCCCCTTGTCCCGGCCGCTGCTTGATGGCGAGCCTCTGACATGTGCAAGTCGTCTCCCGTGTATTTTTTGGGCAGCTGAAGCCGTTCCCAACTCCCAAGTCCCTTCTCATGCCCTTCACCATCCGTCGCCCCCAAGCAAGATACCGTCGCGCCTATGAACCACTCTGTTGACAGGTTTGCCAGGAAGAAAGTGGCCATTGTCGGCAGTGGCTGCTCGGGCATTGCTGCGCTTTGGGCTCTGAATAGAACCTATCACGATGTCTATCTTTACGAGGCCGCAGACCGCTTGGGCGGCCACACCAACACTGTGCAATGGAAGGCCGGCAAGTACACAACGGCCGTTGACGCCGGATTCATTGTCATGAATACAGCGACATACCGTGAGTCGACCTGGGACCCTTGATCGTCGTCTACCGAGTACTGATCCCATGGCTAGCGAATTTCTTGAATTTCCTCAGCAGAATCGGAGTCCCGACTGAGCCCACTGAGATGACGTTGAGCGTGTCGCGAGACCAGGGTCTGTTCGAATGGGCGAGCACAAACTTGAGCACGATATTCTGCCAAAAGAGAAACGTCTTCTCTCCGAGGATGTGGAGGACGCTTTTTGACATTATTCGCTTCAGTCAGTTCGCTCTGGACCTGCTTATAGATGATGAGGAGTATGAGCCTCGCTATGGAGGAGAGCACATGATGAACCACGTTCACAGGACTCTGACCATTGGAGAGTACCTGCAGCGCGAAGGGTACTCGGATGGCTTCCGGGACGATTATTTGATTCCTCTGGCGGCTGCTATCTGGAGCACAAGCCCTGATAAATGCGCGCTAGAGTTTCCTGCCACAATGCTCGTCCGCTTCCTGTAAGTCGAGAATGCTGCCACATCTCCTCAACCCTTATGCTGACAATCGAATTAGATGGAATCATCACCTGCTATCGACCCTCGCCTTACGCCCACAGTGGTTGACGCTAAAGAATGGTGCTCGCTCATATATCGATACTGTCATGAAGGGCTTCCCCCCCAATCACTTGTTCCTCAACACTCCTGTTAGAAACGTCTCCAACGACCATAATGGCCGGGTTTTGCTACATCTTGAAAATGGCAAGACGGAGGCGTACGACCATGTTATCCTTGCAACTCATGGCGATCAGGCGCTATCCATCCTAGGATCATCCGCCACAGAACAGGAGCGTTCGATATTGTCCTGCTTTCAGACGTCCCAGAACGAAGCAGTTTTGCATTCAGACCTGTCATTGATGCCGCGGAATAAACGGGCATGGTCAAGCTGGAACTTCCTCACGCTGTCTTCTCCTTCAACGAAAAAAGCCAATATGGACAAAGTCAGCATAACTTACAACATGAACATCATGCAAGGCATTCCAAGAAATCCATTTGGCGATGTTTTGGTCACTCTGAATCCAATCCATCGCCCCAGCCCATCCAAGATCCAGGGGAAGTATTACTACACTCATCCTCTACATACTCCCTCATCTGTGCGTGCTCAAAGGATGCTGCGTTATATACAGAACAGGAGAGGAATCAGCTATATTGGGGCATGGACCGGATATGGATTCCACGAAGACGGCTTCACCAGTGGATTGCAAGTGGCTCAGGACCACCTAGGCGCTAAGCTCCCCTTTGAGTTCCGAGACTCCACCTATAGCAGAGGAAGAGTTCCAAGGCTGGGTCTGTTGGATCACCTATTCCGGCTTATCATTCTGGCAATTCAGGTGTTTATCATCCAGGTCCTGGAGAGATTGGCGCAGTCTGGAAGGCAGCGGGTGGTGAAGCCGCTTCTCAATGGCTTCCAGAAGAAGCAACCTCGCAAAAAATTGGCATAAGGATTCTCAGGAGTTATTCGAAATGCTTTTGTTTTATTCTTTTTTATTCTTTTATTATTGTTATGGGAGTATTACCACAGCGTATGGAGCAACTTGAGTATGCATGACGACATGATTTGGAGGATGCTGCAATACAAGACTGACAATTAGAGTACAAGTACCAAGGCCACGGCCAGTACAGGGCAGAGATATTAAATATTATTCTTATGAGCTTAATTCGCGGCGACTATGATTTCTTCTTTGAATGACTGAGAATCTATCAGGACGTATTTACCACACCTAGTAGATATTTCGCCTTGTGTAAATTGTCATAAATACCTACTAGGTAGAGGCAGTGGGGTACATAGTACCTCTTGAATTGACACGGGCAGCCAAAGTCAATTCGCCCCGAACCGCTGCCCCACCAATTCGAGATGTCATGCCACTGAGCATTGGATTACAGATGCTGGCGCTAGGTCCAAATCGAAGCTTGCTTCCTTCAGCCTTCCGCAGAGCAAATATCGCGACAGCAGCAAAGATGAACAACGCACTGCGCCTGGCGCGCAACGGCCCTTCACGGCCGGCAAGTTCTTCCTCGCAATGGGCTTGTTTCTTCTGCCAGCATGCACGGCCGCAGAGTGGCCGTCCTAACTTTGCAGACTTCCGGCGCAAATTCTCAAACTCACGGCCTCGACGAGAGCAGCAGACACAACACCAGCCGCGGCTGAATGCAACCTATGCGCCGTCTATGGAAAAGGTGCGGGAGCAGTATAGCCAGAGGAACAAGACGATAGCGTATGGAGACGACTTCTAGGCAGCAATTCGTGGAACACTGGGCTCATGTCTTTCTGCAGCTTCTATACCCTCAGCGTGATCATGGGCACGCTTGCTCTGGCATACGGCTCAGTGCCTTTCTACAAGATGGTTCGCAACACTCTCCATGGAGGCACTGATCAATGGACTAAACAGGCTACAGATTTGCCAAACTACTGGTTGGGGTGGCCAGCCTGTCCGAGCCCACGGCGCATCCGGTGAAGAGAACCAAGACCTCTCCAGTCGCCTCGTCCCCGTCACCTCTGCGAACCGAATTAAAGTCACGTTTAATGCGGCCGTGTCTGACATCCTCCCTTGGAAGTTTGTCCCCCAGCAGCGAGAGGTCCGAGTGCTCCCCGGAGAGACCGCTCTGGCATTCTACAAGGCGACGAATCTGGGCGACCAGGACATTATCGGCGTGGCGACGTATAGCGTGACGCCTGCTCAGTGCGCGCCATACTTTAGCAAAATCCAGTGCTTCTGTTTTGAGGAGCAGAGGTTAAACGCTGGCGAGACGGTGGACATGCCTGTGTTCTTTTACTTGGACCCTGATCTGTTGAACGATTTCAACATGAAGGGTGTTGAGACCGTAACGCTCAATTATACATTCTTCAGTAAGATTATAACCATTGACGACGGCTTGACGTCTATTTCCCTGATCAATTACTGACTGAAAGTAGAAGCGAGATACGATAACAATGGCAGATTTATGCCTCCTGCTTCAAAATAATCGGCATTGAAGATTTAAGCAGCCTATATACTGCTCCTAAAAATGGTGCTGCAATCTCTGTACGATATATGATAGATAGACGACCATGAGTTCTTGGATGGCCTCTGTACATTACGACCAATGGAGCTCTTTCGTCCTGTGGAAGGGAGATTTGTATAAATAGTTTGAACACTATAAAAGACGCATTCCGCTCACAAAAGCTGATATTGGAGTGCAAAATAAGAATTCAGCTCTTCAACATATTTGTCTAATTTCCCCACCTTCCTTGATATCTCTCAGTCGTCTTTAACTTACTCCTCGGTGATGATCATGAAAAAGCACTGCTTACCTAATCATAAAGCAGACGCTGGAATGACTAATCAATTAAGCTCGCAGCCCTCTTTCCAGAAACGGAAGCAAAGAGTAGGGCAGCAAAGTCACGTGGTAACCCACCGCTCGCCAAAATTTCGCCCACAGCGCAGTCGACGACAATTTTCTCGTGCTGAAAGCTGGTCTACTTTTTTTTTCCCTCTCCTTTCTCTCCTCATCACCCTCAACGCCCAACAGACAACAGGATTTCCTCGTCGCCCATATCTCAACCGTCAAGATGGTCAAGGTTAACAAGAGTGAGTTTTTTCTCAAACGGTTTTAATACCCCCCAATTGAGCACGTTTGTGTTAACATGTTGGAATAGATGTTTCCTCCTCCCGCAGCAAGAGCCGTGCCGCTCACTTCAAGGCCGGCTCTGGCCAGCGCCGTGTCATCATGAGCGCCCCCCTTAGCAAGGAGCTGCGCGAGAAGTACAACGTTCGTAATCCCTTCAAACAGTCTCTTCACTTGCTTTTTCATCATGAAAATACTAACATTTTCTGCGCAAATAGGTCCGCAGCATCCCCATCCGCAAGGACGACGAGGTCACCATTGTCCGTGGCTCCAACAAGGGCCGTGAGGGCAAGGTCACCTCCGTCTACCGTCTCAAGTACGTGATCCACGTCGAGCGTGTCACCCGCGACAAGGCCAGCGGCCAGAGCGTCCCTCTGGGCATCCACCCCTCCAACGTCGTCATTACCAAGCTCAAGCTTGACAAGGACCGTGAGAGCATCCTGGCCCGCTCCAAGGTTGGCCGTGAGCTCCGTGTCCCCAACAAGGTCTCTGCTTAATCTCAAAGCAAACCAAAAATTGGGTGAGATGAGGAGATGAATTTTTTTTTCATTTAACAGTTTTTCCATGTGATGCATCCATGGCACAATGATGGGCAAGGAATGGGCATATATACTCCGGCGTTTTAGCGATACCCGAGACCCTGCAGGTCCGGTTTTCTCAGCAGGGTAGATGAATCGAGAATTTTACAATTCTCAATGGCCGTTTCACCAACTTGTTGTGTGAAATGCTCCATGGGAGGTGTTTCCCGAAGCTTTTTGGCTCTTGTTCCATTTTGCCGTCTCAGTGAGACTTGTCATACTCGATTCATTTGTCGAGGGGCTGCCGTTGCGCAGCCTTCGTAGACTGCCTCAACTCTTGGTTCTAAACAAGACGGGCACAGGCAGGTAGGTTATCTCTTTATTCTTCGTAGTCTGTGAACCCCCCGCTAGATAATCTCCGCGTCAACCAACAAAATTCATGGTTTTCGAGGTATACGACTGGCGAAGAACAAACCCCGACTGAGATTCATACCACGAAACTCTGCCGCTCGCCCGAAGATTTTCATCTTGCCTTTTCTGTAACGAAGCTGGAAATTTGATGGTGAGGAACATAACACCTACCCAAAGACTCTTGGTTGCCAATCAAGCTCTATCCATGGATATCTACGTAACAACCACTACCTATTGTACGTGCGATTGATTTGGCGCCAACGTGGTGTCAATGTCAAATTTCGCTAGCACAGAAGACTCTTCTACGAAGAGCCTGTATTCTTTCACCATTATCAGTTGAACCAATGGAGCAGAAGAGTTAGCAAAAAAGCAAAGCAATATATTCATTGGTTAGCAAAGTGATTTTCCTCTAAAGACAGGGCTCTCCGCTAGGCAGCGGCGGCGTGCTTTATAGGAAGCGCCATTTCTAGCTGAAGCAAGTGATTCCAATCCGTACAAAATACTCCCACAATGATCAACCTCTTCTCACACCCTCTTTTTTTTTGGTCGTTTTTGTTTTTCTGAAAATTTTGCAGATGCGTTACATGATACAATTGAACTCTAACAATAAGTGACGCGCCCTGAGTCTGTTAGAAAGAACTGATTGGCCGCCCTTTGACACCACGGGCAAATGGTGAGGTTGACATGATGCTATTCTCAGATACTTCGTCGCAGAAAAAAGTGATAGCAGAGTTGAAAGAAAATGATGACGAAATCAAGTAACAGTTGTAATGGGTACTCATACAATCCATAAATGTGCCTGCAATAAGAGATGATTCGGTTGAACCTTGGATCGGGCTTCTCTTGTTGCAGAAGCATAGCCCGTGTTGCCTCAGTTTCAAAGCACCGAGGTTCGCTTCTTCGAACCTTGAACACCTGGATAAGCATGGTGCTTGCCGTCTCCTGGAGGCCTGTTTTCGATTTGTCTCTCTACAGTGGAGTTGGCTGATCCACCTTCGTTGGCATTTCCCGACTTGGTTGCTTGCTCCCGAGGAGAAGAGTTGATATTGGTTGCAGTGGGAGTGAGAGACGCAGTCGCATGGCCGCTGTAGTGAGGTAGAACACCCTGGGCTGTTGTAGAGGATACTGTCCCTGGAACTGCGTTGCTGCTCGATGTACCGCGTTTCATCATATCGTGCCATATGCCGCTGCTAGGCCTTGGTCTATAAAGACTTTGCGTTAGCTACAAGTCATTATAGATGAAAGGATTAACCTACCGAGTTTGGCGCAAAGAGTTGCGCCCTTTGAACACGATACTCTTCTCGTCATTTTCGTCGGGGCTGTCGCTTTCTGAGCGAGCATTGGGATTATCAGTCGTAGTCACATGGTGACGACTTCCCCTATGACCTTTTTTTCCAGTATCTTGGCGAGAATGATGAATACCAAAGGCATCACTATCGTTGGTGGACATGCCAGATTGCTGAGATGAGTCCGACTCAATGGCAATTCCCACTCCGCCTCGCCCGTATTGACGTGGATCATGTCGAGATGTTTGAAAGGGGTCGACCTCAATGCCAGCATTCTTCTCACCACTTTCAACCTGGGACGCCTTAACATGAAGGGAATCGTGTCCATGGTTATTGAGTTCCGAGTCATTCTCAGCACAATGGCTTCTCTGTGGCGAAGGAGGATAGAAATTCTTGCCATCAAACTTGGGAAGCCCACTCTGAAGATGGTGAGGAGTTTTACCCCAATACATATGACGAGCTCGGAGTTCATCTTCAGTAAGCTGTCGAGGGTAAACGTAATCAGTATCCCGAGCATGCTCAACGCTCATGCCGGGAGGAAGTTGTCCGACGAGATAAGGCTTGGTAGAAGCATCCTGTTCGTACATGGGTTCAGGAAGACCAGAGCCAAGTAACACATCCCTAGTAGCCTGGCCTCCTACAGCGCGAGGCTGGAATGGAGGAGCCAGTGCTGCTGTGACAGGCAAAGTAAGCGATCTCTTGTTGGCGCCAATATTATCAGAGACTCCTATAATCTGCGGGGCCGGGGCAACCTGAACTGCGGTGTCCTCATGGCTTGAAGTGAAAGCCCTCCGCTGAGTAGTCGGCATCTCCTTTTCAGCTCGCTCAATGGAGGACTCATCTGGCAGACTAGAGAAACTTTCAGCGCTGTTTTCAGGCTTCACACTGCTAGTCACTGGAGACTTTGATCGCCCTTCATCTGCGGAGGCGGAGTCACTCATGTCTTCCTTGGCTTGGTCTTTTGGGAGGCTCCGTTTCTCATTGGCTGCCTGCTCATCTTGAACCTTCTCGAAGTGTCCAATGGAATAGCGCAACGACTCTGCATGAAGCTCCATTGTTCGTTCGTCAATTTGGTGCTTGTTGTACTGGAGCTGATCCTCTGCCCACTTGAGGGATGAACGAAGAACTGAAAGCTGTTTCTTGGTTATCTGGCTTGCTCGGATGGAGGACTGGTGCTGTCCAGTGGAGGGGGTAGGGGTTGGTACCGAGGGGTATTGAAGAGGAGTTGACAGGGCCATTGCGTGTGGTGGGATATGCGGCACTTGCACGTTACTCTGAGCCATAGGAGCCATGACATGGTTGGGAATGAGTCTGTGGCCAGCAACCATGGGCATAATTGAAGGGGCTATAAACGCGGGATGGGTTCCCATGGCAAAGTGAGCAGCAGGTGGAAACACCCATTGGCCATTTTGAACGTATGGCCGGGTCGCATCGCCATTCTCAGGAGGGGAAGAACGAGTTGGGGTTGCATTCTCTGAGGCTCCTATTTCATCCTGCCTTTCATTAGTCGCTGAGTTTGGCGGTATCGTCAGAAGACCTGAGGCGTGGCTCATGAGAGAAGGCTGAGGTGCTCCCCCTGGTCCTCCGATACCGAACCCCATTGGCCACGGCATAATGGGATATGGGCTTGCTCCTGCTGGCGCCCCTGGCGCCCCTGGTGTTCCTGACGTCGAAGGCATTGCATGCATTGGAGATATCGGAGGCATCGCAGGCATTGCAGGCATCGCAGGCATCGGTGGCATTGCCGGAATTGCAGGCATTGTAGAAATTGCAGCCATGCCAGGTACTACGGGCATTCTAGGCATTGCAGGTACCATTCCGGGCGCAAAGCCGGGGATCATGGCGTGGTGCGGAAAGAATCCGAAGTGGTGTTGCGGCATAAGAAACTGGCCTTGCTGAAGGTCTCGGTTTGGCGGGCGGCCAGAGTTGTTGTCAGTTGCTTCCACCGCGGATTTGTCCTTGGACCACCTAGTTGTGGGCGATGGAGAACCACGTGTGTTGGGGACGATGCGGCCGCCAGCAGTCACTCGAACATGAGTTGGTGACACGACTGCTCGATAGAATCGTTGAAAGCCTTCATCCTTTTGGGCAGCTAGGCCAGTCGGAGCAGAGATGGGCTGAGCCCCAATAGCTTCCGAATCGTTGCGGCCACGATATCTCCATTCAGATTCAGTACCATCCAACTGTCTAGCCGCATCGACACGGCGGGGAGAAGTGCTCTCCGAGCCTGCAGCCATGTTGGCAGGTTCCTCCGTGATGCGGGCAAGTGAGCTCTCAACAGGCATGCGAAGGACCTCGCCTGCAGCAGTTTGTCAGCAATCACATAACAGACTAACAGAGGTTCACTCTTACCTAGCTCTTGGTCTTTGCGAAGCTTTTCTTGGAGCTGATTGTAAAGCTCTCTGTTGACAGGGGTATTCTTGAGTCGGAGAAGCTCGCCGGGTGTGTAGATTTTCCCGGCCATTGCGAACTCGTTGGCAGCAGCAATGAATGCCAATGGTTGTATCTTCCTAAACGAAGAGGGGAAAAGAGTCGAAGAGCAGTGTAAATCACTGGACGAAGGCAGTTGTGTCTGGATGAGCGTTGAGACAAACGCGATTGTGACGAGATCTGACTTCTATCAGCACAATTTGAAGGCCAATGGCGGGCAGAGCATATTGAAATTTTGCAGAAACTGAGTATGAAGAAATACTCTCATCAACGGAAGAGATTTGGGATGGGATGGCAGGCTAAATCATTGCCCGTTTTGCTACCAAGCGGCACAGCAAAATAATCAGGATGGATAAATGATTGTTCGAAATGGTGTGGGGGGGGACAAGCAACTGGTCGAAGGGGATTGCAGTTGATGTTCAGCTACTCCTTGGAATCTTGGAAGAATAGAGGGAGTGGGAGTAACTCAAACTTGACACCAAGAGATATGAAACCAAACTTACCAGACAGCTGCTAGGAGAGCAACAAGGGGTCTGTATGCATACAAAGCCTTGATCAGGCTTCCAACAGGGAACTATTGAAGACAGCAGACGCAAAAGGAAGCAGATAGGGCGGTGTTGAGGTTGACTGGTGGTTGAAAGAGTGCGGTTGAAGGTGGACAAAAGTGAAGAGCCTGTGAAGAAGCAAATCGAGCACAAGGAGCACCGATGAGCTGCTTACCTTGGGTAGCAGTGAGTACCTTCTGTAGAATTCGTTAGCACATGCGCGTCTGAGGCTAGAGGAGAGGACACTTACCAGTGGGCTTCAGAATGGGAAGCAGCGGGGGCTCGTCTTGGAAGCCGCGAGAGAGACGGACGGGCTTCGTAACGAAATGCAGGTGACGTCGTCGCCTGAAACTTGTCAGCTTTTGATGGGGAGAGCAAGAAGACTCTGCTTCTCCCAGAATGACGAAACGATTGGGGTCCTTGCTCGATTCTCGGCAATTTGATACTGAAGCAGTGCCCTCCAGGAGGGGAGTTGCAGTAGCAGGCAAGAGCCGGCAAGGAAGGAGGAGGATGATGTCGAACACCAAGAAAGTATTTGCGAATCAAGAAGGATTGTATCGAGTAAGGCTTGGGGCCTCGACTGAATACCGAGGATCTCAGTGTGCAAATACGGGCGATGGTTTTCGATCGAAGGTTGTAGAGAGTTGGAAAGTGATGGGTTGCGGTGGTGAAAAGTTGTGGGTGGAAGGTGCACTCGAGGAGCCCTTTTGTAGTCAGAAGGAACGCAGCTTCTGTGGCCAATTGGCTCGCCAAAGGGAAAAAAAAAAAACACCAAGAGACGTGGATCTCGCCGTTGCTGCGGTGCTGCGCGTTCTAGAGATTGAAAGACGGGGTTGTTCGTTTCATATTACAAGCAAAGCCGGCCTACTTCGTGAAGAGGCGTGTCGAGAGGCTGCCGGACGTGTGCCGGCTCGGCGGACCCGTAACCCCCGACAACATAATAACAGCGTGAATTCAGTGCGTAGAGAGGGCTGCAGAGGGATAATGAACATTGATTGCTATGGATCAGGACAATTGAGTCTGGCGGACTTGGTTCTGCTTTGTGAAGTGAGCTCGTTGCCTCCGTGTTAGTCCTATTCAGCCTGGTCTGGGTATACCTCTTTTGCTGGTATTAGGGGAGTGTGATTCCAAGCACTGCCAGCACAGATACTGACTGATTACTGGCTGCATAGTCCAAAAGATGTACACAGATGGCTATGCCAACATCCGTTCAATCTGACAGACAAGCGATACAAGTGCCAAGACTCTATTGTCTTTAGTCGGCTGTGGGTGAGCAAATTAAGCAGCTTCGTAAAGTGAGATGGAATATCATGCTCTTCTGGTAGAGGTTACGTCTAGATGAGCATGTTAGCAGCTGAAAGTCAAGTAGAGGTTCCTTTTGAAGATATGAATAGATATACCGCCATCTATTCTTCTTTCGCTATAGCAGTAATTGCCAAGGTGAAGGCATTCACACTCCAGAAGGCCGCTACAGCATATGGGCTTGGCATCGATCAGAGTTAACTTCGCGATAGCACATCCTACTGCGCCTGAATTCAGAATGCATAGCAAACTAAGAATACGGAGGATAGCAGAAGAGCCAGTGGCTCAGTGAGAGCTCACTCTGCTGTGATGATTATTCCCATGTAACGCGCCGCCATGAATCCCATTGTATGATCATTACTGGTCAATTACTGGCAGAAACGACGGTATTTGAATCCATTATTGGATGATTCAATAACTCTGGAAAATTGCGTGATATTTTGTTAGCAGTGAACTAGATATATGGCTCAGGTATTCTTGGGAAGATACTGGTTGATCATGATCAAAACTAGAGTAAATGGTACACCTAGGGACAGCTCGACACCGTGTATCTTGACATGAGCCAAAGCCGCAGAGGATGAGTCGACGGATTATTTCAAAAACTCGGCTCATCCGACATCAACCCTAGTTCAACCAAGGAGGCCAGATGGGCCATACTGCGCACGAACCTTCCATGTGGTCTAATTTCTGATAGACGACAGGCTCTCAGGAAATCATCCAAGTCTATCAAGCTTAATGCAAATAAGCCAATGGTACGATGCACCAAGCTGCTACCTTTCATACCCTGTCAACAGACAGAGCGGTAATTACTTCGCCCTTGTAGCATGTGCTTCCATGTTGTAAGGGCTTGGAGTGGCATGGTGATGGTGTTGAGCAAATAATAGGCGTGTTGTGGTGGTTGTGGTGTAGGATGCAGAGAGAAGAAAGTTGAGGGGAAGAGGAGGAGGAGGAGGAGGAGGAGGAGGTAGAAGTAGAGGATTTAAAAGGAACAAGAGAAGTGAAAATAAATTCATAGGTGCTTATACTTAAGTACTACAAGATATAAGCCCTTATTGATGCGAGATTGTGCGCCAGTTGCAGCATTCTTTAGCGAACTGGCTGACAGCTGGCTCAAACAATATGCCAGCTTCGGCTGCCATGCATTTAGCATCCCAGCTATGCAACCATGTCCAAGAATCGGATCGAAGAATGGCTACCGAATAATTATACTGCTATTGTCGAGGCTGATAAAAAGTCGTCCAAAAGAAGGGGAACGATTCGAATTGTGAGCTTTATGTGAAGCCGTACGCAAAGGAAACACTCAAGGGACAAGTCAACGTCAAGTCGACATCCTAAGCTATGTGTACAGGCATCACACATAGGACAAGAACTCTGTTGTTTTATTATGATTCTATTTTTTGTCCCTTTAAACAAAGGCCTCTGACCACTAGTAGAACCTACTCAAGATGTTAACCTCAGAGAGCTTCACCTAGAAGAATATGACTCGCCAGTCAATATTTACGCCATCAAGCACTCTACTTCTATTACGCATGGCAGATTCCACTAGCAAAATTGACGACAACAGTTCATTCCACATAAAGGCCTCAGTTCCCTCAATGACCGAGGTCGTTTAACAACATGTCGAGACATCTCGTGCCGGTGGATCCGCACATACCCTAGAGCCCAACATACGAGTATAACGAATCTCGACCCATCCAAATAGTAATTACTTGCGCTGTCATTGGAAGATTTCACATGTCAAGAACAGGTATATGCGCTAATTTGCTTCACGACGGAAAATGCAATTGTGGGTTTCACTGTACAGCCCAGTAAAGAACTCACAGGGCTTAAATAACGGTTTGACAAGGGCCCCAAGACAACCTGACACCCGCTAGTGCCTGCTAACTTAGTACTTCAGCCTCACCTCGTCGTCCATTCTCTGTATTTCACGTAAACGTTACGTCCAGCATCTGCAAATGCCGTCATCTCCGCTCCCAACATGCTGCCAGCCGGTCCAAAGGAACAGGCCACACATTGGCAGCTTCACCTCGACACGCCTTTTGCTTTACCAGTTTAGGTTACGGACTAGCATCTGATAGGCTCTAGTCGATCACGGAAGCAAAGGACAAATGGATCGCGGAACCCCGTCCAAATCCTACCCCGCCGCCTGTCACGAGCTATTTGCCCTAGTAGAGATATCCAATGGGCTGTCAACTATCAAGATGTAGCGGCCAAACAAGCGGGACTTCCGCGTGGAGCCCGCTGACATGTCCTCGGTAATCCGACAGAGGGAACAGACGACCGTCTACGGCCCGCGGCAGGTGGTGTTTGACTGACGTGTTGCTAAGGGCCGGAGATGGCTTGGGGCTGGAAATGGCGGAGAGAAGGTGGTTTATAAATAGCTGGATGGCCCGGGATTCGTGACGCAAATTGAGTTTGACTACCACACTCTGTGCTGCTTGATAGCTTAGTAGTTCATGCCTTGTATCACTCAAGCAATAAATTCTCTCACGTCAGACTTCTCTTTATAAACAGTCATTTCGTCTGGCTGAATTCATCATCAAACGCTCTTGTCCGCTCTCATTGCATCTGTATCCATACGCCCTCAAAATGGCCCCCCTCAAGCCATCCTGGAAGCAGCCCTCCCACCCCGACGTCCAACAAGTCGTCGTCAGCGGTGCCGACTTCATGACCAAGAGCTTGTCCAAAGTGACGGTGCCGCCTTTTGGCCTGTTCGTCAAATTGGAGTTCCCCCCTTGCACCTTGGCCAACGAACCCACCTATGCTACCGTGCAGATGGGCAAAGACGAGCATCTGAACCTCAACAGTGACTTGCTCTACATCAATCACTCGTGTGAGCCTTCTCTTGTAAGTCAACCAAATAGGCCTGATATTCCTGGCAATTTACGCAGCTAATGAATGTCATCAGCATTTTGATATGCGAAACATGAAGATTGTGGCAGGACCCAAGGGTCTTAAGCCTGGAGATGAACTCACCGTCAGTGGAACCCCTTGCCAGTCTTGGGCAAACATGTAGCTGATATAATTCATTCTTGTCACAGTTTTTTTACCCCTCCACCGAATGGAGCATGGCCCAGCCGTTTGAATGCTTTTGCGGTAAGCCAACTTGCAAGAAGATCATCACTGGTGCCAAGGACATGCCCTCCCAGCTACTTGATGGTCTCTGGCTCAATGACCACATCCACGAGCTTCTGGACGAGCAGGAGCTGCTTCAGCACCATGGCTCCTTGGCTGAGAATGGCGGCCTTGGATTGCTGCGCCGTGGAATAACGTCACGAGAACTGAGTGGAGAGATGGGCGGCGATACTATCGCCAAGGCATGATGCTAGCGGCCTCTGTATTCAATGGTGATTGCGTCATTGAAAAAGAGGTCTGGTAGCTCATAAGGATTCAACATCCAAAAGGCTACCGAATATATGGGGAAGAGAAAACGGGAAAAAAAAGAGAGAAAAAAAAAAGATTGGGATTGCTCACCAAATATTTAGAAAATGATTTAAAAAATTATATAGGTACATGAAACTGATTGCACGTATTGCAAAGCAGACAGGGAGGAAAAGGGTTGTTTGTACAAGAAGATTAAGCATAAGAAATTCAACATCTTAACACATGTTTCCTTCACACAGCCAATGCTCCTACTACTGGCTATGAGCACTGAGACTGCTTTTGATTCCGGACTTTGACAATGCTTCCATTTGCCATTCTGCGCGCTCCAAGAAGCGTCGTGCGTTAAAGGCCCTTGTAAAGCGCCAGGCCTCTGTATCAGCCATGTTCCAGGCCTCGAGCGAGGTTCGCGTTTTAGTCCCGTTAGTCGCGAACTTGTTCAATATGACAACTTGCTTGGCTCTGTCAAGCAGAGCTCGCTCACGAGCAACTTCTTCTTCCGAAGCAACAGGTCCGTTGACCCTGTCTGGCTCCTCGTCTTCTTTAGGCAAGCGATCAGCGGGAACGGGGCTCCGAGATTTCCCATCATCCATAGACTTTTCAGGCAATGTAAATCCAAAGTACCAGTCCATGTCACTGGGCACTTCATCCTCTGCTGAAAGCCACAGGGAATCGATACTATCAGCCTCGCCAGCCACAAGCTCTTTGAAACGCATCACCCTGCGATTCGAAGATACCCCGGAGCCAAGATATGCCAGAGTGACAGCACTTAGCCACGTGTCTCGAGGTGAATCCAGGATCCATGTGACGTTGATAGACTCTCGAAGGTTATCTACCAATGCAAAGGACCATGGATGCGGGACAACGCCGATTGTATAGATTTGAGGTGAATTACGGAGGCGAGAAGGCGTAGAAACAGTCATTGGCGACGCTACACATGGAAAACAATGGGGTAGATTAGGAGGGCATGTTGATGGCATTGGCGATGCAGGACAAGAGGACAGAGACTTGGCAAGCTTCAAAGCGCCAGCCAACATGGCCGTGGCATGCTGCGGGTGTGGCTTGACAACTTCGATGCCCTCGGGAAATCTATTCTGCCAGGCAACCAAAAGATGATAGTTGATGAGTTTGTTTAGACTGCGGAGGGTTTCTGCCTTGCTCCCTTTTCTGATGATTTGGGCGTACTTGTTTTCGATGACCTTGGAGCTGTAGTAAGCAAGCGGCATTTTTGTGTTGTTCACTGCGATGGTATCATCTGAAAGAGCCGCCGTGACACGTTTCACTTCGTCCATACCCTCTCTCTGTAGAACGGATTGGATTGCTGATCGAACATCATTTTTTTGTCCAATGAGGAATGCGTCATCCAAATCCGCCCATTTTGTCAAGTTGGCGTATTCTCCTTGCTGTAGCAGCAGTAACAGTGGATCTTGTCGAGGAACGGCCGGGAGGACTGTGAATTCCGCTAAGATACCCCCATTCACAGTGTCCCAGGCAAGCCATCTCATGAGATCGTCTCTCAGCTCAGACGATGCTGTCATTTTCTGTACTTGTTCGTAGCTAGGATTGCTTGTGGCCTCGGCAGCACTGAGGATAACCGGACGGAACCCTTTTGCCCACCAAGCACGGCGCCAAGTCAGCAGCAGCTCTTTTTCGGCATCCTTTTCATCTTTTGTTCTCTTTGTGGTTCTATCATAATAGCAATAGATGGGCTGTCGAGCATTTAGCGGAGGAAGCAGCATCCGCTCATTGTCGAGGGTAACAGAGCTAGAATAGGGAGTCGAGAGCCATCTCCCGTCGGCTAACCATGACGAGCCATTGTATTCGCGGCTCTTTTGGCGCGAGGGTGACTGTGGCGATTGAGATGGACGGGGTAATTCCTTGGGAGGCGCGCCACTTGCGTGAGGACGAGATATCTTGTGCTCAGATGCAGAGAGGCCCGGTGAGGCTGGAACCGCCCATGATAGGCTGCCAATCAGGAGGAGAGCAAAGAGAGACAGCAAGATCAGTAGCGCGGGGAGGCGACGAGGGGAAAGCCGAGAGAGCGGCCAGCCCCAAAGCATAGACGGCTTGAGCATACTGGTGGTGGCTTGCACAAATCAGACCCGTGCATTCGACTTAGCCCATGCAGTCAGAGGTGCAGTGCTGCAAGACCGGCAAGCTGTGGCAAACGTGGCTAGGCCGTGGGTGGCGCAGTGCTGGAAGGAATTCGAGAATGTCTTGCTTGGACGGCATAGTATCGCCGCTTTACTGCGGATATGGATGGCTCGTGGCGGCCATTGTTTGGAGCTGCGGTTGATCTTCCCTCGATGTTGTTTGCGCGAATCTGGAAATCAAATCAAAGTGGCGCGTATCACTTACGGACCTAAAGTTAATAAGGCACGTACTAAAATAAATTCCGCTGCGCCCCCACCGCCCAGTGGGGTACTGCGGTGTACCTCCCGCTCTAGTATCAGTGACAGCATCGCGGGTCGCCGATGGACAGAGACAAACAGGTACTGGTCGTTGCAGGTTCCGAAGCCACAGAAAGCGTATCGAGCCTAGAACCCCAAGATGCTGTGCTGTAGAATCGTCGGGTTGGACAAGGCGAGCGTCGATTTTGGACAAGTCATGCGCTAATGCCGACCCCCTGTCACCAGACACCTACGTTGCCCAACACTTACAGCACCTGCTGCCAATGGTAGGTGGTAGGTGGTAGGTACTATCTATGTAGCTCTCAAGTAGCAGAGCAGCTCCGAATCAGAGGCTGCCGTGGAGAGATCATGACCGCATTGCAGGCAACAGCCCCAGACACCCCACCAAGGCTGAGTCCCAGGTTCTGTCCATCTCTTTTAATCTTCCCCTCCACAGGTAACTTGCTTAACTTACTTGTTGGTTGAACGGGGTAAGGATCATTGATTCTTCGTTCCAGCAATACTTTGCTTCTGCATTAATGTTCCGAGGTCAAACGCCCGTCAACTCGTCTGTGCGTGACTCACCTACGGCTCGCCCATTTCTCCTGCGGCCGCTCTGCGACTCTGCAACCAGCTTTCATTTCCTCGTCGGCCTCCAGATAGATTAAACAAACGCAAGGATTCTGCATGCAGTTGGACAGCATCTAGGCCCATGTGCGAGGCTGTCCAGTGGACACATCTGCTCTGCTGCAGACAAGGACATTTATAGGTCAAGGGGCCCTGGCTGTCTTTGCATGTAATGGAATGGTGCTGCCTTACCTACTTAGTATTTGATTGACTGCATGTGGCCATTGCTTTTCGCTGCATGGTATGGATGCTGGTACTAATTCATTGACCTAGAGCACGTCGTTTCGCCTCGTCGAGCTTCCACCTCTCATTGGGCTCAGATAATATCGTCCGTGTAAGGATAGACGCAGCGGCTCAGACCAGTGACTGGCTACTCCAACTTTGGTGATTCTCTGACGCTCACTTCGACTCTCTCTCCCTTTCTTTCTCCTCTGTTCTCCATCCGTCGGAAGATAAAAGGTGCCTTTTTTTTTCTGCCGCCACCTGCCGCCAGTCCGACAAACTCTCTGCAAAACTTACTGCACCCAAATATAGACGAACATTCAATCTTTTCCTCTTCTTCTCTATTTCTTCTTCTCCCTCTCCCTCTCCACTTCTCCATTTCTGCGTTTCTCTATCCACGTTTGGTCCATCTTTGCATCGGCGTCACCAGCGCAGGCTCGCTTCCGCCGCAATATCGCATCAACGACTAATCAATCGCTAGATGGCTGCGTGCTGTCAGACGTCAAGCCCTTGAGAAGCTCGTCGATCATGGGCCTAAAGCAGTTCAACCAAGATATAGCCGCGTCTAAAACAACAGATATCAATGGAGTATCCAACATTCAACGAGGAGACTCTGATGGCGAGGTTGTCTTTACCTGGTCTTCCAGTGATACCACATTGTCCCTCGATATTCGAGTCTTGGTCCTTGGTAAGTGTCAATATGCCTGACTGCCACCCTGAAGCTCGAATACTAAAGCTAGTCAGACGTCGACTCCTATCCAAAAGGCTCGAGCGTAATGATTTTCACAGATTCGGAGCATTCGGCTGTCGATGTCCCCTCCCTCCTTGAACGTTTGTCGGCTTCTCTTGCAAACAAGAATATCCAGACCGTCATAAAGGCCGTTGCGGACAAGCTTTTTATCAAGGTAGAGACCAGCGCTGAAGCGGATGGAAATGATGCATGGGATGCCGACTCGGACGATGCGTTAGGTTCTTTTGATGAGGAAGAGCTAGAATCAGAGTACGAGGATGACATGGATGACGACTACACTTTTCAGTCAGCCTCCTCTCGGCCACCTGCGAACCAACTTGGCGAGAGTTCACTTTCATCCATCCGTCTAAAGAAAGACTTACGAACGGCTCAATCAGCCGGTATCTCAGTGGGAATTTTCCCTAGGAGGCCTCTTCGAGAAGCCGAGTTCTTTTCCCTATCCCTCCGAGCAAGCAAGCTTGGTATCCCCGAACATGCTCTGGAAGCGTGGGGCCTTGAACCTCACGATTATGTCGTTCTCTTATGCCGATTTCCGTCGCCTTATCCGCCTATTTCGAAGCTTTTAAGTGACAACAAATGGAAACCGCAGTTTCGTTTTGGGAAGTGCTCAACGCCCAAGCCGTCTATTAGTACGGCTCGTTTCGCATTGTCGACTTCATCTGGCGCAATGGACGACAAGGCCAAAGATGCTAGCGGAAGCTTTATGCCTCTTTACATATCCAACTCAATCAACATGCTTATGAATCATGAGTTCCTAGCATTACTAAAGATAAGACGGGGTGAAAGTTGCTCTTGGGATGGAGCTCTAAATCGCTTCAAAGTGCGCACCATGGGTGGCTCTCCGGCGGATGCAAACATGGCGGATGCCAACATTTTAGACAATGACACATCCGACCCTCCAGTTTCCAAACACGCGATACCATCATTAAGCCATGACTATGCCTTAGATCAGGACGAGGATTTCAGCCTTGCTATGGTCGCTATGCAGCTCGCACTACGTCGCTTTGCCCGCTGTACAAAGTATTGTATGGTCTGTCACCAAAGGCTAGAAGATGAATTTGAGGCTCTCAAGCCCTATATCTGCTATGGTCCTCTGTGTGCTTACCAGTTTACGACCCTTGGCTTAGGCGCAAGCATCGAGCATGAGATTGTCAGCAACCCATACGTCGTTGACATCCTGGTTAGCTTCTTTGCTGCAGCTCTTGGCAGCCCTAAGAGCTTACGGAATTTCCCTGTTGGCCTAGGCATGAAGTGCATTTACACTGGAGTTGAAGATAAAGCGGCAGTGCGTATCGCTGCCGAAGCTTGCTTTTACGACAGGACAATTCGCTTTGGTCCAGATGCCTATGGAATGATGAACCCGAAGATCAGGGTGGGCGATTCGCTCATGGTAGTCGTCGGGGGCTCGGATGACATTCCAGTGGCATCACTACTCCAAGGAGGTGAGTAATTCTACTACTTTTTACTGTCCTCTACAATCCATGTTTATTCTGATCCAAAATTTCAATTCTAACTTTCCTATTTAGATTCTGAGAGACATAATTGTAAAGTGACAGACATTGTAGCTAATCTCTACAAATTTGACGTCCTTACAACCTTTACAACCCCCCTGGACGTGCTGCCTTTACGGGAAGATGAACGGCCTACGGAGATTTCGAATGCTAAAAGAGAATGGAAAAAGGTCATAATATTTCAGTATTCTTACGATATCGATAATCTCAACGAGACTAACCGCTCTGCTGCTCTGTCCATGGTACTACGCGGAATCCCATCTGTTTTAGACATGAGGGAATATCTTTTGAACCATCCGAACCAGCGACTCTCCTCCTGGGGTCGCCTTGACAAGAATTCACTCACTCTTCTACAGTGGATCATATCTTCGAATAGATCTCTCATCCTTCAAGCCGATGCAGTACCGAATTTAGTCCAACCAACACAGCAGCTTGAGGATAAAGAACCGTCAAATCCCAACAGAGTAAAAGGATTACCGCCCCAGTGGATGCAGTTCCGCTTTTTACAAGGAACTCCGGAACGAGAAAACCTCTTTATGAAAGAGGTTACTGCCGTATCCCAGTCTAAAGGGGAGCAATCAAAGTTCCCTACCATCTTTGCCTGGCATGGTAGCAGTCTTCAGAACTGGCATAGCATCATACGAACAGGCCTCGATTTTAATACAGTTCAGAACGGGCGCGCTTATGGAGACGGGGTGTACATGAGCAATGATTTCCTAGTCAGTTTGGGTTATTGCCGAAAAAATCCACTCGCGGTAGTAAGTCCATGTCTACACTTTGGCGGTCATATCAGCAAAGCATCTATGGCTCCCCTTACAAGTCCCCCCCCCCCCCCCCCCCATCTTCGTTTGATAAACTACTTTGCTGACTTTTTCTGTGTAATAGGAAGTCCGCTGGCAGAATTCTATGCTCAAGCCTTCTGCCGCCATCAGCATCTGTGAGGTCGTTAATCGATGCGATCAGTTCGTGAAAGTAGCGCCTCATTATGTAGTCAATCAAATCGAATGGATCCAGTGTAGGTATCTATTCGTCTCTGTAGATCCAACACCAGAAGCTACACGGCAGCCATTTCCCACCAAGCCCAGAGAGACATGCACGGGACACGTGCCCCAACAGCCTTCAAGATCGCTCACTTCTACCAGTGGCGTAAAGGTGAATATTCCCCTGTCGGCACTACCATCGAACCGTCGGCAACTCGGCCAAAGTAGCAATACAGTTGATGGCCTTGAGCCATCTAAAGCATTAAACCCGCCAGAGATATCGTTTGACAGCGACCATGGCGAAACGGATCACGAACTCCTTCTAGATTCCGAGGAGGATGACGCCGACGACGATACAACGCGCTCCTCAACTAAGCGTCGAAGCTCATCAATGGACTCTATGGATAAGAGAAGCCATAAACTCAGCTCTGCAGCATATGCTCAAAAAATGCCCAGTGAGGATGCGGTTGTGCGACTCACGACTGAATTTGTGCCTGGAAGTCTGGATCTGGGATCTCTCCCAAAGCTCCCGGATCCGAGCTGGGCATCAACTGCTCCAACTGCACTCAAAAGCCTGAACCGCGCCATCAAAGAGCTGCATGAGATTCAACTCCGCGAGAACCTCACATCCCTTGGATGGTACATTGACTTTGAGAAGATAAGCAATATCTTTCACTGGACTGTTGAGCTGCATAGTTTCGAACTTGAGCTTCCTCTGGCACAAGACATGAAAAAAAGGGGCTGCACCAGTGTCGTACTCGAATTTCGCTTTGGAGCCAATTTTCCCTTCTCCCCTCCCTTTGTTCGCGTTATACGGCCAAGATTCCTACCATACGCCAGGGGAGGCGGGGGCCATGTTACGGCTGGAGGAGCAATTTGTTCCGAGATGCTCACCAATTCAGGCTGGTCGGCAGTGATGACGATGGAAAAGGTCCTTTTACAGATACGCTTGGGACTAGAAGAACGCGAACCTCCAGCGAGATTAGATCCGGCTGGTGGAATGAACAATATCCGCGACTACGGCATCGGCGAGGCTGTTGATGCCTACCAACGAGCCGCGAGATCACATGGCTGGGCGATTCCAGAAGACCTCACGGCGATTGGGAAAGCCTGGACAGCTGGGGCAACTTGAATGGGGGCAAATGAGAGTCTTGCATTCGCTCTCTCGCTTTAAACTACGATTGATTGGACGGAGAAGCGAAAGAAGTAACTTTGTATGAATGGACATGACGTACTGAGAATAATGAATCATGGGGCAAAGACACATAGATTGCACTGAGATAGATGAATACAGCATAGACGGCGTCCCCCCCCCCCCCTTTTTTCCCCCCCCCCCCTTCTTCTTCCGTTTGTTTTCTTCTTTTCTAACTCTTGTCTTATCCTGTTCTCAGCCAATCTTTGTAAGCATGTACTTGGTATAGAGTAGTAATCAATCCTACGGCCAAAATCAAGTTCTCGGGAGAGGCTAAAAATGCTGTGAAATATCCCTCTTATTTCCTCCTACATGGAGTGTAGATCATATAGAAGCATTCCGAAACCAGCTCTACATCTTGGGAGAAGCTAAAGATGCTGTGAATAAGCAAGTCTCTCCCTCTTATTTCCTCCAACTTGGAGTGTAGATCACATAGAAGCACGTCGAAATCAGCTTCACATACACAGACACATACAAATGGAATGGATACTTGAGACGGCTTTTTCTTCAATATGTTCAATTTATTTCTTCATAAATGCTCTTGTTTCTTTTTTCTCAAAGTGGCATTTTTTACTCCCTACGGCCCTTTGATGCAAAAATAATTACACAATGTGTTCCCTCCTTGACGCCGAGACATGAAACTAGCACATGCGGCGCGCAAGCACACAGGTTTTTTTTTTGTTTTCCCGGAAATCCCAAAGTCTACGATGCCATTTTACTTTCTATATGATTTTCTCAATATGTTGCGCGGGAAGAAATAAAAGCAGCCTCCCTGGTGTTTCGAAGAGAGCTATAGGTACATACAGCACTCTATCAGCTCCTTCGATGACAGTAATGTCGATGTTGTGTATAGCAAAAAAAAAAAAAAAAAAAACAGAAGAAAATACCATAGTGGAATGGTAGGTGACAGGGTCTACGTGCCTAGCTACGTAGCCCTGTAGAAACAACCAAATAAAGCTCATGCCGCTGATAAAGGCCCCTTGCTTCTTCTACTTGGATCTTTTCAGAGATATTGTCTGAGGCCAATCAGGCGTTCCAAGGGGTTTCGCTCAGGATGGCCAATCGAGTGGATGCATGGAGAGCTGAACGCTTTTTGGCGGTATAAAACAAGAGAATGGCCACACCTCCCATAAATATCCCCAGATGGCAGTAAGGCTCAAGGTGAAATAATGTGTTTTTAAAACCGAGTTCAAGAGCCACTGTGGTGTGCCCACAAAACAAGGGGGGGCGGTGGAGGAGGGAAGAGGAAAAAAGGAAGAAAAGGGGTTAAAAAAAAAAAAAGACAGCCCAGACCAAGTGACTCTCAGAAATCTCAACCGCCCCAGCAGATTAGCCCGTTTCCGTTTGCTCCCTCATCAGCTGCAATGATAACATCGCGAGATCCATGGCTGATCCATCAACACAAAATTAGCATCTCTCTCCGTCCAGCCCAACTTAGGCAAGTTGGAAGAGTACGCTAATAGACTCGCCGTGGTGGACGCGGCGGATGGCCTCAGCAAAGACTGGCGAAATATCAAGCACTTCCAATTTCGGGCACAGACGACGATGCTCCTCCTGCGGGACCGAGTTGGTCACAATGACCTTGTCAATGGCGGAGGCATTGACGCGGGCAATGGAATCTCCACTGAAGACGCCGTGGGTGATGAGGGCGTAAACTCTAGTGGCGCCCTCTCGCTTCAGCAGCTTGGCAGCGCGAGTGATGGTGTTGGCCGTATCGGCAAGGTCGTCGACCAAGATACAGACCCGATTGGCAATGTCACCAACCAGCATCATGCTGGCATTGCGGTGGTCGGTAAACTTGATGGGGCGACGTTCCTATGGGGGGTAAAACATGAGTCTCGAACAAGAAGATCATGGGGTCATATTACCTTGTGAATGAGTGCAAAGTCCATGTTGAGACTGTCCGCAATAGCGGTAGCTCGCTTTGCACCACCGGCGTCGGGTGAGACGATGACAGCCTCCTTGTAATCGGGGATGTGGGTTTGAATATAGTTTTGGAGAAGAAATTTACCGTATAGGTTGTCGACGGGAATGTCGAAAAAGCCTTGGTATTGAGGGTCGTGAAGGTCCATGGTGATGATGTGATCGGCGCCAGCGCAAGTAAGAAGATCAGCAACAAGGGTGCCGGCCTGGGCAACCCATTGCTTATAACCAGGCTTGGGTTGGAAGCCTTTGATATTGGTCTGGTTCTCGTAATCGTGAGTCGTAAAGCTTCGTTGTGAGAGATCGGGGTAGACTCCGTTAGAGCCAACGCTGGAGATGGTATCTGATCGCTTCGGCAGCGAGTCGCCATTAACTTCTCGAGCGCCATTCTCCGAGTTCTTGGAGAGCTTTTCGGTGAGGCCATTAACCCCATTGGTGAGGCCGGCGCTTCGCGGTCCGCCAGGCCGCGGTGTGGGAGGAACACTCTCGAAGGTGTAGTCCTTCTTAGAAGACTCGGATGGCTTTGACAGAGGAGCGCCGGCTTTGTTGTAGGGCCAGTCAGGTTGTCTTGAGTAAGGGAAGAGAGGCACAACGGCGGTGACGCGCTTGGCGGAGCCAATTTTGCACGCCGAGATCATGATGCAGAGGTCGATGAGGTTGTCGTTGACATGGCCAGAGCCGGACTGGATGATGTAGACATCCTTGCCACGGACAGAGTCCTTGATCTCGCAGCGACTCTCGCCACCAGAGAACTTTGACAGAATGCGGTCACAGGCCGGGATGCCAAGGAAGTTGCAGACGTTTTCTGTCATCTGGGGGTGGGAGTTGCCTCCCAGGACAACAATGTTTCGAACCATGGCGACGGCGTCAAGAAGCAGCAACTAAGACAACAGCCTTGGAGATGAGACGAGGTCTCCAATTGAGCAATTCCAGAGATATGGAGGGGTCGCGTGAGGGCTTGAGCGATGCTCTTTTTTTCAGCCAGACCCGCCGTCCGTCAAGTGGGGAGCAGAGTTACAGGCCGACGTCAGATGCAAAGCCGTGGTCCAGAGATCTTTGCCGATTGCGGCCGAAGCTGGAGATGCGGGAGGCGACGGAATCAAGGAGCAAAGACCAAGGCGGCGATGGCAGAGCCTCGAAGCAGCGGAAGCGGCAGCAGAACAGCGCGAGATGTTGCTATAGCAGCATCATGACCAAATGAAAGGAGAAGGAGATAGAAGAGGGAGAGAAGGAGAAGGAGAAAAAAATAGAGGAGGAGGAGAGTAGAGGCTCTGAGTCAGGACGCCGATTCGACGGCTAGCAGGAAGGCGGAACTCAAAAAAAAAAAATCTGATGCGCATTGGGAAAAAAAAATTGACCTACCGCATACCGGCCTGCGTCTGTTGCCGAGACGTGCATGAGTGGGGTCGGGGCAGGCTTCAGCGAGATGCGGTTCCCTTCAGGCCAACTGCAGAGGCCGGTACAGGGCTAGACGTGCTGTAACTGCACCTGGACAGGGCCCCTTCCCCCGCTGCCGCCCCTCCACTTGGTGCTAGGCGGGGGAGGGAGATGATGAGACACTGTGTCGGACACTGTATTGTGAGAAATGCTTAGTACCTACTACTGTACAGTACCTACTCATACAGCTCTTGGAGAGGGAGGGAGCCCAGTTCAAGGTAGGTAAGTACATACAGTAGGTAATTGGTACTTTTTGCATGCATGTGCCCGTGATGGATGGAGTATGTGCTCAATAACGGGCGAGGCGTTTTCCGCAGACGAGATCAGATGCCCCAAAGACGCTGGATGTGCGAGAACATTGTGGGCGCCACTGGCTGAGCCACGGACTCGAATGAATAGCGCTCACTGGAGGGTGACGACTATTTCTAAAGGATGAGCCTAGTGAGCTGTTCGGGTCGAGAGCTGGGGATTGCGCAATTGCTCCTAATTTACGATGCAAGAGCTGTTTGTTTGCAGTTGGCCGGATCCAAGGGGATTAATCCAACAAGGAACATGACGTGCTTGAACCGACGACAAACAAAACAAGCGGTGGCAGTCCATACAAGCCCATACTAGGTACGTATGTATATACCCTGTTACCGCCATTCACAACACAGAGGCAGTGACGAGAAGCAGCTAGCACAAGCGACATGGAGCGTGTCGTATTATTACTTTGCTCTGACGAGGCCAGTTCGTGAGGCATTTGCCATCCATGGATATCTTTGCAGGGTCTCGAGACTTGGATGCAGGGCTGCCATGTTTCAACACGGCTAGTGCAGCTTAGTGCAAGTACCTACTACTTGACGTTGGCGCAAGTTCGGCATTCATCAATGGCAAATTTTGCATTGAAAGCATCTTCTTTACTGCCTCTATTGCTGGTATACAGCTTCATGCTAGGTAGAATATCGCTTGGCGCAACCAAACATGCGGTGACGATGCTCTCTGACGCCCATCTTCATTCTCATCAAATACCTCTGCTGCCTGCATGTGATATTGGTTCTAGTGGGCAGGTACTAATAATAAAGGCTGCATGCTGGATGCTACTTGGTGCGAATACACTCCTCGACACTGTACAGGGTAATGTTACTTTAGCAGTAGCACAAGCCACGCGAGGAAATTTTTAGCGGCCTTGTCTTTGGCGGTCTGCACCAGCTATTCGGAGGGGCAATTGGCGCTGCTCTGATTGGACCGCCGGATGGTCGCGAGAAAATGCTTGCGTCCTCCAATCTTTTCTTAGATCGAGGCGTGTAGCAGCGATTTGGATGCGACTGCTCAATAAGAGCCTTGTTTGTCCTGCTTAACAACGCAAGGGGCATCATATTATCCAAGACGTTTGCACTAGCCAGAATATTGCAGCTACAGTCGCTCATCTTGCTCTGCTAAGCCGGGGAAAGCAAGCATATACCACCACCATGAAGGTCGTCGAGGCTCAGGCTGCTGTGCTCAGTAACTATGAAGTGCTGCAACATCTGACCCAGCAAAAGGACCGATATAAACAGAGGAAACGACGCGGCCCTCCTAACCTGGAGACGGTCGTCAGGGAGGTTGGTTGCCACTTGAGACAAGATGAGAGTAGTCCACAGAGCCTTGATCACTAACTGTTCTATCTTAGCTCATCCAATATCTGCAGTCACATCCCAATCCATTGAGCCAGAAGCCCAGCACATACACCCCCAACTCCATCTCTCAGCTGCTTGAACGTCTGAGTCCTTATGAGCTCTCCAAGGGAGAGGTTGTCATGATTCTCAACCTTCGACCAGCTTCGGTAGCAGCTCTTAACACCGTCATCGAGGAGATGGGAGAGCGCTTCAGCGACGAGCAGCAAGAGGAAATGGTAACCATTATTCTGGAAGTTTTGGGCCAGTTCGAGGCAGCGGGGCCTGATGCGAACGGCAACGCAGACGACGCCGCGGAGACTGGAAATGTTTCATGAAAGCCTCTTTGGCTACAGCCACCAAACATCAGGTCAGACGAAAGGCATGGACCTCTCTTTTATTTCGGTTGAATGAGCTACGAAAAACAACACTTGGACACCTCCATCTAATATTCCATATGGGAATCACCCATGAATCGAAACGGCTCACATGATTGTGCAACCACCCTCGCTCTGTCCTCCCTTCTCCGTGGTCGTCTTGACAGCCGTCTTGCAGATGTCTTCAAATGCAGGCCTCACCAACTCTCCCGTCACCGCTGAGCATTCGACATAACGATCTGCTCTCATCTCTTGAGCCATTTGATAGGCATCTTGTGGGTATATGATGCCATTCGGGTCATTCTCAGACCGCAGGTCTCTCTTCAGCCCCATCACTACCACCGGCAGGGAATCCATGCGAGAAAAGGATTGTTTGACCTCATTGATCCACTAATAACCATTACTATGAATTGTATATATCAAGGAGAGCAGAGAGACAGATAGATAGGAAATTGAGGGCAACATAAAGAAAATAAGCACATAAATACTGACATATCTCTTCATGTTAATAAGGCTCAAGCGCTGGCTGATGTCGTAGCAGATGACAATGACGTCGGGGTCCAGCAGGCGCCAGTTTTCGGGACTGGAGGTGTCGTAGAACTCGAACCGAAAGCTTTTCGACGATATATTGACCGAGAATATATACGGCTGGTCAATGTCACGAAGCAGCGGGATCGGGTTGATGTCCTCGCCAGCCCTGACTCTCCTGTCATAAAAGCCCGCCGGTCAGTAGATGTCTACAGTATACTATCCTACACGATTCGGTCTCTACTAACGAGAGAAATGTTGTTTTGCCGCATTTTTCATCTCCTACGAGAAGCAGCTTGACGACTTCATCCTCCATTCTTCCTGAAGAAGATCTCGCGCATTGGGTTGGAGAGAGAATGAGAAGAAGAAGAGAGATGGCATTGGATTGAATCCGCCCTCGTAATAGCATTGACAACTTGAGTGGCACTACTTATCTCACCAGCCACACTTCACAGGGCCATCAAGCCACACCCATCAACTCGAAAAACAACCCATCAAAGCCCATTAACAGAGGAAATAAAAAATCGCCAAAGTAACTCAAAAAATCCAATTGGCTATGGAAATATCAAATACTCTACACAAACTCATTACATGCGACCTTTCCACCAGGGGAATCTAGGCCGCAAGATTTGTGGGGGTGCCATAACGAGCTGGCCTAGTAGGGCTAGAGAAGGATTTCACTGCCGTTTATCAACCGTCAACAATTTGGATCTGGTTCGTGAGAGGAGGTTGAAGATGTCGGACCACGGGAAATATAATAACTGGACCAAAGCCGGCCTCATCCAGCGGGTCAAGGAGCTGGAGAATCAGCTGAAGACGGCCACATCTTCGGTGCCCGTCTCAACGCAGGATCAAGAATCTCAAGGCGTGGGAGAGGCCGCTCTGCAGGAACAGCAACATAAACAGCCGCAACAACAAGGGGGAGATGGAGCAGCCCAGCCAGTCAAGAAGCCAAAGGGCAAGAAGAAGATGGACCCGTCCAAGTATTCCACCCGGTACATTGCCCTGAAGCTGGCGTACCTGGGCAAAAACTACGGCGGCTTCGAGTTCCAGGCCATGGGCAACCAGCCGTCCATCGAGGAGGAGCTGTGGAACGCCCTCACCAAGGCGTGCCTCATCTTCCCCGAGGACGAGAAGCTCGTCGACTTTGACTGCTGCGAGTACTCCAAGTGCGGCCGCACAGATCGCGGCGTCAGCGCATTTGGCCAGGTCATTGGCTTGAGGGTGCGCAGCAACAGGCCACTGCCCAAGAAGCAGCCCCAAGACGACGAGGTATCAGAAAACCAAGAACAAGAAGCATCCGGGGCAGATCAGGGCCAACAGCAGGAGGAAAATAAGAAACCCGAAGTGCAAACAAAGCCCTTTGACGACATCCGCGATGAGATCCCCTATCCTCATGTTCTCAACCGCCTGCTCCCCAAGGAGATCCGCATCCTCGCCTGGTGTCCGTCGCCGCCTCCCGACTTCTCCGCCCGCTTCTCGTGTCGGGAGCGTCAGTACCGGTACTTCTTCACTCAGCCCGCCTTCGCCCCGACGCCGTCTCACATCGAAGGCGTCCCGATGAAGCAAAGGACCAGGAAGATCATGAAGCCCGGCTGGCTGGACATTGAGGCCATGCGCGACGCCGCGAAGCGGTACGAGGGCGAGCACGACTTCCGCAATCTCTGCAAGATCGACCCGGCCAAGCAAATCACAAACTTCAAGCGCCGCATGTTCGAATCAGACATTGTCGAGGTCAAGGATGCCGCCTCGGCCCTGCCGTACCTCAAAGCCGCCGGCTTCGCCCCTGAAGATGTGGCCCTGGACGATTCCCCCTCTGGCGGCGTATACCCAAAGGTCTACTACTTCCACGTCCGCGGATCTGCCTTCCTCTGGCACCAGATCCGCCACATGGTCGCCGTGCTCTTCCTCGTCGGCCAGGGCCTTGAGCAGCCGTCGCTTGTCAGCGAGTTGCTCGACGTGGAAAAGAACCCGCGCCGCCCAAACTACGTCATGGCCGATGAGGTTCCCCTGGTGCTCTGGGACTGCATCTTCCCGTCCGATCTGAGCGTGTCCACGGCGTCTCACCGCAAGGACGATGCGCTGCAGTGGGTGTACGTCGGCGACGATGGGCCGAGCGGGCGGTTCGGCCAGTTTGGCATCATGGACGATGCGTGGCAGATGTGGCGCGAAAGAAAGATGGACGAAGTCCTCGCAGGCCAGTTGCTGCAGCACGTCTCGTCCCAGGGCAACGGCGGCAGCACGACGGTCAAGGCGGCAGCAGCTGGCAGCGCAATCAGCACAAAGGTCTTTGAGGGGGGTAACGGTGGAAGGCTGAGCGGCAAGTATCCAGGCGTCATGAAGATGAAGCTCCTGGAGTCTGCAGACGAGCAGAACGACAAGTATGCGAAGCGGAAGGGATATGCGGATGCCGAGGACATGAGAGCGAAAAAGGGGTTCAGGTCCAATAAGCCGGAGGAGGGCGATACCACCATGGCTGATGAGTGAATACAAGCAAACGATGAAATGAATAAGTAAACAAATAAATAAAATTAAAAGGGGTATATAGATTTTTGGTTCTGGAATACATATCTCTTGGAAACAAGGCGCTGACTGCTCTCTATAAGTGCTAACATGCTAACAAGAACTGCACATCTCATGAGCACATTATGATATCCATCTCTACTCCCACTTCACTTGTCATTCGCCAACCCCCTATCCTCCCCCCTCCCCTCGTACAAACACTCCCTCACCCCTCTCCACACCGTCTCGACAATCTTCCTCTTGGGCAGCAAGCCCGGAAACACAACCACGACATCCTCCTCGCCCTCCACCACCACCACAAGATAATACCTGACTTCAAAGCCGCGGAACGCCTCGTTGACCAGAATATCCTGAATCTTCTCCGTCGGGATGAACCGCGTCGCCGCCCCGGCCAGGTACGTCCCCGGGCTCTCGCTCGTCTGCACGCCCAATCCGCGCAGAACCAGCAAGCTCTCCTGCTTGTGCACACGCAAGTTGAGCGCATAGAAGACCGCTACGGCAACGGGCAGCAGCAGCGGGAGCGACACCGTAGCCGCAATGCTAGCGAGGAACGCGCCGGTGGGCGTGCCCTGGAAGGCGTCGAGGGCGAAGACTATGCGGTCCAGCGAGAGGAGCGGCGGTGGTGCGGGCGAGGACGAGGACGAGGACGAGGACGGGGCTGCTTGGCCGCCGAAGCAGCCGCTGCTGCGCTCTTGGACCCAGCGCGCGTAGAGGATGAGCAGCATTGTGATGGAGAGGGAGATGCGCAGGAAGAGGAGGAGCAGCCAGAGGAGGCGCAGAGGCAGCGTTTCTGGCGGCAGCGTCGTGACGGTGAACTCTGCCGTCGTGGGAGAGGGGCGGCGGATGCGCAGGCGAGGGGCCGTGGTGAGCATTGTGATGGTATTGTTTTTTTTGTTCTTCTTTTATATATATATGTATATATATTCTTTTGGCGAAGATTAAAAGACTCGCTGGATGTATCTCGCTTTCGCACAGCAGCAGGGTATAGAATGATTGGTCGTCTCGTCCGTCCGTCTATCTCGGGAGTGAAGCTGTTTGGCAGGCCGGAATGAAGAGGGAAGGCGGACGGAGATTTGCGCAATTCAAGTGGCGCAGGCCATTCTACGGGACAGCCGAGGTGAAGGGCCCGAGTGTGAGGGGCCGTGAGACTTAACGAGAGGCGAGCCTGCGCATCAATTGGGCGGCAGAGGCTGTGAATGCTGTGTCGAAGCCATGTTTCGTGTTTGGAGTTGGAGGACGGTTGAAGCTCATGCAGATACAGCCAGCAGCACTCTATGGGTCTCTAGCGGGTCTCTAGCACATGCTCTTGGCCGCTATAACTTGGACAGCTACAGCACCTCCAACCCACTGTAGAACAGGTAGTCAGCCCTGGAGCTCTCCCCCGGCCCAACTATTCCCCGTCTTCCGTCCAGCAACAACCCTTTATAAACTAAAAGAACCACCCTTGTTACCGGCTGTAATGGTCAAACGGTGAAGGCTCTCGCTCAACTCGCCTTTTCCAATCTCACCCCCGTCAGATCCCCTCCGTTCGACGCCCAGCCCGAACGCCGCGGTGGCCAGCCGCTCGCATAGGAAACTTGCGACCGTCGGTTTGGCCCTAAGCAATGGAGATGACACTTGAGGGAGGTTTCACTCTGCAGAGGACTCTCCCCCGTCGCGTGGCGGGCTGGATTACGATCGCGGAGGGTGTGGGATGGAATGGCGAGACGGAGAATGCCAACACTATTTTTTGCTTTTTTGTCCTTTTTTTCTTTTCTTGGTATTATTCTACGCGATGCAAAAAATAGCAAAAGACTCGCAAGTCATTCAGGTATCGACTGATATACATGGCTTGGTGTAAGAATCGCTGCAATGTGGTTATATCGCAGCAGTTGAACCCCTCCCTTTTGCATCATCCGCCATATTCACAGCGGGGGTGAAGCCATCACCAACCAACCAGCCACTAAGATGTATATACCAACATATGCCTCACACCACCTATTTGTATTTGCACACAAGCTCCACAAAGACAAAAAAAAAGGCGCATGATAGAAGACATCAATTTTTCATCAGCTACCTCAAGCCAAAATTTGCCGTGAGGCAGCATTGTATAAAAAGCTAAGTCTGCCCGGCACTCCGGTCTCTGTCTGCACCGCATGTGCGTGTTTTCCCCCAATCCTGCTGCCATGAGACGTCGCCGTCTTCCAGCTTCACTTGCTTGTTTGTTTTTTGCCCAAGTCCGTCATCAATCGTAAAGAAGAGAAGAGAATCGAAAAAGGGGCAAGTGCCAAGATGAAAAAAAAAAAAAAAAAAGAACATCTCCAATCCAGGATATACATTGCCCATATGCGTGTGCATGTGATTCAGGCGGAATCCACAGGCCGTCTATCCAAAAAGAATAACCCCCTAATGCATATATCACAAAATAAAACATGTTTAAAGAAAAAGAATTCTCTCCTCTAAAATTGCACGTATGCAATATAAAGACACCAGAAAGAATATAATTTTTTTGGTGCCGAAAAAAAAATGCAGAATTGAAAAAAAGAAACCAAACATAGTCATGACATATCTCTGCCAGAAGATAAATTTCTCCAGAGAAACCCCCCTTCAAAAACACTCAGCCCCATATTTTGAACTCACAAGATGATACGAACACAACATTCGCATCTTGGGGAATAATTAAAAACCAAAACCAAACTGGAAGCAAAGAAAGCATGGCAAAAACGCCAAATCATCATGCGCAAGATCTCACGCTACGCAACAGAAAATCTAGAGCGTAGTTGTCGTCGTCAGAAGTTAAAACATTCCGCTATCATGCAGGCCAGTCGACAGTTTTCTTCCATGACCCTCGATTGGCGATCGGACGGCGTCTCGATCGTAGAGAACAGGGGGGGGGATGCCAGCCACGGGCGATCTGAGCTGGTTGAAGGAATTGCCGTCGCCATACATCTCGAATGGGGGTGACTTGATGCTGATAGATCCCTCCTTGCGGCTACGGCTACCTGAACGCAGCCGTTCGGTGGCCTTGGTCATGCGGCCAGAAAGGCTGCCCTCTCCCAGACTGCGGCCGCGATTGTGGCCCCTGACAGGTGGCTCGGGAAGAGCATTCATCTGCACCATGCCGTCGTTTGGGGCAGCCATCATGGGTTCCTCCTCCTCCTCGTCATCCATGACAATCTCAATCATACCCGAGGCCAACGATCCAGCAACCGGCGGCTGGTGTCGTACATGTGGCAGCGGGGCTGGAGGGGGAGGAGGGGGGACGGCTAGATGCTGCAGCTCCTTCAAGAAAGTAGCAGGTGCCGAAGGAGGAGGCGGTGGTGGTGGTGGCACCAGGTTGTTCACTTGTCGGCGCCATTCCGTCTCTACAATGTCATCGAGGCCCCTGCCCTCATTGGCACTCCCCTTTCTCCCGAAACGAGTTTGATGAGCAGGTTCCTCGGGGATTGGTGCCGACATGCTTCGCGGAATCATAGGTCGGGATGGGGGTTGATAAACTGTTGACGGCAGTTGGTAAACAGTGGACGGCAGCAATGTCAGCGGCTGCTCCTCCTCCTGTTGCTGCTGCTGCTGCTGCTGCTGCTGAGGCGCTGGTGGCGGCGGTGGCGGCGGTGGTAGTTGATAGTGTTGCTGCTGCTGTTGCTGCTCTTCTTCCCTCTGCACCACCTTCTTCTTCTCCATGTAGTATTGCGGAGAGTATTGTGGTGAGCTCTGCGGGGAATACTTTTGGGAGAATGTTGTGGGAACCGGTGGAGGAGGAAGCTCTTCATACTGGCTATCATCCGACCGGAGAATGAGTCTCATCGCCTTGGGAGTAGCAGGTAGGCCGATTTGGGGTCCGTTTCGCGCATACATGCTCCTCGGAGGTTCTGTCGCAGAGCGAGGAGGGAGGTCATCCGGCAGTATCTCGTCCTCGGCCTCTACCAAAATTGGAGGCCTTCGAGGGGATATCTCGCTTGGGTGGGGGATTTGAGGACCCAGCTGTCGCTTTGCAAGAGATTTTCGACGCTCTTCTAGCTCTCGCGCGGCCTGCTCCTTCTTTCGCTGTCTCTCATCCTTCATTTTCTTCAAGTCACCGGCGTGCTCGGTAGATGCGGCTCGAATGTGGACTGTATGGCTCAACACTGCTGGGACAGCTTCTCGAGACTCTGTCGCCTCTCTTCGTCGGCTTTCTGTGTGTTCACGGCGACTTACGGCGGGAGAATTAACGTTGTGGCCAACGCTCCGGCTATGCTTGGCCCTGAATTCTATTTGGGCCTGCATGGCCGCTCTAAAATCTTCCTCATCCTCTGACCCCTGATAATGCAGGGCAGTCGCCGATAGTGGCACTGGCGATGGTGGCGACCGCGGAGCCGATCGGCTCCTTCCATGGCTAGACGCTCGTCCGCTCGTCTTTCCCTTTGCCACGCTTGCTTTCCGTATCGTGAGGGGCTCAACGTTATTGCTAAAGTTTTGCGTACTAAGAATGGCCAAGTCTTCGGGTGACATTGGAACAGGGGACGTGGGAGATCGTTTCGCCTTTGTCCAAGTTCTGGCAGAAGCTCTACCACGCTCTTCCGAAGGATCGCGCGACTTGGCTCGTCGCTCCCGGCTGCCATGGCGACCGGTGGACACATCTCTGGTCCTTTCATTGCTTCTCGTTCTACTTCCAGCTCTCTTTGTGTAACTCTGAGCCGCCTCCAGGCTATGGATATAATCATCTCTATGCCGGGGGTTCGATTTGTGACTCCGGCCAGCGCTCGAGGTGGATGTAATGGAGCCAGCCACAGATGCGGCACCTGGGCCAGTGCCGCGACGACGAGATGGCCAGTGATAGCGAGAGGACGAGGCGGCAGATTGGTCAGGGGACATGGCGTCCGCCATAGGCGGCTGTGTCTGCAATTGCAGATGCAGATGTGCGGGAATCCGATCACGGGAGCCGTTTCGCTGCGCTGCGTGAACTTCCTGTAATCTGCTCATGATGGTCTGATCGGGGGACGGTGGCCGCTCTCCCGAGTACCCTTGGACGACCCGCTGGTATTGGTCTCTCATCATCATCGGGCTGGCTGTAGCAGCGCGCTGCATCGCAAGACCCGTCGTCAAGTTGTCCTGAGTGGCGGACGACTTGCGAGAATGGCTCGCTCGTTGCGGGGGTGCGTCAACAATCTTTGCGATGTTGTCAATGGGCTTTAGGGTATTTCTATCAAAGGTGGCCTCTCCGATCGAGGGCAATCGGCCACGATTGAAGCCTTGACCGGGGCGAGCTGATGTCGGCGTGTTGAACCTACTATTGCCAGACGGCCGAAGGAACGCAGTCGTAGGATCAAAGGCACCTCCTGGAGATATAGCCGATTCAGCAATAGGCGTTACTCCGGCCGCAATAGGCGTTTGGCCGCCATCAGCCTGCGAGTAGAACTTGGCCTTTTGGTTTGGGTCTCCAAACGACGTGATTAGCTTCAGCGCCGATGCTTTGGCGACACTGCGTTGGGGGCCCCTTTGAACTCCTGGAGGGGACAGTGGAGGGCTCAACATCTCAGGGATACTGGGCGTGATGTTTTGGAAGTTGAGCTGAGCAGCTGATGGCGAGGTCCAAGGCTCTGAGGATTCTTGGTCGGTGCAGGCAAAACAGCGAATCGCCAGCTGTTGCTGGCCGTGCTTAACAGCCCATTCGCCCCATTTACGCACGATGGCAGCCTGTCGCTCCCAGACGCTTGGGAACGCCACGCAAGTGAGGATGAGAGCTTCCATATATCTCTTGTGCGAGATGTAGACTTCAATGGCATCGTTATAGTCGCCCATGCCAAGCATAATCGTCACTGCGACATGGACATCGCCGTTCTCCAAGAGGCGCTGGACGTAGACGCGACCGAGTTTGTGCTGGGATGCCTGGCCGCCGATTCCGCTCAAGGCCAGCAGCATCCAGTCTTGAGAAGTCATATTCTGAGAGCCAGCGGCCATAATATCTTGATCGATATCGCCCAACCACTTTGCGAGCAAGATGCGGTTAGCTGATCCGGCGGGATAGCGGCTCATCTCATCGCGAATTAGGTCGTCCACCTCCTTGTTCCATCCAAAGATGGTGCTGAGCATCTGTCGACGCAAATCGTCATTGGTAGGGTTGGCTTGACCTGTGGGAATCGGATGTTTATATGGAAGATCACTCAGGCGTGAGCGAGTATATTTGAACAGGTCTTGCACCTTGGCATCGTCGGGGCTCCTTGGCACCTCGTGTCTCAAACGAGATGGCCGATGTTTGGACTTGGATGAGGCCAAAGATGGACCACTTGTGCTGGGAAGCGTGTACCCCATCGAATAATTATCCGCCTCCCGCCGCCCAACTGTTGACGTTTTCAAGGAAGAGCCAGCGGAGATATATGTCCCCTCTGTCATCCCTCGCGATCTTAGCGAGCCAGCTTGTCTACCGGGTGTGCGAGAGCCTGTCGAGGACTTTGACAAAGATGACATGCCGCTCTGGCTGGAGGCCGGGCTGCCTGTGTCATATACTTCGTTTCTCACTTCAGGGGGGTTGCGCTTTGCCAGCCGCTGGAAAGGGGACAGGTGGTCGTCATCGCTCTCGGATATGCCCATCTCAAGAGGGACAGAGCTCGACTCGGATTCTGAGGTATGGATGGTCGTTGCAGAGTGCACCGACCGGCCCCCCGTCTCTTCGGAGGTGGGAGGAGATGGCGGAAGAACGCCAGCAGGGTGTTGTACGTTTGCTACCATGATGGCCGGAGAGTTGAGATCAAACTGCTGCACAGTATTGTTTGGCCCAATAGTAAAAAGACTGGCCCCAGGACCATAGACGGCCAGGCCTTTTACATGCTCAAGGGTCGGAATAGAGTCCTTGGTAACATGCTTGGTCCTTACGTCCCACGAAAACGTTTCCCTGTTTAGTAGGTTAGCACAAAAACCGCCAACGAAAGCAGGCCGCCGCGCGCTTAGGTTGTGGCCGGTTGGGAGGGACATACGAGTCTGAGTACTGGATGATGCGGCCGTTCTTGGACCACCCCATCCAATTAGGGCCAGGCAGGAAGTTCTCGTTCCTCCGGAGCACTCTGACCACTTTGGCGGGGTCTTCAGCGTTGTACGACTTGGCCACACTCCAGACCCGCAGATCGCCGTCGTGTGTTTGTACAGCCAGCATGTCTGACTTCTGCCTCGAGGACGACGCATGCCAGGAAAGGGTGACAATAGGTGATGGGCCTCTCGAAGTCGTCAAGTTGTGTAAGATGGTGAATCGAGGCTGTAGAGTTGCGACTAACAGCGATCCGTTTTGATAGCTAAGGTTGGATGGTTCAGTATATGACGGTGGATTGCGGCCTATGATGATGACGACTTACCCGATAGCAAAGGTCCGGCAGTCGGACGAAGGAGCCAATGCTGTCACTGCAATCTGATCAATCGTCCGAGCTGAGATGTGCTCGGATGTTGTCGGTTCAAAAAGGATGATGTTTCCCTGCGTGTTGCCTAGGAGCCAAGTTGTTAGCTAGGCCGTTCAAGCCACCTTGGGATCGCACGATTTTCTCTCACCAAATGCAACATTTCCGTTACGCATCCACGAGGCAACTGTGAGCGTCTCGTACGAAACAAAGCGGGATATCTCATCGCCCGTCATCAGATCCCAGACAATGGCTGTCTGGCCGGCATCATAGCTCACGACAAAACGGCCAGCGCCCATTTCGCTCTGGTTGTCCACAGCAAGAAGCTGGATATCGTCGACGTGCCGTGAGAATCTCCGGTCGATGGTAAGAGTATCATGATGGCAGCATACTATTGTTGGCCCTTGAGCATAGAGGTAGATGGATGCCGTGGCGGCTGATGGGATAAAGTATTTGAGGTCCTTGACGCTCGGCATTTGTCCGAATTCCGGCGGCGCTGGACGGCCTCGTGCGGTCGACGATTTGCCGGACCGGTTGGACGCGGAATGGATATGTGATGCGGAAGACATGGCTGCGGCCTCGCTATTGATGCTTCCACGATGGCCAATTATGCCAGGCCCGAGATTATATTGGCCCGTTTAGTCGGCCTACACCTCTGCCAGCGCAGAGGCAGTTCCCTCCCAACAAGATGCGAAGCACTCCAAGCTCGTGAGACAGCTTCGGTGTCACAGTCCTATCAACAGGCCAAGGTCCGATTCTCTGGGAGCGTTCTCTGGAGTGAGCCCACAAAGTGGCGGCAAGCTGCGGCGTTCTTTAGGTATCGATCATCACATGAAACCCAACTACTGCCCACTCCCGGACACAAGCCTCAGCACTGCAATTCACTGGGGGCCTGGTTTTCTTTGGGCCGTCGACAGGATGGTGGAAGATTATTGTGCTCAGGAAGGAGGAGCGTCGAATTGGTCGATGGCGGGCGAGATGTGAGCTCTGATGTGTCGTCGAGGAGGTTTGACGATGCAAGGCTTAGCCGTAGGAGGCTACGAAGTGAGGTTGGAAAGAAGAAGGCTAGCAGCCTAGCGGAAGAGGGCAGCGTCACGGTTTTGCATATAAGAACAAACTTGTAGGCAAGAAGAATGACGGTTCTCTGTGATGTGCCGGACAGCGTTAGGGGAGGGGCTGATCTGATTAGCTCGGCGCTTGTTCGTGCCGCCCAAGGGATGCTCCTGTTTGGAGGATTAGGAGTAGTAGGTGATGCAGGCGGGTGCAGGAGAGGTTTTGGGCTGGATGCGGAATGGTGGTCACGCAGATGGGAAACAAAGAAAGATGTTACGAATCTTCCGTCTGGTCTCTCTCCGTCGGTCCAGGCCGTGTCTATCCCCCTCTGATGGCCCTCGGCTAGCTCTGTGAGACAAAACAGATGGATGGGATGGCGAGAGAGAAGGAGGAGTAGGTAAAAAGAAATATCGGAGCGGCCCAAGTGCAAGACGGCTACTTGTAAACGTCGCAATACCTGTACATGCGGTCACTCACGCACGGTGAAAGGTCGCTGCTAGCAGTATTAGATGGACATGGACAGGTTGGAGAGGAGGGCTGGATAGGTAGGTAATAAGAGCAGGCTGGGGTGTGATGGGTCCGATGGAGAGGAGCCAGGCGAGCATGGCGCCTATGCGGCCGTGGTTGAGGCCTGTCAATGGATGGGGTTGGCTGCCATATAAAATTAGAGTGCAAAAGTCGCTAACGGCCGTCTTTGGGATGGAGCGGATGCGGTCCGGCAGCTAAAGACCGGCCAATGCGCGTCGACGCAGCCCAGGTACATGCGCATGCCGACAAGATACCTGGGCTTCCATGTTGCGACTATGCTATCTGCAGCATCAACGGCTGGCAAAACAACACATTGACCATGTGCAGAAGTGGTACCTCCCTCTCTCGCTACCGACCGCGTGTACCGAGCAGAGCGCACAGGTGCAAACGTCGCTGCAACGCTGCCATCGCTTGGATCGGTCAGGCAGCTTTTTCGTTTCTTCTTTTTTTTTCTTCTCCGTTACGTCCCAACGAGCCGCCATGGGTTAGGCTCTGCGTCTGCTACGCGCGTGCGCCCGGTGGGCCCAGCTAAGCAGTGAGGCGAAAAGGGCGGGCGAGGCAATGGCGATTCCTAGTCGCCTGAGAGTCAACTGCTCAGATCCTCGAGACGGACGAATTGAAGACAGGTGATGTACACGCGCTAGCGGGCCATGTACCGCTGCTGGAGCAGAATCCCTTGTTGAAAGCCCCTGCTTAGCCTCTCAGGCTGCCCGCGTACCCTTGCCAGACATTGGATATGGGCCTATCAAAGCTTCCAGAGGCATTGAGGTGTCGAAGGGCTTTGGACTTGAACAGCGTCGACTCCGTATCCCATGTCTTGTCCGGAGCAACATTTGCACTCGTTAAGTGAGCAGTAACAGCACCAGCCGATGCTGTATCGTATGCCTGCGCATTAGTCCTCGTACTACGCCTAGCAACCGGGGCTCTTACCCCGACTTGCGGCGCCTTTCACCGTTGCATCGGTGGTTCCACGCTGGCGATCTGGCCTCTGTGCGAGTGCTGGGCCTGGGTGACTGCACGGTACCTTGCAGCTGCGCCTGTGCTGTGATACCGGTTCGCGCCCGCCGCAGCGAGGACGAGCGAGCGCTTCTGAGCTCTGGCCATGGTTCGTGCAGTCGCTGCCGTCCATTTCATTGAGTGCCTTGCCTTATTCCATCGCCACAAGTCATCAGCATCTTCGCTCGGCCTTGGAGACGTTCGAACCAGAGGGGGGGCGCCCAAATGCATGGCTGGAGCTTTTGGCGATTTGGGGCTGCGGTCCAGAGTGGGGCGGCGAGCCCAGACGCTCAATGGCAAGAGCTGTCGAAGCGCCGAGCTGTGTCGCGCCTGCTGATTGGGCGCGCCAAATGCAGGTGCGCGCCGCAGCCTGGCCAATCGGCGGCTCGATCACGCCTGCCTGCAGGGGTCTAATCGCTCAGTCCCGGCCGCTAAGGTCGCCAGCCAGGATCAGGGATGCAGACCTCACTCATCGAGTCTTTCAGTTCAAAATCGCGCCGAGACAGCCAGACAGCTAGACAGACACAAAAAGAAGAACAAAACGGACTTGACTTGACTCGACTCAACCCAACGGACCTCCGGCTGGGGCTGGGGCTGGGGCTGGGGCTGGGGCTCGTCTCGTCTCGTCTCGTCTCGCTAGGCGTGCTCAATTTAATTAATCAAATCGCCAGCGCTGTGCAAGCAAGTGCTTCCGTCACAAAGACAAGACACGGCCCAGCCGCCGTCCGTGGCATGACTCCGCCGTCACAGCAGCATCAGATGATTCGTGAGACAGATTTCAACCTACCAAAACCCAGAGTACAAGTATCGCAATTTCGCCCAAACTCCGTTTCAACTGCTAGTCTCCTCTCAAATCGGCGCGCTAACAAGCTTCCCAGCAATCGGCTCCGCAATCACATCTATCCAGCTGGTTTGTATCTACGGGGTAGGTATATCTTGTTTGCAAAGCAGCCCCTGGTGTGGACTCTTCCGTTACAGCATCATCTTAGCGAAATGGCATGTCCAGATGGACATTGAAAGCTCGTCTGTTTGTACCTTACCCCGTACACAGTGACGAAACACTTGACACACGTGCGACATGCTTGAGAATGTCTTGGAGTCTTATCAAGCTGGCATCCATCCCAGGCTCCTCTCTCCACATGCAAGTCCATTCTTCCGAATCAATACTACTGGTAGACAGAGCTGCCATTGTACCACTTTATCCACCTCATCCGAGGCCACTGCACGAAGGATTCAAGACAGGCGTATATATCACACTACTAGGCAGACAATATATCCTGGCTCGGAGTGGTGATAGCCACTTGAGACATAGGCGCCGGCGACGCTGGTTCCTTGGGCGACCAACACCAAGTTTACTCTATTGGGAATTTCTTGAGGCCCAACAACAACAAACTCGCCAGCTTATATGACTCTAGTCTCGCTTTTCTTTCCGCACCCTGTCGGACTGTGACCTTGTGACGCAGTCTTTTGCTTGGCTTACTATACTTGGTTTCCTCTTTGTCATACTCAATATCTAAAACTATCAAGCCCGGAACGCCACTCGCGGGATGCATTCATCAAAGGTTGTCGAGCATGGCACGGCCACGTTTTATACTCCGAGACAAGACAAAGCGGCCAAAGCTTCTGGATAATCATTTAAATGCACAAGATGCCGGCGTGATGAAATGACGCCCTTTATACATGCACAATACGCCAATATTAGTTTCCCCTGCTGTTCCAACCCCAATTCATCAAAATCAGTCTGCAATATCTCGGAATACTTTCGGATGCCAAGATGTCTCCCGACGTCTTCTTGAACAAGGGTTGGGACGAAGGCTGAGGGGCAGTCGTTATCGTTCGTGTCACACCAGAGCGGAGAGTGTTGAAGTGCGGTGAAGCAAACGAGATCAAGAGCCATGGTATCCATGACGTGAAGTAAGAGTCCGAGCCACCCTTGCCATCCCACATGCCTTAGGTGACAGCTTGTTCCTGCCCAGCCGGTTACTGGCATGTCCGGTTTCGCTTCGGTCGTGATGAAGCACGAGGAAGAATCTCTCGCTTCTCTCACCTCCTGGCCTTGTGGCTCGAAACATTTCCACCAAGAACGGAATCAAATCTTGGCTCTTGTCATGATGTCATAGCACGCTTGTGATGGTTATTTTACTTGTGCAGTATTAATTCTATCTAGGCATTATTCCATCTGTGTTTGTGCAAGAGAAACTTGTAGCACCTCAACTAATCTCTACGAGTTGAGAGCTCCATGTTCAGATAGCTTGTATAGACCCGTACTCAGTAGCTAAAGAAGCCTTGTGAATGCATACTTCTTTTAGCAATGATTCGACGAATTATTGACGTGTCGTGTCCCGACAATTGTAACATCTGAGATCAACTGCCCAACTGAACATGTAAAGTCAAAAGGTTAGTCAAGGTGATTTTTGTGTTTAGCTACCACCATCTACAAACAACCTTTTTTTTTTTTTCAACATCTCAGAAGCAGAAGAAATTGTTTGATGTAGTTAAGGGATTGTGAAAGAGGAGAGTAGTGGATCGGCAAAAATGCTGATGTGAAACGACCTGTGAAAGCTATAAAATAATGAGAATAAGACAAGTAACACTGTTCAAAGGACATTTCTCATAGTTGGTGGACATCTGAAATAGATGTGAAAAAGATGCTCATGCTACTATCTAAAGCAAAACTGGCAGCAAAGTATACAATAAGTCTATATCAATATCCAAATCTGTTCATTGAAGAGAGAGAAGGTGGCTCTTTATATAGTTCTATTGAGCAAGTCCAGCAGTTTGCTTTCAACTGTCCATCTTCCTAACTTCCGGCAATGATAGAAGTATAATCGCTTTTGTGATATCAGGTGGAAGCTTATGTTCCTACAACAGCGTCCAAGGATTTCTACAGTTTTCATTTTCAAGGGGAATCTAAGCTTAGCAAACTGTGAGAGTTGGCTCGATGAAAGGCTATATCAAAGCCATAGTGTAATGCTTCATGGATGAATTGCGTATTTTAGCGATATCAAGTGGTAAGCTATGAGATGTCTTTTCCTCAGACGGTCCATGAAATTAGCCCGCTTGGTTCTGAGAGTAACAAGTGAGGGATAATCTGCCCTCATGGACAATTTCGTTTCTCATTTCGGTTATACGTTGATATACGTTGAATTTTCTTCATCACGCCCACTTACCGAAGATCTAGATCGATCTGGACACTTGTGCTGGAATGGCAGGGATAAACACATGAATGTTTTGAGACAAAGGACGTTACGGTATCAAACCCATATCAGATACCATCAAGTAAACGTAAACAAGCAAAGCCATCCTTCCGGAGTACCAGCATGAGTGGCCAGATTCCCCCAGATTTGCGGTATTAATGAGAGAAAATGCCAACCAGTCACTGCAATGTCAGGCCACAGGCGTAAACACTCACCATCAATTGGTCAGAATGGCATTTTTGAGGTGATTTCGAACAATCTACCTAACATGTGATCAATCTCGGTAGCCCGGGTCTATCAACATAGCCTCGATCAATCACATCGGTTTTGCCTGTCCCTGTGAAGGCTTTTGTTGACATGGCGCTTGCATAGGACGATCCCCCATTTCACACTCACCCTCCCGACATAAAGCTGTGTGCGCTAGTTTGCAGTATCGATCGTATTCAGCCACATGGGAGCGATATCAGAAAGCACCGTGCGATAGGTTACAGCCTGGTCTCAGCTCTGTCTGAAGGAGGTCGCCAAGATGACAGATGCAACCAATCTGCAGCATAGGCTGTCAAAGGACATGAAGTCGAGATCACGACACCTGGGGGGATGGCATGGCCTTCCTATTGAGGAGGAAATGGTTGGCGCCGCTGAGTTCCGATCACATCCATTCACACGCGCATCACACAGGGCGTATAATTAGAATGGAGATGGGCCTGTCCTCGAAAGCGCCTCAAGCATCAGATGATATGGGGAAGGGTGGCTGTTCCCTCCGCTTAACGCGGCGTTTTTGAATCCATTCTGCGTCACAGACTACGACGCCGCAATGAGCAATGAGCAATGGTATTGGCAATGAGATTTCGAACTTGCGTCGATAAAAAAAGAAGATGGCCTTTGAACATGACTGATACGCCGAAAATCCATTGACTCAGCGTTCACGTGGTTCAGTATTTATAGCCAATGGGCATGCAGCATGCATGCAATTGGACGGCATACCCGCGACGAATAAGGTGGCAGCACATCATCTCGACGACTTCATTGGCCAAACCCGCAGCAGATCCCAAGCAGGGATTCTTCTTTGACACTCCCTCTCCAGCCAAGAGAATCAGTTTGTGATAGGGCGGGGGGGGGGGGGGACAGAAGGGAGGGGGCGAAAAACGCTCAGGAAGAAGTTGCTGACGGATTGGACTTTTTCACGTGCTGTGACTGTGTGGACAGAAGGATTCCCCGAGAGCGAAGGTGGCACAGCAAAGGAAACAAAGGACACCTCAGACTAAACTAACAAAAATTCCTCCCCGATGGAGAGGTACAACGTTGCCATCAAAAGACAGGACAGAAAACAAAGAAGAAGACACCATGTCGGGGTCAGCCGGCCCTACCAAGGACGGATTATCTGGCCCACAGTGAGGCCGTAACCATGCTTGGAAGGCGGCCAAGACAATGCTGGTTGACATGAAGTAAAATGAAGTCAACTCTCGGGGAGAAGGAGAGAAAGATCCGGCAAGGGAAGCAAAAAGAAAAAAAGCGTTGTGCCAAGTAGCGACACCCCTCTCGAATCCGGAAGCACGAAAAAGAAGGAGAAAAAAAATTGCAAACGAGAGCTCAGGATTCTCATCAACCCTGCATATGCAGCCCAGACACCCACCAGCAGGAGGATTATGCAAGCTTTTGCAAGCCCACAAGTACCTCCCAATCAACGGGTGTGGCACATCCCGATGTTCGTGTTCGCTGCGCTGCTTTTTCTTAGTCGGCGTGAGAAAAGTTGGTTGCACGAATGAGTAAGCGCGTCGAGGGGGCTTACTACCAGGTCACTATAAACCCAGCTTATCACGCATTTTCTCGCGGTCGCCGGAGAAATAAAGAGCGCAGCAATGAGAAGGCAGGGCGCGAGAGATAAGCGTTTCTTGGTGTCGTGCAAGTTACCGTTCGTAGACTCGGGGCCCGTTTTACACCGACTTCTTAGATTATCAGCTGCAAACGCACATACTATGTATGTATGTATGTATGTATGTATGTATGCCAGCTTGGCTCATGCACTCGGTGAACATGCCGACAAGGATGAATTAATGCCTCCTACAGCAGAACTGCATGCAAGGGAAAGAAAAAGATAATGCAAAGGCACTGAGAGAACACGCCCGCGGCAAATCACAGCAAAGAGTGCGGCGCACGCAATTTGCCGTGCTGTCCATTCACAGCCGGGCACTTGTCGCTGCCCTTCCCCCCCCCTCCCTCCGATCGATCGTGCGAAATCGTGCCTACATGTACATCGTACATTAGACATGCAACCCATCTGCACGTCCGGTGCTTGTTATCACACATCAGGCAGCCCTTTTTTTCATTTACTGGCCGCCCTACATAACATACAAAAAGAGAAAAGTATGTTGGGCAGTTAATCTAATTTTCCCTATCTTTTTTTTTTCTGCCACATCATATATCCAATAAGCCCAATAAAACCAAAAAAGCAAAAAAAGCAAAAGCAAATAAATGAGATATGAAAACTGAGGTTTCTAGCCAGCGCCCTGCATAGATAGCACCCAAGCAAAAACCATCAAAACCACTAGTTTGCCCTTTTTTCAGCCCGCCCAAAAAGCATACCTAGTAGCGGTCCAACCAACGCCGCTCGTTACATTTCGCTCTGCCCGCGACAATCGAATTATCAATTTTACTCCGCACTTACAAAAAAGAAAGGAAAAGAAAAAAACAGGTAATTCGCAAGTAAACTTCTCGCGCGCAGATAGTTAGTAGTAAAACCCCCCCAGTCACGCTCCGAGGGAAAACGCGCGCGCCGCCAAGTCGACAAATCCTGTTGCTTGTCTTATTATACTTTTTTATTCGCGAACCCGTGCTGCAAACAAACCTCAAATCACAATGCCGCATCGAATCAGACCCGAGACACCCCCCCTCTCCATGTGACAATAACAACAACGCGCAGCGAATAGGGCACGTAAATGCGAAAGCCAACCCGGGGCCCAGCGCCACCGAGTCGCACTGCATTGGGTCGGTGAGCGAACCCCCCGTTCCGCCCGCAAGCCTCACCATGCTCGTGGCGCCTGTGAAAGGACCGTCTGGTGTGTGTGTGTGTGTGTGTGTGCCAGACGGTCACCGACTTTCTGTCCAGCCTGCGTTGGCGTGCGCGCAAAGGGCGGCGCTGAGAAAGCGTGTCAGAGCTGAGCCGGAGCGGCTGGCTGAGCGGTGGCAGCAAGCTCTCTCTATTGCCGCGGTCATCGAAATGGGCATCTAAATGCGGTCAATCGGAAAAAGCAACAACTAACCCCAAGTTAAACAGTGGCGCTCATTTGTGGCGGACAAAACACATGGCAATACAATGAATGAATGGATTCAAGCGGAGAAGCAGGTATTGTTTGGAAGAAACTAGTATTGGTAATAAGGGGGTATCTTGTAAGAAAGAAGCTATCTAAACAGTTGCTATGCTAATGATATGCCATGCCAGTCCGTCATAGCGGAGGGCTTCCCAACGCCAAAAGTATGTATCTAAATATGTTCCCAAGCCTGTCGCTCTTCCTTGTGGAAGAGGGTATCCAAAAATTCCCAATGGCCAATGCCCGCTATGATTGATCGCTAAACCCAAAAGCCGAAAAACAAATGAACTCCAAGAATGCCGTCATAAGAATTAAATAGTAGTAAAACGATAAAGGAAACAAGGCTTGTCGTGGTGACGATGACCCCTAACCAAGAGGGGGTTGGATGCGATGAAATGCTCCGGGTATCAAGTGAAGGTCCAAATTGTAAAGGCTTGTGAAAAGAAAAGCCGTGGTAGGCTGACCCAGTTTAGCCGATCTGGCCGCGGTAGAAGAAGAAGAAGTGGAAGAGGGCAATGCCTCGGTGGGGGGCGGGAGGATGAGTCAGATAAGTCGGACCGTGGCCCTCCCGTCGGCATCCCGATTTTGCCCATGAAAGCGCTGCAAATCAATCCTATTGATAGCGCTGTGGTGTGGGTGGCTGTGCTTAGACCACAGCCGGGTCTGGGTCGTAATAGCAGCAAGAAAACAAGTCGTAATCGTCGTGTAATACACCTTTATTGGTGTGTGTTGGTCTATTAGAGGCTTTTCGTAAAAAGCCGGAAGAGGTAAGAGAGAGCCTTGTTGCGCCAGCGCATGACCCAAAGAGTAACTTGTTTACTCGGAAATGGGAGTCATGGAGGCAAGCTTGGACTTGGGGCTCTTCTTGGAGCTGGTGGCAGAGCGGCTCTTCTTCTTGGAGGCCTGCTTGCGGCGCTCCTTCTCAAGCATGATCTGGCGCATGCACTCGCGCTGCAGAGCAAGCTTCTCTCGCTGCATCTCCAGGACCTCGGCGTCAGTCAGGCGGGGAGGCGACTGCATCATGATGGGAGAGGACGAGGCGCTGGAGCTGGCGATGCTGTGGCTGTCATCGTCGAAGGGGTCAGACAGGAGAAGGTCGTCGTCGGAGAGGAAAGAGGTGGCTCGCTCCTCGCGGTCGAACTCGGAGAGAGACTCGCGCCTGGGCCAGGAGGGAAAGGCGCATGAGGCATCTCGGGTTCGAAGGTTGGAGGGGCTGATATCGATGGCGATGGACTTGGCGCTCATGGAGCTGTATGAGCTGTATGAACCGAACATTGTGAATGTGTTTGTGTGTGTGTGAGAGTGTTGATGTGATGGGATATTGTTCCAGAAATCTGGGGTTGAGATGGGTTTTATGTATTGATAAAACCGCTTGGTGGAGTTTGCTCGGCTTCTGTTTGTTGATCTTTTGTGTGTGTGCTTCGGGCGGAACCGTGTGGTGGTGTGGATGCCGAAGGGTGGATGGAGGATTCAGATAGATAAGCTTGTGTTGTGTTGTTGTTTGCTTGAGCAGTAGAGTAGGTTGATGGAGAGCAATGGTGTTTGTATTGGTAAACAAGTGATGTTTGTGATGGCGGACAATGCAGACCGAGCTCTGGAGCCTGGAGGGAGCAGAGGCACTTATAAGGACTCATCACGGGCGGCACATGTGTGAATCATCTGGGAGAGCCGCTCGGCGCTGGGGCAGAAGGGGGGGAATGGGGGAATGGGGGCGCCGTCTGAAGGGGGGGGCGTGGCGCAAGGGAGCCATTGTCATTGCTTTGCCGGGCTGGGGGTTATCAGAAGCAAAGAGGTTGCAGCAAGCCGGTTCCGCTCACCCCCCTCCCCTGCTGTTGCAACCTTTGAGCCTTTGGGGAGATTTGACACGCCCCGACGCCACGCCGCTGGGCTGGAAGACAGACAGACAGACACGGCCTCGGAAAACTGCCAGCCCTATTCCTATTGCCTACTCGTACTAACGGAGAGCCGTACCCGTACCGTTGCACACACGAGCTGGACTGTCGCACGCAAATGGCGGTGTTGTCGCGCCTCGGTTTTTGACCGCCACGCCGGGCGGTCTGATTGGGCCCTTGCGTGCGAGCGGCTGTTGAGTGCTGTGATGCGTGCTGCGCTGGCCGTACCGTGATGCTCGCGTCGTGTGCTGTAGTGTATCAGCACCACACGCTTGTGTCACCCAGGTATCAGCGCGGAGGGATCCCGTATCATCTTGCATCCATCGCATCCTCATCCTCAGTCAGCGTCACGGAACTCGTCTCGCCCAATCCGCCCGACAAACCGCCCAGACAGACACCCAGACACCCAGACACCCAGAGATGACACGCTGCTATTAGGCGGTCCGGGGAAACGCCGTGCTCATCTTGCTAGCAGGAGGGCCGAGCGCAGTCTGAGTCGCAACAAAAAGCCCCCTCGCAAAAAGAAACCCGTACTCTCGGGGCTCGCTCGGCCAGGGCGTGCTCTAGCGGTAGGCTCAACTCTCTGGCTCTCGCTGCGGTACGTACCGGCCAACCAACTGGGTAGGTTGCATCTGGCTGGTGCTGGTGCTGTCACTGTCAACCGGCGCATCTCATGCCCTACTGGTATCGCCAATTTCCCCCCATGTTCAGGCCCCAGCTTTTCCAAAATTCATACTCCCTTCACCCATGCAAAGTGCCTTCGTGTCTCCCTGGCCGCCAAACCCGCCGTTGGGCACCGGGGCACACCGCCCCAGCTTTCCGGTCGGTCAGCCAGCAGGGAGCCCTGGAGCGTCTGCGACAACAAGCCAACGCCAGTTTTGCCGACGGATGGCCTTCCCCGGCATTCCGTTTTGCTGGATCTGCCACATCCTGCGAGGCCTGTCTCAGTCCGGGGGAATCGGAATCGAGCATCGCTGGTGTCTCTGGTCGCGAGCTTGTTTTTTTTTTTTGCTTTTCGTCCCTTGAGAAGGGATGCCAGCTATCTGATAGATCGCAAAGAGGGCGCGAGGGCGGCTCATTTGAGCCGCCACCGTCGGCGGATGGCTCTTCCGCCGGCCACTACTGTATGCTCTCTTGATGCTAATCCACCTCCTGCTTGTGGGCTCAGACAACCGGCATCTCGTAACGGTGCCGGCAGGCAAAAAAAGCAAGACAGAAAAAGATTTGAAGGCCTTAATACAAGTAGCGCTTAGCCAAGCAACCAACCGAAAAGCAACCATGACAGGAGACTCGATGTAAGAAGCAAAACCCAGAGGCAGATTCCCAAAACGGACAGACAAGCCCTCGTTACAGAAGGAGGATGCGATGATTACCATCAGGGCAAGGGAGGTGAGATGAATTAGAAAACGGGCCGCGACGGAGAATAACCGTGAGCACAATAAACATTACGGAGTAATACTATGTACTGGATGGCATCACCCCAGGCGGAGAAAGGCCGTCGTGGACTAACGGAGGCAGCACAACCCGTGCTCAAGCACCAGGCACTGGTTGGGCAAGAAGCGCTGACTGAGTGCCACGACCAGAACAGCGCTTGGGGGTACGAGTACGTGCGTGGGCTCGTAGCGGGCCGACACTCCCCTCAAGCGTACTGCTGGGTAGCCCAACAACTGCAACTGCGTGCTCTCGCAGCCAAGACAGCTCGTCCCAACTCGTATGTACTTCGTACTTCGTAAACGCAGCACGCACAGAGGCAGTTCGTCCATGTACCATGACGGCGATACGGAGTCGAATCCTGCCGCCACCTCCAACCGGCAGGTCGCTAACGTCGCCAGCTCGACAGTTTGTCGCCAGTCATGCCGCCCTTTGCAGTGGCCGCCCGCCCACCAGCTGCGTCTGCGCCCTGCCATTGGGCCGACAGCCAGGCGGTCAGGACTGTGTCGCAGCCTGATCGGGGTCCTCTGATCGCACCCATACATGATAAGGCACTCGATACTGTAGTGCTACCTGGGCGACACCTCCATCGTCCCCGGTAGTGCTGGGGGACGTGTGCCTGCTAAGGCAGTGGGCTGCTGTATGCGTGTCCACGACATTGGATTTCTGGCTGCTGGCGCCTGGACAGCTCACCGTGCTGCGAGGGGAAAACCGCCAGCTGGCCGTTTCCCCTCATGAGTCAGTCAGTCCATGGTGTTTTTTTCGTGCACCGCCATTTCCCCCTCATCATTGACGTGACGTGAGGCAGGCAGACAGGCAGTCATAGTCATGCCGGGGAAAGTCGAAACGGCCACTGCTATTTCTGGAGGGGAACCCATCTCGCCATGCCAGCCATGCCAGCCATGCCAGCCATGCCAGCCATACCATGCTATGGCTGTGCGATGACAGCACCGAGCTTCGCAGTCAGACGCCCCCCCGAGAGCCTAACATCGGCCTCCTGCCCGGACAAGCATCCATTCTATTATTACACTGGGCGATTCCGGGGGCGGCTTACATACTCGCATCGTGTTCGCAAGGCTGTCGTGATCCTACTGGTTACGAGTGCAACAGTACATTATCTCTCGGGCTGGAATGCCTCCGCTCGGCACACAGATTTACAGTCAGATTCATTAATCTGGCATCCCGGCATGGCGGACCCTGTGCTACGTAGCATGCTGCATTATCTATCAGCGTTATCGGGATGCAGTCCCGTACTCTTACATACGAGGGCTCATACCCATACCCTACTAACCTTACCTGTTACACGTGCTACCCTGTGTCTGGAGTACGAAATACCGACTATGGATGGCACTTTGGCTGCCACCTACTGCTACTGTAATTACTGTAATTGCTGTAATTACTGTATTGTTGCCGCACCATCCACTTGGTCAGCGAATGCACGTACTCATGCAATCTTATTCCGTAGCTGCCGTCGGGCACATCCAGCCCGTCGAGTCTCGAGGATTCCAAAGAGCTTCTCTGACGTCAGTCGCAGCCACACCAACCAAGGCTGATATCCTGTTTTGGAGTCGCAACACAGACGACAAATCTCGCTCCGACCGCCGGATTGCAAATAACATGTGAAATTATCACGCAACGGCGAAAGCGAAGGCAAATCATAGCCCTTAGTAAGATTTCTAATACTATACTTGCCTATTTGAATACGCACTTCTAGTTGATTCCAATTTTACCCGAAAGGCGTGTAGATCCCTTGCCAAGCTTCTTGCTCAACATCGTCGCCGGGGCATTTCCAGAGCCGAGGATGGCTAGGGCACGGAACCCGCTTGTCACCACCGCTTGGGAACAAGGTGAAAATGCAAATGAAAAAAATATTAACAAAATCTCCTCCTTTCTCATGATTTACCCAAGTCCCTTTACAAGAGAAGGAAAAATTTTCCCCTCCCCAGTCTGCCATGCTGGCCGTGCATAGAGTGGGCTCGGCATCTCGCTTGACGCCCATATCTCTTGGTGGACGGGGCGTGCATCGAGTAGAGGATACTCGTAGTTGCATGGATCCTGACTTGCCTACAGCCAGTCCAGTTGTTATCTATCAGATGGAGTCAAACTGCATCTTGCAGCATGCATCACGCACGCATACATACATAGTAGCACATCTCAGCGATGCACAGGCTCTGACCGCTCCTGCAAGATGCACCTCTGACATACGCGACACACCGGGCCAAGACAAACTACGGTAGAGTGCACACCGCACCGCACGAGCACGACTCCAAAACCGCCGAATCGACCTTCTACCGCTTCCGTCGCCTAAAAGGCCTTCTGGCTAAGAGAGAAAAGGAGCACGGGTCTTCTGATGGCCAGGCTTTACCCAGTAGCTTAAATTACTAGGTTGGCACGCGGAAGTCGTCCATAGAGCAGAATCCCCACTGGCCAGGGCCGGCCCGGGTCCCTAGTTTTTGCTCTCTCTCACTCTCTCTCGCACTCTCTCGTTTTGTTGCTGGACCCTGGAGACGGAATCCCCGGCTCTCCACTCGGACCAAAACAGCGCTCTTGTAAGAGAAGAACCCCCGTCTACGCATTGTTCCAAAGATCCTTCGGTGCTTTTCGTTTCAGATCAGTGCAATCTTATGGTTGATCCAGGATGTTGATGACCATCCTTGCTCTTGCTGCTTCTCCCATGCAGCGGAACCATCGATACCGTGCCCCGGTGGAGGATTACAGCAATGCTAAAGCTAGAGCATGGATTGATCTCTCTTTTTTTCCCCCGTGGCCTAGCCTAACCAAGCCAACGGCATGACAGCTGCCGTTTCCAAGTCTAGTACGGGTAGGCAAGTTTACCTACCTAGGTAAATGGCACACGGGAGAAGAGCGAAAAATTTTTTCCTTTGCTTCTCCCACCAACGGAAGAAATTTCTCCGTCACACAGAGGTAAGCAGCCTATCTATGGATTACTATTGGACTTTTGAGCGACAGCCGAGATAACTAGAAGGTAAGTTATTTTCCGGAGGATTAGTTTTTTGCAATTTTGTCTTCCTAGCTCTTTGAGCACGAGCAATGGCAATCAATCGGTAGATGCCAATTGCTTTACCGAATTGACACGATCAGGTGAACATTGCGCTGCTACATGTGCATACGCTACGCCTCGTGGAGCCCGATTTCCAACAGATTTTGGGCACCAACCCAATCCACTTGGAGTGGGATTTTCATCTCTCGGAGATGGGGGAGGGACGATCAGCGACACACATGTGACTCCATCGTGTGGGTTTCTGCTGCTTTGCTTCGTGGCGGCCCTTGTCTAGCACCTCGAACGGGATCAAAGGTGAAGGAGGACCCCTTGGGACTAGGAATAAAGGCTCCTACGATTGCTAGGACGGACACTAGTCGTTGTCACATACCTAGACTACGGTCCGTTTTTCGACTCCACCGAGAGGTTGTAGCCAGCTGTCAGCTACTAGCAGGTGTCCGGAGTCATGGCAGCGAGAGCCGGTCCGTCTCGTGGAAACATTTTGCGGATTTCGAACATTCTAAAGGGTGGGGCCAATTTCCCGTCCAACCGGCAACGAGCTTCGGCTTTTCTCTCGTGGTTTTGACACTTCCACGGCTAAATGGCAACTCGCCGCGTGGAAAAAGAAAGGCGCCACCACCGAATGCGGCGACAAACCGAGAAAAGCCATCATTTGGTTTTCTGTTTCAACGCCTGGTCAGTGGCGTCTGGGTGTCTCGGGGCTCGGTGCTCGCGATGGCTTCTTTTTGCTGCCTGCTGATGTGAGTTTCGCAGAAAGTTGTGAGCTTTTGTCCGGAGCAGCAAATCAATGCCCAACAGCCTTTTTTCTTACTCGTACAGCGCCCTTCCAACGCGCGGCTCATTGCGCGTCACCAGAGAGAGCAGAAAGCTTCGCTCAATCTTGAAAAGGTTAAACGGTGATGAGCGTGAAATCCCAGAACACATGCCCTTGATGACACTCGTGAAGAAGAGATCTCGGTTCTGGCGTCGGATGAATGGTTCCAGCCAGCCGACGGCCAGGCACCGATATTTCGACCTTGGCATCCGCTCGCCCTAGCAGTGACGGTAAGAGCCACGAGGGTTTGGCGGACCGCGGCTTTGGGCTCTCACCTCTCTGATCCCCGAGGCCGGTAAATGAGCTTCTCCGGCTTCTTGGGAATTAGGCCGGATCCCAAGTTTAGCCCGGGCAGGGAGCAAAGTTCGGGTTTCGCTCGGGTAAACTAATATTAAAGAGCAAATGGCGTCAAGATGAAGGGGGAGGAGAGAGAGAAGGGGAGGGGTGTGTTGCTACTCTACGCTACGACTCAAGTCCCGAGTAATGAGTAATGAACGCTGTCCTAGTCGGTTTCGAAGACTTGGGGCTGGGACAATGCTGCTAAAGCGCGGCACGCCCCTAGCTTATTCAGCTCTCCCCAGGAAATTTGACAGCCAGCCCAAGCCACATGGACAATGAAACCAAATGTGGCTTGGCCACGGTTAGTATTTCGGTTTGCAAATGCTACGTTGGGTAATCCATCCTCACATGTCCACGTGTGGCGCATCGGCGTCGCGTCTGAGCTCCGTTCAATTTCTCGGATCGCTTCCCCGGCCGCGAGCCCCTGCTTCCCAAAAGACAAATTCACATCCCCCGACATGGATCGTGGGTTTTTCCGCTTTAGGAATGCGCCAGAGAGAAGACGAACGCCTTTTTGGAGCCCGATTCCCTAAGTATTTCCTTTCTTTTTTCTTTCAAGGGGGGGGGGGGGGGGGGGTTGATTAGTTCCCAACGCCATGGAACGTCGCGAGTCGGCCCCTGCATGTAGCATCTGAAAGCTGCCTCCTCTGTCCAATCCCGGCCGCCGGATCGCTTCCGGTGGTTAGTTCTGGTCTTGCTTGACTCTCTTTTCTTTTTCCTTCTTACGAGTGCCCATATACGGTAACTTTTTAGTCTTGTTGCCGTACTTTTGGTATTTCGCCTACGACAGCTGAAAAAGCTGGCTTGATCAATATCACAACTCAGATTCTCTCTTCGCCCCTGAAGCGACATGTCGTGCAGCAGAAATACGTCCCAGCTGCGCGGAGCACGGCGTTAACGAGCCATGAAACCGGTTCCTTGGGACGGGAGAGAGAGAGAGAGACGGGAAGGGGAGAAAGAGGCGAAGTGTATCCATCACGACGCGAAATTGGAAGAAGCTATTTCAAAACGTGGGAGCCCAAGATTTCACTCTCCCAAAGCTCGGTCCGCACGTTGCATCTCCAGGGGTTTTTCTCTTCCACACACGCCCTCTAAAAATTTTTACCGTCCCGCGATTCTGGGTCCCGAGTGCGATTCCCTCGGCGCTGTTTCTTCTCACCGAGGACCTATTTTTTGCCCTGCCATGGGTTGCTAAATTGTCCACTCTTGCTCCTCTGAAATAACGCGGGCCCCCCTCCCCTGGTGATTAAAGTGAGGTCCCCACAGTTGGCCCGAGTACTTGGGTTTTTGCAACCGCGTGGCGCTGGGCCGCGGAAGCAGGCCCGGGGAAACCGGGGGCGAGAAATCCGGATTACACGCAGGAAATTTCCTGCATATGTAAGCATGCAGAGAAGGGAGAGAGGGCCTGCACGGAGTATTAAGAGGGAAGGGGAGGAGAAATATATGCGGGGAAGGGCAGGAAAAAGGGGAGCTCTTCTTAGTCATTTTTTGGCGTGCTTTTTCCCAATTGGAAACAAAAGGCGTCATTGGTCTAGGGGTTAGGATTCAACTCTTCCATTTAACCATTGAAAAGTTGAGGCCCGGATTCGAGTTCCGGATGACGCATTTTTTTGATTCTCGTCACAACGCAGACATATATATATTTTTTTGGTCCAGTCTTTGAATAGTTAGTGATTGATAATGCTGAACTGTATATAGGTGTGGTTTACAGATGATACGGAATCAACTGGTCTGTGAAAGTTGATTGATACAAAGTCGTGATAGCTCGCCTACCCGGGATAAAATCGATGTAAAGCGATGAGATATCTTTGCTTTTCTTCTCTGACACGCGAGGAATTGTCTTTGTAATTACCATTGTAACATCGTAATCTCTCTGGATTCCATGGTCTATATAGCATAATATCCAATAAAGGGACCTCTTCCGCTCCCTCACCGAGCTCCCCGTCCAGATCTCTCTCGGCATCCACTTTTCGTTGCCGACTTGGACGCCGTCACGGCTCCAGCATGGATCACTCAGCCAAGTAACAACTCCACTGGCCGTGCGCCGGCTCTCGTCAGTCCATGCTTCTGCTGCCAGACCAGTGCCGGCATCCGTATGGGGACAGTCATACGCAGATCCATAAGAGAGCATGGCATGGCTCTCCCGTGCCGGATGGCGCCAGGCACAAGGGGCACCAAATCGGGACCAAGGGCATCTCGATTATGCAACACAGAGTAGTCACATGGGCTCTTCAGGCAGGTGGTGAGCGGGAGCCCGCTCCCGTGTCGCTTGGACGATGTGTATGAAAATAGGGCAAAGTTGCCCCCGGGGACAGTATTACCTATGTATGTACTTGTATATCTGTCAAAGCCACCCCCCAAGAAAACCAGACGCCAAACACCGCTGCCTATGATCCAAGTTGCGGGACGTAAAACGGCTTTGTGCCCGCTCTAACTGCGCAGGGCATCTAATCGATTTCTCATCTGGTCCATCATTGCCTCGGCGTCCTCCTCGTCCTCCTCTTCTTCCGCCACCAGTTTCTCCGGCTCGGGGAGCGGCGCGGCGGGAAGGGACGGCTCTTTCCTGTCCTTGAGGACCTCGCCCAGGATCTTTTCAATCTCACCCTCGGCCTCTTCATCTTCTCCGAGCATGTCCACGTCCTCAGGCAGCGTCTCATCGATCATCTCCTCGATGATGCCCGCCTTCATCAGCTCGACGCTCAGTTCCCGCATCGTGCCGGATAACTCGGGCAGTCGGATGAGGGTATTGACGTCCTTCATGATGCCGACGCTGGCTCGGATAGAGCCCTCAATCTTGCGAACTGCAAAGGCTTCGTTGACTTGCATCTGCACCGAGTTGAGCTGGGCCTTTGACGTCACTAGCCGCGCCGACGTCTTCCGGGCCCGGACCAGCTCGCGCGCAAAGTCTCGGACTTCCTTCTGCGCTTGCTTGGCCCGCGTGGGATCTCGCTGAGCGCGCTTGTCTGCTTGTAGGATGAGGTTCTTGGTCTTGATCTCGACCTGCTTGACCTGAGTGATGTCGCGATCGAGTTTTCGGATGTTGGCCCTGAGCAGAGCGTTGCATTTTCGCATCTGTTGGGTTTCTGGTAAGTCCATGGCCGACGGGCTAACTTGTAAAAAATCGGTGAGGGAACAAAGCGCCGTACCTGCTGCTGGGGATCTGGCTTTGCGAATAGGGATTTAAACGTCTCCATGGCGATGGCGGGAGGATGCTGCGTGCGCGGGCTCGAAGCCCAATGCTAAACAAGACGCAGGCTGGCGGTCTATCTCATCCGCAGGGCAGAAGCGCAAAGACGGCGGCGGTGGAGCCGAGGCTTTGGCCGGATATGCGTGGTGACGAGGATCTCTTCCTCTTATCTCGGTGAGAAGGTTCAGGGCGGCAGCCTTGGGGAAGACGGACTCGTCACTGTGTCGAGGCTGGTGGCAGCCACAGTGTGGCTTGACTCAGGCCAGTCCGAGCATTACCCCGCCGCAAGGTCTGGCGGCTGCTGAATGTCGCCGAGAAGGGAAATATCTCAGCAAAGCAGGCAGAAGAGAATGGGAGCCCGTGGTTATTCAGCATCCTGAGTCTCAAATCCAAAAGGTTGTGATGATGAGAGACTAGAGGAATGTGTTGATTGTAGAAACATATGGAATTGGGTATATGTTCTAGGACCTAGGAAGATTTACTCATCGTCTTGTTACGGCACTTGAACTCCACGTAGTCTCTAGGATCTTGAATAGGTAGCCAACTTGGAATGCTGAATAGGCACCGAGCTACTCCTCATAGGAATGGGCCATGGCGAAAGGGAGATGATATCAACAATACTAGGCTAATTCAATTAGTTGACGGTATAGCATTGAGAGGATTGAGAGTCTCAACCTCTGATATGGTCCGCTGGAGTGCCCTGGAGCCTACCTCCCCAACTCCCCAACCAACCATTGACCTAGAGCTGATCCATGCTGACGAGCTTCATGTAATCATTTGTGTCTGCCCGTAACAAAGAACTGGTGTGGCGCAGATGCGAACACGCTATGGCAAATGCAGGCGTTAGCGCGGTACCTGATGTTCGCATCTGCCGCCGCGCTGGGGAGGGGTACCGCCGCATCGTGCCCCTCATCAGCCCTGCCGCCAAATCTTTTGCCTTCTGACGCTTTCCATAACCAACCTTGGATCGTTTCACTCAAACTGCTCCCAGCCTTACTCTCTTGCTTCCGCCTAAGCAACTTCCTCCATCCCAATCCACCCGCCCTCTACGCCCAAACCTCGCTGGCCTTGCCAATCTCTTGCCTTCAACCAACCTCGACTCTTAATAGCAACCCCCGCACACACACGCCATGGCTGAGACGTTGACTCCCGAAGGTGTGTTCCTCTGCCCGGCCGCGTTTGTCTGCTGCCCTGGACACGCATGCTTCCCTCCCATGACGCCCTCGTGCTTCTAGCAGCCGCGTCGCTTCTACGATGCTCCGGTTGCCTCGAATTGCTAGAGCGGCGTCATTTACACTGGAATCCAAAGCTGACGCTGTTGTCTCCAAACCTCTAGTTCTCTGGGCCCAGCGCTCCTCTGTGGCCGACCCTGCCAAGAACTTCATCTACCTGACCATCTCCGTCCCCGACGTCTCCAAAGAAGATATTCAGCTGGATCTGAAGCCCACCGGCGTGACCTTCACCGGCACCTCAGCTACCCTTAAGAAGAAGTACCATGTCGGGCTTGAGCTGTACGCCGAGATCGACCCTGCTGAGAGCCGTGTTAACCACACTGCCAAGAACATTGAGATGAAGCTGCAGAAGAAGGAGCTCAAGGAGGAGTACTGGCCGCGGTTGCTCAAGGATTCCAAGAGACTTCACTTCCTCAAGACCGACTTCGACAAGTGGGTTGACGAGGATGAGCAGAACGAGGCTGCTGATGACGACATGTCCAAGTTCGGAGACATGGGTACGTAAAGCTCCGTGCTGCACCAAGGTGCCTGGCTATATATAGAGACGATCGTTTTCTAACATTGTGGTGAAATAGGCGGCATGCCCGGAATGGGTACGTGACAATGAAACATCCAACCCCCACCGCTCTACGCTCTCTATTCTCCATTTCTTTAATCGTTCAAAAGGCTAACTATTCTTGCTCCCCAGGCGGCGACTTCGGCGGTATCGACTTCTCCAAGCTGGGAGGCGGCGCTGGCGGCATGCCCGACATGAGCGGCATGGGTCTGGAGGGCATGCCCGAGTACAGCAGCTCCGGAAACCCCGAGGACGACTCTGACGAGGAAGACGACGAGGACATGCCCGGGCTTGAGGGCGAGGAGGAAAAGAAGGCCGAGGGCGAGGCCGCACCAAAGGCGTAAACTGGGCCATTTTAATGAGATACACTGGAAACGGATCTTGGCGAGTGCCTCATTTTTTATGACCGACGGCAAGTACTTGGGAGTACGGATTCTTAAATTTAAAAAATCTTTTTAAACTACATCACCTCGATTGTTCCAAAGTGTTTTTGTCTTTTTTCATTTGTCCTTTTTCCGGTGTCTCGTGCAAAGGAACTCTTTAAGAGTTGGAAGGGGGCCTTGAGTAGCGGCACCGTCTGTATCAATCTACTGCGTGCATGTTGCCCTAGGTAGTTATTTGCCCTTGACTACCTTAGTAACTACTATCTCAACTCATGACCTGTTGAGGTTCAAAACCCCGCGTGTGTCTTTAATTAACGGCCATTCCCCCATCTTTAATTATCAACACCTAACGGGATGGGTGTGTTGCTCCTTGGAAAACATTTCACTCACCTCCAGGGCAGTTTCTTTCATTTACACATCATCATTTCGAGCCGCTTCATATTGTCAGGTATTTCGCTTATTATTAGACTAGTATTTATCATACTTGACAGCACCCGACTGCACGCTTCACTCCAGTGGGAGGAACAAAGCTGAAAAAAAAGACCAAAAAAAAAGCAAACAACCGGCGTCGAAAGGAGTATATACTCCAAAGCTTCCTAACCACCCTAAACATTCTGTTATAGTAGCAACACCATCTCCGTGAGCGACTTCGAATGGCGCATTATACCCTAGCGCGTGCTGAGCCAGTTTCAACTTTTTTTTTTCTTGTTTATGCATTGATATCTAAACCACGAGTCCATGGAACGCCTGCCATCACACCCATTATAGGAAAATATGTAAAGTACCGTCATTACTGTATCGTAATTAGCCGTGTCCTCGTTGCTGGAAGAATTCAAACATACCATAATCTCATCCTCCATGGGAGCGTCGCCGTTGGTAGGAGCAGGGGCAGCAGCCGGAGCGGCACCGGCGGCCTCGTTGTTATTGGCACCAACGAAGTAGTCTGCCATCTCCGAATCGAGCTCTTCAGCAGTCTTCTTGGCAGGGCGGGCATTGCGACCGCGGCGCTTCTTGTTAGCATTCGCGGCAGCTCCCTTAGCACCGCCGGCCTTGGCGGCAGTGTTGTTCTGCTTCTTGCCAGCGGCAGATTTGGGCTGGGCCTTGGGTTGACTATGTTAAATGTCAGCCTATGTTCGTTGTTGCGGAAACTGAGTCGGTGAGACAAACGTTGTGCGCTCAGCAAGAGTCTTGATCGGGGGAATGACTTTGTCGGCCTGGGCGGCTCCGACAATGATTTCAATCTGTGTATTCCACGGTAAGCTTACATCACCCCAATTCCTGTTTGGCAGAAATAATTTACCTTGATCGGACGGCCGTCCACCAACAGTCCGTTCAGGGTCTGAAGCGCCTTAGAGGCACCCTCAGGCTTGCTGAAGGTGACATTGGCAATACCTCGGCTCTGGGAGTTGGGGCCGTAGGACAGTTCAACCTTCTTGATGGGGCCGACAGATTGAACAAAGTATTCCTAGGGAGCAAGTAGTGTCAGTTAATCGGAAGCGAAGGGTTGTACAAGCATGCTGTCTCCGACTTCGAGTGTTTCGCCGATCCAGTCCCAGAACATCGCACCACTTCGATGGAATAGAAAATGTAAGAAGACCCAGCGAGCATAGCAGTGAGCAGCAAACCAGGATGCAGCACAAAAAGAGCGTAGAGCAGTAATTCCCCCAGGAAGAAAACGGAACACAAAAAGAACAAGGGTGTCAAAAGATTCCGAATGTGTGACCCGAGAACTAGGCTTGATGGATGCACAAGTGACGAAATGAAAATTCGAAATGACGCCCATGCACCGACATTCATTTGAACCAGCCCCCTCAAGTGCAACTGCGCTCAAAGTAGATAGGCCCTTGACATGAAAATATGGGATTCCTGGATATACGTGCCCACTGCATTGCTCGCTCGACCGACCGACCGGCTGATGCCAGTAATATTTCTCATGCTCAAAGGCAGTTTCTCATCGCCACTACGCTTCCGCGTTTTGTAGTAGAGAGTTGCCACAGCCTCATGGAGTAATCGCATGCTTCGATCAATACTGACCAGGTATTTGGAAGCATTCTGTGCGATGCGACAACGAGGATGGTCTCGACTTGCCAATGCTGCGCGTGCCGTTGTGAAACGAGCGCTGTCAAAGGAAGGAGACTTGAGCAGTACAATGGCTTAAGCCACAAAGGCAATATGAAAGCCTCTCAGAGGGATGGCCGTCTCGATGAATCAAGTACGGCGAGGAAGAAAACGTCGAACAAAGTCCGGAGACGAAATAGGTCTCAACGGAAACATACCTTGATCTGCTTCTCCGTCACGTCCTTGGGCTAGGCGGCATTAGCGGGTGCCTCTTTCTTAGTCGAGCAGGAGTTGGGCGACTTACCAAATTGCTGACGATGACTTTGCTGTCGCCGCTAGGAAGAGCAGCCTTGATGGGTGTAGCCTTTGCGGCAGAGCCACGAGCAGGCTTAGCAGTCGTCTTCTGAATACCGCCGGCAGGGGCGGTAGGAGTAGGGCGACCGGTGGTTGTTCGTCGCAGGGAGCGGCGGCGAACAGAGTCGCGGCGCTTGGCGCTGACGATCTCGTCAAGAGGCTTGTCAAGCTTGGTAGACATGATGAAGAGTTTGGAAGTCGATGGAAGCTGTGAGAAATGTAGGCGGAAGAAAAAACTGTCGAAGAGCGGTGTCGACAGCGGCTGGTCAGGATTGACAAAAGAAACAGTCAATCAGGAATAGATGGTCAAGGATGAAGAATCGCGAGTAGCGGCTCCAATCAAGCTTAACAAAGGAATGCGCGAGGGTTCGTCGACGGTGGCTCAGATCACAAAGAGAGTGCGAGGCAAGGAAGCTTCGGCAAGGGCGCGTTTTTCAGTTGTCAAACGGGCTGGAAGTTTCGGCCAGAGAGAGAAAAAAACCAGCTGCAGTCCAGCAAGGTGTAGAGGTCGGAGATGAAGAGCGGGTTTGGTGTGCTTGCGGCTGGCGAAGACACAGAATTGGGCTTTGGAATGGAGATGCGAGAGGAAAAGGCGAGGTTGAGAAGAGGGGAGTGCGAGCGATGGATAAATAACCGTACCAACGCGGGCGCAGGAACGCGTGCCTGGGAGAGAGAGGCTCAGCGCTGCTGCTGGCTGCTAGCGCATTGGAAACAGGGGGCCTCCCTTCTGTTGAACCCTTCTAATGCGCCGCACGTGGAGGTACTTGGCGCCAGCCACAGCACACTGCCAAAGCGCTTGTACCTTTCGGCCGCCTGTTTTTCCCGTTCCCACGGCAGAAAGTCGTCGAATCAGTCAGCCAGCTCGACTTATAGTAATAACTTGCAGTCGAATTTGGTGAGACAAGTCAGCCCAGGCCGCTAATGCAATAAGCAATTCCAGGCCTGGCATAAGCCACGATGCCCATCTGCGCGTGCTGCCGGCGGTGGGTATCGCGGGCGGCGGTATGTGCATAGACCCCGTTGGCAGACATGTTTTCGCCACCGATCTCTTGGGGAATATGACAGTAATGAGGCGGGCCTTGTACGGGGGTCTTACTATCTCGAGCCTCCCTGGCTTGGCTTATTACTACTACCTAGTAGGTAGAGTCGGGATTTGTTTAGCAGCCTCGTCTCTGGGAGTATTAATCATTGGTATATAGAATATGAAATTGCTCTTATAGATGAGCTCGTAACGGACAGATGGAATACGCAATTCACTGGATCCTTCCATGCGCATGGTGCTGGTGTGGAGGGACGACAGAGGGGGCGCTACTAATACTCTACATGTCATACGAGTACATGATTGTCCATACGATGCATGGCTGATATTATTTGAAACTGCTTCCTGGGCAACTGCAGGCTGACCTGCAGTGGGAAGAGCAAGCACGCCGGCACAGACATGGCGGCGCTTGGCGATTGGATTGATAGACATAGAGTCCGCCAGGTGTATCCTTGAAGCATGTGTTGGTCAGCTATTGGGATCATTGAGAAATTCCAAAGATCGATTGAGATGTTTTGGACGTGGTTATTCTATGCCGATTGCCCGCGTAGCCTCTCCTGCTCTCTGCCTTTTAAATGGTATCAAAAGCTGGCATTCCTTGTCCTCAATGTCCTGCCACCAACTCGAAAACGCTGCCTGGTTCTTGCTCCGCCATCCCGCTAAATTTTGTCCTTTCAGATACATGTTGATTCTGTCGTGCAATTCATTCGTCCGTTCGATTCTATGCTGCATGACTTCGATGCGCCAGTGGCGTATTATTGCACTTGTTTCCTCTCGATGCCCCTCGCTACCCTCATGATGCCTTCTTTACCGCGGCGGCTGACTTGTCTTGTGAGTTCACTTCCAGGAAGTGGTATACCACAATGAGCACCATGGAAATAGAGCCCAGGAAGATGGCAAGCTTGTAGAGCTCGTCGTCGGAAATCATGGTGAAGGCGCTGGAGCTGGAGCTTGATCTAAGTTGAGCTATACGGAATACCGCAATCTAATGGCTGAAGAAGCGCCAATTGGTCAGTTGCGATCCAGAGGTAATGCGCAGCAGGCCAGCTTGGATATCCCATACTCACCTAGGACGCTGGTATGGTCGTGATGACAAGCTCTAGATTTGACAGCCGTCGGCGCAACGCTGCTAGAAGGACACCTGTATCTGTATAGCTCGGGCTGACGACGTGTTGCATTGGCCAGTTCTCGACTCCAGATGCGGCCTAGCCTGTCTGATGAGAGAGATCAATGTACTTTGTACCTGCTGAGGCAGCGACCTGCCTCAAGCGGTGGGAAAATGCGGGCCTCCCACGTGACCACAGTGACTTCATCCGCCCACTGGACTTTAACAACCCACCAAACTTAGACCCAACTTGTGTCCCGCGAAGAATCGCCGCCACAGCTTAAAAAAAAGTTTCCTATTTCTTTGACCCTCCTTTGACAGGACATTTTCAGGGATAGGAAGAGAGGGGCGTCAGGGATATCAAATACTCATTCTAGATTGGTTCTTTCGGCGCATCTACTTTTTGCATTTTACCGTATACCATTGCCTTTTCTCCCCCCCACTAGAAGCGACCACCGTCCACTGTCCATCGATCGCCCATCATGCCGCCGAAGAAGGAGAAGCCAGCCGGCGGCAAGAAGCCATCTGCCGCCAAGTTGGTAGAAGATAGGACCTTTGGCATGAAGAACAAAAAAGGAGCACAGGCCCAGAAACAAATCCAGCAGATGACGGCCAACCTGAAGGGCAGTGGTAGTGCCGAAGAGAGGAAGAAGGCCGCCGAGAAGGCCCAGCGTGAGAAGGAGAAGAAGGCAGCAGAAGATGCCAAGAGAGAGACAGCAGCTCTGCTGAACAAGCCAGCCCAGATCCAAAAGGTGCCTTTCGGCGTGGATCCCAAAACGGTCGTCTGCATATTCTACAAAAAGGGCGACTGCGAAAAGGGAAAGAAGTGCAAGTTTGCTCACGACTTGAGCGTCGAACGAAAGACGGAGAAGAAGAACTTATACACGGATGGTAGGCAAGAGGAGGAAGAGAAAAAGAAGCAGGAGACTTCTGCAGACTGGACCGAAGAGCAGTTGATGAAGGTTGTCCTGTCGAAGAAGGGCAACCAGAAGACCACAACGGACAAAGTGTGCAAGTTCTTCATCCAGGCCATCGAGGATGGCAAGTATGGTTGGTTTTGGATATGTCCAAATGGTGGTGACAAGTGCATGTACAAGCACGCCCTCCCACCTGGGTACGTCAATTGGATTCTACAGTCTCACAATCGCCGTAGATTACTAACTTGGTGGTTTCTAGATTTGTTCTCAAGACAAAGGAGCAGAGAGCAGCGGAGAAGGCATTGCTTGATAAATCGCCGCTCAAGACTCTGACTCTTGAAGATTTCCTGGAATCGGAGCGCCACAAACTTACAGGAACCCTGACACCAGTCACCCCAGAGACCTTTGCCAAATGGAAGAAGGAACGCTTGGACAAGAAGGCAGCTGAGGAACAGGCTCGCAAGGCCAAGGACAACACTGGTCGTGCTCTCTTCGAGAGCGGCAAGTGGAGGGATGATGATTCTGAAGCGGACAGCGAGGATGAAGACGACGATACTTGGAACCTTGAGAAGTTGCGTCGCGAGACCGAGGCTCTCCGACAGAAGAAGGAAGAGGATCGACTCGCAGCTATCCATGGTGGAACTGTCCCGGTGGCTGTACCAGAAGAGGAGGAGGAAGAAGAAGAAGTTGGGAATGCTGAGAGCAGTGATGGCGTTGTTGGAGATGCAGAAGAACCCACGGTCGCACAGACGGGTCAAGAAGTACCGGCGTCTTGAACGGCCGCGGAACAATACTCAGAGCCGAGGCGTCTTCAAGCTCCCCATCTCTACGAAATGCTGCGAGAGGGAATTCCGAGCACCTTCTGGGACCACAAAGACCAATGGTCGCCAGGAGGGCCGTGGTGGCTTGCTATTCGTCACAGAAAGCTCGTTGCCTTGGATATGTGGGTGGCTGCGGCGGCAGTCGTACACGTACCTCATACTACTAGTCTACTTTGCCCCTTATAGAATAGTACCGCATCAGTTCCGCATTGGAAATGACATTGATGAGAAGGGCCTTGGAGGATTAAAGGGAGATATGGAGGATATTGCGGCCCAGCTTTTCTTCCCCGAGGCCGTAAAGGTCTTCCCAAGGAAGCAAGCAAAAAATGCAGCTAGAACAAAAAAGACATGCCAAGAGTGTATGGAGCACTCGATGAGCTGTTTACCTTGCAAATTACTCTATGAAAATGATATAAACAAAGACATTTTGCCATGGCAGCCTTCAATTGGCATTGGACGCTGCAGTGCGGGCAAATGATTAGGTGCTGAAACAAATGCTTGTGAAGCAGTCGTCTTGGTTTGTCCACGTTGCTGGCTTCGTGTGTGCCTGAAAGGAAGAAAGAAAATAAAAGAAAAGAAAAAAAATACAAAAGATAACACTGCCAGCCTGAGCTGTCGGAAAATGGCAAGATTGATATCAACCACTGATGACGCAGCGCCGTTGCATTGAGATGCAGATGCAACAGCGCTTGTAAGTGGCCGTGGCCATGTTTTGGCAAGGTTTCAGTTTTGTGCTGGTCCAACCAAGGCCCATGAATGATAAGCCTGATGACGTCCTTGAGCAGCGGCCAAACACATGGCAGTGTCCCACGGCGCAGCCACCACCACGGGCCGCCATCGAAGCCAATTGAGCTGGATATGGGCTGCTGGACGTGTGTTGCAGCAGGTTGCAGCAGGTTGCAGCTCTACTTGATGCTCTGTGCGTTCGAATGGCTTCGTATCTGGGATACCGGCATCCTTTCGCCATCTGTTGGGGGGGCTAAAGACGGTAAGACAGACAGAAAAGGTGGCATGTGACGCCAAAAGACATGTCACCTACAGTATCTATAACGTACAACGGCAGTGCAGTCTATAGCGTCGATAGGGTAGTAGCAGCAGTAGCAGCAGCAGCAGGATAGCGAGATAGCGAGATAGCGGGATAGCGGGATAGCATTGAGGATAGCAGGCCAGGTAGCCCGAGGGGTCTGCATTGCGGGGTCGGATGGCGGCTCAGCACAGCGCAGTGACCTCATGCCCTAGCAGCGCAGCACAGCTTCCCCACAGCGGCTGCCCGTCGGCATCTGATCAACTCCAACGATGGGCTCAGTTCGAGTGCTTAGTTCCCCCCTCACCAGGTCGACTGTGCTTGGGAATCGCTCCAGCGTCGTGGGCTGCTCGGGTTTGCCTCATTGCCGCCATCGCCATCATCCGTGACCATCGCCCATCGCCATTGGCGCAACAAGCTGCGCTTCACGCCGCGGCAAAGCTCCACGACAACTCAACAGGCGGCGGAACCGGCACCGGCTCTTGCATCGGCAGTCGTGCATCTGAATCATCGCCAGAGACGCCTTGGTTGGCCCAATCCCATTCCAATCTCGACTCTGGCATCTCCATCTGGCCCTCTCACCTCGTGGTTCCGAATTCACCTCAGTTCAGCCCGGATCAGCTCCGCCCCCCTTCTCGCTACGCTCCTGAAACTAAACTCGGTTTCGTTTTCTTTCGAATAGCCGGCCGACCTCGCCTCTCCGATCCCACTCCCTACTACGTCTACTACGTCCTTCACCACGCCCGACTCATCGTTCCAATTGTCGTGCGACGACAAACATCCCGGACGCTGCGTTCGAGGCTCTTGATGGACAAGAGGCTGCTGGCTGCTGGCCGTGCTGCGATCCGCGCTCCAGACTCTGGCCTCATACGAGACCGCTGTCTGAACGCGCTGTGACCGGACGCCAATTGCCAGAAGCATGAGTGCGGAGGTCAAGCGTGGTTACCAAGATGTCACAGGTCGCTCCGCAGCAGCCGTCATGCCTCATCCTGGGGGACGAGATCGAGAGCGGGAATGGCCCAACGCGCTCATAAAACGCTACCGCATCGAGGTCGCTGCCAGCACATCCAGCGTCTTCTCTACCCTCGCCGCCTTCCCTCTCGACAGCGTCAAGACACGCATGCAAACGTACCAATATCGGGGCTTCCTGGATTGCGTCAAGCACACATACCGCACCGAGGCTCTGGCGGGTTTCTTTCGAGGTGAGTTTTGCCCCCCGCCAGGATATATTTATGTTATCAAGACAGCGTCATCTGACCTCCTATTGCAGGTGTCACCGCTCCCATGGCGAGCATCACGCTTGTCCGTACCGTCTCTTTCTCGATATACCGCAGAGCAAAACACGTCTACTCTGGCTGGATCAAACAAAAATCTGGATTCGACATCCACCGCCACGTCAACACTCCTGGAACATACCCTAATCTCTATTCAGTGGCCTGCTTCGGTGCCGCTGGCGCAACAGCAGGATCCGCAATTACCTTTTTGGCCTGTCCGTTTGAACTCACAAAACTCAGCGCTCAGGTTTCAGTGCTGCTGGCGGAGCGCTCTACGGATTGCAAACGAAGTCGCGAGGTAGCCAAGAGCTACCAGAATAAGGGGACGTTGAAAACTATGGCCAACATTATCAAACATCGGGGGATATTGGGGCTCTATACCGGCTTCCAATTGCATCTTCGTAAGCACTCTCCGAGGCAGCAATGACTAGCATATGTGGTTGTTTCACTCTTTGACTTTATCCTTGCTAATTCATACCGCTGGGGCAGTGCGTGATACTTTGGGTACCGCCATTTACTTCATGGTGTATGAGAGCGGAAAGCAGCTCGGAACCACATTTGCTGGCGATAGCCCGAATAGCAACAAGCTAGCCGTCGTTGCCGCCGGTGGCCTGTGCGGATTGGTATCATGGGCCATGATTTGTGAGTATCGCCCGTAATCATATACTACCAAAGCAGTTATTTGAGCCCCTCAGCTAAATGAAGCATCCACTGCAGATCCAATCGACTCGGCAAAGAGCATCTACCAGAGAAACGCCCTTCTTTACTCACGCGGAGAAAAAGTCGAACCGGCACCAAAAATTGAATTCTTCAAGCGTCACATGTACCGCGGCCTGGGCGTCTCCATGATCCGATCCTGCGCCGTCAACGCCATTTTCTTCTCATCATTTGAAATCATTAAGAAGCGCATCAAGAGCCTTGACGATGAAACGCCTTGATGAAATAACAAAGCCGGGGGGGAACAGTTGGTGATATTTTACGTGTACAAGCCAAAGTATTGGCCAAAGAAGGCGTACGGCTGTCCCCTTTTCTTTTTCTTTTTCTTCGTCTTCTCCCTTTGTTTTTTCTTTCTATCTCATGGCCTGAGAGGGAGGCTTCATAGTTGCCTGTGGCGTTTGCGGTTCTCTTGTCATATTTTTTCTTTCTTTCTCCCGTTTCTTCTCTGTCTTATCTTCTTCTGAGCTCCTACCCCCTTTTATCTTAAAAAAGCCATTGCCGACGACTCAAGCGTGTCCGAAGTAATTGGTATCTCATATCACGAGCTCTTTTTATTATGACAGAGTAATATTCGTTAGCGGCCAAAGGAGAGGAAAGTCTCAAAGGGAAGAGTTGTTTGGTACAAGGGTTTGTCATGTAGGCTTGATGAATACGGACGAAGGGAAAAAAACTAAATAAATACCATGAAATGCATATCTATTCAAGCTCTTACTTCGTATAATGATTGAAGAGTGTTTGCTATTTAACTGTCGGACTATGGCACGTTTCATTATGTCTTTAACCAAAACTGGGTGACCTGCGTGGCCGCATCTAGCCATTGACTACAAATACAGCTATAATGTATTTCAGCGCCAATTTATAATGAATAGACAGCATTGAGAGTAAAATTAGGCTATGGCATAGGCCAAAGCTATTTAGATAGGAATACTCAATTGTACAGATAAAAAAGACTCTAGCTAGAATTACCTGCCATCGAAACCCTTCGCAGTATACATCCTCCTTGAGCAAAAGTGTAGCCGTTTTCCCTTTCCCCCGATTTCCCTTTCCGTATCCTATCCAATCACAGGAACCAATGCTGTCTAATACCGACGAGCCATCTCTACCCTTGTAGCGCACAGATGTAACTGCCGCTCAGCTGAGCATCTAGCAAGTCGCTCCGCATCAAGACATTGACGCAAACCATATTATGCTATAACTCAATTGCCATTTCGAGCCTTGATGATCTCACGAACTTTCTGCCAGTCGTTCTCTACCGGGGTTACCCTCTTCTCTCTTTTCTCAAGGTCGGCGAGTTCTGTTGGCATCAACGTTGTTTCCACACTAAACCCATTTTCGCCTCGAAGAGCCTTCACCACCGTCTCAGAGAACTTGGCTGGGTGTGCTGTTGAGAAGGAGATGTGCGGAATGCTCGCATGGGTACGGTGCATTGATCTTTGTGTTGCTGCAGCGCCAACGGCAGAATGAGGATCCAGTATGTACCCGCATCTTCGATAGACAGCTCTGATGGTTTCGATAGTTTGGTGATCTGTGATTCGCTCGCTCTCAAAGTCGCGTCTAGCGCTTCTGATAACGTCGCGATATACAGGGCCAAAGAATCCTTTCCCGTCGAGTTCCTGGAACCACTGAGAGACTTCTTGACTTGCTTGCCTCTGGTTCCAGAGCTGGTCCATACCTGCGCTTGAAGCAAACTCGCAGGCAAGAAACCATAACAGACGCTCAAAGTTGTGGGAAGTAAGAATGTCCATTGCGGGGCTGAGAGTCTTCTTAATGCCTGACCCAGGCCCGCCACGGCCAGCACGCTGCTTCTCATATCGCCCCGTCCTCCAGAAACGATCAAGGATGTCATTTTCGTTGGTGGCGATGACGAGTTTATCGACGGGGAGGCCCATGTGTAAGGCGAAGTACCCGGCGAGGATGCTGCCGAATTTGCCAGTTGGGATAACAAACCGGACTTTATCGCCTATCTTGAGAGATGCCGACTTCTTGACGAGAGAAAAGTATGAGTAAAAGTAAAGCACGATCTGGGCCAGAATATGAGCCCAATTCCTCGAGCTGACAAGGTCAAAGTCTTCGTTGGCTTGCCTATCAGCATGCAGGCGGCGCAGGAGGTTCTAGATGCCTCGAGTTTAGAAAAGAAAATCAAATCAAGGGGACAAATGTATCGAAGGGTATATCGAGAGGGCCACATGTTGGCAACCTACCTGACAATCGTCAAAGGTGCCGGCGACGGCTAAGCTGCATACATTCTCGTCTGGCACTGTAGTGATCTGGGCCTCTTGAAAAGGGGCAACCTGTCCTTGGGGAAACATGACGAATACGGATATGTCCTCTTTCCCCCTCAAGCCGTGAATAGCAGCAGAGCCTGCGTCACCTCTGGTGGCACCAACAAAGGTAAGACGATGTCGGTCTGCTAGGAAGAATTCACGATAAAGGATAAGCGAGTCTCTATGCCTATAGTGAGTCCCATGCCCGCCTTTGTCTCACCACGTAATACTGGTATACATATACGTGACCCCCTAGGGGATGACATCAACGGGTGGCACGTGGGGAGATATGGATGGCGTACCTGCGGTGCTTGTTTTGCCTTGGTTTTTTTTCGCAAGGAAATACTCAAGCAGGTTGCCCAAGAACTGCGAGGCGATATCCTTGGAGGCAAATGTAGGGCCGTGGAACAGCTCGAGCAGGTGGTGATTCTCCCTGAGTTGGACTAAGGGTGTAACATCTGGGGATCGAAAGGAGGAGTAGCTGCGCGCAATGATGGCTTTCAGGTCGGCAGGAGGGATTTCGGAAGGGGAAATGTAAAGTGACATGATCTCGAAGGCAAGCTCTGGAAAGCTAAGATCTCCCCACGACTCCCACGATGTAGCACGCGGAATCTCTTCAGGAATGTATAAACCACCATCAGGGGCAACGCTGTTCAGGACGACTTCCTCAAATGAGAACTGGCATGGAGACGCAATCGTTAGCTGCTAGGATGTTGCCGGAGTTCTCAGCTTTTGCATTGGGCAGGACGTATAGACGGTGGATGGCAGCGAATAAAAAAAATAATAATCCGCGCCGAAGGACAGCTTGGGGAAGAAGAGACCTAGGGAAGTGTCTTCATACACCACTATCCTGTCCGCGAGTGCTCAGGTAACGATACGACGCATTCTCATCCGCCGTGCCGTTTGGCGCCATGGCTACCTAGGTAGCTCCCGAAGCACGGCGGCGGTTTGAAACTCCAAGACGCAAGGGGCAAAGAGATGAAGCAGCGCGGTCGAGGGGGACGTTGGTCGAGCAGCGATACTGGCAGGGGGGAACAGGCAAAATCAAAAGAAGAGGAAATTTTACTAAGCTTGAGGTGAGAAAAGAGGGCGCGACTATCTGGGAGAAGCTGCTGAGGAGTAGAGACAAAGAGGGCTGTCTGTAAGTCGAAGCAGGGCCACTAACAACGGACTAGCAGAGAGATATCGATCAACTTGGCGTATGACCAGTAGTACCAGTTCGGCGCCATGGGCCCCAGACAAGTCGCGGCTACCTGGCAGGCACTCCTACATGGCACGGGAGACGCAGTCCAGGGGCTCGTACCCAATACCGGCAAGGGTAGTCGCTGGCCATCGTCAGAGGCGTCATTTCACCCGTCCACAAGGTTCCAGTACACACAAGGACGGTCGGCTTGGGCGTGGGGCAAAAACCTTTCGACGCCATCTCTCTTCTGACCAGTGGCAGCCCCTCCCGCATCCCCTTTGTGCTTAGTGCGGGGTGGCCTTCTCTTCGTTTCCTTTGTGTCGGTGACAGTCAGCGGCTGCATGTGCCTTGTGCCTCTCTGCCTCGTACTGGTATGTAACCATGCAACCTCTCGGGGGCCCAGCTTGAGTCGGTATTTCGGCGGAGAGTTGAGAAAAGCCTAACGCGTGCCTGCTGTGAGTGAATGTATGCATATCCGGATTCCTGTGATGACACGATGCCAGAGGGTTGCGCGCGCTTCCAACAAGCCCCTGGTCAACTTGGCCGTCCCATGGCAAGGTGGCCAGCCCAAAAAAAGAACCCAATAGTATGCGGATCCTGGCTCGCGGTCAAATCAATGCCTCTAGGGTTCTTTCACTTTCACTTTCACTGGCACTGCCCGCGGCTGATGGTTGTGGTAGAAATGGGACCCGCGGGCTGCTAACAGTTCGGTTAGGTGGCGGCGCAGTTTCAACATTTCCTTCGAGTTTCAAATGGTAGCTGGTAGACCCAAGGAAAGAAACGTCGAAAAGCTGCTCGGTGATCTGTCGCATGAGCACCTCTCATGCCTCTTCTCTCTTATCCTACAGAGGCAGGTCTGCTACCAGGCTCACACCGGTCTTACATGGACTGCGTTAGGCTGTTGGGCGAGTTTGTGGCTCGGACTGTCCATACCATTGGCCGTGTCGATTGAGGTTTTAGAAACTAGCCAAAGACCCGCAACAATAGTCCAGATAGCCCCCGAGAGCTTGAAGGAATGTCCACATGTCTAGTTTATCGGGACAGTTGGGACTGCTGCTAAGGCTTATTGTTTGCAGCTCATCCAAGTCGAGCCATGTTTCTCGGGGCAAACTTTGAATAGTTTGAACTAGTGCTGCAGTGTAATCGACTTTCCATGGCTTGGGGCTAGCCAAGCTCCCCAAATCCATCGGCCGGTTCATCACTCGGGAGTCTATGCGACTGATTCAACTCAAGGTAGTCGCACGATGCCAGACAAGGGTATTTCAAACATAGGTACTGTACGTATTTGGGTTGCGCGAACAAAGAGCATGCAGGCCGGCGGTAGCGGACGCATGCTTCCAGCCCATTGGAAGAGCTTTTGTTGTACGTAAAATGGACGGCCAGAGGGCCTTTCCCACGACCGACATCCGTTTGGTTTTCGCCGGTCACAGTTGTTCCTACCGCGTCACATCATATGAATTTCCCCACTGTCCGACTGGCCACTTGGTTTTTTGCATCGGCTCTAACGGGAGAGCACAGTTTGGACCTCGACTAGACCATGTCTAATTTGTTACCCTGAACTCTGTTGATTTCGCTTTTGCGCGACCGCGTCCGCAACCCATGTCTGAGAATGACGTGAAAAAAGTGGCGCTTGCTCACCAGTCTTCTGTAGCCATGCAGGCTCTGCATATCCGAGATGGGCCTGAGTACGGAGAAGGACTGGCCTCTTGCATTCGGCGCCAATTAGGCACAGTGACGTTGGTCATGCCCAAATGCCTACTAGGCACCTAAGCTATCTCCAATAGAGGCTTATCCGCCTTTGCGGCCATTGGCTCATCGACTCCCTGGAGCAAGTCGTCTGTGTGAAGGTGTCGCTTTCAGCCACTGCACACCAGAGCCGTAACCTTGTCCCCCATGTGCAGGCATCTCGTCCCCATCTCTACCCAACAATGTATGTACATGGCGTGGAAATTCCGAAAAACTCTACTTCTGGGGATGATTCGTTCGTCATAGTCTTGGCGGGTCGCACCAACCACCGCACTTTTTTGAGAAAGAGGCTCTTGATCCAGGGAGTAGCCGCTGAGCTGTGTCAGTTATTTCGATTGGGTTTAAACATAGAGGTGACATATCCATTCGCAGCATCTTCAGACACTACGTTTCTTTCTCGTTCCTGTCGCCTGCTTTCCGTCATGGTTTGCGTACCGACTTGAGCAGCGGGGCAATCTTAAATCGCTTGCTCAGCCCAACCCTGTACAGGGGTTTGGTCATCCCTTGTGCCGAAGATCCCTTCTTGTCACCCCCCGATTTCTCTTCTCTCGTTCGTGCAGCAGGCTGCCTTGGCTCTTTGGATTCGTCTTCGTCTCGTGGCCTATTAGGAATATTCCGGCTAGCGGAATGATCCTTCGGTTTCTCCTGGCTGCCTGGGGTTGCCTGATCCTTAACACACTCCGTCTCCTCTGCCGCGGACGAGGCGCCTACGGTAGCTCCCTGCCCACTTGGCATCTCCACTGAACTTTGCTTTGTGGCTGCTTGGATATTGTCCCCATCACTCCTATCTGAAGCCTTTTCTAGGCCCAAGGTGGCTCTCGTATTTTTGCTAGAATCAAGGGCAGAGACGGGAGTGGCGGCGGGAGGCGGGGCACCATCTACCGCTGTATCAGTCGACTGTTTCTTAGGTCTCCCTCGTTTCTTCTTCTGCACTGCTGCAGCTGGTGTTCCATCAGCCGCCGCCGATACAGGACCTGCAGCCTGTTTCACTGGCAGGGGCTCGTCAGTTTCTGGAGGCTTCTTTGGACGACCCCTCTTCTTCTTAGACTTGGCCATTGGCGTACGATGTGCCACGAATTCGGCATCACTCTCCCCCGACTGCAACTCTTGTGGTGGGGGCTGATGAGCTGAAGAATCTCTTTCGTCACAGCATTCCTGATCGGGCTTGGACTCAGGATTTAGACCAGGTGAATACTCCGGCTCGGACTGCAGAGTTTGATTAGCCCTCATTATGTGATGCCCTGGATGGTAGCCCACTCACAGTAACCTTATTCAAACGGGGTGTCAGCGTAGAAATTATGTCAGGAGACGAGTTCCTTCGTGTGCTATAGCTTCGGTACTCTACTTTCTTCGTAGATACTTCCCTGCTTTGCTCTCCAGGAGCCATAATGCTAAAATTATTGCTCGAGAACATTTGGCTTCGCGGCGTGTTGACATTGGTAGCCGTTCCGCTTGAGCCAACAGCATACTGTGTCTGCTGCTTCAAGAGTAGATTGTTGTATTTTGGAACATCGTTGGATTCTAAGGCCATCTCAAAATGAGATGACTGTTGGCGTTCTGTCGGGGACGGGTGTCTGAGATAGAATGCTGAATTGGCGTCAATAGGCATTGTAGGGAGAGGTACACTCGATGCTGCTCCCATCTCCAGTTCATCGTTGGCGATATCCTTGCTGCTAGAAGGAAAAATAATCAAATTAACATCGTCAGCCGTCGAATGTGTACTGCCAGATTCGTCTAGCCGTCTCCGCTTCTTGCCTCGTCTCCCAGTAAGCTCTTGGTCATCCCAATGGCCATCTGAAAGTGCATCCTTCTCAGTAGGTGATTCATCTCTCCTATGCGATTGATCCAGCATCGTGTGACTATACCCCTTCGATTGCCCTTGCAAAGATTCGGGGGCTTCTGGACTGCTTGGTACTTCCCAAAGGTCCGCCTTCCGAGCTTCATCTTGCTTCTGCTTTGGAGAGGGAATCTGAGCCCAATCGGACGAAGGCTTTCCAATCTGGGTATTTGGAAGCCTATCCGTGTGAGGTTCTGTGGCCGATGTGACAGATGAATGGTAGAAGCCTCTGGTGGTCCGCTGGAAGGGAACATCAGGGATGGTCATGGCTGAGCTCTGATGCGGCGCATCGTCGAGGTCTCGCTGTAGCTGCTGGGCTCTCTCGCAAGCGGCTCCATTCTGCTCATTGAAGACTTGCCGGAAGAAAATCGAATCCGTTGACGCAGTTGCAAGGCTTCCATGCTCAAATGATCGTGTTTGCGCCTTGGGGGCCGTTACCGCTGGGGCGGCGGCGGCGTGCTCGTTTGAGTCACTTTCGTCATCAGAATCAGCAATGACCACAGGGCTCATGCTGATAGCCAAGAGGCAGAAATGGAACGGAAAAGAAATACAATCCACCACCACCTGACTGCAAATCGCCGCGTGTTTTACTTAAATTCTATAACAAAGGCTGCAGTGGTAGTTGGCGTAACGCGGGTCTGACGTCCACTCTAACGCGCGACCACGTGACCTCTTTATTGCAGAGCTCGTATCTCAATATCCCTTAAATGGAATGGAACCTAGTAGATGGCATGCCAAGTGTACGAGTAAGAAATAAAGATTCTACTAATCAAATGGCTTGTTTATTAATGCTTATCGCTGTACCAGCTTGAAGTGCGCCGTTTCACGCTATAATTGTAAATTCCCGAGTAAGGGACGCTGCGGCTGGCCCTTCAGATGCGCTGCGGAACCTTTGTAAAGGCTCTGCCAGATGAAGGCTTCGCTCAAGAGCAACTCAATGTCCTTTTCCGTCCACGCCTTCGTAGGGAGGCTCTGTAGAAACATCATGACTTCCTGGAAATCCATCTTCACTAGTTTATCGGACCACTTTACAAGAAGTGCGGCGCAAACATAGAGGTGGAATTCTGAGAAGCCTTGTTCTTCGGCCTAGTTACCTTGTCATTAGCTGGGCTGTTGATTGAAAAGTGCGGATAGGTATAAACTCTGACTTACGAGGTACGTGTCCCACATACGAATCGTGTTCTTGACGCTGATCTCGCGCATAAGGAGACAGTTCATCCACCGAAAGCTAAACTGTATGAACTCAACACCCTCCTGCTCAAGGTGCTTTGACAAGTTGGAATCGATCCTGGCGGTTAGGTCTCGCAAAGCTGCTACCTGCCTTTGGATGCCTGGTTGGGCGACAATATAATGATCTTGAATGCCATCAAGAAGTTTGGTGAGGCACCAGAATGAGTCAGCTTCCACAGCGTCCAGAACTGACTTGGGCAGTTGACCGGGATCCATGCCAGTCTCGATATCGGGGTCTGTGATGTAGAGCCCCAGGAAAACTTCCCAAAATGGTGTTACTAGATCGTTGATGCCCTGCACATATCCGCTGGCAGGATGCCTAACAGCCCAGACATAGAGGATGCGTTCCAGCGACCTCTGTGTCGCCTCATAACTATAAAGCTCAATGTGGGGATTCGTCCTGGGTATGTCGATGCTGATCTGATGCCAGACAGCTTCGTCTAAGCCCCTTGCTTTTCCGGCAGAGGAGCTGCTGTTTGTTGTTCCTCCTCTTTCAAATGCTTGTTTGACTCCGTCCAGATACTCCTTTCTCTTTCTCTCCAAGGTCGCAACACGCCGCTCGCTATTCGTAGGGAGATAACTCAGAAGGAGTTGCCAGGTCATGGCACGGACTTCGTGCGGTACGCCCGACCATGCTAGAGTGCGAAGGTCAGGAAGCGATATTGACGATGCTTGTAGTAGTCGTTTGAATTTATTTATACGCGTTATACGCGAATTGATGGCGTCGGCTTCTTTCTGTGGCGCATTGCTAGGAATAGAAGGGTAATTGATCAAATGAAGAGCATTTGCTGGATCTTTTCGACGAGTTAGTAAGTCTTGCAGCTCAATTGGGTAAGGTTTCGGCCTCACCCTTTAATATGTCTTTATACTGTGGCCGGAGGATCTTGCCCTCGCTTTTCTTGGGCATGGGATAAGTTGATGCTGGGCGCTCAGCTGCGATATCTGCGCTGTTTGAATACCGTCTGGCTTGAATTCTGCCAAAGGGGCCATCATCCGCGGGGGACAGAGACTCTTGGTTTAGACCCGACTTGTTCTGAGTAGCTATTCGCTTCGACCTCCTCTTCATGTTTGAGAGGCTAGGGAGCCCAAAGTCGTCTCCATCGTCATCTTCATATCCCAGCATTTCATCTTCGTCCGCCTTCCAATCATCATTGGTATTCGACAGGAAGTTGATATAACTCTTGAACGGCGGCGAAGTGGAGCCCATTGAGCCACGTTGTGGTGGTGGAGTGCTCTCAGCCATGCGATTTCTCGAGGATGATGTCGAAGGGGGGGTTCTAGGACGAGGCGAAGAAGAACTGGAGAGGTTTCTTGATCTAAAGTCAGCGATGCGGAACCGAGATGACGGACCAGTTTGCGGTAGTAGCGTACAATGAATCAAACTTGAGAACATCCGCATGAGAATACGCGGCCCCAACGACCAGATTAGAGCCATCTCGGCCGGCCGGGTTAGTAACGCTCCTCTTGGAAGTGCCATCTCGTAGCGGCGGTCTCCAGAACGGTGAGACTGATCTGTACCAAGGAGTGGCATTAGCGAAACGCGCAAAGGGCTGGGGACGGATTGGGTGAGTGATGAAGCATACTCAGACCGATCTAACACGTAGAGCAATTGGGCTTCGGTCAGTAACAAGTTCCATTGCTCTGCTTTCAAGGCGCATTGCCCAGCGCGACGGGAGGATTTCGAGCAACGTACCGACCTGTACCATCTCCTGCGGCTGGGGGGCGGCGGTTAGCATCACCACTCGTCGCCAGTTGCGACACAAGGCCGAGGCGGCATCTACTTACTGCATTGACCGGCTTCTTGCCGCTCCCAGAGGACGACCACATGTTCACGAATGGTCGTCGAAAGCGCAAAGGTGAGGCGTCATTATGCGGGGTGTTGGGTTAACAGATACAAAGCCGGTGACTGTGCGAAACAAGCTGGAAGAACTCGGTGATGATCCTCGTTCGAGTCTTGTCTCAGCCAAGCTCCATTTGGGCTGAGTGGCCTGGTCGGGTACTCCGTACAAGTACTCCAAGACTCGTAGCCATCCATGCTAAGTTCCATCCCAGTCGGTGGGATGGATCTGCTGGCACAGGAGACAGCGCGCTGAGGCGCCGGTACTGAGGCGGGGTAAAGGCCCTGTAAGGCCGCTGAAATGGCGGCCATATGCGCTAAAGGCTGTGCATTTCGCCTGCGTGGCGAGGCTGCCACTGCTGGGTACCTGCGGGAGACTTTGGCCGGTACTCTACTTGGAGATACGCTTGCACTAACATAATGTTGTGGCTTTGCATATATGTAGAAGTTATATCTCCAGTACTGATAAGTAACTTTGTAACGTGCGATGGTATAAGACCCAGCCTTGCTTCACGCAAGGGGCAGAAAACAGGGTGCATCAAAGCACACAAGGGCTTTTCAAAACCTCAGTTCTTCCCAGAATTGCCTTTTATTGAACAGCAATTTTTTTTTAAACCGTCGCCGCATTCCTGGTGAGAAGCAGAGCCTCTGTCGCAAGACTACCTACCTACCTAGGTACCATCAACGGATGCTCCGAGCCAACCTTAGTCAGCAGCTGCGTAAGGTAGCAAGGCACAAGGCCTTCATCAGTCGAGCTTTCCTAAGGAGCAGCTTCGTTCTCAACCTTACATCTACAATTGCTACACCACGACCCCAACAACCTCTCCGACTTCCATCCCCCGATTTGGCATCAAAATCATCCGTTATTTATCATCTAGGGGTAGGGAAGAGATTTTCCTAACCAGATTACTTCTACGGCCCCCGATTTCCACACCTTGGGGCTACTAGACACCCAGAATCGCGGTGTCAGGTCTACTCACCTCACGCCAATCCCGAATTCATCTTCTACCACATCATCTCCATCATGACGGAAGCGGAGAACTTCGAAGACGATCTTTTCGCCGACCTGTGAGTCCATGTAAACCTTCTGGAGTTCCTGCCTACCACCATGCTGACCTGATGATTCTTAGCTACGAGGATACTGATGCAAAGCCTACCGCGCCGGTCACGAGTGCGGTCCAAAATGCTGACACCAAGGCTCCCGAACAGCACGAACCGGCTGCCGCCCCAGCTCCCGCTGGTGATGAAGAGAGTGCCGGTTACGATGCGATGAACCAAGATGCGGACGACGACGAAGATGATGTTGACTTTAACCTGGGAGGAGGAAACGCTTCAAGCAGCACCAATTTGATGCCGCAAGATGACATGCCGGCAACCCCTCCATATGGGACCGTTCATAAAGCCAGTGCCAAGGAAGATGGGTGAGTTTCCCTTGTTCTGTGAAGCTATAACACTTGGTGCATGAATTTTTCCTTTCCCACATTACCTGCGACAAGTGTCGCCAGCAATGTTGCAATATGATGATAAGAGGCTACCAGCCAGCGCGTAATCCTGCATCCTGCAACCACATAGGGGCTATACATTTGCTTAGGGCAAAGTGGCTGGCTTGATTAGATGAGAGACCAATCAGGTTCAGCGGTGGGAAGGCCCTGGTCTACCGGAGAGCAAAGTGTCAACAGACATGAGAGTTCATTTGTGGTATCCTGAAAGTCGCCTGGAAGAATACATTTGAAACGCCACTCCCAAGTGAAAAACTTTCCTGGGGAAATGGAGAAAAGGAAGCGATGGCCTTTTGCCCATCAAGAAACTGGGGGTTTCAAGCTTTGATAAAGTTGAGAGCAAGATGACCTACCGACGACTTTTTATCCAATTCCAATATGGGAACTCTTCTTGTCTTTATAGCTCTCGGTCACAGAGGTCTTAAAATAGCCCGACGAGAGCATGTACGCACTTCTCGGGAGGCTGTAGCAAGATTGACAGCGGGTAGCGCTTAGGGTCAACTCGTACCTAGCAACAGACAGTCAGAGACAGAGTCAAAACGATAGCACAAAGACGAAAAAGACAGAAAAAAAAAAGAAAGGAAACAAAATTCGACACTTGTCTGGCACCTTACCTCCCTCTGCAATCGCTGTCATGCCATTGGATATCTCATCAAGCATCGCGTCGCAGTGGGGCCCATTAACCGCCATCATTGACAACTCTTGATATAATCTCAACTTCACTATCCCGCCAAGTAAGAGGCAATGCTGGACCCGTATCGCGTCAGATATTCCGGAGGGGTTGGCAGCCTGTCATGTGGCTCTTGAGGCTATGCGCACACTCTTAAACCATTCCTTCTTACGACAAGGCGACAGGGGCAAGCACATAGCCTGGCGGATATTTGCGTGCGTCCTCAGCTGGCTGCCCTCTCCAAGCCATCCGAACTGATGACGGCAACAACGTATTCGATGGATTTGACCATGGCTTCCCATTCATTCGGCAGTTGCTACATCTTTCCTCTCACCGTACCGCTGAAACCCCTCATGCTCAACCCCATACACTGCTGCTGCCGAGAGATGTTGTTTTTTTAGAATGTGTTATTTACGAAAAGGCAATAATGTTCTGTCTATGTTAGTTGCTAACCATTTGCTGAAATAGAAAAATGTTCATTGGTGGATTGAACTGGGAGACAACAGACCGTACGTCCTGGCTTATGCAAGGCGAGCTTCGAAGATGCTAATAGTCTACAGAATCCCTACGAGATTACTTCTCCCAGTTTGGTGAAGTCGTCGAGTGCACCGTGATGAGAGATAGCAGCTCCGGACGGTCTCGAGGGTTTGGTTTCTTAACTTTCAAGGATCCCAAGACTGTCAACATTGTCATGGTCAAGGAGCATTTTCTAGATGGCAAAATCGTGAGTTTGCTCCCCTGCCATAATCCTTGTGTTTGAAAGCAGCCTTTCGCTAACCCGGACATCTAGATCGACCCCAAGCGGGCTATTCCTCGTGACGAGCAAGAGAAGACGAGCAAGATTTTCGTCGGTGGAGTCAGCCAGGATACGACAGACCAGGAATTCAGAGAATACTTCGCTCAGTTTGGCCGAGTAGTCGATGCCACGTTGATGATGGACAAGGATACCGGTAGACCCCGAGGTTTTGGGTTTGTCACCTTTGAGAGTGAAGCAGGCGTGGATGCTTGCATCAATGTGCCGCTTGAAATACATGGAAAGCCTATCGAAGTTAAGAAAGCACAGCCAAGGGGTAACCTACGAGAAGAAGAAGAGGCAGCCAAGCGTGGAAAGTTCCGAAAAGGTGAAGAACAGTCTGTTCAAGGTGGAATGGGTCAACAGATGGGGAGCAACAATTCGGCCATGACGCCACAGCTCATGGCTCAATATTTCCAGCGCATGCAGCAATACTTTGCCATGATGCAGTCGCAGATGGCCATGTCGCGAGGCATGCCCATGAACCCGGCTATGTGGCAGCAGATGCAACAAATGCAACAAATGCAGCAGATGATGGGTCGGGGCGGTGGCCCTGGACAGAACATGATGGGCCAGATGAATCCTCAGATGATGCAGCAGATGCAGCAGATGCAGCAACAGATGATGCAGCAGCAGCAACAGGGAGGCGGCCAGGGCGGGGACGGCTATAACGGCTATGACCAGTACCAACAGCAAGGCCCCCAAGGTGCTCATGGCGGCCGGCGAGGCGGTCGTGGGGGCTATGGAGGCGGCGGCTATGGCATGGGTGGAGGTGGAGGAGCTCCCACATCTTGGGAGGGCATGTACGACGATGTGCCGCAGCCTAATGCCAGCCAAGGATCATCTCGGCGCGGCGGAAGTGTTGGCCAGGGAGGCACGCCGGATGCTCAGCACTCACCCCCAGCCAATGCTCCAACAGGGCCCAAGAATGCCGGAAAGCCTGGTGCAAATTACCGCGGCGGAGGACGTGGCGGAAACAGAGGCTTCCACCCCTATGCCCGATGAACTGACAGGCAACACGGCTTGATGGCTAATCAATGAGCTTTCCCGCCTGATAGTTGAAACTGCTGGGTCAACGGCAGTCAGAGGGGATGAGGAGAGCTCGAGTTTGCCATGGTTCAGCTAAACGGATCTTTTCGTCGTCACTCTTTTTACTAGATGACGGAACAACTTGTATTACTACTCAACACACAGATGAGGGCCCGGGAAGATCTATGAGGCTGAGAAATTGATCCCTGGGGGAGAGAGGGGGAGAGAGAGAGAGAGAGAGGCAGCGACATCCACACGGGGAAAAGGGGGGAGGGGAGTTTTCTCTTTACTAATTTGCTTGCGCATCGAAGGGTTTTGTTTAGCTGCTCAAGGGGGGGGGGAATGGGTTATGTTACTTTTTTATCTTTTTATCATTTGAAAATAGGATTCATTGTGGATCGGGAACAAGAGAAAAAAATTAGGCCAGATTTTTCTTTTACTATCAGTCAGACATAATATATGAACTTAAAATGGATATTTTCATTTATATAACGCTGCCTCATCATCTCACATGAATAAGTGAATAGAATTAAACGTAGTGAAAAAAAAAAACATTCAATATCAACTCAAGCTATCGACACCAGTATACCATTTCCATCCCTGTTTCCCGAACCTATATGCTTCCTTCCCACCAGTAATTATGTCGCCACGCCTTGCTTCCCGAGGTATTCATACCAATGAGCTTAAAACGTTCGATCATTGTTCGCCCATAAAATGCTTTCATGCGCCAAAAAATCCTTCATGCATCCTGCTCTTGCGCTAAACTGAAACTCCTTATGCTAGCCATTATAAACCAAGGTCATGTATATCATAGAAGAACCAAAAGAGAAACATTTTGAAAACCAGAAAAAAGAACAAAGAAAACGAAAAACGGAACAAAACACCATTCCCCTTAAAATCGTCTATAGTTATCGCCCTCCTCTAGCTTCTTCAAAACGCCGACGGCATCGGCCAGCAGGATGTTTCTTCCGCCCAGACAATCCTTCTCGAGCGATGCGCGAGCGAGATTGACGGCGCCAGAGCCAACCTGCTTCTCTTGCTCGGACATTTGCTGGATGCGGCCGGGTTCCATGTCCGACACCTTCAAGATCCACTGGATCGCGGCCCTCCGAGTCGGCGCCTTAGCTTCAGTGCGGCTGTTGCCGTTACCGACATGCCCAAAAGCCCAGCAGATAAGAGAGCACACATAAATCCCCCAAAAGTCAGAAATCTCTTTCTGCTGCGTGCGCTGGAACTGAGGCGGAATCGAGGCGCTTCCGTCCTTGTTCACACACCTCTGTAGACCGAGGAAGAGCTTAAGAGCCCGGGCGGCAAAGGCGGCAGCAACAGCGGCGCTACCAGAGTCTCGCCACTTCTCCAGCTGTCTCTGATGTTCCATGAAATCGGTGGCTTGCAGCACCTTTTTGTTGAAAACCCAACTGTCTCCAGACACCGACAACAGTGTGTGCAATGGGGTGTAATGGAGAGCAAGATGCGACATTGCAATGGGCGAGTATGGGAACAAATTCATGATCCTGAAGTGGTTCATGCTGATACTCGATGCATCATCCAAGAGGTTAATCTTGGTGAGAGATTGTCGCTGGGGGAGTTGCAGCACATGTGCGACCAAAAACAACGAGGCGTCAAAGGCCGGAATCGAAGCAATATCCGCGGCAGAAATGGTTTCAAGAATCGTAGCCCCAACAGTCGCTGGCATGGCTGGTTGGGCAATGCTGCTCCATTCTTGGTAATTCTGCGCGTCCCATTGCATCAGTGTGCCCATTGACAAGGGGATCGGGAGTGTCGCGGGGTCGGAATAATCCAGACCCAGAGTCGCAGCACGGGGCTGTTCCAGGAAGGACATTGCATGGACATCAAGCAAGAAGCAGGCAGACAAGAGACGCCTCCTTGATTCCATATGAACCCAAATCCTCCATTGCTGAGAGGCGTCGCATGGCCCGAGGGTCGACGGGAAAGTGGATTGTGCGTGGATGACCTGCATTTAAGGTATGAATGAGCAAGAGATAAAATGAAATATCCCCTCTCAAATACAGAAACACCATGAAACGTAGAGGTGAGCCGTATTGGAGAGAGGATTAGAAAAATAGAAAAGTAAAGGGGATTGAAGAGAAATAGAGGCCTGTCACAGTTGCACATGTGATAAATTAAGAAGAAAGAAAAGGAGAAAGAAAAGAAAAGAAAAGAAAAGAAAAGAAAGAAGCCGTTAGAAGAGAGAGGAAAAGAAATACGGAACACATGAAAAACATGAAAAGAAAAGAAAACATGAGAACAGACGTCCACACAAAGAAATCTAATGAAATCTAGCGGGAACTAACCATTTGATACAATGCCTCAAAGCGAGGCGACGGCTGATATGCCTTCTTGTTCCTTCCCCGGAATCGAGCATAGTATTCGCATAGAAGTGTGGCCTGCATGATCGGCAATGGCCATTCCGGGGTGCCAGCGTTGGTATACTAGTAAAGGGTATGTTAGCTGTTGCCTGCCGGCCGCGAGTAGCATGGTTTCATCTTTCTCTTACAATCTTCGCCTTGTCCATAGCATAGGTATGCAGTTGATGTCCATTGGCGCGGTGCTCCTCGTGCTCGAGGAATTGAGTGGCGATGGCTGCCATAGAACACTGAAGAATCTCCAGATGCTCCTCAGGCATATTCGTCGGGTTTTCAAACGTTGGCTTGTGGATGATGGGGTACATGGAATGAACCTTATCCCAGTATACCTCGATGTAAGTCGGAATCATGCTCCGAATTCCATGGCTTAGAGCTGTCGGCATTAGGGTATACAGGCCAAGAGCATCTACAGGCTCGCGGCTACAAGTGCGAGGGTACATCATACGATCCACAGGCAACGCAGACGGCGCCGCAATCATGGTCTCCGCGGACTGACCTACAATCAGCTGTGGCGGAGACATGCTACGGACTGTTGTGTCGAGCATTTGTTGTGGGCTGTAGAGGTTCGCGCCGTGTTCGTAGCCAGGAAATGGAGCCCCCAAACTATCTCCATATACTGAAGAATAGAGCTGTGGAGGGGTAGCTGCATAAGTGAATGACATGGGATAACCGTTGTCAGTAATGACGGGGCTTGGGGATGTGGTATAAGACGGCATCTGTCCGCTCCACTCTGCAGTATGAGCCCGAGCTGACGACTGTTGGAACTTGGAGCTACCGGATGCCGGCGTCGAGTAGGCGCTCCCGGAAGCCGTCGATGGAATGCCTGAGCTATCCGTCCAGGGAATGTTTGGAGGGGTCGTTTCGGGCATACAGAGCTCTGGAACTTGGGGGTTCAGCACACCCAAGCCAGTAGAACGGGACTCGTCGTAGGTAGGGACCACTCGGGAGTTTGGGATCTGTACGGCAGTAACTGGGTCGACCACGCTCATATCTGCCATCTGATATGCACTCTGTGTGTCTCGCATGTGTGGTGATTGCATTGCGTTCCCTTGCGGCGTTGATTTGTTGACGGATGACCAGTGACCTGAGACGATTGCTACGCTGGGGGCCGGTGTAGTGGCAGCTCCAACGCCATAGGGAGAGGTCGTTTGCCTTGTCGGTGCCGGTGGCGAGCTGCTATACGGTCGAGTTGGGCTGCTGCCGGAGCGTCGCCGTCGTGACGAATCTCTGTTCAACTTGCCCTCGTGTTCGCCACTAACTTCTATTAAGTACTCGCCCCCCCTTGGGTATGATGTTGGAGATGAATGAGAGAAGCTTACTGTCTCTGTAGGTGTCGATCTAATAGGTCTTTTCGGTAAAAGACCTTCTTACAACCGGAAACCGTGCAGGATAATTCGGGTGGTTGATGGCTCAGCTGATGTCGTCTGAGGGGTTATACCGTAAGCCAGATATTCGACAAAGTTGAAAGGAGGGGAGAGAAGTAATGAATAACGACATACCTTAGATGCTCAGCTCTTGTGAAGGTCTTACAGACGAAGAGAGAAAGACACATGTTAGCTTATGTCTAGTATGGTACAAGAGCAAAGAGAAGAGAAGTTGTAAATACCTTTGGAGGCCGGCAGACATCACAAGTATGAACTGGAACACCCTTCTTGGCCCGACTGACTCGTCCAGTAATGGGCGTCAGCTTGACAGGGTGATCTCCTGAGCTGGCTCCTGACATGATGGGCCTCATTGCTGTTCCTGTGTAGTATGATGTATGGTTCTGGCTCTGTCCGTAGGAGGAGTCCATGGAATCGGTGCTAGTGTTGCTGCGTCGGCGACCGCCAGGGTGGCTGTTATATCCCAGGGGTGGCGCTGCAGGGTGGAGGATGTGAGGAGGTGATGTTTGCCTTGATAGATCCACCGGGATATTATATCTGGGCATGGGGACGGAGAGATCTTGATCAATAGAAGTTCTCGAAGTCGGCCTCCGGTCCCTTCTTATGGAGTGCGAGTCGACGTGGTCGTCATCGACATTCATAATGTTCCTGAGGCTCCCCATTGTGGAATACAACAGATGAACAGATGAGAAGGTAGATAAATAGAGTTGAAGGAAGCAGGTGCCGGGGAGGTCGTGGAGCACAAAAAGTCTATCTTAGTATACACAGCCCGGAAGGCTGCGAGAAGATGTTGCTAGTGCTGTGACGTGAAGTGAAGTTGTAGAGATTATGGATTATAGGGTCGGAATCTCCAAAAGCACGGCAAGAGAGAACAAGGGTATGTAGATGGTGTAGGAGAGACGGAACTGGTCGACTAGAGGTAGACCAGTGTAGTAGCCGAATGGGGTGGGAGCAGAGTCGGCGACAACCTAGCCTCAGCCTCGCCGGGTTCAGATAATGTCCCCAGTAACGATGCGACCTCAGAATGCCTTTCGAGAGACAAATATAGGAAGAGGACAAGGCATTACCGTCGTGCAGCGGGAGATGGCAGTGGTGACAGTAGCGGCAAAGAGAGAGCGCGCAAAGTAGTCTACATGTATGTTGATGTGGGAGCGAGCGCGTGGGCAGCACGACCCCCGGCGACCAACACAGCCGAACTCCATCATCTGAAGCGGCCCTGGAAACATGATCCTAGTTCCATGACGAGCCGTGGGCTGGCAGCTGAGCTATGGGGTGCATGTAAAACTAGGTAAAACGGCATGGTCTGGGTTGTTGTCTCCCCGAAGCGGTGTCGAAGCCATCAGCTCTCCCGCGCCGTTCGTACTGGGTACGAAGCAGCACGACGCAACAGGGAATGGCCAATCTCTCTGGCACACCCCCGACCCAACTCTTAGCAGCCCGAGGCTGACAGAACCATGTCGGGAGGAGGATACACAGTGGATACGCCGCCGCGTGGTTGAGCCAGCCCTGCCCGCGGGAGCGAACGGGCCAGGACTGGGGTAGACACTAAAAAGCTCCGTCCAGATGAGCACTGCGAGTCGACTGCTGGAGCGGTACCCTTGATTGGGCGCAGCGAAGGAGAGGGTGGCGGCGAGTGGTGGAGGGGTAAGAAATATCCGCCTGTCATAAGCAGAGCCGTGATCAAAGGGTGTTGCTGCCTCGCTCAGTCACTGCCAACGGCCGCGCCAATGTTGGGCACACAAGGATTCGCTCCATGCCATGCCATACATATCCCCATACATAGTACACATGCGAGTCGTACCCGTCGTAGAGCAAGAGCTTGGCTAAACCTGGTTGCGATGGGTGACGGAGGATATAATTAGAACCCCAGCTTCTTATCAGCATGCAGGCTAATGTGACGGCTTGCTGATCTCCTCTTTGGGTTCCAACATGCGCGCCGGCTACGTGAACGAACACGACCGTCCCGATTTTCTCACCCGGCTGTGCACATCATATCGTGGAATGTGGCAATGGAAAAGCACAAGCACCACAAAGGGCAGTGCATCGCTGCCGGCGGAAAAAGAACCAAGGCCCTAAAACAAGACCAACAAGGGGGGTCCACGAGAGCGGCGCGGGTATGGCGTCAACGTCCCAGTCCGGCGGCTCCCAGCAGGGTTCATAGAGGGGAAATGAGTGTCTCCCGTTCCATACCGCGGACTGCCTTACGCCTGTATGAGTACAGTACTGTACCTGTTTCTTTTGCCTTTGCCCTCCCCGTTGTTGAGGATCAACACCTGCATGAGCAGTTGTGAGACACGGCGTCCTGATGTGTGTGGGCTCATGAGAACTGTGCGCGCTTGGCGACGAGTTGCAGGGGCAAACGAAAACTGCTAGCAACGTTGTTAGTACGTGTAAGGAGTACCTGATTCCTTTGTACTCGTACGCATTACCGAGAGCGAGTACTGGGTATGTACTCGTCTGCTCTGTTGGAGCAGAATCCGACGGTGGTGGGGCTGGCTCGATTTCTCGCCGGAAGACCAGCAGCCACAAAAAGATGCGTAGCCGGTCCTGGAGCATCTGGTTGGCCGTACGGACATCGTGCGAAAGAATCCGAGTTGTAAAGGAAGCAGCTATGGCTCACGAGAACAGATTGCCTTTTTTTCCCTCTCATTTTTTTTTTCGCCACCGGAGGAACATATCCGTAGACAGGGAGAGCGACAATCGTGTTGGACGTGATTGGAAAGGCAGACGGGCCGTGCGCCGCGAGTTGATGGCAGCGCGGCATCACCCAACTAACTTGGAAGATCATCAGCTTGGCCAGGGTACTCGGTACACTTGTACGTAGAGGCTCGCTTTGGCGCATCGGCAACTACATCTGGGGGAAACAAGGGTGGAAGAAGAAGGTTTTTCCCCGTAACGTGTCCTTGAGCAAAAGCTTGGTGTTCCCAGCCCACCGGAGTCTGTGCTAAGCAAGCATTTTCTCCAATGGCTTGGCTGGAAGGATCCCAGCAGTACCTTGGTGCAGAGCATTCCGCTGTTCCAAGCCTCCTTTCTAGAAAGGATCCCGTCGGAATACTGACACCATGGCTTCAGGGCGACCTCGACTTGCAGGCGATGATGTATGAGCTTCGTACATGATACATACATGCTAATGCGCATGCGTTATGCAAGTTCCCCCATGGCTCCCGTACCGCACAGCCAATTGCTTCTTGGTTCCAAAGGGGCGAACAGGCTGACATGGCCTCAGCAATACATTCGGCCGCCTCCGCCCAAGTCAAGCAGGAGAGCCGATGCCCGGCGCAACCTTTCAGCCAACAGTTTGCAAAACTTGGGAAACCGGTGAAAACTGCGATGTGCCTGCTCCCTGCTTTGCTGGTGTTGCAACGAACGAATCATGGCCTGGCTGCGGTTCCGGCATGGGCACGAGCGCTGCTAACGACGCAGTGGCGGCCACCTCTCTGACCCGGCTTGCAAATGAAGATTGAAGGATGGGCCAGAGCTGAAAAAGTTCCCCGTCTTTCTCGTCTCCATCTTGCGCAGAGCTGACGTCCCGGTGGGCCAGGGGTTGGTTTAACACGCGCACTCCATTCCCTTTAGTGCTGTCCCAAGGGAGAGGCATGGTAGCCTCCGCGTCCACGAGGCCATGGCCCGCTCCGTGCAGCCCGAAGGCGCCCGTCCTCGTGCTCTGTAAGTGCCAGCTAGCTTCGCCTATGGTGGACTTGAGCGCTGGTGAAGCTGCGCGGATAGGAGCTGTACTGTCTGGTACAAGTGGCCGCGGAGGAGATTCCGATGGAGAGAAGGCAGAGGCGGTCACGACTAATAGTGCCTCTACTAGTCATTTCGAAATCGTTCTCTTGCAGACCAATTCCCACCTCGTCCTGTGGATCCGACCGGTGAGGAAGAGAAACGAGTAGCCGGTGATTCGGCTATCGTCAGGAACGTCCATCTTGTGTCTCGCATCCTGTCTCTGCCAGCGCCTCGTCTGTGTGTAGCCACGAACCGGAACAGCTTGATACCACCCCTGTAGGTCTGGCTTTGCTGAAATCTATCTGATCTCGATCATTTGAGAAGAACCATCCTTCATCGCAGCAAATCCGGTTTTTTTTTTTGGTTTCCTTTCTTTTTTTTTTTTCGCCCGTTGACGACTTGAGATGAACAGCAAAGAGCTGGTCGCTGAAGATTTGGGGGCTAGTGGGTGGATTGGGGGCCAGATTAGCTAAAGTTGGTGAGCTACCGCGGGCAAGAGCTACCTAGTCAGCTCCCCTTGCCCTCTTCCCGCAGCAGGGAATGAGAGTACATGCAGCCAAAGTACCGAGTACGGGCGCCAGTTCACGTTAAGGGTGCATGCACCGTCCTTGCGTCCCTACCTACCTGGTATGTACCAACCAACCAACCTGGTCAGCACCCGCTGTAAAGAGAAGGACTTGTGCTCATTGCAGCAAAGAGATGCGCCACCTCAGTCTGTCTGTTTGCACACATGATGTATTCCATTTTCTATTAGGCTGCCATTCTGTTCCTATCCGTCAATCCCAAAATGGACATGTACCTGCGATCTCTGACAGTCACCTCACAGGGGCTTCGGCGAAGGATGTGGGATCAACGCAACTTGTTTCACTTTTTTGGGATGCACAGCAGATTCTAGCACCAAAAAGCAACCAGTTAGGAAATAGCTCGTATCTTTTACCTGGGCAACTGGGATACGACGGTAAACTCTAATAAGTGCCACAAGGCATTTCTGCCACTGCCAACCTCAGTGTCTAAGACAGCTTCGCCCAGGGCCTGGCTGGGTGAAACAACAATCCCTTGATTGTAGCAGCCGCAGCATTCAGCTCACGTTGCTGCAGGTCTCAACGACATGTTGCCCGCCGGCGCTTATCTCACTGCCAGCATACAGAGTAGTCTAGTAGATACATATGCATATGAGGGTAATAACCGCATTTGCTGCAGGGCTCTTGATTGGCGCCAGAGTGTGGCGAAGCAAACGGACGATCGTCGATGTAGATCTGAGAATGAGAATTGCACGACAGAGGTCTTTACGGCCTGCATGCTATTAGCCTTTGTCTCTCCCTTTTTCTTTTCTTCAAATAGAAATGAAGATAACAAAAAGGACTTACTAGATAGACTTGGGAATAGCACGCACAGGAATTATTCCGCGCCATGCTACTCCGTACTCTCTGCTTCCATCTCGGCGCTTATACGCAGAAAAACCACTAAGCGACTAAGACGACCAACCGCCCGAGTTTAGCCTGACAGATGCCCAGGTATTTTTAGGTATTTTTAGAGATTCAGCCACCCATCACATTGCACTATCTGCACACTATTGCGGCACCGCAAGCAGAAGCATATTAGTCTACGTTGCAAGAATAAACGGAAACATCTTGCATAGGCTATCAGATTCCCAGCCATCCGGACACGTAGACGCGCTTGTCGCCGTCCAACGACAGCAGCACAGCCATCGGTGCAACGCTTCATCTGCTTCTATTCGTCGTTTATGCGCCGCCTCTTGTCCTGCCTGTACTCGTACTCCAGCAAACCCGGGCGGTGGATCTCGGCGAGCGGGAGGGATGGGCATCGCCATGAACAACCGCCTCCGAGTGGCACGGCGAGTGTTTAGTGTTGCATCCCGTCTAGACGCACTTGGTCTCGCCTCTCAGCTGGCAGAAGTGTATCCAACCCAGCCCCGATCCCCAGGAACGCATCTGCCCACTGCCCTTTTGTCCTCGTGCCATGTCTTCGCAATGTAACGCAGCCATCTCATGACATCGGCTGTTAGCCGCCGTCAACTTCACACCCTCACGCCCGATAGCCGCGAGAAACAGAGGTGTTCAAGACTCGGGTGGCCGGATCTTTGATCGTGAGGAGAATAGAATACACTGTGTTCAGAATTCTAATATTAGTAACCGCCGGCAGATATCGAATCGTCAACCCCCATGCCGGAGAAAGAAGATTCAGGAAAGGGGGGCAGTGACAAGGCCTTGCGGATAAGGCTGCATGGCGGTAGTTGTATCGGCATGCTATTAATCCCCGTGTTCGTTGGTAAGGCTGATCTTCCTTGCTGTTGGTCATCGCACAGGGTTGCAAACTCCCATGGTAGCCTTGTCATGTGCATTGCATCCATCCCCAAGAATCTCCTGCTTGTGTCTTTTCGTGTATGCACGTGTTTGCTAAGACGAAAAGAGCCCAAGAGTTAGAACGCCACCAAAGTCTTTGTGTGTCTTGAGACAATAGAACCCTGCATATACGAAGCCATGAAACAATGGCTTCGTCGTTGACAAAAATAACTTGCATCATGCTTAAAAGTCACAGAACGCAAGGCTGTTATAACGCTCTGCAGAGTAAGGGAGTAACCAAGATTGGAGCAAAGCAGTCATCATTTTTTTTGTAACCCTAAAACAGAACCCAACACGCCAATGAGACACCATCAAATCCATCTATTTCCACATATTAACAGTCAATCCTTTTGTCACGTGTTATCGCTCCTTCATCGCAAAGTTGTCTCGGTTGGAAGCCATATGGCCGCGTTCAATTCCTCTGATACTCGGAGCACTTCCTTGATGCTAAATCTACGCGCGGCTTGAGGTAGCCACTGCGTGGTTGTTCTCTGCCGGTGCCGGCCTCCCGTTGCTGTCGCTCTCTTCAGAGTCGTCATCGCTGGCAGGGTGGCTGTCTGTCACCGTCCTGCGGTTCTTGGTCATCTGAAAAAAAGAAAGGGCGATCGAGTCAGCTTGGGAACGGAAGAGGAGGAGGATGGGGGAGATCAACGAACCCATGATCGCACACCACCAACCAGCCCAAGCGCATAGCCAGTGATGAACTCCTTCGAGTTCCCTGATCCTCCAGGCATTGTGGGAGATCGCGCAATGTCGCTTGATGAGCTGTTAACCCGGGCTGGGCTCTGTGGTCGGCTGGTAGGCCAGAATTGTTTCAGCTCCCGGCTGAGCTCCTGGCCAGTCGTGGTCCAGTTGTTGGTGATGTTGTCACGGAGGTCTTGCACGTGACGCTTGAGGTCTATCTCATTCTTTTTAAGCCAGCTGACGTTGAGCTCCTGGCGAGAGGTACCACGCTTGAATTGCCTGGTGATGTACTTTTCGTAGTCGCGGACGACTCTATGTGACGCAAGTCAGGGGCAGGGTTCAACAGCAATAGAAGAATAAATTACTCACCTTGTAATGATGCCGGTTGTGCTGACACCCTCAGTGCGCTGGGTCACGAGGAACTTGCCAGCCTCCTTTATGGGTTGATAGATGTCGTCTCCCTCGTCCGCGCCATATGGAATATCGTCGTGTGCAACATAGTCAAGGCGATGCAATTCGAGAAACTCTGGAGTGACAATCCAAGGGCAGTCTTCGATGACTTCGTCCACCCACTTGCAGTGTCGCACAGACTCGGCGCGCTCCTTGGCAGACATGACAGTCAACCCCTTGCGCATGTGGGTATCGTTGTCGCCGGTGACGCCTACGACGAGGGTCGTGTTGGGGAAGGCCTTTTTCGCCTGTTCAAGTTGGCGCATGTGCCTGTTGATATGGTCAGCGCGTGGCCATTCGATGGTTTCTCGCCAGGTACAGACAGTACTCACCCGAGATGGAACAGGTCGAAGACTCCGTCGGCGTATACCCTCACATTGCGGCCAACTGGCGGGGGATTGGTCTTGTAGCCCACAGGGTGCGTGAGCTTGCCAATTGGAGGCGGAGGCATGGCCTTCTTCTTCTCTTCCTCGACGTCTTTGGACACACTCTTCCGTCCTTTCCGAGTGACTCTCTCAGCAATGTCGACACTGGCTTCGGTGGTGTCACTGGGCTCACCAGGATCGAGGACATTGTCGCCATTCTCGACAACTCGGTCTGAATTGGCTCGCTGTCTCTTATTAGGGTTCAAGTTGGTGCCATTGGCGGTCCGTCTGGTCTGTCGCGACGACTCTGGTGCGGTGGTGTCGCCTTCTTCGCCCGAGGCATCGCGCGAGGATGTCTGCAAAGCGCTGTCCGGCAAGTTACATGTGCTGTCGGCAGCGTTGGCAGTGTTTCTCTTGCGTTTGCCGCTGTGGGAGGATGCTGGTGATGACATGGTGGCAAAGAAAGAAAAAGCAAGTGCTAGCTCAGGCCCAATGCAGCCCGACTGACGTCTCTCTCTGGTTGTGCGTTTCTGTCTCTCGCTTCTGGCGAGTTCCCGATAGCCGCTCCAGCTGTATCAGCTATCTATCTTGGATAGACATCAATGGGCTTGGGGAGCAGAAGACACTGGCGCTGGGCTTGGCTCGTGACGCTCGCGTGCGCAATGTGTGGAGAGGCGCTCCGGGGGTTGCTGAAGGTTTAGAATTCTGGCCGGGGAGCTTGTGATTTTACCCACCTTGAGGTCGCCAACAAAATTCAAATCAAATTTCCCACAGCCTAGCAAGCTACCTGCACTCCAAAAAGACAGGTGGCGTGACCATGCTGAAAAGGGGCCATAAATTAATGCCTGAGTAGGTATACGCCGTATTCGGGTCAGAGTTAATTTCTCATATTTATGTGGTATTTTCTAAATAACCCTGCCAACCTGCCCAAAAGTACAGCCTGATCAATGGCATAAAGCACTACCCATACTCCGTACGATGGCATGGTCCTTTTTGATTCTTCTCCCGCTGTTCTGGGTCTGGAATGGAGACCCAGTTTCCTAGCTCAGCCCGTTGGGGGGCAGAGACAGGACAGTCCTCGCTGCTTCTCCTTACTTCAAGATCCGTGGATGCCCTACATACAGTAGTATGTGATTGGGATGTCCATGCGTGATTAGAAGGCGAAAATTGGGGAAATTTCCGTGCTCAGTCCCTCTCCTTGATTCACCGGCAACGACGAATTGATGACGCTGGCACACAGTCATCACGTGCCAGTCGCACAAAGATCTTGATCCTCCTCCTAGTCAAGTCGCGTCAATGCTTGTCTGTCTTGCCCCAACACATTGGCGGTCGTCATTTCGCCGTCTCCATCAGCTAAGTGCTAGTTAAGCTGCTAGCTGTTCTCTAATAAGGGGTAGCGGATCGCCTTGTATCTCTTCACATGTCCAGCGTTGAAAGGTACATCCATAGCATTGCCCCTACTCTGCCTTGAGCTCCATGCTTCGAACAGGAGCGTCATAAGGCTGTGGCGATCGGCTCACCGTACTCCGTAGGGCCTTGCTGGAATCCAAGCATCACTCGGGGGTGAGATGAGACAGCAAGACAGGTATCGAGAGAAGCCGGGAAACCTAAAGATTGGCTGCCCAATAGAGTTGGTTTCTGCTGTGATGCCAGTAGCGCTACGTCATATATTTGTGTTTGGAGCGAACGGCACTACTGTATGTAGTATGCAGCAGCTGTTGCAGATTCGACGTGTGCAAATCATTCCATTTGCATCTGACTGGTGTCTCTCAGTGGCTGCAGCATTCGCCAGCAAACCGGGGGCTTCAAATGGCGCATGTGCCGCTGACTAAGCCATCCGACCTGCATAGAGGCCAGCGAGAGCATGCAGAGGGTGGCCTGTCGTTTGCGAGCTGTCAGGCTTCTTTTTTTTTTTTAAACTTTTATGCGTACCTGTTACCGCTTCCATCTTACTACACGGAGTAGTCTAAATTCTGTGATGTTTACACGAGGTACGTTGGCTAGTAGTGGGCAACACCACCTGCCTACCTGAGGTTCAAGCCAACGGCCAGTGCAGCATAATAGGGCCACGAAGTCAAGGCGGGACGAGTCTTAAACGTTGCACATGTCAAGGACTGCCCCGCATCCAGAAGCAGTTGGCTTCTTCTTTTCTTCATTTTTGTTGGGCTGCATATACAGGCATGTGCGGGAAGGAATCTGGCTTCACGCAAACGACGCGGTCTGAGTGGCTGCACTGAGTGAGAGATATATTGCGAGCGTGGTGAAACAGGGCGTTCTCGTGCCATTTGGCGCTGCTGCAGGTCAGTGTATTATTGGCTGCGTGGAGTGCTAGCGATGCGCATCACAGAGTCTTGTGAATGCACGGAACAGCGCTACTGAAGCTGTCCATGTAGGTGGTCAGTACTAAGATATAACACGCACGAGACAGCTGTAACAGTAACGGTGTTTACGGAGGACATACATAGGTAATAATTCCCTAACGGAGGAGTGACATCTCTCCACAGCAGTTCGACATGCGCTCCGTTTAAGCTGTCTGGCGCTTCTCGATGCCACATAACGTCAGAACAGTACAGAATCAAGTGCGTAAGCCCCGACAGTTTCGTCCGATGCCAATAAGCACTGTGGCGCACATACACAATGACGTAGATATGAAACCGAACCGCCCTCGCAGCGGTCGTCTGAGGCCTCGAACTTGCGAATATTACGATTGCTCTTGATTGGAAGGCCAAAATACAAGCTTCAGACAACGCTGTCACCGGGGTCGCATCTTGGGAGGACTAAGCCAGAGTAATACTCGTACCGAGGCCCGGGCCTTGAGCCGCTTTAGGTACAGGTACAAGGTTGACAGCGATTATTTTGGCTTCTGCCAGCCCAGCATGCAGCGCTGCATGACCGTCTCGCTTCTTAATAAAGTGGAGGCATAATAAACGGAGACCTCATCCATCAAAAGGTCAAGGTGAACCTGCACCTCAATCTTTTCGATCGACTTGACCGGATCCAAGGGGAATAAACACCACCCGCTTGTGCACCTCCATGCTGCCTCGACACCCTTAAATAGAGCCCAGGTCGCCTCAGCCGCAGCACAGTGCGCCGCTACTGTTGCCCATCGTCTCAGCCATACCACATTGCCATAGCACTGCGCAGATCACAGCAGCGCAAGCGCCGTAGCAGAGCCGTAGCACAGTCGTGGCAGCACGAGCATAGCGCTTGCTTCGGCGGCCCTCCCTAACAACCGACACAGCGACTTGGACGTGCGTAGCTCTGCCCACCCGAGCTTGCACAAGCTCCGTCTTTGCCATGCGTATCCTCCCGAACCGGCTGCTCTCTTCATCTCCATCTCAAGGTGCGAATTCAAGAAGTGAGAGCCCAATGCGACCAAAAACCGACTCCTTTGGCCTTGGAGGGGGGCCAGCAGCTGGCCTGACCCTCAGGGTGGTCATCATGCGGGTATGGACCAGTCTCTCGGCTTCGACGACAGGATTGTGTGCTAAGAGGCGAGGCATATAGGCAAGAAATCTGGCGGCCAAAGACCGTAGTGGAACTTCGGATCCGGTGAGTTGAAAGAAGCAGCACCATCACGCATCATCGAACGCCATGTCACGAGTCCCAATGAACACGCATCGTCTTCGTTATCACCGCAACGTCCCCCCCTTTACCGCTACAGACAACGCAGATTCTCGTCATGAGCCCGCAGCTTACAAGCAAATCCTGTCTGTCTAGTATCTCGTGGTTACGCTTGGCGACGCGCGAATCGTCACCCACTCCGTCCCCAAAACGCTCAACCCCGAATGGAACGTCATCGAGGAGCTGCCCATAAGCTCTGTACAAAGCCTGGTAGTGGGCGTCATATGCTGGGACAAGGATCGTTTTGGCAAGGATTATCTCGGAGAGTTCGACCTGGCGCTCGAAGAGATCTTCCAGACCGAAGCCGCCGAACAAGAGCCGCGGTGGTATCCCCTGAAGAGCAAGCGTCCTGGCAAGAAGACCAGCATCGTTTCCGGCGAGGTCCAGCTCCAATTCACCCTGCTTGACACCGCAAACCCTTTTCTCCCTCACCAGCAGCTGTTTGAAAAGTTCTATGCCCTTGTTGGCACAGTCCCCGTTGGCTCGTCCCGAAACGTTACACCTACCGAAACTCCACTGCTAACCCCGAGCGCGGCAACGCACTTGGGTGTCTCGTCGTCTGGAGACGGTATTGCTGATGAAGACGACGAGGACGACCTTACTGAGCTCGAGGAAGACATTGGCGACGATGTTGAGGATCCCTCAAAGCCAGAGACCGCTGAGAAGCGCCGGCGGCGACTCCGCATCAAGGGTCTCAAGAAAAAGAGACGGCAGGATCCCTACGCTTTTACCAATGGTGACTCCGACGTTGTCGGTATAATTTACCTGGAGGTTTCCAGGATCACAGACCTTCCACCCGAGTCAAACTTGACACGGACTGGCTTTGATATGGATCCGTTTGTCGTGGCATCACTGGGCAAGAAGACATACCGCACCAGGCGAGTCCGGCACAACCTCAACCCAGTGTTCAATGAGAAGATGATCTTCCCGGTGCAGTACCACGAGCAGCAGTACTCGTTTGGATTTACTGTCATCGACCATGACAAGTACTCCGGCAACGACTTCATCGCTTCGTGTAACCTGCCCGTTCAGTCGCTCATAGAAAAGGCGCCTCAGGCAAACCCAGAGACCGGACTGTACGAAGTCCGTACCCCCGAACCAGAACCGCTGCCAGCACCAGTTGTCGCGAAATCTCGTCTCCAGAGGCTGGGGGTTTCCCGTTCCTCATCGACGCAAAGTCTAAGCAAGATGATGCGCTCGCAGGCCCCTAGGTCTACTCCTTCAAACGGCTCCTCTTCACTTACAGCGCTTGGCGATGGAAGCGGTCCGCAGTCTAGCAACACGTCCTTGGCACCTGCAGATGCTCTTGCTGGCACCGGCGCTGAGACTCCAGAGCCCGCTGCGGAGACGGATGATCCCGATTTCACAGAGTACGCTCTACCGCTGAAGATGAAGAACTTGGATAAATGGGAAAGCAAGCACAACCCCATCATCTACCTGAGGGCCAAGTATGTACCATACCCAGCCCTCCGCCAGCAATTTTGGCGAGCGCTGTTGAAGCAGTATGATACAGACGAGAGTGGCCTTATCAGCAGGATCGAGCTCAGTACAATGCTGGATACTCTTGGCTCAACATTGAAGGATTCTACAATCGACAGCTTCTTTCAGCGCTTCCCTCACAAGGCTGCCGATAATGAGGAATCGTGGGAGCTGACCTTTGACGAAGCCGTGCTGTGTCTGGAAGATCAGCTGCAGGCCAGGAGCCGATCTGGAAGCAAGACTCCCATTTTAGATATGAAGAGCCTCAGCCTCTCTGGTAAGTCATCTGGGGACTCGGCCGGACAGCCAAGCTCAGAAGGCTCAGGGAACTCGACACCCCAGATTATGGTGGAGCCGCCAGCAGAGGCGACGACGCCCATACCCGAGATCAGCACGCCAAACGATGAGGGAGAGGAGGGGTATTTTGATCGAGAAGACTCCAAGGAAGAACATGTGGTGGAGATTCGAGAGTGTCCCATCTGTCATCAGCCTCGCCTGAACAAGCGCAGCGACGGTGATATCATTACGCACATTGCGACCTGTGCTAGCCAGGACTGGCGCCAGGTCAACACAGTCCTCGTGGGCGGATTTGTGACGGCCAGCCAGGCGCAAAGAAAATGGTACTCCAAGGTGATTACTAAAATCTCATACGGCGGATACAAGCTCGGTGCCAACTCGGCAAACATTCTCGTTCAGGATCGTCTCACAGGACAGATTAACGAGGAGAAGATGAGCGTCTATGTGCGCTTGGGCATCCGACTCCTCTACAAGGGACTGAAGTCGAAGGACATGGAGAATAAGCGAAGTAAGTGGTGCTGTGTGCTACAAAAGAACTCCAACAGGATTTTTGACACTGACAATGAACCTAGTCCGGAGAATGCTGAAGAATTTGAGCATCAAACAGGGCAAGAAATTTGACGACCCTGCTTCGCGAGACGAGATTGAAAAGTTCATCGACTTTCATCGATTGGATATGTCAGAAGTCTTGCTGCCGATTGAAGAGTTCAAAAACTTTAACGAATTCTTCTACCGTGCGCTCAAGCCTGGGGCCAGGCCGTGTTCGGCGCCGGACAACCCTCGTATCATTGTCTCGCCAGCCGATTGCCGAAGCGTGGTCTTTAACCAAATCACGCAGGCGACCAAGATCTGGGTCAAGGGTCGTGAATTCAACATGAAGAGGCTCCTCGGAGATGCCTATCCAGACGACGTCTCGCGGTTCGAGAACGGCGCTCTGGGCATCTTCCGACTGGCCCCTCAAGACTACCACAGATTCCACATCCCCGTCGACGGTGTCATGGGCAAGCCCATCACCATTGCTGGCGAGTATTATACAGTCAACCCAATGGCGATTCGTTCGGCGTTGGATGTGTACGGCGAGAACGTGAGAGTGCTGGTGCCCATTGACAGCGAAGTCCACGGACGGGTCATGGTCATCTGCGTCGGAGCCATGATGGTGGGCAGCACGGTGATTACGCGCAAGGAAGGCGAGCGCGTGAGCCGTGCCGAAGAACTTGGCTACTTTGCGTTTGGCGGTAGCACGATACTTTTACTGTTTGAGCCCGGCAAGATGCGATTTGATGACGATCTAGTGGATAACTCTAACGGAGCCCTCGAGACCTTGGTAAGTCTTGGCCTCTTTTTTTTTTTTTGCAGGGTGGGAGAGTGTGTTGCTAATTTGATGGTAGATTCGCGTCGGCATGTCGATTGGACATTCGCCCTCTCAATCACAGTGGACCCCAGACATGCGCAAGAATGAGCAGGACATTACGGAAGCTGATAAGCAGGAGGCAAAGAGACGAATCCAAGGCAGCGCTGCACTGGAGGAAGAGTCGCCCGGGGACAGCGGGGATGAGAACCGAGGAACCAAGAGATCATCGCTTCCCCCAACTGTCAACACGCTGGCAGCATCATCTTTGTAAATGGGAGAGGGGGAAGATGAATGATGGTCAAGCGCCTAGTCATAGTATGAAGAGCCACAGTACGCACGCTGGAATTGCGCGCCTTGCTGTCATTGGATACACTTGCATGGAAATCATAGTTATGGGAGATTAGCATGTTTACTAGCAGATTACATCGCGGAGCCTCAACAGCATATGTATTTGAAGAAGAAGCAATGAACAAATGATTTATTACTCGATGTAAAACTCCTAGCCAAAGGGGGTGCTATCTCCCCAAAGAGAACCAAATCAGATGAGACGAAGATGGAAGTGCCGGGTTTGAAATGAGATGTGACTGTGTCACGTCCCGCAAAGGTATTGATGTTGCAAGTCGGAATAAAAGTGTATACAACCAGGAGAACGAACATAGTTTGGGGCTTTGAATGTATTTTTGTTTCTTTTTTTTTTTTTTCCCTTGTTTTTTCCTTGTTTGGTATGGGCGTCGGGTATATTGATTAATATGAGATGAAGCCGATGATGTGATCCTAAACCCCCCCATGAACCGTCCGGCAAAACACTTGAGCAAAGCACTTGGAATATCCGCCTCTCTCTCCAGCTCATGAACATAAGAAATGAAGAAAAGAAAAAAAGGTGTTTTCCCTTTTAAAGTCGTGTCGGTATTTTTTTTTTTTTTTTTAACGACTTGACGGTGAGGACGATAGGGATGAGTTTGACGACATGCTTCCTCTCCGCTCGTGGATTTTCTCAGGAGAGGGGGAGCGGGACGGGAGGGCTATTGTTGGTGTTGTTGAGGTGGTTGGTGATGATGAGGGTGTTGGGTTTTGGCGGCGGGATTGGTGCCATGATGTGTAGAATTGGCGGCACAGGTGTGCGGACATTGTGTATGTGGGAGACATTATTGTGAGGTTTTGTTGGGTCTTTTTTGTCTTTTGCTTGGAGCAGTGTGTGTGTTTTGATACGACGAGTGAGTTATGTATACTGTAGCGTCTGATGTTGTTGTATTGAGAGGAGTGTTTGGAGAGTGCAAGTCCGAGATGGAGAAGAGCAGAGTTTTGCAAGATCCCAGAAAGGAGAAGAAATGGGAAAGAAAAAGAAAGAGAACAAGAAACACGAAAAAACGGGCTAGGAGGGGGAAGAAATGGGAAGTTGTTTTTATCGGGAGCTCATTTGTGTGGTGAGTTGGATGAGCATCAGGTAAGGAAGGCCGCCTTATTATTAATTAGTGCTTAAAGTGTCAGTCCAGTTTTCCCAATTGTTTTGGGCACGGAGTACGCCGTTGCCGATTTTTCTGGGGACAAAAACGCAACATAGTCATGCTTTGATAAACCTTTTCCCCCCCTTTTTTCGGATCCCTTTTATTTTATTGGCTGTTTTATTTATTTTTCTTTTGGTATGTTACATATTATACAGATTCAGATAGTGTTACCTGTTCTTTGATTCTTTGGTGCCTAGCAGGCATCATTCAGTGATTCAACAGTACCAGCGGATGATACAAAAGGGTACATCAAATCACAGCCTCAATATGCAGCCGGTCAACCCAAAAGTACACGTATTTCTGGGTACCATCCAGGTAGTAATCGACAAACAAAACCGGGGGGAAAAAAAAAAAAAGAGAGCACACGAGCCATAGCCACACAAGCTTTCTGGACATCACATCATGGTTGCGTTAAAAGTCGTTCCACCTCTTGGGGCCTCGAAAGGGACGGCAGCCAATCAGGTGGCGCCAGGGGGTATGTCGGGACGGGCAGTTTAGTACTGGTTTGGGAGTAACGCCTGATGGCCAGCTAATCCTATTTTTCCTATTCTTTTTGGAGTAACTACGAGTAATACAGTTAATACAGTATGGAACTTGGGCCACCTAGAGCAAAGAAGGGTACTATTGCTAAGATTGGGGTTTCGTTCGCTTAAAGAACGGTGTAGGTAGTATTCGTACTCGGGAAAGGGGGCTGATGCGAAATAGATGGGCATTGCCTTATTCATCAACCAGCCGCTTGTTATTCATCACCAACAAGACCAATTCACTCTCTCCCCCAAAAAAGAACAAAAAGAAATAAAACAAAAACAAAAGAAGCAAAGATAAAGATTAGACACTAAAACCCAATGAATTCGAACCTAAAAAGGCACATACTTGTAGTACACACACACTCACAGAATGATGCAACGCCCCCCGGCCCATCGCGAGCCCGCCGTCCAATCACCGCCCCCCGAATTCCGCTGACTCGTCGGGGATAAAGCCTTTTCCCCAGCTGCCATTACCGTATCCAGCACTTTGCGAATTGTCCATCAGCGACTTCGATGGCGAAATCGTCGGATGTCGCATGCCTTTGCCTGGATTGGGTGTAGAGCCGTCGGCGCAAGTCGCTGGTGGCTTGGTAATCCAAAGATTTCAGACAGCTTTCCATGAAAGCAGCTTATACAAGCTTTGACTCGTGATAGCTACCTACATGTACTAGGTAGGTGCAGAAGAAGCAGGGCAGGTGACACCATCTAGCAGCTAGACACGTACGGAGTAGATATACGCACTTTACGCAAAATCATAGTCTCATCTGGGGAATGGCAAATCATCCACGATCCAACATCGGATCCACTGGTATATGCCTATTATTCTCAACGACTGACTACTCGTACACGATCGTAGTATTTATTCGAATCACTTAAAAACCATCAAGTAATCCTATCCCAACCGTTCTGCGGCAAACCACACGGAAAAGGGGGAAACAATGCCAACTTTTATAAGGCCGAGACGGAACCGAAACTGCCTCGACATACGAACAGAACAGGCAAATGCTCGGTGAAATAACAACAGCTCTTATCCAATATAGATTCCCCCTTGCCGGATACACACGCCAAAATCCCAGTGATGCCCAATAAGTGATCCACTAAACCCTTCGCAGAGGGATGAAAACGAGCGCCGTTGCCATGCAATTTCATCGCTGATAGCAATATCCAAAAAGAAAAAAGAAAAAAGTCCATCCACCTCGAGGTAAAGACAGACGTCAGATAAATCAAGAAAATAGAAAGGGGGAAAAAAAAGGATAGAAACCCAAAAATTCTCCCGGAAATAATAGTCACCAAGAAAGGAAAAGAAAAAAGGGGAACTGCCAATAGGAAAGAAGTAGAAGGGCCATACACCGGCTTAGTCGGCAATGGCGCTCTCATCTGCCTGAGCTTGCTGCAGTTTCTCTTCATTCTTCTCAGCGGCAGGCAGGTTGATATTGGCACGAGCCTTGCCCTGCGCTTCGACAAAGCGTTCCCAGTATTCAGGGTCACTCTCCTTCAACGCTGAGAACAACATCTCCTTGTCCTCCTTAAAGGCTTGAACAGCACCCTTCTTCTTTGCCAACTCCAAAAACTCGCCACCAACATCTTCGGCAAGCTCTCCAAACACATGTACGTGCTTGGGGTCGTTCTCCACGTCGGCGAGGGTGGTCAGCAGATCAAGATGTTCAGTAAATCCAGATCGGAACCTGTGCCCAGCACGGTGCACACGTCCTTCTTCTTCCGCCAGCTTCTTGCCCAATATCGAGTTGGATCGTGAGAGGGTATGTGGCACAAGCTCGCCGTCGTCTTCAGCATCGGATCCGGCTGCCACGGCATCCTCTGCAGTTGGCGGCGATGTTGAGAGTATTTCCGCCTCCGCCTGGGATGCCGGCGCCTTAGTCACTACATCTTCTGTATGCTCGCGAGTATCGGGATACTCGTCCTCGAATCGTTTGATGATACCCTGCAGCGTATCGTCCAGGAAGTTGAGCTTTCGCAAGTTGACCTCGTCGTTTGGATTTGCCCTGGCCTTGTTCAGTGCTGGCTGGAGACGAAGTCTGATCTTGCGAGCACCAGCTAACAAGTGCTTCGACAAATCCTTAGCCTTGCCACCAGTGGACAGTCTGGGTCCGATGAAAGGCTCTTCCTCTCCCGCGCCCAGCTCCCGGAAGAATTCCCCAGATGCCCGGCGGGATTCATCGCCACGGTTCTTGAGACAGCACGCAAGCGCCTTGACCACACCTGTACCACCGATGACGTAGTCCTCGTCTGGCCCTGAGTCGTCGTCATCGTAGTCATCGTGCTGAAGGACATCATGACCGACGAGATGTGCCAGCACATCAGGATAACCTGGGGTTTTGCCGTCGACAGTCTCTCCCTTGGCTTCGGCGAGGGCCGTAGCCACTGCCTTGTTGATCTCCGCATCATGCATGTGCTCAATGTTCTGTAGGCAGTAAGCCACAACCTGCTTTGCCATTGCTTTGACAATTTCGCCAGCCTCCTCGTGGGGAACTTCAATATCCACACATATCATGCTCTTGGATAGCCTAGTGGCAGCCATCAGAGATGCATACAGAGCGCAGGCTTCTTCCTGGGCTTCTTCGGTCTTGGCGCTGGCCAGCGCCACGATGTCCGCATTTCCAAGCAGGCTAAGATGGCAGAGATGCTGAGCCTCTGGCACGACTTCGACTATCGCAATGGCTTGCTCAGATGTCATGTTAACATCCGAAAGATGCAACCTCTTGAGGGTTTGCATTTTGGGTAGATATCTAATCGTGTCACACAGATATGTTAGCATTTCTCTCTCTCATATGCCGTTTTGTGAATTCATGGATTCATCTCATACCTTCGAAGTAGACCAACGGCGCTTGGCGTTGACTGGAAAAGATCATGATTGTGCGAAAGGTCGATGAAGACGAAGTTTTGCAGCTTGGCCAGAATAGGAAGCATCTTGCAAAGAGACGAAGGGGTCAAGTTGCAATCGGATATACTCAGTGCCCATAGCGGATCAGTCTCCTTGATGGCGGCGGCAATGGTGTCCATATGCTCCCTGAGATCGATGCCGCCCAAATCAAGTCCTTCGCATTTCCCACACTCGAGGTATTTCACCACGTGCTGAACGCCATCATTGTCGAGTGGGTTTCGAGCAGTGCTGAGTCGTTTTATGCCGCATTTGACGACTCCGTCGATGATTTTACCCAGTTGCTCCATGCTCGGCTCGGTCTCGCTGATACTGAGCATCTCGAGCGCAGGTCCCGCTGGGCGGTCCGCGAGCGCCTTAGCGAAGATATCGGCTATAGTGAGGGGAATATGTACACCATTTTGAAGACCGCCGTTGGTGTTTGTGGACGCTTGGCGCGGAAACGGAATACTAGAGAGATCTAGGTACTTAAGCGATCGGCACTTGTAGATGAAAAGCGAAATGTGCTTCCAGCCGTCCGGACCCAGCTTATTTTCTTTCAACACGACTCTCTCCACCACTCCGCCTGATTCCTCGTGGACATGCTTGGCCTTCCTGCGCCTGGCCATTTCGGAGTGCTTCGCTGCTAATAGGCCCGCCAGAATGACTCTAACGCCTTCATCGCTAAGCCCGCTGTTTTGCAAAATAATCTCCCTCACAGGCACGATGGCAAGGTAATCTCCCAAGGTGATGAGATCCTGCAGCTGCATGAAATAGCCCGTCAAATCTATCTTGTTGACTAATCCATTGGCCGCAGCATTGCTCGGGTCGCTCAGCTGCTCGGTAATCTTCTTCAAGATGGGCGTTTCGCGAAGCTGGCAGCATCTTCGATAGATTCTAACCGGGTTTATCGTGGGAGAGGTGCTCGTCTTTGGGGTTCCGTTGCCATTGAGCTCGGCGGAATCGCTGCTATCGTAGTGAATCTCTATAGGGATGGCTCCGCTCTCTTCGGCGATCCGGCGTCTCTTTTCTTTCCTAGCCTTGCGCTCCTCTTCACTTCGCTTCTTCTTTTCCTTCTTTCTCGTCATGTCCTTTGGTGCTGCTTTTGAATCGTCTGGACTATCCGCTCTCTTTACGCCATTCTGCGTTGGTGTGGCCTGCTTTGCCTCGGCCTCACGGGGCTTGGCCTCATTGACGCCGACGCTCTCGGTTGATGAAGAGGAAGCTTCTTTTTGTGCTTCGGCAACCTTGGCGTTCTTCAATGCTTCGCCCTCGCCCTTCTCGCTCATTTTCTTCTTTTGGGCGTGGTCGACCGAGTTCGTTTCTGACTCAGTTTCTGCATACTTTGGCATGGGGGCAATCTCGACATCGACGAAAAACGATACGCGCCTCAGTTTGTTATCCTTGAGTTCCGTGATTGGACACCTCTCTCGGTCCCGATCCACGTTCAATATCCGGCGTTCGACCAGTCCGTGGTTGAGCTTACCGGCGGGACCGAGAGGACCGCTGTTACCTCCTCCTGAGGAAGACAGGCGCCGAAAAACGCCAAGCAGACCAGCTTGGCCCGATCTCGGAGGAGCCGGCGTGTAAGGCTCATCGCCCTCTGGTTTCAGCCCATGCTGGAGAACGGCATTCTTGGTCGGCGTAATCTTTGGGACAATAGGCTCTGAGTTTGCTGGAGGCTGTTGTGGCTGCTGTTGTGAAGGTGGCTGCTGCTGATTGCTGGGCTGCTGGGGCTGTCCATTTGCTTGAGGGACTGAGCCCGAAAATTTGGCTGAGATGTTGGAGAACCATGAGTTGCGACGGTGAGGTGGTGTCGCACTGGGGCTATTTTGCTTATCCACGGAGCCCGACCGTGAGAGGCGCCTGGCGTTGTTTGAGCCATTCACAGGAATTGGTTCCGTGCGGCCATTTGGCTTCCCGTTGGTCTCGACCTTGGGCTCGGTCTTGACCTCAGTCTTTTCAGCAGTTGATTGGGGGCTCAGCTTGAGCGGGGAATCGGTAGGGACACTTCGTGGCTGTACAGTAGCAACGGGAGTCTTGATGGGCGCAAACCCGGCCTTGTTGAATTTGTCTACACGGATTGTTAGTTTTCAATTCCCTATAACGATTATCCGGCAAGCAGCTGCCATGGCGCCGATGGACTTGTACATGTAGCCATCATCGAACGGCATGGCAGACAAAGCGGTGGAAGTGGCAAAGCAGCATGCCTTTGGGTGAGCCCTGCGTCATCCAACTGACGTCGACGCCATGGACTTGTTCCATGTTGGAGGGATTCCGCGACGCTCGCGCGCTGTTATGGGAGAATGGCGACTGCGAGACTGTTGCTGTGTTGTGGAAAGGAGAAGAGAGCAAGAAATGGCCGAGCGAAAGGAGGGTTGATTACAATATCCGCCCGCCTTTGACGGACGCTGGTGGCTCCAGCTGCGTGCGATCTAGGCTGGGGTAAGGCGAAAAATATGGGGAGGAGAGCGACAAGACGTCAACTAAAGCCCACTGTAAGGGGAGCCTGGCAAGCCAATAGCGGGGTAGATCAAGTCCCTGATCCCAGCGCTGTGCACACGCTCAGGTGCCCTAGCCGGGCCTTCTGCTAGCACAGTAAGCTGTCGCCTCCCAGCCCGGGCGAGTCAGCCAAGGCAAGGTCAAGGTCAATGCCTCTTTGGAGCAGCAATGCGGGACGCTTCAACGCGGGCTAGCTCCCGGCACGTCTCAATCACGAGCCCCTGTGAGTGCTTTTCTGTGTCGCAGTGAGACCCGTCCAATTGGTTGATTTGACGGGGGATGGTGGTTTTCGCCACAGGATTCCCTGCGCTGAGCATCTCTGGACAAACAGGGAACGCAAGGAGGCGAACTCCGCTGGCCGGGCTCTCTTTGCGCTGAAGCTCTGCAGCTGACTGTGTCTGGTTGCAAGCCACAGCCCAGACTTTATTTACACGCGCAAAAGCTTGAAAATTTTCTCTGCGCTGGAATCCTCTCAACGGGCCCCGGTTTCTAAGCACTTGCCGCCTAGTTGCCAGCCAGCGCTGACGGGTCCCTGAGTCTCGTAGGACAAGTACCGATTCTGCATAGTCTGCTCCATCTGCTCTTAGTAGAACTTCTCCATGCAGCAAATGCGCTTGTGCAAGGATGAACCACCTCCATAGTTTAGAGTGCTAGCCTGGAATCCAGTGGGCGCGGCCGTATTCAGCTACCGAGATACATGCTCCTTTAGGTACTTGCTTCACCCAAAACCTCCGGACGAGCCGAGCGATCACCGGAACCAAGCGTAAATGTTTCTTTAAACATGTACACGTATTTCCGTTCTCCTGAGCTCCAAACGGAAAATAATGGCTCAATCAGGCCTTCCAGCCTCGTCCATGGGCCGATGGAATGGCCCTTTTCCGGCTAGAAACTTATGGTCATGCACATCTAGCCCCCCTGACGTATTGGATGCAAAGTCACAAGAGCATGCTCACCACGATGATGCCGCTGCACGTGAATTGCTATCCGCGCCTAACGCAAGGGACCGACTCAGTAAGATGAAATGAAGATCCCTTTCGATTTACTTTTCCTGGCATCCAGTGCATTCTACGTCATTTTACGAGTATCTGCCGCTGTGCCGTGCTACCCTCAGGTACCTGCTTGGAAGTAGGTACTTTAGTAATATTATCCAAGACATTCTAGTGAGCCATACACCTCGAGAAGAGAGAGACAGCCAGCAAATACTACATATAGTAATACGTGGCAAATCGTTGTCGTACTGTACAGGCTTATACCTCCAATTAGCCTGGTAGGTAGGCCACTCCTCGCATCATATTCCTCATGCACGTAAATCCAGTTCGATGCTTTGGCCTCGCCCACCTGTGGAACGCAACCGAAGCAGTTTGGTTCCGTGATCATGACGGTGCCAAGTATTCCGTGATTCGTACACTAACACGGGATAAACCCCCAGTATGGTCAACGTCCCTTGAGATCGGAACTTTCCATGGAAAAAACCACCGACATCGCGTGCCAGAAAGGGGCAGGCTGGTCCACCCTTGCTATGGGGAACGCCGATAAAACCTCATGCAAGGCATGAAGAAGATGTATGTATTAACCGCGCATGTGTCCCACGTTTGAATAAAAGGGTCAACGGAAGCGCCATTTTTGCCTGTTCGTCTTCCGCGCTCCGTGGACGATGGAAATTGCTTCATAACCTCGGGCCCATGGCATTGACTGATCGCTTTCCGCCTCCTTAATAAGCAAATGTGTTTATCCAAGCTTATGTAACTGTTCAAGCGGCTACTCTAGGTTCTTCGCCGAGATGGTCCGCAAAGTTTTGGCCATCGCCCTTCGTGTTGTTTTAGAAAACCCAAGAGCTAGGTCGTCTAGCTTCTCAAGCTGCCAGGTAAAGATGACATTCATACGAGGTGTAAGTGCGATGTGGGACTCGTTGAGATGAGAGTAAGCACCTGCAGAAAAGATAGCCTATTAATATATGGGACTGCGGAGCATTAAAGCGACAAACAGCAAGTTGGTATATGTTTACAGCTTCCGAGGAAAAGTACTTGAAAATACAAGAGATATGCACTGGTGCGTGCCTATCCATTCAAAGACTGGAAGATATAGGCATGACTACCATATCCACGCTGAGACCAAGAAAAAAAGTTCGCGCTCTAGGGTAACAGGGTCGCGAAATTTTCACCTCGGCACTCTCCTCCTATACCTAGGTAAGATATGCACAAATAGGTACTAAGTCGTCAATTACTCGTAAAGCGGTAGTACCGTGGCTTCGTGCTGTTGGGCTATTATTCATAGAATCAATATTACCTACTAGGTAGGTATGCGCAGGGAGAGAAAATGTGTACATCTTAGTGCCCTCTGATGCATTCAAAACAGCAAACAGCCTTGTAACAGACTGTCGCATAAGCCAGAGAAAGCGAGTGGACTGCCACACTGCACTTTTAGGTACCAAGAAATATTTTACGCCAACTGGACATCACGTCGAAACGACAAGACCTCACTTGCACTAAAATTCGGACAAGGTAATGCACGAAACAATGGATCTATGATCCGGATTGGAAGGTATCTTTTCATTCATTTTGACCATGAGGACCGACCCTTTCATTCCTGTAACTCCAGACCCAATATATCGAGAATCAAATTGCAACCTGCCCAAATTCCCCTTTTTACTCCTCAGCCAGGATCTTCTGGATCTTGGCCTGCACGTTGGCAGCCTTCTCGGCCTTGGAGAGTCTGACAGTCTTGTGCTTCAGAGAAATGGCCTTCCACTCCTCCTTGGTCTTCTTGCCCTCACCCTCAACCTTCTTGAAGGGGTCCTCACGGATGGCCTTGTGGGCCTCAGTGTAGAGGTCCTCGAGACCGTCGGCCTCGATATCGTCCTCAATGTACTTGGAGAACTGGCTGTTGTAGCGCTCCTCATCGTCGTCGGCCAGAGTCTCCATGTACTCGGCGACGTGGCCACCGTAGATGTACTTGCGGAGGACCTCGCTGTCCAGCTCCTTGCTCTCCATGTCGTAACCAGGGAATCGCTTCTCGGAGTGGGGGACGAAGATACCACCGTCGGAGGCACCCTTGAGGGCACCGAAGACACGGGCACCGGTGGAGGTACGGGCAAGACCAACGTCGAGGAAGGCCTTGAAGGGACGGCGCTCGCCATCGTCGGTCTCAGCGGCCTCGGTGAGGGTGAACTCACCATCAGCCTCCTCAACACCGACGAAGTCCTTGTCGAGGCCGAGCTTGGTGAGGACACGGCGGGCGATCAGGAGACCAGTGGCATAGGCGGCAGACCAGTTGGTCAGACCGTGGCTGATGCCGTAAGCCTTCAGCTCGTGGGCGTAGGCAGCGACCAGGACCTTGTCACCAGAGATCTCAGAGCTGACGATCTGCATGACGATGTCCTTGTTGGTGAAGCGGACGACCAGGCGGTACTTGGGAGCATTGTACTTGTTCTTGGCCTGGGTGATGAGGCGCTTACGGGCATAGTAGTCGGTCTTGCCCTCACGTCTGCGCTTGTACTTGGTCTGGTAGCGGCTGTAGCGAAAAACGTTAGCCACATTGTTCCATCGGATCCTGCCCCAGAGGAAATTTGGAGATGGGGTTCAATGCAAAGAAAACTCACCTGTAGTACGCGCTGTTCTTGGCGAGCTTTTGGAAAGGCTGTCACAAAATCCCCGAGTCAGCAATTTGCGCTTCAGAATGCTCGTCTTCCTTCCGAAGCAACTTGCGACGACTCTCGATCACGAGCAATTGGCGGCATTTCTGCCACATTTTGCAGTTGAAGCATCTCGATTGTCGAGATTTCAACGATAGGCCCAACTTACCATTTTGACGGTGGTGCCTGGCGATGGCTGGCTTGCTCCTCAAACTTTGAAAATTTGATGATGAGGATAGAGGTTGAAATCTTGGTGGGCTAATTTTTGAAGCCCTAAAATTTCTCGTGCGCTACCGCTTCGCCTAGTTCCACACTGTGGGAAGCCGGGTTGGGGACGAATCACCTGACACGACCCCTGGACTCAAGCTAAGAAAGAAAGAAGCGTGGCTTATGTAAGCACTTCAGAATATGGAGTGCATCGCTCTTATCTTATCGCAGTCGGCGCGTGTGGAGCGCGGACCGAGGTACCGGCAACTTGTTTGAAGATGGGGATGCTGAGAGCCGCCATTTCGACTTGAAAGCAGCAGTGACTCCGCTCTTTGTTTTTGTATTCTTGCAATGGACCCCGAGAGTTATTCTGTTGATCAAATCTTGGAAGCAGTTGACGCCGAAATGGGAGATTTAAAGCCCAAAGTTCTTTTGTTTGACATTGGCGGTGTTTGTGTAAGTTGCGTATCCCTTGCCTTGGCAAACAGGCTCTATCGCGTTCTCTCTCTTACAAGTGAATATGTGCATGAGTACTCTTTCTATATTACTGACAATTTTAGGTCAAATCGCCATTTCAAGTCATCCTAGACTATGAACTTGGTTTGGGAATCCCGCCCGGCTGGGTGAACTACTCCATCTCTAAATCTGGCCCTACGGGATTCTGGCAAAAGATTGAACGAGGGCAGATTCCTATGGATGATGCCTTCTTCGAAGGGTTTACCAAGGACCTCCATGTACAGGAATTATGGGAGGAATTCTACAAGACGCAACAGGCAAAAGACCCTCGCCTAGCTAAAGAAACCCCCCCGCTGCCAACGATTGATGGCAAGTGGCTATTCAACGAGATGATGTGTGGTTCAGATGCGCACGACCCATGGATGTATCCAGCCCTGCAAAATCTTAGAGCCAGCGGAAAGTATATCCTGGCAGCTCTGAGCAACACAGTTATATTCCCACCCGGACACAAGATGTACCGGGAAGACTTCTTTGACGAGCCGGTTCGCCAGATATTCGACATATTCATATCGTCAGCCCATGTTGGCATCCGCAAGCCAGATCCAAAAATGTACCAGCTCGCCCTGGAAAAGCTCAATACCTTTGCTAAGGAGAACGCACATGACCCACGATATCAAGAGAAAGGGTGGGAGGCTGGCATTTCGCCAAAGGATATTGTTTTCCTGGACGATATTGGCGAGAACTTGAAAGAAGCGCGCAAACAAGGATTCAACACAATCAAGGTTCCGCTTGGGAGAACATACGAGGCGGTTGAAGAGCTGGAGAAGATTACAGGGCTGGCGCTTGAGGGGTCGCACCCAAAGATCCCCATCAAGCCAAATTATGGGCCGCGGGCCAAGATATGATGTTGATGATAATGTCACCAGAGCGATATAAAGAGCAGCAATATTTTTTGACCCTTTTTATGTAAATAGATGCCAATACTAGATGATTCTTCTTTCTTCTCGTTGGCCACGCTGCTACTATTTTAGCCTATCAGCCCTCCATGTCGTCAAAGTTCCAAGCAAAATTCTCATACAGCCCACTGAACCACCGTGGCTGACGAGACCACCAAATTTCTGTGGCCGGCTTCTCACCCTCGGTTACGATAGTTGGGCCTCCCGTTTCATCACCAAAGCGTTCACTTGTTACCACTCCGCCCCTCCTTGCTTCATACCACTCCCTTATACTTTTCGCCTTCCTTGCCATATCCGCCAATCTCCTCGACTTCACCATCCCCTCCGGTTTCTTGTCCAGATTTACGCTGTGCGCAAATTTCTCATTATCTTGTTTCAGAGCCTCTTCAGCTCCCTCTAACTGAGAAACAAATTGATCTATTATGGAGGAAAGGTCGAATTCGGGATATACCAGCTGGGCATTCCAGCCAGGAACGTTGATTAAAAGGAGGCGGACAGCGATGATCATCACAAATATGATCGGCTTCATAACAATTGTAGATTGATAGGTGTACCAACCATCAGGACGGGCTGCAAGTAGATTCTCAAAATATGCCTTGGTGGCAGATAGGCTGTTTGTCAAACATCGCCGCCACAAATCGAGCGAGGCATCTTCCATTTCTATTGTAGCCTGTTCAAAGCGTGTGGCTGGTTCGTAGAGCCGTACTATTAAGTAGTTGTAGATCAGCCTAAAGGATTTCTCATGGCTGCCAACATTTCCAATGGAAGGCCAGCGAAATTGCTGTTGATCGAAACCCAGCGACTCTATTGCGCTATCCAGCTCGGGACGAAGCCGCAGAGCAGACTCCTCGATGAGAGAAAGATAGGATTCCCTTCCATTATGGATCGTATTGGCGTGAAAACTCTCAGATATCTTATCGTTCAGCTGCATCATCCGCACATATCGCTCCAGAACAAAATCTGAGGGACATTCAGGATGTTGCCTAAGCAAGCTGCGACATAGGTCAACGTATGGGCCGCTGAGGGGATTCTGCCGACCAAAACGGGCCGAATCTCTACACCGTCAGAGTTAATAAAGGATGCTCGATTTTGGCAGCCAATATTGTGTAGCTTACACTGAAAGCACACTGACACAACCCAAGAACGCTCTATGGGCATCGATATCGCCGAGTTTGAGGTGTATTGCCGGGCTTTCAGTTGAGGTGATATTGCTGAAGGGGTTACTTTCACGCCGAGAAGCATTGAATGACCTCCCGGAAGCTGCCAGATTATGGGCATACCCAAGCGCGGTGTATGTGAGATTTGTGATTTGGTGATTATTCAGATTGCATATATCAGCCCTAAGTTTGTCAGTTCGATGGTTGTCACCAATACAATCATTCATATATACCAAGCAATACAAACTAAGACGCATTGTAGGAGATCCAAGTCAAATTCCTTCTCAGTGAACAGACGTTGACCGAGAAGAGCAAAGAGGTCCTCCTTCATTGCTGCAGTCACCAGCGGCGACAACGGAGCGGCAATTAACAAGATTGCCTTGAAAGTAAATGGCTGCTGCTGTTCTAGCTGGCGGGCAAATATTCCGTTCTCTAAGACGACAAATGGGAAATGATGCACATATTTCTGCCGGAATACATGGAGAATTTCGTCTGCCTCTGACCAGGGAATATTAAATAGCTGTGTTCCCTGGGTATTCTGCGGCGAAGGGCTTTCGAGATCTGCTGCTTCTTCTACCTCCATATCTGAAGCTGAAATAGATATAGACATCTCTGTAGCACATGTAGACGGGGCTGCTACGAGCGGCGAGTTGCCAGGATTTGAGTCAGATACGCCATCACTTTGGTTTGGTAACTGATCCCCATCCAGGTTTCTCGAAGGCGAGATGGCCGTCTGCTGTTTCCCAGAAACAGTATTGTATATTCTTGACAACACCTACCATATTAGCTAATACCAGCTGGCCGTGTCTTAGGAGAAAACTGACCTATCGTGAAATCTGATTTGCCTCGGCTTTCTCAAACTCCGACTTGTTTGTTCTACGCAGCTGATTGCCATCTTGCTGCATCTACCAGTTGACCATGGTAAGTATATAGAAAACAATCATTTGATTGGCACACACACCTTTCACAAGATGAATCCGATGCTTGAAAATGGCACCTTGCTTTGGCTTTGGAGCATTGTTCGCATGCCCGGCGCCGTCGCGGAGGGCTCTGCGACCTCGGCGTCTCTATAAATCCGCTCATACTCCCGCTCAACCTTTGGACAAAGCGGTTACTGGCTACATCATGCTTGAATCAAAGAGAGCTATGGTTTGCTTCGTGTTCTTTTGTGTCTTGGAAGGCTCAATGAGAGCCTCCAGTCGTTACCGACGGATGAGATCCTGGCGGGGTTGGTCGAGTGGAAGCGCTGAATTAGAGATGAGTTTCAGCGGATCTCACTCAGCATGTCAGCAACATACGTCAAACTAAGTGCCCATAATTGTGTCCAATGTCAGTCTCTCACCGGACCTTCAGTCTCTACAAATTAAAGCCACCCATATTTGTTTAAACAAAAATCATTATTTTCTTCATTCTGTATTGCTTGCCTGAATCTCATTCTGTAAATAATAACATCATCATATGACTAACCAACATAGATGCTCATTCAATAAACTGCCCAGCTTTGCTATTCACACGAAAGACGTCCCATTCCCGTCTTTACATACATGTACCTATCCACAGAGACTTCAAACATGCGTATAGTATAGGTGAGCTTGAGAACTGCCATCCGGCGACTGCCGATTGGAATTGACTCAAAAGCTGTATTCAATGAACTTCCGTGAAAAATCGACCGCCCATGCTTCAGTTTGTCGCCGTATAAATGACTCAAAATGCCTTGATCCCATTGTGGCTCAGTCAAGTTGTTCGTCCATGCCTGTATAGCTTCATACCTTTTCCAATGATGTTGGTGATATATGGCAGTATTAATGATGCATCATATCATTTGCATCAATTTGCATCAATTTGCATCCCTTCTTGTGCCTCTTGACCTGATGAATTCTGCGGAGCGCCGTCATTATCTGATGATCCCTTGTCATCGGCCTCTTCTATTGGAGTCCAGGTGCCATTCTCATACACCTCAATGTTCTTGACGTTACTTAAACCGCTCTCCGACAGCTGGTCTCTTATTTGGATGAAGTAGTCGTCCACTACAAGGTTGCAAGGCCGGGCATCCATACCACATATGGGGCAACCCCAAGTGTCTACCATTGATGGTTCGCCCTCTTCCTGCGGCCACTTGGCTGGACGCGAATTCAACCAATTTTGCAAATCAATACACTCGAGGTGTAGACACTGAAGGCCTCGGACGGGCATGTCAACGAGTTTGGAATTAAAAATGTCTGCGACCGTGACCGTCAAAGTGTTACTTTTAATGGCAATTTCATCAGTCTCCAGTCTCTGCAGCCGCCCTATTATCTTGTTTTTTGTGTCGTCTACACTGGCATGAGGCCTAGACGTCACCAAATTCCAGACAGATTCATGGTTTAGTGTAGTTATGAGCTCCACAGCCATGAAGTAATTCACGCCTGTCTTTACATTTTGAGCGAAGCATGGCAAGCTCACTTTGATCGTATTCTTGCCTTCGATCAAATAATCGGTGAGTTCGACAGGCAAGTCATGATGAAAATGTTGCTTGCGACGAACTTCGAGTATTTGTTCATTAAATGAGGTGAAGAAGTGCGGCGGCCAGTGAGTTGGAATTCGAGACCAAGTAGCTGAATCGAAAGTCGTTCGTCCCTCCTGCTTGCGGCTTTCGCAGAGTCGGACACGGTATCGATGAGAATTGTTATAATACCTGCTGACGGGTATCTCATGCACGGGTTCGTTAGCGGCCGGGTCGGATGGTTTGGTGGTGATGGAGAGATTGTTCAAATCGTCCTGGGTAATATCGAATTCCAAGTTTGTTACTTCCATGCGGGGCTGAATTTCTCTTGGCTCCAAGATGAACTTTGAGAAAAATTGGTAGTAACGAGTCCTCTCCGTACCGGGACTCGGACTCAGACTTGACGAAACCCTTTGAGGGCTGCGTAAATGAGTCAAGTGAAGGCCCGTTGCTACTGATGTCCAATGATGCGGGGTGTGGGGACGCTCGGCCGGGGAGAGAGCATGAGTAGTGAAGTGGCGAGACTGGCTTCGTGTTGAGGCGGGGGATGATACGGATGGTGAATGTTGGCTTTGAGGGTGTATTTGCGGCTGTGTATGGTGCAAAACGGGAGTCTGCATCATCTGTGCTGGGGCGTGGTGACTCTGATGAAGCTGAGGAGACATAAGGATCGGAGAAGCCAGAGTTGCTGGAGGAGGCTGATGTGCCCAAGGAGCCTGAAGCACCTGGGCTGTCGAGGGACCCTGCTGAATTTGGTTTGGTGGCATAGAGTGATGGTGATGAGGCAGGAATGGAAATGGACCGTTCGAAGGCAGAGACGGTGTCCGATGTTGGTGGCTGCTATCACCCTGTCTCTGGACTTGCTGCTCTCGAAGCCATGGGGTTGGTAGAGGACCCTGAGTGGTCTGAATGGGATGCTGCATTGGCTGAGCATCGACACTCTGACTGTGACTGTGAGCTGGATGATGGAGATTTGGACTCTGAAGGGGTTGGTGATGAGGAGGATGAATAGGAGAGGGAGGAAGATGAGGATCAGGATGAGGGTGAGGGTGAGGGTGAGGATGAGGATGGCAGTGGTTGTGACTCGGTTGTTGCTGTGGCATGGCTGTAGGTGGTATCGATTCCATGTCATGTTGCGGCGAGATTATTGGAGGAAGCGAGTTTGGATGCTCTGGGACGGGCTGCCCTGGTGGTCTTTGAACCATGAAAGGCTGTGAAGGAGGTTGTTGGTGTTGGGCCACACCAAGTGGATAGCGCAAACCAAACTGCTGAGGTTGAAGTTGAGGCTGGAGTTGAGGCTGAAGTTGAGGTTGAGGTTGATGTTGAGGCTGAAGTTGGGGCTGATGTTGAGGTTGAGGTTGATGTTGATGTTGAGGTTGATGTTGAGGTTGATGTTGAGGTTGAGGTTGATGTTGAGGTTGAAGCTGACTTTGGAAACTTGCCGTGGGCTGAGCCGGCGGTTGAATCGCAGGTAAAAGGATAGGCTGAGGGTTGTCAAGTGGCCGGCGTCGGCGTTGAAAGGGCTGTGGAGGGGGGGCATGAGGTTGATGGCTCATGGCAGCATGCGCTTGGCTTTGAGGAGGGCCTTGTGGAAGTTGAGAAAGATTCTGCTGCTGCTGCTGCTGCTGCTGACGAGGCGGCATGTCTGGCCTGTTTGTGTTTGTGCTTTGGTCTCTGTTGACGCTGGCGTGGTTGGCTACAGGAAGCCCAGGTGCCAGCATCCCGGCCGATGGATTGGCAGCTGGCGCAGCCGATACTACACACACATGATCACGCATCAGTCAGCCTCGCCGATTCATCTTGTCCTAAAATAGTTGAGGGCCTTGACTCACCTGGCCGACGGGCCCCCTCTCGAATCTGTTGCACGAGCTCCATGTAGCTCGCCATAACGGCACTGCGAGCTATGTTCTTCTCCATTGGGGAGGCGTTATGCTGTTCAAAGGAGGCTTCCTGCTTCATGTCCATGTTAAAGATCAAGTTAAATCGGGCTGTCAGTGGACAATCCACAACTCCGATTGCTCTACGGATGCGCGTAAACAGTGTAACGGCAATGAAATTGGACGCACATCTGAGGCCATCACGGATTTGATACGCCATCAGCGGCACCATCTGAGACAAAAGGCCTTTTTTCATTTCCGGCCAGTTCATGCCAAACGCGGTGACGAAGTCCCTGACCTGCTTAAACTCCCGGTCAAGGCCGACATTAACATTAACAAACCCAGGGAATTTGGAGTACCATAGCCAATGAGGGTAAGTGATGTGTCTATCATCGCCGAACACGGCATAGAATCCGAACTCATTAAAGGTTACGTCCACGAGCTCGGGGGGAACGGGCTGCAAATTCTCATATGATATCTTCTTGTCTATCAACCAACAACAGTACTGCTGGTGAAGAATGAGAAAAAAGACGTCGTATTCGTTACTGGCGGCGACCAGATTGCCATATCGATCCCTCTCGGAGTTGTTGACTGGACATGGATTTTCACCACTGAATTCAGCGACTCGCTGTCGTAGCACTGAAATGGCCTGCAACATGGCCTCGTGCAGATGAGTTGCTTCTGTCGTTGGCTGGTTCGATTCTTGAACTGGTCTCTGCCAAATGGCAGGGCCGTTTTGACCACTCATGGCCTGATTGGTCGTGTTTTCATGAACTGGGTGAAACGCCATTGCTGCTTCTGCGAGTTGGCAGTATGATACGGCTTGAGCATGAGTGGTTGCTGAACTTGCTTCATCTGTGAGAGATGGAGAGGGCAGTCCAGACGACGCGCTATTTACCACACATATATACTCGTTAGCAGACATAGATCCGAGTATTCAAAGGACATGATCTTTGTTTGCGCGCTAGAGAACAAAGGAAAAGGCCAAGAGCGATGGAAGATTCTATTGACAAAGAAGAGAAAGGAAGACAAGGGAATGAGAAAGAACTAAACAATAAAAACTTGAGTCATACCCATGAGAAGAAGTAAGGGGCAATGTAGTATGCAGGTCTACATGCTCATGTGCCATTTGTGTATCTGAGACTGGCACCGACATGGAGCCAGGGACGGGAGCGTGCAATGGCGGAGGCATGGCAGAGGTGGCTGCATTATTAGCGGCAGTAGCCGTATATACAACGCTTGGATCAACTGCCAACGGCAAACCATTGATGCCTGGCTTGGGCTTCCGTTGTGCTGGCTTGCGATTCTGTTTGGCCCGAGGCTTCGGAGGCATGACGGTTGGTTATGTCTGTTGGCGGGAAGCGACTGTTAGTTGGGTCCCGCAAGTATGGATTCTGGGAATAGACAGATATGTAGGACTGACTGTATTACCTAGTAGATGGATCCTTGCAGCAACACTAATGGTCGTGAGTTGGATCGGTATAAGATGTAAGAAGCAGGAAGGGATAAGAAGGGCCCAAGTAGACAAAAAGAGACTGCTACATTCAAGTCAGGAGCAAATACATGGAACAAAGTGTACGGATGAGGATAGAAGAGAGAGAGAGAGAGAGAGAGAGAGAGAGAGAGAGAGAGAGAAACAACAAAACAATGAGCACCAGAGTACCAGCATCCCAAGTATTTATACCTCAGCAGCTACATGTGCCTTACGTATCTACCTACACACTTCTAGTAAGTGATGAACTACATGGCAGCAGTTAACATGTCTCAGATGAGATCGTCTTGCATCATACTAACCACGTATGTCCGCACATGTACGGGACAATAGCTAATGGAGCGAGCGCCACTACGGAGCTTTTGACGGGACATGAATGCCGCTCTGGGCGAAATGCCTGTGCCAGCCTGCTCGCAGCGACAGAGCTGAGGGTGACGGTGCAGGGATCTCTGTCCATGCGCTGTTTGTCACACTCCCTCTTTTTGCTTTTTCCATGCAGCCACTGCAAGCCTTGCAGCGGACAAACATCCGGGCTCTGGTGAGAGTTGAGCGGTGAGGGCAGCATGCAGTTTGTCACCGTGTCGTTGGGAATGAGAGGCTTTCTAGAGGCTTCCACGCACGTTTCCTGGCTGCTTGAAGCCGGATGCCGCGATACGACACCCAGGTAGAGAATACAGGTACTTGCGAGTGGCAATCTGTATTGTGCAGGTACATGTCTGTCGAAAGCTCTTGTGCAACGGACCAATGCTCCCAGCCAGCTCCCGCACAAACGACCACCTATGTACAAGTCCATGTATGTCGGTAGGCGACGTTACACAGAGGCCGCCCTCTAAAATGAAGAGGTCGAGCAAGATGCATGGTGGCGTCTCAATGGCAGGGATGGTGTCTTGGTCGTCTCGTTTTCCCATTTGCCTTGGAGCCCGCTAATGATCCTACGAGCGAAGCAAACAAGAGGGAGCATCCCTTGCTGGTGTTATCAGTCCAGTCCATACAGCCTCGCCTTATATCAGACATGAATAATACTTGCTAGGTAGCAGCGCATATTACTACTACCAGCTATAGGTTTGTACTCTGTACATGTAGTGGTAGTAACCAGGGTTCATATTGGTTGTCTACTGTAGGTACATACATGTAAGTAGCTGATCCATGTTAATTAACACCACATACTCCGTACATATGTACATGTACATCCATGTGCTCCTCATGCCCAACTCCACCACATCTCGATGTCTTAGCACATGCAGCACGCACTGGACATTTATGTGTGTCTCTCGCCGGTGTCAATATCAAGCATGAATTTCCGCCTTTCTCAGTTGACGTTTGACAATCAGGTGAACTTACCTACTAGGTACGGTAGTCATGATCCGCCACCTTCCAAGCAGCCTCAAAACTAAAACAACATTGGAACTCCCCCGTTTCCACTGCTGGCTAGCCGTTTGCTGTCAGCGGCCTCAAACCACTTTTTGCTTTTTCAAGTGGCTTAAGCTACTGCATGCCGCTAACCAGACGGCTGAGGAGGTTTGGGCACCGTGCCCCGCACGGAGTGCAGTAGGCCCGTTTTCGCAATGAAGTTGCTGCAACGCTGTCCGCGTATACGTATATCAGCAGTCGGTTAATTGAGAACACAAGTCAGGTGGAGGGAAATGGCACTGAGAAGAGGGGGAAAGAGAGCCGCCGCGTGTTTGGTACGGGATATGAGCATCCCGTACACTGTGCTGGAGTTGGTGTTCAGCCTGTTAGCTTTCAGTCAGACCTTTGTGCGACTATCAGGGCTGGCCTCATTGCGGAGTCGTACATGCGCATACATGCAAGGGAGTGGCTACCTGGTACGATAGTCCTACTAGTACGAGTACTCGTACATGTCGTGGTAAAACAGAATAGAGGAGGAGGCCTTACCAAGGGCGACAGCGGCTGAGAGGCGACAGAGACAGGAGCTGAGGTTTGGGTTGAGACGGCCGGGCATGGGGAGAGGCCAGTATTGTTGTTCGCGACGTGGCGTTCTAGGAACCATTCATCACCAAATTCGTCGTCTCGTTCTAGTGATTCGACTTACGCAGGTAAAGAAGGTAAAGGAAGATGTATGTAAATTGAGTAGCTCGAGGTATTTCCCACTGCTGCTGCTACAGGTACACATCTACTGTGTTTATCTGCCAGGTTACAACTACTAATTGTCTGCTACTACCAGCTAGTAGCGATGGTAGCTCCTCTTTCGGCCATCACCTGCTGCTATCTCCATCATAATAAATGCCCGTTAATAGCGTCTAATTCCTGCTACTATCGTTACGCTCTTCTAGTAGAGAAACTAGATACCAGGCACCGGCATCTCAATTACCTTCCTTGGCCAAGTACAAGCAGCCGAGGAGCATCTCTTTGTAGATCGCCATAAGACGCTTCAACCCACTTCGTACGACCACGTAATGGAGCACCTGCAATGCACTCCATCAATGCCTTTGCCAGGGCACATACGAGCCCCCGTGTGGACCGGCACATACGAAGAGAGCCCGCCTCTATTAATATCCTCATGCTCCGTGTCGTCTGCATAGTTTCGCACTGTGCGTCGCCCAGGTACAAGGTACCAGCTAGCCGCCGAGGGGGAGGCGGCACAGCCAGGTACTCCGTACTCGGTGCTACAGGCACTGGCACGAGCCTACCAGATCTTGCTCGCCCCTGCGATTCGCCGCGTGCCTCCCGCCCACTAAGAAGCCCGCCCAATCGTACCACAGCACGCTAAAGTCCTTCTCTTGCAACCCGACTTCAACCACCAGGCCGTCCAATCATCCCCTGGCCGAGCTTCAATCCTGTCGGCACAGCCCTCTTGCTCTTGGTCGCTGGATACGGCGCACAAGGCGAACCCGCCAGCCCTCGCCTCCTCCGTCCCCGGAAGCTTGAAGAGGCCCAAGCGGCTTCAAAGGGGTGTTGAGCCGGGCAACGACAGACTCTCCGAGCGCCTCGACTCTGCTCCGTCTGTCTCCGTCTCCGTCCCCATCTCTGTCTCTGTCTCTGTCGAATCGAATCGCCTCAGCCCCTCCATCTAAGACCATGGCTTCGCGAGCAAACGATGGGCCTACCCGGCCCGATGTGGGTGACGTTTTGATGGTGATCCGTACGTCTTCGACGTTGATTTTTGCCCCCTCCAACAACTATTGCGCCGAGATTCTAACCAAGCCTGTTTCTTCATGTAGATGACTTTATTGCCCGCAGCTCGGATGAGCTGAGTCTCAAGAAGGGAGACCGAGTCGAATTACTAGAACGAGACGATGAGTTTGGTGATGGATGGTTCCTGGGGCGCCATGTCGCGAACAACAATACTGGCCTCTTCCCCGAAGGTGTGCAACCCTTCGTTTCCCTCCCTTGATCGATTATCTTCTGCTAACTGGCTAAATTCGCTAGTCTACACCCGACCGACCCCAAGAGCCGTTTCAAACCCAACCTCAACTCCTGTCTTCGTTGCTTCACAGCCGCTGTCGCCCTTGGTGGAAGTCACGCAAGAAACCGCCCTCCAAGGCAACGCAAATGCTCTTGCATCGGCCAGTACAAGCGCGACGCCATCTGCCCTGCCAGCGCATTTGACCAAAGCTGAATCAGCTCCAACGTCTGGCCTGGGTGGCACAGGCTCACCCATTTCCGGCCTTGACAATACGGGACAGGACGAGTTTCTCAGCGAGACATTGAACGTTATCAACGAGCACATCACTCACTTGCAGTCACCGCCTGGCACCAGTCATGGCAACGCTGCCGCTACAGACTCTGGCAGTGAGTACAGCGTTGCGATTGACCACCGAATGTCGTATATTCAAGGAGAAGAGACGGACGAAGAGGAAGAGGCAGTGCATAGTCGCGCCGAGGTGGAGGCCTGGTCTCCGGACGACGTGGCCGAATATCTCTTCACTGAGGGCGTGGAGAAGCACCACTGCGAAGTGTTTAGAGACCAGGAAATTTCCGGTGAAGTTTTATTGAGCATGGATCAGAGCTCCCTGTTTATCAAGGATTTCGACCTAGGCTCCGTCGGCCGGCGCCTTAAAACGTGGCAGAAGATTAAGGCTCTCCAAGATGAGGTTAGTGTCGACGAACCAGATTCGAGGCGCGCTACACATACGCGCGGCAGCGATGGCGGATCCGAGGACGCGAAACGGACGAGAAGTCGAACGAGCACCCTGACAGGGAATTCAATATCACGACCCACCTCCGTCCAGGCTAGGCGCCTGTCCCTGGCTCAGTCATCTAACAAGGCCTCTCCAACCGCTCATATGACCCCAACAAATGGCACTCAGGAGAGCCCATCACGTACGCACCTCAAGCGCCCGTCAGCAGCGTCCATTCGGGACCTGAACCACTCACGACGACACTCATCGACCGAATTCCGCCTTCCAGGCTCCAATGCGACGGTGCCCAAGGTATCGGCAAACGCGAACCTCTCTGCCGGTGATGGCGTGCATAAGAAACAACCTTCCTTTGATCGAAACTGGACCCTGGGCGGCGCTGTCTCTCAGACTTCTCAAAGACCGCTCTCCTCCACGGGATTGCAAGAAATGCTAGGCGCATCCGAAACGGACTTGCAGGACTCGGCCGTCGAGCTGGACCGAGGCTACTTTTCCGGCACTGAGGTAGATGGGAGGAAGCGCAACTTCTTGCGAAAACGTGATAGCGCTAACTACGGGACGCAGCAGAGTTACGCGGACGAGCAGAGGGTACGCAGTGCAACCGCCCTCTCCCGACATTCAAGATACGGTAGCGTCGACTCTTTCCGGGACGGAGCGCCATCTGCTGCCCAGAAATACTATGGCATCCAACCGACTCCCCACAAACGAAATGCCTCCACGAATACGACCGATTCAGCTCGCCCGCCGCCCCCAGCCAAGGACGGGCCTGCCCCGGCCGTCACCAAGTTGGACACTGTCGTCAGTCCTGCGCAGGCGGAGTCATCGCCAATTGTCGGTAGAGCCCAGGGCCTCAGCGCCGACTGGCTCTCATCAGTGACCAAGCCAGTCGGCAAAGCCACTCGACCAGCCATGCGAGCCATCTCGGATAAGCTTACTTTTGAGAGATCCAAGGCTGGGGGATCAGCTGATCTATCAACTAATGAGCCGCCTCTACCTTCTCCGGTGCGAACAGGATCCAGCACCGCCTCGGCTGGGCAAAGCCTCGACCTCGATTCTCATGAAGCCCTCAAGAGTCCCGTCACGGCGACGGCTCCCTCCAACAAGAAGGGTGGAAAGAAGGGCAAGAAGGAAACGAGTGCTTATACTCAGGGTTTATTAAAAATATCGCCTCAGGTGGCCATGAAGGACGCAGATTATTACGGCTGGATGAAGAAGAAGAGCTCCAATCTGATGACAACGTGGAAGCCCCGATTCTTTGTTCTCAAGGGACGCCGACTTGCCTATTACTACTCTGAGGACGACGACCAAGAAAAGGGTCTCATCGATATCTCATTCCACCGTGTGCTTCCAGCTGACAACGAGAGGCTGACGGGACTGCATGCCACCCTGACTGGTGCGGCTGGCGGGCCAAGCATGCCGGGTAGTCACAGCGCACCCGCGGGCGATGATGCAGGTGTGGACAAAGGCGACGATACCATGTTCATCTTCAAATTAGTCCCACCGCGAGCGGGTCTGTCCAAGGGCGTTAGCTTCACCAAGCCGACGGTTCATTATTTCGCCGTGCCAAACCTCAAGCAGGGCCGTCTGTGGATGGCTGCCTTGATGAAGTCGACAATCGAACGAGATGACACCCAGCCAATCACGACGACTTATCAGCAAAAGACAATATCTCTTGCCAAGGCGAAACAGATGCGCCATCGCCCCCCGGGCTTTGAAGATCCTCAGCCGGCAGATGTCGGCGAAGCGGATAGTGGTGTATCCGGCGTAGACAAGTTGGCACCTCTCAAGATTGACGGCGCTCGGTTGGACGTCAACTTTGGTGACAAGGACGGTACTTTCTCCCCCTTGAGTGCATAGAGCGCGCTACGGTGGAGGAGGGCTTGAAAAGAGGGAAATGAGATCTCAACGTATCATGAAGGGCTGGCTATGCGCCAGAAGGAAATATTTTTTAACACTCGGAAATTTGACATGAGAATGGCTTTGACAGCCAAATGAGAAAGACTCGATGATGAGACCTTTGATCACTTTTTTTTTTCCTCTCTTGCCATTTTAATAATTTGTTCTGTTTCTTCGTCTCCCTTTCTGGGGGACGACCGGGCTGTCTCTGCTCTTTCTATTTTTCTCTCGACTTATTTCTTGCTTGAAAGGGGGGAAGCGTGTCTATATATCCATCTATTGATTCTTTGCTTTTCTTTCGCATGCGTCAAGACTCGTCCCTTTCTGGCACAAAAAAGTCAGCTAATATATGCTAATTGCTGTTACAATCGCCGTCTTGGCGAGACCAGACTGCTGCCATGTCTATTTTCAACATATTCCTCTAGCTCGATTCCTCCCCCTTTTTTGTTGCTTCGCCCCCGCTCGACGAGAAGGAGTAGAAAGTTGGAAAAGGGAGTAGTGTGCTTGGGACAGAGTTTCTTTTTATGTTTTTTTTTTTTTTATGTTGTTTGCTTCCCCCTTTTCACTGTTGTTCAAATTTGGCGCTGTGTGGAGAGAAAGTGCTGGGCAAAACGAGAGAGGAGACTGAAGGGGGAAAAGAATACAAAAGTCCCGCAAAGTGAGGGAGGGTTGTTTTTATATGGATGAATGAATGAGGAGGGCTGGCTGAGGGAGAGGGGGGTTTTCCCGTGTTGTTCTGGTGCTTATCTATGGAAGATTTTTGTTTCTCTCTCTTTCTAGTACGAAACACTAATTGATGAGATTCTTTCTGATGTCTTTTCCTTTTTTTCTAAGAAGTGGCTGCTTGGCAGCAGTATTCTACCTGTGTGGCTATTCATTATGGCAGGGAGGGAGCTATGAATATGTTATGTCTAGACAAACTTGGTACCATGCGTACCTATATAGACACGAGTTATCTACCTATAGAGATGTATATTTTAAGTACCAGAAATGGGCAGAGATACTAGGGATACTAGAGGTACTAGAGGTACTAGAGATACTAGAAATAGGTAGTAGCAGGAACTAATACTACGCAATCACAGAGACTGGCAGAAATATTATAGCAAGGTATGATGTGATATCTTCCAATATTATTTCGTTCCTCTGAATAGCAGTTGGGGCACTGGCTGGCCATTCATTTACAAAAACGTATACGTCTTGTACCTTGTTTCAAATCAGGAACAAGATTCATCATGAGCCATACTTAGTATTTATTAATATCATCAGTATCAACAGGGCAATCACACTGACACAAAGCGGAAATGCAGTTACGGCTCTCACTCATACTCATATTCGTTAACAGAAAGGCGGAGATGAAAAAAATAATAAGACGCTACCATATTATATAGGGGCTTGTATCAAACCGTGGCCCCCGGACAAGGACAGCAAAAAATTGTATACCCGTGTCAGTCCTTTTCATCTAGTGGCCGAAACGCCCCCAGCAGTTCATTTTTTTGCCTCACAAAACTCCCACCCCCTGCAACGCACAGCACAGCCATTGTAAATATGTTCAGCTCATGCTCATTCATCAAAATCTCACACCAGTCCGCCGCTAGTCATTAAACCCCCTTGCCTCTCCCAAACAAATCTTGACATCCACAAATGATCCATAAATCAATCACCTTGCAGTTTTTGGTTCATGCCTTGGAGCAGCTGCCGGATCGATTTCATGAGATGCTGCTCAACCCCCTCAAAATTGCTCACCGGCTCGCCCTCTGCAGCTTTGGGCATTATGCTCGCATCTGCAAGGCCAATGACACGGTCGATAGCAGACAGAGTCACAGCCTCGGCCTTGGCCTCACCTAAACCTGCCTTGATTGCATTGACAGAAGCATCCTTCAGACCGTTCAACGCAGCCAACACTTTGGGCTCGAAAACAGGTGGTGTATCTGTCGGCAACGCGGTGGAGCTGCCGGGCGTGGGGCTTTTACCTTTGGTGAAGCCATCGATGACCTGACGGATTCCTTTAATGCAGATCGCTTCCATCTTGTCGTTTTCAGTGGCTTCTTTCTTGAGTCCAATGCATCTATTCAAAGCCGACATGACGATGGCCTCGGCCTTGGGGTTGCCAGCTTTCTTGAGGTTTTCCACAAGACCATTCTTGAGGCCGACAACCGCGGTGAGGAGGCGAGGCTCAATGATCGGCCGAGCAGGTGCTGCTGGTGGTCGAGCTTGAGGTGGGTGGGCGGCAGCTTGCACCGTCGTCTGTTGAGATGCCGGTACAGCACCTGGAACGGCCGCCTTCGATTCAGCGGTAGCCGCCGGAACGATTGCTCGGGGTGGCTGCTGGCCAGGCGTTGCGACGGCGGCCGGCACACTAACGCCACCGTCCTCAGCTTTAACTGCCGGGCTTGCCAAAGGAGGAGGTCTTGAGGCATACGGCGAGCTGTATGCTCCAGGTTGAGGCACACCCAGCTGAGGGCGAGCCGGGGCTGCTGGAGGACCATATCCTGGCAACTGGATCGGAGCTGGAGGCGGAGCGCCCACGGCTGGCTGAACTGGTTGGTGTCCAGGGGGTGACTGTGACGCGCCATACTGCACTGGGCGCGCCGCGTGGCTCGGCTGTGCTGCATACGCAGGTGCTTGATATCCCGGAGCTTGTGCTTGGCTGGGGGGATAACCAGGATGCGCACCAGGAGCCATGTGTTGTGCGGCGTAAGGATACGAATAATGCCCATAGGCCTGCGCAGCCGCCAGTCCTCGATCCGGAGAGGTCGCCTTTCGTTTCTTGCCAGCATCTAACTCAACACCAGGTACTCGAGACCACAGATTCGTCATCTCGTCCTTCTTAAACGCTTCGTTCCCAATCAAATTATGGCGAACGCTACTCTCCCAACCCTTTGTCTCGGTGTGGAAATAAAACCACGGGTATCTTTGGCATATTCTCTTGTAGATTTGCTTCAATGTGAGACCATCAGGGCCTGCCGCCGTTAATGTTTCATCAATAAGAACACCATAGTTCTTGTTAGGTTTCTGGAGCTGCTCCTCTGTGTAATCTTCAATCTTGAGCTCCAAGGGGGGCGATTTGGGCCGCGCCTTCTTCTCCTTCTTTTCTCTCGCCCGTCTCTCCGCATCAGACCCTTCGGCGCCGTCCTCATTCTTCGGCTTCCGAGGCTTGTACTTGCGCTTCTCTGGGCGGTCGACTCCGTCTTCGGGCAATGGGTGTTTCCTTGGTCGGCCGACTTTGCGCTTAATGGGCGGCTCAACTGGTGGCGCCTGAGGCAGTGTCTTCTTGGCCATTTCTTGTTGCTGCTTCTTGAGCAAGCGCTGCTCCCTCTTTGACATGATACCGTTCTTGGGTGGCCTGCCAGGGCCCCTCTTCCTCGGTATCTGTGGCATCGAGAGGTCGTTATTAGCTTCTCCTTCATCTTTGATTTCAGAATCGCCCTCAATGGATGCTTCAGGCACATCTGCGTCCCCTTCTTCATCGTCCTCGTCGCCCTCTTCCTCGTCTTCCTCCTCTCCCTCCTCCTCAGCCCTCTCTTCCTCTCCCTCCTCCTCATCGTCCCCTCCAAAGTCGGACAATTCTGCCGGGCTGACATCCACATCTGACAACTCATCACTTGTATCTTGAATCTGGCCGTTGCCATGTGATTGCTCAAAGTCGAAACTCATACTCTTTCCGCCATGAGCATGCCGTTTCTTTTTAGCGTCTTCCTCCTGATACTCTTCTGCGCCGGTTCGCCCTCTCTCCACGCCGTTGATGATGAATCTAAAGCCAACATCTTTTATCTGCAGGCGGTCACCGCACTTCAAAACAACTTTTTCGCTCTTGTAATGCACATCCTCGCAGAAAAATCCGTTCTTATGCAGTGGTATTGCCTCAAACACGCCCTCGTCTGGATTGTAGGCGATTTTTAGATGCTCTCGAGATATGGCTTTGGTTTTGCTTGCGATGTTTGGGCCGGGAGAGTGAATACCAATAAACGGAACATGCCAAGGGGACGGTCTCAATGAGGCCAAGTCGACGGCTGCTGCTCCGGGGGTATGGGAGACGTATTGACGGTTTGATATGATGTTGTCCTGGGGGTTTTCAGTTTCGTTTTGTTGAGACGATCCTGTCGTGCTCGTCTTGCGCCGCTTTGCCGGGCGGCCGTTTTCTTCGCTATCAGATTCTGGGCCAAGCATGCCACCCTCCTCACTGACATACGATTTACTAAACTTGTGGCGATCATGAGCCATTGGAGATGGCGGTGGAAGCCCCTTGCTGGCATTCTCCTCGACCCGCCGTTGATACTCGTCAGCACGCTTCCCATCGCGCCTGGCTTGTTCCAGAGCTCGCTGGTCACGGCCGATAATGACGGCGTAGGTGGTCATCTGAAAGACGCTGTCGGCGAACTCTACACGAGCAAAGGACTCGAGGCCCATGTCGGGGCCAGCCTGGCGTAGGTTAGTAGCGGAGCCCGTACCAAAGTACCCTTCTCCCATGAGATTTGGCAGCGTCATCTGGGAGGGAGTCACGGTAGGCGGCGGCGACATGGCGGGCGGTGCTGCAGACATGGAGGCCAAAGCCATCATCATGTATGCATGGCGATGGTCTATGGTGGCGGCCTGTTGTGTGTAGGACGTTGAAGACTGTAATTGCTCTGTCGTAGCCACCGGAGTAGTCTGCGGTGTAGATGTAGATGGCGGTACCTCAGCAGCAGCTGTAGGAGTCGCGTTGGCAACAGGAGCATCCACCATTGTAACGTCCTCACTCCCATTTCCCAGAGAAGAAATTTTATCTTTCGGCCCGCCAGAGCCAGTGGTTGCAGAGGTATTTGGTGTTGGTGTAACGGGTGGCTCCATGCCGCTGTCGGTCTTGGCACCAGCGTCAAACGTTGGAGGCGGCTGCGGCGAAGTCGTCACTCGGTTTGTGATGGAGGCTGCAGAGGATGAGGCTGCCGGAATATCTGCTGATGAAGGCGTCTGCTGTAGGGGCGCAGCAGAAGCGGAATTTGTCGGGGGCGCTGATGACGTCGATGTTGATGCTACAGGTACGGCAGCTGGTGGTGGTGCTGCCGGCGTTGTATCTGCAGTTGATGGTCTGCCTCCGCCTTGAGAGCCAGGCCGAGGACCGGATGATGGCGTCTTGTCGCTGGTTGAGGCTTCCATCGTGGATCCGGGCTTAAGCTCGGGATCCCGTGTAGGCTCTTGCGCCGGCTCTTGCACGGCTCTGGACAGCGGCGAAGTAGCCTCGGGCTTTGGGTCGTCGGGCAGTCGCTCCGTGGCAGCAGCTAGCGAAGGCGCTGGAGTCGTGGAAGCTGCGGCTTGGGCGTCGGGATTGGCATCGTGATGGCCGTCGAGGCTGAGGGCGCTGGACGAAGTCATCGCTGCTCGCTGGCTGCAACAGCTCATTCGCCAGGGCTGCGAATCGCTGCTTGTCGACCGAGAGAAACCGAGAGAAGGCCTCTCTGGGCGAGGGCGTTCTTGTCTGCCGATTGCTGCTCGTCTTGCCGGCGGTCGAGCTCGAGCGGCGTCCAGGACTGAAGCTGCGATCCTTTTGCAGCCTCTTCTTCACTTTGAACTTTCTGGCGCGATTGCCGGGGAGGGTCACAGGCGCGATCCGGCCCGCTGATTGGCCGGCGGCGAGCCTTCTGGAGCCTCCTCACCAGTTCCGGGTCGCTCTAGCCGCTAAGAGCAGCCCGGGAAAAAAAAGAGGCCCAGCAAAAAACTTTGGGCTTTCTGCTAAGGCGTTTGTCGGTTCCCCGCGTTGTTGTTTGTTTGCTGCGTCCGCAGCAGGATTAGGTGGTTCCAGTTGGGCCGTTGATCCTGCCGTTGTTTTGTTTTGTTTTGGTTCGATTTGATTTGGTTTGGTTTTTAGGCACAGCTGATGACTCATTCTAGCGGTGCGCATCCAAGAGGGTAGTTTTGGCAGGCTGTATCACCACCGCACCTGCAAGAGAATGAGCAGATATGTTGCTTCAAATGTATATGAAGGTACTCCAGCACATTCTTCAAGATGCATCATCGTGTTCTTTCCATCCCGTTCTCAAGAAGAATAAAATGCCGAGTCATGGATGACGAAAGGGAATATGCTTATCTAAGTATCTTAATACTAAGGTACTATAATACTTTGCCCATCCGTTGACTTCGTACCTTGAGGGTAGTCGCATGCAAAATGAATGACGATGCCCGATCTAATGCACGGCAAATGTACTTGCTGCGGCGGTACATGCCTGACACTTCTCCGAGCTATCCGTTTTAGTGCTGCTGCTTGTACCTGCCTCGGCGGTACCTGTTTGCTCGGCCCTTGTGACATTCGAACAGCCACAGGTACCTGGTTGAACAATGAGATCAACAGGCAGTACACGGCTCATATTGTTAGGTATTCTTGCAGCTCCGTCAGTTCAAACTCACTTGTTCAAGCTTTCCGCCTCTTGTCCCTCGCTCCTCAGAAAAATCTGGCCGTCCATCTATTGGCCGGCTATTTTAATCTCGCCGTCTGATTCGCTGTCTCACCCACCTCAGTTGCTAAAAGTGGTTCACGAGCGGCTACTGTAACAGCATTGGCATCACCACATCCACTCAAAGACTCGTGCTATGCAGTAACACAACATTGAAGATACGCCCTCAGACATGATAGAGTTGGCGCCACGAACAAGGGGCTGAACACTGTTGCAAATGTGAATCGCTGATTGCCAATGGCGCCGTGAAATGCCCCAACACAAAAGTGAACATAAGGTGAGGCTTGGCCAGGCCTCCGTTTGTACTCGAGGGTAGGCATATCATAAATTCGAGGCCTTGCCGCCGGCTGGTTCTGCAGTGTGGTGTTTGCTTTCCTTTCCATTTCCCCCTTTCTTTCTGTAGCGGTACTGGTGTTGCCTTTCTTTTATCAACTCCACATTCATTCTCTATAACCCAGAACCCGAAACAAGAAATCAAGATGCCGAGATTTGAGATTCAGATCCACCGCCCGGGTCGATATCCCCGGCCCTTTCATCTCCAGAACTCCAGCTCCCAAACCTCCAACACCCAGAAACCCAGCCTCAAGCATGCCAACTCCGAGCACTCTCGTTATGTCCAGATGCTCCTCCAGCAAGATGACATTCCTTTGCTGCACAACATTCTCGCCTCCGTATTCGTCTGGCTCCTGCTGGCAGGATTCCTTGTTTTCCCCGGAACATTCACCAGTCTCCAAAACTCGGTTGCGAAGCAGGGCGATGACGATCACACATTTTCAGACCAAGCCGCCAAGCTCCTGGTAAAGAGCATCAAAAATGTACCGCTCCTTGTCATTGCCGCCGTAATGTGTGGCATCTCCGCCATCGGCATGCTCACCCTTACCATCCTCCACGCGAAAAACTACGTCTGGATCGTGAACAAGCTATTCCTGCCGGGTATGACCAACTCCCTGGCTGGATTGGTGTCAACACTCATTGGCGTGTACACTCAACAACACGGCACATGGAGCATCACGGCCCGGATTACTGCCATTGCTGAAGGAGGTTCACTCTTTGTGTGTGGCGGACTTTTCCTCTTTTGCCGGCTGGCTCTCTTGAACAAGGTCAAAGAAAGTCATGAAGAACACTACAAAGGCTGGCCGGGGCACAGGTTTTCAAAACAGCTGTTCCAGGATAAGCCAACATGATCCTTTATACCAAATGACGATTGGAATCTGAATGGAGAATATACTTCGCTGGCGAAGGATGAGATATGAAATTTGGGATGGGACAGGATAGGACGGGATGTGATAGACATTAATCATTAATTAATTACTCAATTTAGACAGCCCTTTCCCAGTTCCCGTTTATACCGGCTTCATCGTAATAATGGCGCCCGCTCGCTTGAGATGATCGACCGACGGCTTTTCCAGCCCATAAACCGCTCTGAGAGCCTGTATGAGCTGTGGCAGAGCATGCCGGCCAAGAAGCCAACCGCATCATTCCTGAATGCGAGGAGACCGGCCGTCGTTACCAGCATGACTGTCCATCTCTCGAGGCGTTCTTCGTCCGAGAGATGTCGATGCTGCCTCAAGCCTGCAGCGTGGTCCCCTTGACTAGCAGACACATGCCAGAGATCAGGAGCACCTTGGTTCAAGGTGTGACCAACCTTGGCCAGCTCCAACCCAGCAGCCACCACCATGACGCCCAGTAAGCTCTTTGGATATTGCGTCAACAGATTGACAAGCGTCTTTCCAAACAACAGCCCCAGAAAGATCTTCAAGAGGCCCAACAGGATCACGCTGGCTCCGCTGCGTGCGCCGAAGCGAAACTGGGCAGCCAGCCCTCCAGCACCGTGACAGACTGGCATGGCTCCAAACCACGTGCCGGTGAGGTTCATGAGCGCCACACTCAGGCCTATGGAGGTGACGGACGGAGTTGGCAGGTCCGGGAGCAGGTCAGCAGCCAGCGCACTCACCGCGATGATGGAGTTGAGAGTCGTCAAGGGAAGCTGCCCTATGGCCATCCACAAGGCTGGAGCATCTCCGTTGCCAACCCAGGAGGGAAGCACAAAGTGCGGGTGCCACACCTGGAACCAAGGTAAGCTTTGGTGGGAGGTGAGCACCTGGATAAGGGCCAACACAAGAGCCAGAACGAAGAAGCTCAGGGCGTAAGGGAAGCGAGGCATGTTCTGCGTAAAAACGAGAACGAGGAATGCCACCAATGCCCAGATGCGGTTGTCCAACACGGGATAGATCCAGTCAAGGGGCTGCAGCAGCGACGAGCCAGCGCCGATGATGAGAGAGAGGCCCGCCCCGAGCTGGATCCCCTTGACCACGGGGATGGGCACCACGGCCACAGCAGCTCGCAACAGCCCCGTCACGCTCATGATGAGCACTGCTGCGCCGACCCATTGCCCAGCCGCGACGACGACGCCCATGGACGGATTCTCGCGCGCCGAGATGGCGGCCGCGGCGATGGCCTAGCTCCCGCATGAGGCGGGAAGAGGATTAGCAACTGGTCTCTTTGAGCAGATAAGACGAAGGCCATGTATGTGAGGTATGTATGTATGTATGTATGTATGTATAAGGAGTACATATCGTATCGTTACAAAGTACCGAGGTCAAAAGATAGGGGGCAAAAAGTGCTCCACACAACATACACATTCGTACGAGTACAGCAAGCTACTGTAATAGTTGGATATCACATACCTTCATGGGCTGCACGGGCAAGGGGATGCCAAAGATGACGCCGGTGAGGACGTTGAAGGCGCCGGAAAAGACGAGCGTCGAGCCTAGGTCGATGTACCCCTTGGCCGCGAGGGCGATCATCAGGGGAAGCAGGGTGCCCAAATCGCCCAGAGAGCCGGATATCTCGGCCAGGGGCGCATCTCGAAATGTCGTCAGGTTATGGGCGTTGAGGCGCCGCACGCGGGCCAGCCAGGCACTCGCCATGTTCGGGATGACGATGGAGGCGACGGGCTCAGCCGACTTTGATGGAGGGGGATAATACGATATTAGGGCGGAATCACTAGGGCAGAGAAGCCATATACTGAAGATTTTGGTTTCCTCAATGCAGGACACCAATATGCATGTTTTGTAGGCTTTTTTTGAAGGTTTGTTTTAAACATCGTAGAGTTCAACCTTGGAGAGCTGGCTTGGGCGTCCAAGAGCGGACTCACGTGGATGCATTACGTCGGCGGATCGATAGCTGTCTCACTCACGTGGTGCATCTCCGGGACGGCATCACGCATCTCCGCGCGTCTATTGGAGAGCTTTTTTTGATGGGTGACACAGAAACAGATGGGTAAGACATGTCAAAAATCTACTGGTCCTCTCTAGATGCGCGTTCTGGGCTGGACGACGAAAAGCCCGGCTTTGACGACTTCCAGGGAGGGGAGCTTGTGTCGTGTCGCATGAGCGTCGGTCTCCCGCGAGCTTAGCACCCAGCACTTATAGCATCGGTACGGGCCATTAGCTGAAGCTTGTCCCAGGCCATTCCAAGGGATCGAATCAGCCTGTATTAAATTTCCGAGCCATTCTCGCGCCGTTGCCGCAGGCTTCGATGCGCTGTACTCGTACGCCTTATTTCATGAGGTATTATTCCCTGTCCAAGGCACCCAGCTGCGTATCATCGGCTGAAGACAGCTCGGAACAGGGCGCAGCTGACAGGGCCGCGCGATAATGTCGTATCACGTGACTTGTAAGACGGAACCGTTCGGTTTGGGCAGCGAGGGAATGGAATGCAACTGCAGAGTTGCGTCTGCATCTCGACGGCAGAAATGTCGCAAAGGGGTCGTCTGAACTCGCAGGCCTAGATCCTGATAACAGCTTCTCAAAATGAGCAACCGAGAAAGGGGGGGCCAAGAGGGCAAGATGCAATGCTTCTCGTCAGCTTATTAGTACCATTCGCCAACTCAGCAGAGCCAAAAATAAGACGTCCTTCAAATTGTCATATCAAACGGAATTCCACCGAGATATCAGGCCCAAAAATCGCTCTCCAGCTGGGCCACCCAATTATTATTAAACATCGGCCCCGTACTTTTAGGCAGGAGAGCTCATTACCGGAGGAACCGACTGTACCGGATTTGGCGCGGTCCATGGAAAAGACGCAGCAATAACAAGTACTAGTACCAGGTGCTAGCAGCAGCGCGGACGAAGTACCTGCATCAGTTTTCTCCGATGCGCGGAAATCGATATCCGGTCTTCTCCACGATACCCGCCCGCGGTGAATGAAAAAGTCTAGAAGTCGTGGAGAAGGGCTGACCGCCTGGGGGATTTGCGGTGCTTCTCCGAGAGGACAAGGCCTTTTTGCCTCTCTCTCGTTTCTTGAATCCTTTTGGAAGGGGGCGGATTCGATTAAGGTTGGCTTCTAGAGGTCCATCTGACGGGGTCTAGCTGGAGTACATGTACGGCGATGGAGGACGCATGGCAAGAGTCTATGCCCGATTTCGACGGCCAAAGGCTCCAGATGCGCGACCTGACTGGTGTTTAATATGAGGCGACCCAATGCGATGGAGACTGCATTGAAGTTTAGTAGCCTCAAGTACGGAGAACCACAAACTTCGTACCGACTTGCTACGGAGAAGCTGCAGCTCGTACATGTACGGTACAGGCTAATGATGCCGCTACTTGTGGTGCTCGGTGCCAAGGCCGGGGTACCAGAAGCAGCATGAGGTCATTGGCCGAGTGCAGCGCCAGTTCCCCCGTTTTGACGCGAAAGGGCGACGCCAGCAGACAATCTAGAAGCACACGACATGTCCAATCAGTGCGTAGCTGATCATTGCAAGGGGGTGCGTGGGGATCGCCCGCTGGGGCGAAAGGAATCGGCGGCGGAATCGCTTTTTCGCACTTTTTTTTTCTTGGCTTCCATAGTTCATTTTTTCTTTTCTTTTTGTCTTATTTCCCTCTTACAGCGAACTGAGTCGAGGGAACAGGCCGAAATAGGAAGGGCGTCGACTCCCGAGCTTTTGCCGGCCCCGCCGACAGCGAGCTTTGTCCGGAGTCCACGGAGCGGCTTTTATTTTTCTGCCGGGGGAGTTTGCGTTGTCGGGCTTGCCGGGTCGCGACAGCGATGGGTGGAGCAGCCAGACGCTCGCTGGATGCGGTGGCCGGAAACAGAAAAGGGCAGAGTTGGTTGTCACTTGCTGAACAGGATTTGCGGCTGCGGGCTAGGCTGGGTTTGGCTGGATATGCTCTGCCGTTTGCCGCCGCTGGCGGTGTGTTGGTGCTTGGAATTGGATGTGAGCGGCGACGGCGACAACGAGGAATGACGCTGATGGATGGATGGGAATGACTGGGGGCGTCTTGCTATGCCGACTCGCAGACGTCAGTGCCGAGTACCTGCGCATTACCTGTTTGTGTTGCTGCTGTGACTTTGGTCGATGCCCAATTGAATGGCAGGACCCGTGTAGCGGCTCGTACACGCAAAGTAGTGCTGTGTGTATTCGTATGGCCGACTGACTCTTGTTATCTGCTCTTCACCGGCCGGCGAGATAGTAGGGCCGCGCCTTGCTGCTGGCTGTCAGTGCATGGAACCCGTCCCCATACGTGGGATGCCGTTACAGGCAGCTGACAGGATCGGTAAGAGAAGTACGGGAGTACAAAGAAGCACGCATCTTGTGGTTATCTTGGTAATAATGAAAGGGTCTATATGGGGTATTATGTACCGATATGGAGAGCCACAAATAATATCCTTCCACTTTGAATGCTTTCATGGTGTGACAGATAATACCAGCGACGAGAACAATGCTACGTCCTCAGCTAGCATTTAGTTGCTAAGCTAGGCGTGCTTGATAAAAAACAAAGCATAGAGAAAGAAAATTTAAAAAAAAAAATTGGCAGCGGCATATTTCGGTCAAGGCAGCCGGCGCCGGATGATGTACACGCAGAAGGACTGGAGCATAAGTCAGGACGGCACTACGGTGATGGTACCGCAGCTAGGCATTATTGTCGCCTTCTGATTGAACGAACGCAGCGATATCCGTTGCAGCCGAAGCCGCGGCTTACTGGTAGTGTAGGTAGTGTCGCACCTGGAATTCTTGGAGGAGCTGCCGCTCCTAGCTAATTGCCAATCGCCGGTTTCCAGAATATCACTCAATCAAGCCACCCACGCATCTTGATACGCGCGCAAGGCCGGCGTGAGAGAGAGGTGTGCCCCGTTATTATGGATGGCTGGCCGGGATAAGTACGGGGTACTTGCAGCAGCACGGCCTGTACAAGTACTCGTACTTGTACATCTCGGACGGAGAAGCATGACCACGACAGCGGATTGCCTCCTGGCCGGTGCGTCACACGGCTGGCAGATGTCAATGCCGCTGAAGACTGCAGCGCAGGCGCTCCTGCCGCTTCGTGGTCCGTGATCGTGCAGGCGAAAAGAGTACAAGTACAAGTAGAGATACGTGCAAATGGCTCTCACGGAGATGTCGACTTTCGGTCGGGGGGGTCTACTTGGAGTATCAAGGTTCACGGTACTCGTGCTTAGCTTTTACAGGGACAGGCGCCGGCGATGCAAAATTCGCGCAGGCGAAAAAAAAGAGACTTGAACCCACTGCACTTACTGTGGCCGCCGTCCCAGTTCCCCACATGGGGCGCCCGGGTAACCTGGGCGAAGGCTGGGAGAGGGAATAACGGATAGAGTGAGAGAGAGTGGAAGAGCTAAGAGGAAAAGGGAAAAAACGACCTCGACTCAAGGAAAAAAAAAAAAAAAAAAAAAAGAGGACTGCAAAGATGAAAACCTTGGCGACCAAGAACCGCCGCACGTACCGGCCGAGGCGCTAAAGCGGCCAGGGTCCAGCGCATGCCGTGTTCCGATCAGAAAACTACGGAGCAGCTGTACCTGTGTACCTGTACAAGCCTGTTCGCGCACAGCTCGCCGCGGGAAGCGAGTACCGTCCCTTTTCGCTCCAGACAATGGCCGTGACACGCCTCGACTCGAAATGTCGCGATGGCCATGCCGTGACCATTTTGCCCATTGACACACGCCCCCCGGCCCAGCCCGGAATCCTTTTTCTGCTTCGACTTTCCCGCTCGATTTTTTTTTCTTTCTTGCTCTCGGTTTTCTTGATTCCTCTCTTCTCTTCTCTTCCAACCCTCTCGTCGCCTTGGTTCGTTTCCGTCTCAGCAATTTCCGCGCCGCTTCGCCAATCGTCAATCGACAATCCGGCTAAAAACCCCCGTCTTTTGCACCTCGCCAACCCATAGTTACAACAAGACAAGCAAAAAAAAGGTCAGAGCGCTCTTTTTTTACCCCAATTCCAGTCCCTGGGCCTGGCCTCGCTTTTTTTTTCTCTCGCCTCGCCTCGCCATCTTTTTTCCCAGTTCGCCCAGCGAGTGGTCCGTGACGTGCGCGCCCCGCTTTTTGCCCCTACCGGCTGGTTCTTCTCCAGAGCTGCCGTGAAACAAAACCTCAGCGCAATCCACTTACGCGACCTTTTCCAGACTTTTGCCTTCATCCTCTCTCTTCCTCACGCCTTCAACCCAAGAGGTAACCCGCTCCCAATTCGCTTTCCCTCCCTCATCCGATTACACAATTGCACTCTCCAAACCAATCCGCGGAATGCGCTCGAATGCCTTTTCCCCCAGATGCCGGATCATCTCACGTCGTCGCCAAGCCGAGCGCTGTCTCAGCTGTCGCAAATTTTAAGCTTCATCCGGGGGTACCGCATCCTGTGCAACCGGCAACCGGGCGAAGCTTAAAATCGTCGCGTCGGGCTCGGCTCGCGATGATTCTTACTGGGATTCAATGGCATCAATTGGAACTGCGTATTTTTTGAGGCATTTGATGTGGTTTCCACAATATCCCTTTGCCCCTGTGCCTTTACCGCTTTCTCTCTCAGGGCCCCCTGGCGCCTGGCGCCTTGCCCCGGATAACACGCTTTCATCAATTGAGACATCATCTATATAAAGGCTTTGAGACACCCTGAGACTAACTCGACTTCCTTCTGTAGACAAATCCAAACTCTCCGCTCAAGACACAATGGCCGCCATCAGCAAGCAACTCATTGCCACTCGCGCCGTGAGCGAGTTGGTCAAGCGCAAGAACTGGGCCGCCAGAGAGCCCGGTGTCATTGTCGTCTTCTGCATCGTCTTCGTCGGTAAGTACAATCTCAACATGGTATAGCATGACTGGTCCAACATGACATTTCTCTAACATGGCTGTCCCAATTCTAGTTGCTGTTGGTCTCATTGGTCTGTTCATCCACAAGCAGTGCGCCAAGAGACGGGCATCCAAGTCTCAGATCTAGGCGACGACCTGAGGCTTGGGGAAGAGGGGGTTGGACTAGGGGATGTTGAACGGGAGAGGGGACGCAGTAATGGACCGTGATTGTTAAAACGGCGAAATGGTGTTGCGCGACATTTCAAGCGTGGTTATAAACAGCGACACGTCGCGTCACGCAGCCGCCCAAAGGATAATGTTTTCACCTGGCCACGAGCCAACACCAACCAGTCGTCATCTCGTCGTCAAGCTTTTGTCAACACACATGCGCGATGTATTGGAGCTCGCATGGCCATGTACATATACGCATGCATACTGGCTCACGTCGCGCACACACTCTCACTCACCGCCGCTCGATGGGTCGTGTGAGGAGCGTTATTGGTGTCGGAGATTTATGGAAAGGCGCGCTCGTGCTCGTGGCCACAGGATGCTATGTTCTCTATATTCTAATACTCCTGATACCTCATACAACAATCTAGTTTTATTAAACCATATTATAAATTATATAAAGCTTTTCCTATTGTTCAAACAACTACTCTCCTGTCTTGCGCGCGCAACTTTTGTCTAGTGAATCCCTCCCGGTCTATAATACCGATGGCTAATGTTACATATATCAGACGACAACCCCCCCTTCACAAGCCCTCCTTGGCTAACATGTCAACCACGTCTAGGTAAAACGCTACAGCATTGAACGTCCTCCTCATGCCCATCCACTCACGCACCGTCCACCGCGCACGATTCGACCAATTGATGAGATCCAAGTGACTTACTCCCATCAGTGTCCCCTTGTACATCCCCCAGCGACTGCTCTCGACGCTGACTAGCCCGTCATTCTCGCCCTCCCTCCTGTCCACGACATTGTGCGGCAGCCGAAAGGCCCCCAACAGCGACGGCTCGTCGATGGCCGCGCCGTACGAAAAGTACCTCACAGCCTCGTCGTCGCGCACCCGCGGGTTGAATTCGTCCCGCATGTACCGCGTCGTCAGCTGCCCAAACGCAGAGGTCCCCAGGCCAGCGCGCCGGATCACGCCGTACAGCCGCGGCAGGTGGAGCGGCCCGGCGCCGCGCTCGACCAGGTAGTCCGCAAAGGCGCTCCCGCGATGCGGCGTGGCAATGGTGACGAGCGACGCGATCCTGATGCCGGACGGGCGCAGCAGGGAGATCATGTAGCGCGCGTCCAGGCCGCCCATGCTGTGGGCGATGATGTTGACGGCGGGCGGCTGGCCATCGTGGGCGCTGGAGAGGGAGGCTGTGGTTTGCGCGAGGATGTCGGCGGCGAGCTTGGCGGCGCGCTCCTCGATTGAGCCGGATGGTGGGACGGAGGCGGTGATGACGGTGCAGTTGTTCGCTGTGAGGGCTTGCTTGATGCCGTTCCAGTATTCGATGGTTGGGAGAAGAGGCGAGACCCTGAGCTCGGAGAAGCCGAATAGGCCGTGAGCCAGAACTATGGGGTACTTTGGCGTTGCTGAAGTTTTTGCTCAAGACGTTAGATAAAGTTGGTCCCTGCTCAAAGCACGAGAGGGAGAGAGGGAGGCGTACCGTAAGTCTCGCGGATAGTAGCATAGTCATCGTGTATACGCCGCCCAAGATCGCGAATGCGAGGATCGTGACCAGAGCTGAGGAGCGGCCTTGCTGTGCTCAAGACTCGGGACGGAGAAGACCGTAGGTTCGGCAAGGAGACCCGAAGACGAGAGCGACGCCAATGACGCCATTGCTTCATGGCTCTTTGAGGTTTGGCTACAGCATACTCTTGTGTAGGGAAAGGTGAGGTGAGGTGAGTATTTTTTTGCAACGGTGTAGGGAGACGGAGTGATGTTGTAGCACAGCTTGATGTTAAGAAGTGCTGTGTACCTAGTGTTTAGACGCCTGCTGACGTCACTGCAGCGATAGAAACTTGATATCAATGTCGCAAAACGCTTTGATGGCTTAATTACTTAATCATACCGCTCTATTCAATGCCAAATTATATGCTTGCTCATTTTTCAATATAGGTATCTATGTACATGGACCGACCGTATTTTGTGCGCATTAGAATCCACCATCTATTTTGCCCAATCCCTTTTGTAACACCATCCCACCCTTCTCGCCCGACCCCATCCGTATTTTCTCCTATGCAATAACCAAACATACAAAGAAAAGGCTAGCTCTTTTCTGGCATCTGACTAGGCGCATTCTCATTTGTTACGCCGCTATAAGCTGGTCGGGGCCGCAAGCCGTCAAACGGCCCTGATAAGTTCTCTGCCATGGCTTCGTCATAGCTTGGTGGTGGTACGTCCTCGTAAGCCGGAATGTCGCCAGGTGGTAGTTGTGGAGGGTATAGAGGATCTTGAGGAGGTCGGGGGGGCATAGATGGCTGGCTCGGCTGGCTCGGCCGTCGTTGAGGAGGTCTGGCAGCGGCGTTGGGACCGTTGGCCTCGGAAACAGGAAGCCGGGGAGGTAGACGAGGAGGTCGAGACATGGTTACTTCACCCGGTCGTGTATTTCGAGCAGCTTTCAAAAGCTCAGGAGGAGGTGTGATGCCAGAAAAGACTTCGACGTTTGCGAAATGAAGAGGTAGAAAGATGGTCTGGGGCAGCGAAAAGGCGTCTCTCGTCATGGAGCCCGCCTTTGGATCACCCCAGCTCACACCTATCTTGAGTTCTATTTCGTATTTTCGAGTAAGGTTGCAAGTGTTGAAAGAAGGAGCAACGGTGTTGGGAAGCGGCCTGCTTCTCCAGAGATCGTCTGGAAGCGTTACTTCTTTGCCAACTTCATCCCCCGGAGCGCATACTGGGATGTTGATGTCTGTGTAGGAGACGACAACCCAGCGGTTGACTTTTTGATGGAACAGTCCATGCGCACGAATTTCCGTCACGCCAATCAGGTCCATCTGGAGCGATATTAGGTGGACTTGTTCACTGCTGTCTACGAGCTTCTTTGCGATGAGCCGGAGGGGAACAGGCTTATTGCACGTGAGAATTGAAGGATGTGGCAGACGGGCTGAAATCTCTACTGATGGTGGCGTGGGAGAATCACCTTCAGCAGCGGCCAAAGCTTCATTGGCCTTTTTGCTGCTGAATAGCGAGCTCTTCTTCTTTTGTCCCTTGATCCTTGGCGTAAAGGAAAACGGCCGTCGAGCAAAAGCTTCCTGACCAGTGATGGGGGGTCGCGGCGGTTCGATGGGTAGAAATTTGAATCCGATGTGGTAGCGCCAGTTTTCCTTTAGGAGTCCAGGCCGCTGAATTGTGACCTTGATATAGTATCGAATCTCTGCTTGCATAGGAAAGCCCGTCAGGGATGGAGGAAGAGTCGCGGTAACATGTCGCAGAAACAGCTGCTTCGAACCGTCCATGACACGGACTCCGCCCAGCCCAAAGAGGCCGCCGCCTGATCCATAGCCTCCAACACCACCTAGGCCGCCAATCCTGGCCATAGCTTCGGGATTACTGCAGGCATTGTTGATGGGCAGCTTGAACGTGAAGGGGAACTGGTGCTGGCCGGGTTCGAGGGGATACGATCCATACGGACTGGATGAGCTTTCGTAGTAATCGGTTGGGAAAACCTTTACTAGTTTGTACAGGATCTTGTGGTTTTCGCCCACGATGCTGCCCGGAGGCCCCGGTGGCGGACCAGCTCGAGCTGTGGCCGGTTCGTAGCCGTAGTTTCTTGGGACCTGTAGAGCTGTGCCGGACTCTCCTTCAAGTTTGACGACAATGCTGCCAATCTGCTCGCTTTTGGGCAAAGTCAGAAATACCTTGCCTGAGACGACGTCGAGGTTTGTGTAGAACTCGGGCTGGTTATCCAGCGCAATTTTGATGGACATGATCAACGACGGGCTGCTTGCGCGGCTATGGTTACAATGACAAGGAAAGGAAGGGAAAATGAGAGAAGAAGAAAAACGAATGGGGAAAAAGGAAAGGAAAAAAAACAAAGGGCTTTGTTTGTTAGGTCTCCGCAGTTGGGTATGGGGAGACAAAGGGCTTTTGACCCCTTGGCAGCAGGCTCGGCAATTGATCAGAACAAAGCCCAATCCGGCACGCTGTCATTGCTTGCGAGGCTGCGGCAGCGAAATCACGCGGGCCAGGACGAGGTTGATTGAGACACAAATAGGGAGCGCAGTCGAGAGCTGAAGGCGAGCACACGCGTCAAGTCATTTGGCGATGGGGGCGCAGCCTCGAGCTCGTGGGTGTGGAATTGGGGGAGGTTCGGCGATTGGATTGATGTCATTGTCAATCTGCCGCCTAGACTACAACTGGCCGATCCACCGCCTGCAGTGTGGCTTGCCGCGAGGCGCTGACGAAGTGCTGAGGCGCAAAGCCCGCCGGATCCGACACTATTTGAGGGTCATGTCAGAAGCGCATGAAATGGGCATTGATTGGAGCCCCTTCGGTAAGATGGTTTGGAATATATTGTGGGTGATATAATTATAATTCTTGCTACCAAGGGTACGCACTTTCTTTATCTAAATCTGTATATATCTAGGCATGGTTCAGGTTAACGCTAGATGCTGGATGAGGTACCCGCATATTATCGTCGACATCGAAGCTGGGGCCTTCTATAGTCGCCCCTATATTCTAGCTATTAGCACTTACACTTACCAATGGAACCTAAAAACACCCAAGAGAACACGCACACTTCCCTTGGTCATCGTATGTTAGCCAGGGTACCAGAAAATCATCTTGATCTTCGCCCTGCATCCCATCGCTCACCCGAAACGACCACCCATGACCAATCAGCAGCTTGCATTGCCGGGCAACATAATCGGCAGCCAGGTGGAATAACAGGGGCAGCTAGCCGTCGTTGCAGTTGCATTGAGGCTGGACTCGCTGCAACACCACACACTGCCCTCTTGTCGCCTGACTTGCCCTCCTCGCCTCTTTTCACTTCAGGCCCTGCAACACGGCAGCATTGGAGCCTGAGTGATGAATACCTACACGTACCTATTAGTAGAAACGGCTGTTGGATTAACTTCACGAACCTAGTAAGTGGGCTAGTAGCTTCTGACATTGTGGCAAATACATTTGATGTAATCACTGCTAACATGACAGTCCCTGGAGCTGCATCGCCCGCTTTGCTCTAGTGCCGCTAGAGTGAAAAGACAGGGGTCGAGCCGTTGCAGTTGTTGGTTCCAACACTCGAGCTGCATATTTCACCTCGGTCATGGCGCCATTTTCAGAGTCCAGATTCTCCAACAGCCTTGCTCCTCGTTCGTGTGCTGTGGATCCGCTGTTGGTTGTCGCCCGCTTCTCGCTGCAACGTCCTGACAAGCTGGATTGTTGAATCACCGGGCTGTGCCTTGGACAAGGCAATGGGGGCTCTTCTCTAACTACCACTGATTTATGATCTAGGACATCCTTCACGGTCCTGATTCTGATAGCCCCGCGTTCAGAAGGATTCATGGTTGTACCCTTTTTGATGTGGCCCAACCACTCGAGTACAGAACATGTAAGATGGCCTGGAGATACGCTCAAAGCAGCTATTGAATATTCTCCTCCCCCAGGATCACATGACGGAAAGCCTATCAACAGGCAACGGGCTGGTAAGTCGCCAGTCGCAATCAGGAAGTTGTATATGCATGCAGCTCGTACAGGCGAACATGGTCAACGTCACACTCCTACGCTCTTTTAGAGATGGTGTGCATGCCTCACGGCTTTTGACCAGTGGTTAGCTGTTGGCAGGCAGATTTGGCCCCCATGACTGGCCCGACGCCAGTTTCCTTGTCATCAGGGGCCACGGCCGAACCAGACTGCCGGATCTGGTGCTCTCGCCTTTCTGCTACATGGGTTGTCGCTTGATCTGTACAGTTCTGCTGGTACATCCTAACCCAAAGCTCAAGGGCAAATCGGTTAGTGTAGTACATGGATGGTGACCAACAGCAAATTGCCTTGGTGGTATCGCATGGCTCGGCAGTTTACCTGAACGGGCTCTGACACTGGGCCCCCATCTTGCTCTCGAGATGCTCTTCCGCCCTCGAACTAGACTAGACGGTGGAGTGGAAGCCATCATGTCCCCTGTTCGAGTAACACTGCAGGCAAGCCACAACTTATAGACCTTCTATCAAGCGGAATGGCATTGGGGCTACTCCGCCGGGCTGCAATCGCCCGATCCACAACCCGCCTCCCAGGCATCTGCTGCCAACATGTATTCACTATTTAATAAACACAGGTTGCCCAGCCTTTTCCCCCATTCAGGAGATTTCCCTCCCATGGGCATAGAGTATTCGATGTGACCACACCAGACCATTCTTCTTCATCATGGCAAATAATTGTGGCTCAACATGTCCTACTGAGAACGGCTTCTTTACAAATGATCTCAATCTTGGAGGCAGTGCCGTCCTCCTCGCTGCCTTTGCCTTCTTGACCCCCGCCACCTTCTACCTGGGATACCGCTTCCGCACCCCAGGATTTTCTGCCTTAATGGCAACCGGATTATCTTGCGAAGTCTTTGGCTTTCTTGGAAGAATTCTTTTGCACGAAGCTCGGGATCACCAAGGTTACTTTGCTCTTACGCTCTTGGGGAACATCCTAGGACCAACATTCATGTCTGGTGCCATGTCGAGTGTATTGCCACATCTACTTGCCATTCATGGGCAGGGACATGCCAGATGCCAATCCATTCTTACCACATCCTTCTTGTGTGGTCTCTTCGTCGTGAGCCTTATACTGGACATAGTTGGTACTGTGTTTGTTGCCTACGGATATGGAGGCGTGAGCGTATGTACTGGACCCCTTGATTATGACGAGGCTACCAGCTAATGAGATGGGAAGCGTGATAGGAGCGCCGATATAGTTGCTGGAGGGCTGGGTGCACAAGCCCTCCTGTTGCTTGCCATAATGGGCATGTATGTGTCTTTCACTACCGGCTTGTTTCTTAGTGATGAAGCTCCGGATCCGACATATGCGGATATCTATCATTCTACACGATTTTCCCGATTTCTTCGCTGTAAGTGCTGCTCACTTCATTCTTTTGGGCCAGGTTGAAATATATATTTACGTGTCATAGGTATGGAGGCAGCGTCTGTTCTTCTCTTTGGACAAACCATATATCGGATTTTCGAGATGATTGGTGGTTTGAACGGCACTCTATTCCAGAACGAACTCGCTTTCATGATCATGAACGGACTGATCCCATTCCTCGCCTGCCTCCTCTTAACGACTGCACATCCAGGCGCCGCTTTTGGGCCATCATGGGCTTCGACGTCTCCTCGACACCGAAAGCGCCGTGGCCTTCCTCTACCACCACTACAAACATCATTTAGCCATGCTGTCCATCATCGCTACGATCCCAACATTCGGCAACAATTTTCTCCTTCCACTCAAAGGCCGCTTCGAGAGGCTAAACCCCCACCTACGTACGGTTCCTACGGTTTACCATCATCTCCGAGACCAGTAAACAGGCCACTGAGCCCGATTATCTTGTCGCCAATATCGGTCCGAACCGTGAGCGCACAGAGACTAAGTGAGCGATCGGAGAGGTGGGCAGCACCGACAGACTTGGTAGATAGTGACATACTGTGGTGACCAGGGCCAGCAGAATATCCAAGTAGTAGACAGCATAAACGAGACTGCAGATTGCCCAAGCAAGTAAGCAGTAATAAAATGATACCTTGAAGAAAAGTTTTCTCGTATATGGAGACAGAATGAGCTCCATTTAGCCCTGCACCTCAAGTGCCATCTATGGGTCGAAAGAGACCAAAGTCCCTGTAAAAGCACAAACGAACCTATGAGATGAACGCGGTAGCCAGGAACGATGAGCCGTTACTGGGCCTCTTTACGCATCGGGACTTGTACATGAAGGCGCGCCTAGTTCGCTTACCGCAGCTCAAGCTCACTTTTCCCGGAGGTCGCGGATAAGGAACAACTCTCTCTTCCTCGGCAATGAAGGTCGCTTCTCGCGGAAATGCTGGATCCTATGCGCGTTTTTCTCAAATGGACGCATGCTGCGTGTGCGGTTGTGATGTGATATGCGCCTTGAGGACTTCATCACACTGCGGCTGTGGTGTTGATTCGTCGATTAACCGCCGCTTAGCACCAGCAGGGCATCACATCCCTGCAGGGCTATAGCATATGCATGCGAGGGCATTTTGGAGCCGCGTCTTTATGGAGACGGAGCTTGGAGATCCATGACGGGGGTTTGTAATTTATACGAGCGGCTAATGTGCTTTCGAAAATTGGCGCAATGGGAGTAGACGAGTTGCTTGACCGGGGGGGGGAGGCACAAAGTGTGAGGAAACACATCTCAACATCGACATCAGGCGATAATTAGGCGTTCTAGTCAATTTGCCGGATGTGGCCTGCCATCATTGCCAATACAGCATGATTAGCTACTATTGAAGTCCGAGTGGTGTCGGCGGGATGCAATATGCGCAAGTATGGCGATTAACACGCATCCTCTTGGGGCGTCTATGGTAGTACATACCTTGGATACATGTGGACGATGCAGAGACGCAGCGCTCTCATCGTTCACAATTGCAACTGTTGAAATAGCATAATATTTGGACCATTTCAACTTACTTTAGCAGCACTTTCAGCTGTAAAATCTGCTTTCTCTGTCGAATAACTGGATCAGATACTACACCATCGATCACAACATCATCACTACCATATGCTTGGATAGCTGCGTGTGTGATGGCATCAAACTCACATGAGGGCAAAGCTGTCCTAGTGATTTCATCAGGAACAGCGGCGGGACCAACATGATATACACGTTCTGGATGATGTACGACATCAATCTCCGGCAGCCCGGCTCGTGGCTCGCGAAACCAGCAGGGGTTGCAGACAGTAACCACTCTGAGAGCGAAATTGTTGTATTAGGTTAGTGAATGGACAATTAAGAACGATACTATGAATGGAGAATTCACAGGTATGCTGAAGCTTGAGAGAGTTGGTTTATATCTGATTTGAGTCTTATTTCTTCATGGTCCATCATCACGCAATACGCGGCGACAAAGTGCACACGGCAACTATACGTTATCCCTAAGACAAATATGGATTATTCCGATCGTGGATACTGTAAGGCGATCATTCGCCTAACAGTCGTAATTTATGCACTGTATCATAGAGAATATTTGAAGCAGCGCGTAGAGATGATTGACTTAAGTTCGGGGCTGAAGTACGTGGGAGAAAGGTCGAATACGCGGAATAGCAACTCGCCTCATCCCATTTTATAAGTAGCTGTGGCAATGTAATAACATAAATATTTTGTTCTTATAGAGTGCTTATTTGCTCGGGTTTAAATTTTACTTGGTTTCATAACATTGTATGGATTTAATAATTGTAATAGTAAACTTGATGCTATGCTAGTGCTTGTTATGTTAACGAGCGCAATTGGAACTCCAAGGGCTAAAACATGCGTCCTGCCTAATGCAATAATCGGCGACAGCCCGTTATAACTTAAACCCTGTAACGTAAAAAATTACAATAACCACAATTGTAGCAATTATGCCGACGAAACTTTATGAGGCCTATCTCACGCCATAACCGATAAGTGGCGTTAATAAATGGCATGATGTATGACTACACCGAAGCGCTGTCAAACTTAATAACATGGCGCTTCTTAGCATTGGAGCCAATAAACCAATGATAAATAATAAGAATTGCGAGTGTTTAAGTGAGTAAACTTATCTTGAACTAATCTGTAAATCTCAACACCCTGTTACTTTAGTTTAGACAACACGGCTATCCAGCTCACCATCTGGATTCTGGTTAGCCTGGAATTGACTTTACCATACTCATTTTCCATACGACAAAATTAGCTATCGGATTGTATTATCTGAATTTGACGTAACTGGGCGTAATTGCCCTGTTGCTCAGACAAGCTTCTGATAGATTAAGACTGAGGGAGCTGACGTTAGCAATTAAATACTGTAAACTTATGATACTAAACGCTTATCCTAATCAAGCAATTGGAAGGGATTAGATGAAATTATTATTATTATTCCTCTATCCCCTATTTATCAATGACATACATCAACATACAATAATAAAGGCATAGAAACAGAATTCCAAAGGGTATTTCAGAATATTCACATTGTTATCTATTAAGTCACTAACAAGCCACGTCTTCGGTTATTTTTTCTTAATACACCTGGATGAGGGATGGATTCCCAATATGGCGTTTTGCTTGGGTCCATTATTCTCCTATCCCTCATATGTTTCATGTATTACCCCAAAATGAATAAAATATAAGACTTCTCCAGATCTAAAATTCAAAAGATATATAGTTAGAATTACCAGAAATATTCTGCCTGCGGCTTTTAGAGATCTCGAATATGCAGAATCATCAAGCATCACAAGCTCCGAGAGTGGCTATCCAACAAATTTAGATTTGGCAGCTCCTCAAAAAACATACAAAGAGGCGAAAATGGACATGAAGCTCAAGAATATGGAGGAACATTTAGCCTGGCTTAACTCGTTCAGTATCTGGTAAGTTTCAGAATCTCTTAATAGTCTGTAGGTATATTATCTTCAGCTAATTACTACTTCTACTCTATTAGCGCTATCTGCCTGGAATCTTTGGATGATAGTGATTACGTCCGTCGTTTATCATGTGGGCATGTTTTTCATTCGGTTTGTATTACCCCGTGGTACAAAAGGCATCATTATACCTGTCCTTTATGCAAATCTCAGTATATACCGGATTGAGATTTTATAAGATCTTTGTTCCGAACGAATTTGCTAGTTCAAACGCGCTACTGAGATTCAAATTGGGTGATTGATCTGGTATTCAGCATTCAATCTGGCAGATCAACTATCTAGGATCAATCTATTACGGTGGACAAGATGGGAACCCTTGTTTAGTAAAATAATAGTATATTAGCATCTCTATCATCAGAGAGAAAATTTGAAGGATATTTTACAAGTTGGCAAAAGCGCCTTATTGATGCCATTACCATACTCCAAAAAATGATATGAATGAATGATTGTATATATTAGCAGACAGAATAAGTGGTAGCTTTGAGCAGGTATGGTTACATTGTCTATAAATGGAATTGAAGTGAATTGAAGTATCGTACTTGTATTCAATCTTCATATCGGTGTTTTCGACAAGCTAAGATCTAGGGCGTGTAGAAAATTGAATATATGTATATGAGCTATATGATGGAGGCTCCTCCCGTGGCTGTGATTCTCTAAGGGTGGCTCATATGATCCAACTGGGATAGCTTGCTTTCTATTGTAATTCTGTCTCTGATTGGCTTATCGGTCCGTCCTTCTGGTATCATTGTGCTTCTTATAGCGTTGGGTCGCGATAGTAAGCTCGATCACCTTAAGTTGCGACGACTTCCTTTTAGGGTATCATGCACAAGGATGAGGAGCAAAAGTAATGATGTAAATTAAGAAATAGGCATAGTAGCAGCACATAGAACTGAATTTCATGCTTAAGAGATAAATAAACCTTATTTATGCTTTAGGTATGTCGCTCCTTGTCCGACTTGTAGCATTCTTATTGCCCACCCCAATTTATTATTCTTGTACTATTGACTTCTCATGCAACCTACTGAATCCAGAATAACTTTGCCTTACCGATTGTCATTATTCTGTAACGTTATATTATTCCCATACTGTTACTTTCCTATGCTACTGTATGCGGGGTTCGACGACTAACGTTACATGTAATTTTAGCAATTAATCCATTTGAACCAAATACGCACAGGGTATTAATCGTGATAGAGTTCAACAAACATCGGATTTTGAGCGCAAAGTCGTTCGATGTGCGTCATCACCTCCACCCCGGCACTCCTAGCTAAGGGCGTCCCTGTTAACCATCAAACACCAGATCATCCTGAAGCAATATTCAGAGCCCTCTTACAGGGCGACCACGGACTTTGCTCTGCGCGCTATCCTGGATATGGGTCTCAGAAAAAGAGGAGCAGCCACTGCAATATAGCAGAATCTTTCAGCATGTCACGATACGCCACCATGTGAAGCCACCATGAGAAGCCACCCAATCCTGAGTCTCCGGGAAGGTTTAGGGAACGATGGTGGCCAAAATATTTCAACCACTGAAACTATAAAGCTTCCGGGGGATATGAAATGGAGCGGTTATGCTTTGGTGGGCCAATAATTACGATGGTGATAATTTCATAGCCGGGTCGATGATATGAACACTACAGAGACATCATACCACTATGTGAACGTAAAAGTCAATTTACCTACAATTCAACTAACCAGTAAATTACGTCAAAATTAGAACTGGAATTATTATTCACTAAATAAGTTCATGTCATCATCTCGATAATTTTTGAGAGTCTTTAAACCTGTCCGACACCTAAGCTCACTAACTCAAGACAGACACAAACGCTTAAGTGTGTTCATTATATTATATACTTTGGTTTGCCTCGTTCATATATATACATCTTCGCATAGATTTGACGGTCCAATCTTATATATGTGGTACTTGAACTTGAATCTATAGATATCGGCTCTCAATTGGCTTCACATCCCGCAATATGGTCTTGTTCACGGTGGGAGATTATCTTGCCGAAAGGCTCTCCCAAATTGGGATTCGCCATCATTTCATCGTCCCAGGTGACTACAATCTCGTCCTGCTCGATAAACTCGAGGCGCATCCAGCATTAACCGAGATTGGTTGCACAAACGAACTAAATTGCTCTCTGGCTGCTGAAGGCTATGCACGCGCTTGTGGTGTTGGTGTTTGCGTTGTTACCTACAGTGTAGGCGCCTTCTCAGCCCTCAATGGAATCGGCAGCGCGTATGCAGAGAACCTCCCTGTTATCTTAGTCAGTGGTGCACCTAACACGAATGATATGGATCAACATCTACTACACCATACGCTCGGGGATCATGACTTTAGCTACCAGTTTGAGATGGCTAAGAGGGTCACTTGCTGCGCCGTAGCCATCCGTCGGGCTGCCCAAGCCCCGGAGTTGATCGATCGAGCTATCCGAACCGCGCTTTTGAAACGGAAGCCAGCGTATATCGAAGTGCCGACGAACTTATCCAGAGAGGCATGTGCTCGGCCTGGACCTGCCAGTGCTATTGCTGAGCCGAATCTGAGTGATGGGCCAGCTCTTGACTCTGCTGTTATTGCCGCCTCTGAGTTCCTCTGTGCGAAGCAGAAGCAAGTTATTCTTGTCGGGCCAAAAGTGCGAAGAGCCGGCGCGCAGAAGGCTCTGCTCCGGCTAGCAGAAGCCATCGGATGCGCCGTGGTTCTTCAACCAGCAGCAAAGGGCTCTTTCCCCGAGGACCACCCCCAGTTCGCAGGAATCTTTTGGGGCCAGGTCAGCACGCTCGCAGCCGACACTATTGTCAATTGGGCTGATGTCCTCATCTGCATCGGCACTGTGTTTACAGATTACAGTACAGTTGGCTGGACAGCTTTGCCCAATGTTCCGCAATTAGTCGCGGATATAGACAGCGTGACCCTGGCTCATCCAAATATATATTTCAGTCGTGTTCAGTTGCACGATTTTCTGTCCAGGCTAGCTGAAGCAGCCAGCTGGAATAGCAGCACGATGACTGAGTATACCCGACTTCGTCCTGACCCTTCCCTAGGACACGCTTCTCGCGGACAGGAGAAGTTAACTAGAAAGGAGGTCGCTCGACAGACGCAATTGCTCTTGACTCCAGAGACGACGGTGTTCACTGACACTGGCGATTCATGGTTTAATGGAATTCAACTATGCCTTCCACGTGGAGCCGAGTTTGAGATTGAGATGCAATGGGGCCATATTGGATGGACTATCCCAGCTTCATTTGGTTACGCTCTTGCAAAACCAGAGAGGAGAACCATTGTCATGGTGGGGGATGGTGCGTTCCAGATGACTGCCCAGGAAGTTTCGCAGATGGTACGATACCGCATTCCCATTATTATTCTTTTATTAAACAACAGAGGCTACACAATTGAGGTGGAAATTCATGATGGCCTGTATAATCGTATTCAAAATTGGGATTATGCGCTTCTAGTCCAGGCATTCAGTTCTAAAGAGGAAGGAGGACGTGCTCTTGGTCTTGAGGCTCATACCGCGGAGGAGATTTCTGGAGCGCTCGAGAGAGCTATGGCACACAAAGATGGACCAACGCTTATCGAGTGTAACATCCATCCAGATGACTGCAGTAGAGAGCTGATTACTTGGGGACATTTTGTTGCGGCGGCTAACTCCCGTGTCTCTGCTAAAGACTGATAGCTTACTTAAGGATATGCCTAAAAAAAAAAAAAGGTTAAGGAAAAAGTTTTATAGCATTAATTAAATTGAATACAATTTTCTTTAAAAAAAAATATTTAAACTATTAATTTTTCGATGAAATTATAGGTATGGCAGTGGCTTTGAGCAAAAGACAAGCGGGTTCTTGCCATCGCATGATTGCTGGCAATTCCCATACACATCCAAATCACTGCAATGCACAGGTGAGAGAAAATGGTGTTGATATCACGCTTGTCTTGGGAGTTTGGCTCTTCGCATTCAGATTGTTACTGTAGCCTAGAAGAGCTGCTGAGTCTGGGGTGCCAGGCTATTGCAACACATACTTGATACTGCCCATTAGGAAATAGGGTGGACTAGCTAATCTTGGGATGTAGTAATAGGTGTAGTAATCATCATATTGAAAACATCGGGGACTACGAAGTGGGCTCGTGTTTAGTAGCTCGTATGGCGATGATTCATGGTCGTGCATGCTTCCGTTGTGAGTAAGGTATTTGATGCATTCAAATCTGGCCAGTGTACTAACCATGGTGAAAGTCGGCAATTGGCGACAGCATCCAACATATCAGACGACTTTGGAGCTCAACTATGGAGCGTTTTGCTTGACAAGGGTCTTCAACCTTGGAAGATAGCTAAGGTACATGTAGGGAGGAGGTGAAGATGGATGCTGTAGAATATATATAGGGACGCAACATGAGGTTCAACTCTTTCGATAGGTGAAATGAACGGCTTATTTAAGTAAAACCTCCAAAATAGATATTTATTTTCCCCGTTCCTATTAAATATGATGAATCCACTCATATCGTAAAGATCATTGATATGTTGCCTCATTTCTATTCCGGTACTCGAATAAATTCCCAAATGACCCCAGCATGCAGCCTCGTTATAAGTGTTTCACCATCGTTGAGAGTTGCTACCTGTTTTAAAGTATTGTTGCTGGCTGGTACTAGAAGCTGATATCCTCCCTCGGGATGTCTTCTTGGTAAAAATAATTGACTAGAACCGAATGTAGATGTTGCCTGCATGCGATCTGTCGGCACGAGGTCATCCTGAAAGCTTAGATATTTGTTGGTGTACTTATTGAAGAATCCGAAATAGCCATTGGCCTCGACACAAAGCCAATGAGTGGTCTCCTTCATAATACCAGCAGGGCCTCTAACATACACCTGCCCGACCCAAGTGGCGATTACTTCCCCAGAGCCTTTGACTTGAATAGTATACGTATTGCCAGGCCAAGGAACCACATCCGAGGGGTCATCTCGGAGTGAGAGATCCCCTATGGCGATCGAATCGCCCCTCGGGGTGTATATTATAGAAGAAATCGTTGAGGTAGCGTCACACGGATTGTCGCTCATGATGAATGATGTATATAAGCTAGTAAAAAGGGTATGCGGGTGATGGGGTAAGGATGAAGGTATGGCAGAGATTGAATACTGGTGAAATCATAGGTGAGTGGATTTAAAATACTTTCCGGCCATCTTATATGACGGGTATCAATATAAAACTTAATACTTGTTAATGTGTATGCAGCCATTGATGTGGCTTTCTACTTAATCCGGACCTATTAAAGCAGATTGATTCGGCTCCAATGTGATCGTATTGCCGGAGCGAATACCAAAGCGTATACTAAAAGTGCCGCTGGGAATTGAATTCAAGCCACTTTGATACACCCAAATCGCTTCAACCGCATACCTGTTCGTCTTCGGCAGGGGACTGGAATGCAGAATCTGGTGGGCCGTTCTCCGTTACTGACGCATGCAGCTGAGTCGCGCACTTCTATACATGGTCTGTCTATTCCGCATTCCGTATGTTTCAAAGGAATATGTATTTTCTGTTTCGAAATATCTGCTAAATTTTTATCATACTTGTCCGTGGGTTACTTCTATACTGGTCACCTCTACGGGAATAGCTCTACTTTAGGTTCATCCTGTATATCTTTAGTGCAGCCAGTGGAAGTTATCTTCAGAGCCGAACTTTTGGCATTGAGAGTATTTCTATATAAGGCAGTTGGAAATGGATAACTTATTTTGGGAACTGCCTAGAATCTTGTGAGCTCCGGACTCAATAACCTCTTACGCCTTGTCTTACAGTTGTATCATATACCAGCAGGGCAAAAATTACCAAGTAGGCTGTGTATCGAGAACTTTTACATGCCCCTCATTATCTGAACGATTTAGAATATGTTTAGTTTCTTTGCAAGATTTTCAAAAGAGCGCGCTTGAAAGGTTCTCATGTCAATCGCAAAAGAGTTTCAAGAGATATAAGAGGAAGGTATAGGGTCTGTGAGGTCTCATGGAGAGATCTTACAAGGAAATCAACCGAAAGAGTATGAAAGCAGTATAATTCCTGTGGAAAAGAAGAATAGAGTTTTTCTTTAATTATTGTATTCAAGGTGTTGAGAAAATCATGGCTCTGTATCCTCTCATATCTTTCAGATCTTGACTTGGCTAATACCGACAGTGGATATATTGTAGGAAGCACGCTTCCAGGATTTCGATTTTTATTCATTGCTACTATCTTATTGATGCTGTACACGCCATTGTAATTTATCATTTCCTCTCTACGCTCCTTGACCCTGTATCGCGCCGGCGTCGAAGCATATGTAGTTTGGTGTTAGACAACCTCGGGACAGAGCACTCTACAAATTAACCTCTAGTTATTCCAATTCCTGCTCTTGTCGGTGAGTTTAGTTCACATGGTCTCGGCTTTTTACGTGCTCAACCTTGCTCTTCGACTTCTTCCGCACGGTGTCTAGTTTCGGCCCGCAGTAACGTGGAAGAGAAGGCAAGAAATATACAGATGTATGCAGCACTAAAATCTTATCCAACTGCCACCAACTCTTTGCAACCTTCTCACAGAACTCACCGCTCGTCCTGCAATCAATAATATCGCGAAACCAAACATATGCATTAATTAAAATAATGGATCACGAAGTGAAGACACAATATGTCCATCACGAAGGTTCAAGGCATACCCGTCCACCGATACTGCAGAGGTTGCGTTATGTCGTTATCCTGACCTTGCTGCGTCTCATTTTCATTCCTGTAAATTGGTTCCAGCACATCTCCCGCCGAAATAAATTCCAGCCCAGCTATATCAGGAGGTACAAGTGCCGCCCGGCACTTCCAATCCGGTAAGATAATTGCAGCAGATGATGCGACTTGTCTGAAGTTGGTCACCAATCAACATCGCATGTAGTGTTTTCGTTCCCGAATCTTCTGCGCCGAATGCCCCCCAGCGTTTCCCGGTACTCTTTACTATCCACGGCGGCGGTTTCGTTACCGGGAATCCCAAGGTCGACGATGAGCCCAACCACACTATGGCCTCAGAACATTGCATGGCGGTTGTCGCTCTCAACTACACCAAATACCCCTTCGCCAGACATCCCAGCGGTGTAGAGGATGTCGAGGCGCTTCTTCTCGCAGCTCTTAATGACGATACGCTGCCGCTGGATCGCACCAGCGTGGCAGTGTCTGGTTACTCAACCGGCGGCCAACTGGCCCTTGGCCTCTGCCAACGCCCAAAGATGCGTGCTCTTCCCATTACTGCTGTTATCGTGCAGCACGGTAGCATCGATTTCACATCCCGCTCGCCCACCATGGATTTAACACGACCATATAAGCCCATGCTCGGAGGGATGCGTGGCAAAGACACTGATATGGGCTATGAGCTTAATCCAGCATTCAAGTGGTTTTATGCACCGTATGGCATTGACCTCCGAGATCCCCTACTTAGCCCGGCCTTTGCGCCACGCAAGTCCTTGCCTCCTCACGTCTTCTTTCTCCAGGCCGAGCTTGATCACCTCACCGGCGAGACGTTGCGCACGGCATGTCGCCTGGCTGGACGTCCCGTGCCTGATGTTGGAGCCATGGCTGGCCGCAATGCGCCGTGGAGTGAGCGCAACATTGGTGCAGCCCCCGTCGAGGACGTGCTAGCTGGGCGAGGGCCGCCAAGTATCACAGCGGAAGCCTGGACTCAGGCGGATCGTGAGCGTTTCGCTTGGGAGGACGAGGCGAGCGGCGTGCGTTTGCTCCTAGTGCCTGACGCGCTACACTGCTTCGATAGCCCTTCTACTATGCAACTTTTTGATGCTGACACAATCCAGGATGCCGCAGCCAAGAGCAAAGTAACGAATGCGGAAATAGGTCAATGGCTCTGGAGGGTCTGGGTCACTAGGAAGCAAAACTAGCCAAAGGTGTTGCATATTGATAAAGAAAGATTTGTTGCAATGAGAAGAAATTGGTTCCCTTGATCTGCGTTCTTCTATCTTCAAAATCTACGTGAATTGTCTCTTCTATCTCCAAAGCGCCCAACCGAAATAAGTAGATGAGAGAATATTAGTTGCTTCACCTCGAAAGAAAAGCAACGCCGTGAAATCATTTCCAGAATGTAGCGCAAGATTTTATTACGTAGCATCTCAGCTTTGCTAATAGACGTGCAGTTAACAGCACTTCGAAAAGAGTCGAGGGAGCAAGCCAAATAACAAAATACATCCCTTGATCTTTAATAACGCTAAAATATATAAGTGTGACGAGCCGTGAACCTAATAGTTAGTAATTTCCAATGTTACGCATCCCTTAGAGACAAACAGTTGGAGGATCTGGCTCTAAAGAGTGAGCTGTTTGGATTTATGTTGGCGGATAGGTCAGGTTGGGTATTCAGGCAATCTTATCACGTAACTAGTAGAATGCTATAGGTAGATTCAATCTGGTCGTTGTGTTATGAACTGCTATTCTAAACTATATGAATGAGTATAATGAAGTGACATTTTGCATCAAATTGCTATTGCTGTAGAGTTCTCAATTTTTTACTGACAAAGCAGTGTGGCACACTCTTTGATCTCATCCTTGCCTTTGGTCTCCATCCATTTTTCTGTATCTTCCCTCAGGATTTTCATCTTCTGCCAGTCGTCAATGTTCACCTCTTCTCGAATAAAGGCATCAAACCTGAAGTACTTGGTTCGCTTATCTTTCGGCCTCCTCCGATTTAATCTCCCAAGACCACGGCGGAAGTCTCGATCTTTAGCTCTGGTGTTCGTACTGTAAGACATAACTGTGGCAATAGTATTGAGGATATTTTCTGGGAGTTCTCCTGCCTCGGTATGATATCCCGTCCCAATACTGACAATGCACGACACGGTTGGCTCCTCCGCAACTTGATCTTCATCCGAGGGCAGAGGTGGAGCAAGGTCGTAACGCGCTTCCCAGACTTGATGGATGGGGTTGTTATTTATAAGAGCGCCATCCCAGAAATCGACTCCATCGATTGCGACATGGGGAAGAAAGGTGGGTGCCGCGGAGGTGGCGCAAGCCGCATCGGCAATGCTGACATTCTCGAATTCGGACGATCCAGCATCTTCTGGTGGTTTGTAGGACTTAAAAAGCACAGACTCACTTTTGTCAATCCTGGTGGCGCACATAAACCTAGCGAGTCTTAGATCTTAGTGAAAGTGCAGCAGACATACACAGCACCTACATTCGGCCAGATTCTTCCTTGAGTAGCTTGTTGTTGCCTTTATTGGAAACGTCATCCTCGTATGTGGAGGTCTCCTCCATCACCTTGTCGATAGCTGCGGTGAGGGGTTCTCTGGGAAAGCGGCTTTGGAATAGGGACTTGAGTTGGAGGAAGCCATTGCCAACCCAGTAGCCAGCCATATCAAAATCATGAAGATTCAGGCCCCAGATTCTAGGACTGAAGAGGTCCGTGACTATTGTTTCGAATTTTTCGATTGCAACTGTGGTGCTCATGCCGAGACGAAAGAGCATCAGGGCAATGAGCCCACCTGAACTAGTTCCTCCAGCAAGGTCAAAGTAATCCTTAGGTAGGGGCTTCATGCCATCGCCCTGCCCTCTGAGGTTCTTCACTTCTTCCATAATACGGTCCAAGATAAGTAAGGTGCTGATGCCTTTAACGCCGCCTCCATCAAGGCTGAGCAATCTCAAACGTGTTGACATTGTGAAGACTGTCGCCCATTCGTACGGAGTCGTGGAGCCGGGAATGACGATCTGCGTGGATGGGGAGATTGATGGGATTGTTGACAGGGTCATGCTACCTTAATATGATACAACTATGCCTTTTTTTGTCATGCCGTAAGTGGCTGGAGGAGACTTTGAAGGCTTAACTGGCATCTTATAAGCCGGTCTCTTTGGCGTCGAATGAGATGGGGAATTGAAGGAATGTTCAAAGCCACCATATATACCTACCATTAGCCACGAGAGCAAGCAGCGCTTGGAAAGGTTGAACTAGAATTAAGCATTTGCCTTGCGAGAATTTTAGGTATATAGGCTTAAATATATAAAGGCGGGTCATCCTAGCATGCAAGAAGATAGAGACCGTTGAGTTATGGTGAAAACTTCTCTTAACACAGATGGTGCTTGAACGATCTCGTCATATCCCGCATGAACGAAGCAAGTAGCATCATGCAGCTTCTACTTGCCAATGGGGGCGCTGATCTTCCGGCTGGTGATCCGGCCTACCTCAACGGTTTACTCCAGCGGGTGCTCCAGGCACAAATAGTGGTGAGCCACAACAGTCCTAAAGCAATGTGATGCACTGCCTCTTTCATTCTCGATGGAGCTCGGGACGAGAGGATATTCCTTAGTTATGTCACTCGAGCAAGTCAGCTAAGAGGATTTATTAACTCTGTTAGGACTACGACGAACGAGAAAAACCTTGGAAGTTAACGCATAGATGGTGGTTGCAGTATCTAGCTGGTCTTATCGGCGTTTCCATTTTTGGGGCGTCCATCACCTTCGGCGTTCTCACCACATCAAGCAACGCTTCAAGCGTCGAAACCAGCAATCACACCAGCGGGACCGGCAACGAGCCCGGCAACGAGCCCGGCACACAAGATAGCAATGGAACACAATCCTCCCCTCGATTCGACGAGGGTACTGTCAGAACTTTTCTTGCCGTCACTTTCCTGCTTTTTTTACTTGTGATCGCGTTCGGCAATTTGATACTCTACCTCTTAGTTTTTCATGAGAACAAGTATTTCACAGAAGAGGGGTTTTACAAAGTTGTATTTCATGCCAAGTTCAACAATCTCCTACACTCATGCAACTTGCTTATTACAACTATTATGCTGGCAGCATTTATTATGACATCCCTTGTGATAGTCGCTTATGCTGAGGTGGTTGGATGGATTATCCTATATTTCATCTTCATGTATTGGTTTATATACTTCTGGCTGTGGTATAATCAGCTTGATCGAGGCTCTAGCCAGACGCAGCCGCGCCCAGACGCGTAGCACGGGCACACAAGGCTATCACTGGGCTGGTTCTTACGGAGAAGAGTGCTAACAAGGAGGCTAAGGATTACTGTTGCCGGACGCCGCTGCACCTGGTCGCGCAGGACGGGGACAAGGCCGTTATGAGGCTGCTCGTCGTTAAGGATACCGAGATGGAGGATAAGGCCCGGTATGGAAATGGAAAGACCGCGGTGTAGATGGCCTTGCAGAATGGGCCGCTCAAATAGCTGTCGAGCCGCCTTCCCAACCATTGCCTTGTTGCCCGGCCCCACCTATAGATCCAGGACGTGGCAGGCTGAAGAGAGTGAAAGAATAATGATGCCTGTTAATGGCGTAGAATGAATGGTCATTCACATGGCATTACTGAAGTTTCGAAAATTGTTGAGTAGTTATGCAAGCCGAGTGTTTGCCCTCGGTTGGTTGAGGTAGCCGGGGAGAAGAGGACAGTCCAAAGGGCGAGTGTTGTGGCGTGAGGATGTTGGCGTAACTCGAAAAGCACATCCCATGAATATCAGAAAATTCCCAGGAATTACCATTCCTCTACTGTATCAGCTCGTGTAGCCGTTAGCTTGTCAATCACCCGAACCAGCCCGTAGCCGGTAGTCGAGGCTAGCTTTGGAGTGGTCTATTCGGGTGATTAGTTCAACATGGCTGTCAGCTAAAATGAAAATTTGCGCCGGCGTTGCCACACAGAAGTTTATGTAGACGCCAAGACAGTTTATGCAATCGCGACATCGCGGCGGTGGTGTAGACGTCAAAAAGAGCTGAAAGGAGCTGAAAGGAGCTGAAAAAAAGCTGATTAATAGAAGAATCTACCTATCTGCAAGATAAGCGGTCAAAGCCTTTTAAATTTATCTACCGAGTAAGTATTTGCACTATGGGTACCCCATGCTTTGATATGCATGTCCTGGGTAGGCTGATGTAGGCATCAATCCCAAGAAAGGGACTTTTGCTCCTCTGTTAACATTTATTAATGAGTCAGGTGTTATGTTGAAAAGAGAATTCAAATAAGTGATGATAGTTGTAGCGATCGTGGACAAAAGCGTCAAGGGTTAGAGGGCGTAGCCATTAATCTAATCTTTAATACCCGACACACCTTCTTCAATTGGACGAACTGTAGATACAAGAAAGGCCAGAAAAAGACCCAGAACTGATGAAAACATTAACCATAGCCATAAAGTTCGAAAACCAGAGAGCTCTGCCGATCATGATAAAGCGTCTTGTGCTTTTTCATGTGCACAAACAGGCCGAAGATAAAAGAGCGGCTGAAATAGACATTTGTATTAACGAATGGTAAAACTGTCTAAATTTAACTATCTACAATACCAAAAGAATGACCATAGCCACTATTATAGCCTTATTCATTCTGTAATGAAAAGGGATTAGCAATAGTCTAGAGATTTATTCACACGCTCCAGGAAGGGAGAAATTGCCTCCCTGACCACGCGGAGTAGCATCAGCATCAGCGCCGTTTGGACAGGCACCAGGCATCACAAACCCACATGCCGGATTCCACTCTCCTTGATGAGTGATACGAATCGTGCCGTCAACAGTACTGTTTGCAATGCCACAGATTGCAAGCGAAGAAGATGTCGATTGCTTCTTTGCACTGATGCTATATGATCCTTCTCCATTTGAAGATCCAGATAGACGAACGTTAACAGAAGCCTTCACGCTTAGACTTGTAATGTCAATTGTCTGTGTTCCTTGTCCTTTGATGATGACTCCTGATTCTGTTGTAAAATTGTCATAAGTGACTTCGTTTAGCAGCCCATGAACTCCAGATGTTGTAAGCAACGCTCTACCACCACCCTCTACTGCTGACTCTATTATATAAACGCCGTCTTGTAGAAGAGGATAGTCTTCTAATAAAGGAGCCCATGTTGGGGTGATTGTCTGGCATAGGCTGTCCTGTTCAGGGTTCTCGCAGTATGGCGGATCTATTGCAGATAGGGTTGGAAACCGAGCAGTTATAAGTCTCGTAGAATTGCCAGGCCCACGCTCTCCCCAAGTGGCCATTGTGCCGTTGGGGTGCCAGGGAAATTTGGCAGCCCCTGCAGTCCAACCGCCGGTCTTGTTATTAAGCATTTGCCCCGCGTCACAGTTATCATTATCATATTCATCAGCAGGCAAGAGCCATTTTTCGAGAAGATGAAGACGTCCAAGAGGAGCACCAAGGACTGAATCACCTGAGAGACCAGTGAGGGTGTAATCAAGAAAAGGGGGTAAATCCATGGCGCTAAGTGAACGAAGCTGATTGTGGAACTGCCTTGCGGATCCAAACAGATAGTATTTTCCGGAAGGATCCAGAGCAATATCTTCATCCCACTCAAGACATTTTGTGATTCGTGTAGACTCCCCAGTAGAGAGATCGAGCGACCAGTCATCGAAATTAAATCCTTGAGCACGAGTACTAGCATATAGTACCGTGTTGCCCTTAAAAAATGCTTTGCCTTCATACCAAGCCATGCGATTTGCCCAGTCGGCGCTCGTCTGGGGGGGAGTGTGGTTGGATGGATTGAGCACTCTCAGATTCTGGACAGTATATGCGACGGGCCTGTTTCCGTTGACCGTCTGTATTAAATCGCCGAGTAACATAAGAAACCCGTCTTTCCTAACAATGCTCACTAGGAAGTGATTGCCATCTGGAGAAACGCGAGGCTCGCGGAGCTCGATGACATCACTATTATTATTGAGCTGTGGGATGTCTATGGGATATATGTTGGCTTCTTGGCAGTCCAACACACTAGGGGAGCAATAAAGAAGTTGCGGCTCGATATTGGCTCCTGGCACATCTACCCCAGAAGCGTTTGATTGTACCGTAGTTCCAAAGAAGACGGACTTTTGGTCTGGGAGGGCATTCAGATATTCAATGCCATTTTGAGGATCCAATTGGCAAGTGAGACAAGTATATCCCGAGCCATCGGCACGAATGTATCCAATCTGGGATTGCGTAGGATTCTGAGTTTCGAAAAAAGGACAGAGAATGACAGAGCCGTCCCGTGACCAGACACAGGACTCAGTACTGATGCCAGCAACAGTTGGTGGGAATGGCACGACGTCTAAATTCACCGGCAAAGGGCTTGGCGAGCTTGCTGCTATAGGCCAGATCCATGATGTAGTAAAAATCGTCAAAGTGAAGGGCAGTCGGCGTGAGAACCGCATTATGGAAAAGTGTTAAAAGAAGTTGCTGACAATGTTGCTCATGGTCAAGTAGAGATATTGAGCAGAAAATAATTCACAGGTCCTTCAATGGCCAAATATATATACATGTACTTGCCTTACATCCTATGCTTGCCTGGCGTGTACAACTATGTTGAGATAGATTATTTGCACATTGCTAGATTTAGGCTGCTTTATTCTCCTGTCGAAAACTTTACCACGTCTGTACTGATCGTCGCACACTGCGCCATACGGCTGACGCGTTTTGATGATATATGCACTGCGTCAGGGGAGAGCTTATAAAATAAGCGATGTCATAATAAGTACCTGTAAGTAGTATAGTCCTTTTTGTTCCTAAAAGAGTAGTGTGTTATTAGAGATTTGATCTCTCAAAACTAATTCACAAAGCGATTAGACAACAGAATTTACTCGCCAAAAGAGAGTGGTGATCATGTTCAAGTATCGCAGCGTGCTAGTTCCTATAACCTCTTTCAGAGACTAATGAGTTAAATCTTCTCAGACAAGTATCGAAATTTTGCTAAAGGATTTATCTTGTGTTTGAATCTCACGATTCTGCCCGGTAACTAAACCTGCGCACGCGGACTCAGTGATTCGTCCCTCTCGTACTAGAGACTAGCCACTCCGCTTACGATTCAGTAAATAAACTATCCTAGAACAAGCATAGTTTACGCTGCATCAAATTCTACGGAAATGCAACGCACAGACACCTGAATCGACCTCAGTAAGGGGTCGAGAAGAGAGAAAGAGAGAAAGGGGAGGAGGCTGGCGTTTCTGCTTGGGATAAACTATATAAGGACTGCAAATCACATTTATTACATTTCGAGAAACAAACCAATCAATCTAATAACATAAATCCCTCTCAAGAGACTGCTAGAAAATGTGGTCCTTAAAATCTCTATTATTCCAAGTGCCAATGATACTTGACGTGGCTTTCGCCAGCAATGTCAAAACGGATCCTGAAAACGCCACTGCGTTTGCTCTGACGGTAATTATCCCAGACGGTCATAATCATTTCTTGTGATACTTATACTTTTTGATCTCTCTAGTACGGCTTTCCATTGCTTGGTTTTGCCCAAGTATCACTATTAGCTTTCGAGAACGGCGGAGTGAATCAACTTCAGCGATCACCCGGGTTGGCAAACGCATCTACAACCAGTGTTGTAACCCCTAATGTAGACACTCTTTACGGCGTCGCCGTCTTTGATCTTGCCGTGGATGACATCGTGGTCACTATTCCGTCCATTCCGGAGAACGAACGTTACTATAGCTTTGCTTTCTTTGATCCGTAAGACAGCACCCATCTTCTAACCAACTATGAGCCGATTTTAACACTTGACATGTTAATGACAGATACGGTACCAATTTCGTTACTCTTGGGTCTGAGCCAGTACCAATCTCACCGGGGAACTATTTACTACGACGTGGCAGCAAGACATGGGGATTTGAACAGTCAAATAACAAGGACTACCAAGGTTATATCGACTCTCCCACAGGCAATGGTGTTTTCCTCACGAGAATTGAAGTCAAGAACAACAATACGGACATTTCTGTGGTCGAGGGTTATCTCAATGGAACAAATCTATCTCCCATTCCTCGTGAATCTGGCGACTCTCTGCCAGAATTACCCCCCTTAACGCCAGCAACATTTGCTGGCCTGAAAGGCTTGTCCACGCCACTACAAACCCTTGAACTGACAGCTCGCTTACAAGCTGCAAACCCTCCTTTCAATGTAACTGATGCTGCATTTATTGATGCCACACTGTTTGCTGCAGGTATTCGTAACGGGACATATCATCAGCCTGCAGGAATTGACCTGGAAAAAGCCAATACCTTGGCAGATGCCGAGATTGGAATCTACAGCGAGACCGGTCGTCAGTTGCTAGGTAATCAATGGGCCCGGTACAATCATCAAGGGCTGTATGGAGACAACTTCGCCGCCCGCTCACTGCTAGCACAAATTGGATATCTGAACCTGCAGGAATCCCAAGCAATTTATCCGTTCTCGCTCACAGAAAAAGACGGCAATACATCTATTGCGCATAACGAAGCACTTTTGTACACCTTTGTTGGAGGAAAACCACCAACTCTGTCACCAGGAGGATTTTGGAGTGTCACTATGTACGATGCCGAGCATTTTCTGATTGACAATTCTCTCAACGTGTATGCTCTTGGCGATCGGAGTAATCTAACATATCCTGACGGAACCCCTGTTTATGGGCCAACGTCCGGGCCAGAGAATGATGCTCGCGTATTCCAGATTCTCATTCAGGCGGTTGATGTTGCCCCTCCGCAAAACTGGACAAACAAGTTCGTGTTGAATTCTCCATGACCAAATTTCTGAGGATCTTCAACTAACAGTTATCTTCTAGTTGGCTTCCTGCTCCCAGTAATGGAAACTTTTCTACAGTCCGTAAGTCAGACAGGCGGTGTATCAAACTACTTTGGTAAAAGACTTAGCTAATGAAACATATAGTTCGTTTATATGGTCCAACTTCGGCGTTGACAGACGGATCGTGGGCGTACCCGAAAGTAAGCAAGATCCCTGCAATTACCATGTGAATTGCTCAGCATAGAAATACGTCTTTACTTTCTGCTCTATCTTGGTTTGATAGAATTCGTTCCTTTCTTCGATAGACCATTTTACATGGGATGTTGAATATATAAATATACTTTTCTTTTGTTAATAGATGAATATTCAATCTTGAAAATACTATCCTGTTGTGTCATTTATGTTAACCCTTAACGCGGTGAGGCGACACTGCTTTGTAGTCTTGGTTTCTATCATCCACCATATCAGAGATCTTAATATCACCTCGGCACTCGATAGATGCACAATCAATCCTCTCTATACTTACTCCATGAAGATTTGTCAAGTTGACACGAACTAAGTAGCTTGTGTATTTGTCACTTGTAAGGGATAGTATTACTGACTGCGTCACTAAGGGTCAAGTAATACTGATGCCAGACCAATTGCGGTATAGTTTACGCTCTCCAGTTGATCAACCAATCCCACTTTTCAGGCTTGGTTGCTTGGCCCTTGCAATTTCTGCTTGCCCCTTTTTTTCTCCATCCGATGCTAAGCTAAAGCTATGGGGAAGGCAGCCACGTAGAATATCGGAAGCCGGCAATGCCACAGCAGAGCCTGACTCAACCTTCTAAGCGTCATTCGTAGCCCGTTCGGGGTCAGCCCCTTTTTGCTCTGGCGCCGGCAAATCTTCTCCGTAGCCATTCTTGTGCACCAAGCAACTCATTTAGAGTAGAGGATATAAAACTATATCTTGCTAGGCATTGCTGAAGTTTCTAGAAGGCTACATTAGGAATCGATACAAGAGGAGGCGGAATGCTCCAAGGCCATAATTATGTCATCACGGCGATCACATCACAATTCTCACCATGGCTGTCAACAGTGTAAAAATGCGCGCAAAAAGGTATGAGACATAGGCATCAACTGCATAATCGAGAGTAACCAGCACTAGTGTGACGAGCAGCAACCAGAGTGCGGACGGTGCCAATCCAAAAACCACCGATGCCGATATCGCCATCTGCTCTCTTCATATAACGCATTTCAGGCATGCGTGAGCACCGTGAAGCAAGGGAATCCTGTATTTAGATCTCCTGCTAGGACAAAAGCAAAAACCAAGGCCATCCCCTGCTCTCCGAATGACGCCGAGTTCGGGTCATTATCAAAGCCAAGATTGTTTCCATCACCCTTGATGGATTGTGCTCCTATCCTAGGCGGCCACAATGAGTGTCTTCATCTCACTCATCATTACTTCACAGTGATCTCGCCAAGCGCTACCAGCGCTCAACCTCATCTGGAGAATTTCCACGGATGGGCTTCGGCAGTTCAGCACCATTGGCCCATGTTCGAGTTTGTCCAATATGGTATCTGCGCATTATCATCGCTGCACCTTGCATGTAAGGCAGATGAACCAGAAGCTAGAATGGCGCATCTCGCAAATGGCATGAAGTTTCAGAATGCTGGTATAGCTCATTTTCGTGTTCTTCTCTCATCAGATGGGGATTTGTCCTCTTCCTTGTTGGAAGCCTGCATAACATTCTCAGGCATCCTGTCTTTATGCGCTTTCTCTTCCGCATCAGCTAGCCGGTCTTCGACTCGTTTGACCAATAGAAAGCTTACTACAAATCCAATATTTGACATCATACAGGCCATGTTCTTGATTCGTGGCGTTAGAGCGCTGAATAGGTTACATGAGAGTAAGAAAGAAAGTTCCTTCTCTACCGGGCAGCGGTGCATTGGCCTCTCTAATTTTTTGCGGCAACGATGGGAAGGCAATCATGGCCACCATCATCTAGCCACATTGAGCGGCATTTCTGATGGTGAGGCTTCCCTAGATATGCTCACAGAGTATATCCAGTGCGCTATGTCATTGCCAGGAGTTGCAGCCGACATGCAACAAAAATCATGTCAAGATATTTTGCGGGAGGATCATATCAAGGACATATATTTAACCACAATCATCCAGTTGAAGCCAAGTATTCGCTGTTATGACCTTTGGCCCGGCATTGCTCGCTTCGTGTACAGGTTCGCTTCGATTACACACACCGGTTTCTTAGCTCTACTGGAACAGCAGCACCCAGTAGCGTTGATAATATTGGCCCATTACGCCGTCTGCCTACATGCCCTCAGGCAATATTGGTGGACCGGCAGCCTTGGAAGAGACATTGTTGCTGCTGTAGTGGATGAGTTGGTCACCAGGGAAGACAGTTTGCAGAACGATATGCCTTGGTCTCAGCTGTTGGCGTGGCCAATGCGAGAAGTGGGAGTAGAAATGAAGATGAAGAAGAGTCTTTAATCTTTGATTCTACATGTCTTTGATCTCGTGCGTAAGGACTATAATGCCAGAGACTCCTTCCCAGGCCCCTCAATTTACGCGGGAGTGAACATGGATTTTTTTTTTTTTCCTTGATACTGGCAAGGAAGTTTTTTTCCATTATGAAGGAGTTAATAGAGGAATTAGAATGGCTATATAAGCCAGCTAGGGTAACAGAATATATACAGGTTCCTGAAATGAAAGAAAGGGCTGTTGAAGTCCACAGTGCCCAATTGGCGGCGCGTGCAGGTCAGTATACTTGCGTCTAAAGTAGATTTTGCCAATAAGCACAACGCTCACGGTCAATATTGGCTGGTGTCGCAATCTCAATTCCCGTAGTAGTGAGATTCATTGTCAGAGCGTCAGGTCCATATTGCGGGATTGGGGGTAAATTGTGGCCAACGGGAATACCGGTATCCACGAAACTTGAAATGTACGCTTGAAAAGCGCTAGCAACAGTTTGATTGACAACACTTGTGCTGTTAAATTCATAAGCCAAATCCTGCGCGTGAATGCCTGGGTAGACAGAAAATTCATCTATTACTCAAGTTATTAGTAAAATCAACCATCATTTCTGTGGACGGAAACAAAAATTAGAAATAGAGAAAGGAGCAGATAGGAGACTAACAGGAGTAAGTCGCATTATTATAAGCACGACCCATGTAGTCTACATTGCAGACTATGGAAACATCCGCAACTGTAGTAGAAGCTCGTTCGAATTCGTTCGCATAGCCATAACTTCCATCAAAAACAGGCGGGTAGAGGCTGTTTTCGATGAAAGTCATTTCACTAGCAGTCAAATTGCTAAAGAGGCTCTGCAGTAATTCAGGGTAAGTGCCGTTGAGCATCAGCAGAGGATTCGTAAAAACAAGGCCTTCATCCACATTATGACCAGAATATATGTTGACATTTTGGTGAAATGAACCATTTAAGAATAGCAAACCCGGCTGAGCAGGAACATATGTCCCATCAACAGCGACACTATATGTGCCACCACCATAGGAGGAGTTGAAGGCTTGCATTTGATTTGCCATAATTAATTGCTCCGAAGGAAGAGTGCGGGCCTCATCAAGGGAGCCAACCCCCAGTAGATTCAGAAATTCTTGAAATCTCTGGTTTTGTGTATCAAGATTAGAATTGATTGAGAAGGCTGGCGATTGGGTCACTGCTTGTGTAAATGGAAGCGCATCGCCTTGTCCCCCAAATGCTGTCAGGTGGTGCACGATAGAACCGGCCCCAGCAGACTCTCCCGCAACAGTAACACGATTCTTGTCGCCGCCAAAAAGGTGAATATACTGCTGAACCCAGTCCATTGCCAGGCGCTGATCATAGAGCCCGATATTAGGGAGTCCACCACTGTTTTCGAATAAGGGACCAGCGATCCAACCGAAAGCACCCAAACGATAATTGATGGACACAAATATAAGAGTGTCATTGCTTTGTTGAAGCACCGCCGAGGGCTCTATGAGGACATTGCTGTCGCCCGTTTTGTCGCCCTTCGTATAGCCGCCTCCATGTATCTGTTCAATCCAGGTTTAGAGACGGAGGGGAAAACTGTTTGCTCGTCACATTTTTCGACGCATGTAAATTGAGAACTTACCCACAAGTATACTGGGGCCTTCATGCCGCTACCCATGCCTTCAAAGACTTTTTGGGGAACAAAGACGTCTAGGAATAAGCAGTCTTCAGTTGTTCGGGGATCTAAAGGTGGAACCTTGGCATTTTCCTGTGCTTCTTCTCCAAGGATGGCTGCTTTGGCAAAAGGAACACCATTGGTATAGGCCTTCACAAAAGCGTTTGATCCGTTATTCCAGGCTGCTATTGCTTGCGGGCAGATTACCCCAATGGAACCGTTATTGACATTGCTGCTATGTCCTTCAACAGGCTTCGGGGCTGTAAAGCGCAGTTGCCCTAGGGGGGGTTGGGCATATCGAATATTAGAAAAGTTATAGAATCTTTGTTCTTCCTATATTAAATGAAGTCCGTTAGCATACGTATATGCGTCGTAAAGAAGAGACGTACATTGAATGAAATTGCTTGATGCAGTTCCTATGTTGCCACGTCAGCTCACATTGCATCAATTTGACGTTTCCATTTTCGTTACCACCTACATATCCGAGGTCAACAACGGGAAGATCAGGCGTGGCAGTGTCTCCGAGAACTAGGGCGGCACAAAAGCCTGACAAAATGACAGAATAAAGCATAATTCACTTTCCTACAACAGGCTATCGATCGCTGTAAAGAGGAATGGTTGACAGAAAGCAAGTGTGCGCAGCTGATATGAGCAGAAAGAAGGAATGAAAGAGAAAATGATTGCAAACAACTCTCGCTTTATAACGTATAGATGATACCTCTAGCCATCAAATATTAAATGCCAGGTGATATTTCACAGTAATGATAATGCATATATCGCATTATATTAGGCCTGTCTGCGCTGGTGATTAGGAAGATGACTATGCTCAGCCCCCAGGCCTAGCACCCTTGGCCGTGACACTTAGTCTAACATAGTATCGTTTACGATGCTGACTTACTCCTATTAATGGTCAGAAATCAGGTATAGAGGCAAATTACCCTTTTAGGTAAAGTTTACGCAACGTTTCACCGACACGACTCAGGGACTAGAGTCATGTTGATTTCTTCATGGATAGACGTCTGGAGTTTGACATTTCAAACATAAATTGACTCGTATATTAAAATAATTTCTGTGGGTTTCGGCAGTAAATCGTAGATATAAATATATGTTATAGTGAATCCGGAACCCGCTTCGATTAGTTTACTCCATATCAGGCATTTACATTTTGATTTCATTCTTCGCTCCACCTTCTCCAGTGTGAGTAAAATGGCACATCACCTTGATCCGCGATTCTTAGGTGATCTGTTTAAGTCCTCCAACTCAAGTACAACCTGTGCCCGGCCAGAAACTAACGATGTTGGCGATCTACTACCAATTGGCATCACCGTCCAGGAACTACTGTTCTATATTACTCTAGTTTGTCTCGGCCTAACAACAATCAGCTCCTTTGTGCTAATTTTGCGGCACGCGGCTCACTATACCAAGCCAAAAGAGCAACGACAGCAGATTCGCATAGCCGTGTTGCCCATTATATACGGCATTATTTCACTCTTGTCTATCCGCCTTTATCAAGACTCTATATACCTCAAGCCATTAACTCAGGTGTACGAGGCGTTTTGCGTCACGGCATTGTTTTCATTATTCATTGAATACTTATGTCCCGAAGAGGACCTCAGATTCGCATATTTCCAAAACCTGAGGATTGAAGATAAGAAGGGAAATACGTTGCCAAATGGAGGCATCAGGTGGATCAATGTTGGCTCAACCCGTGTCTCCATCTACCTTGATTGCTGAGCTTATAAGGAGATAGAAAACATGGATAATGGTTTTCCAATTCCCTGTCACAAAGACACTATCTGCCGCTGTAGAAATTGCGACGCAGGCCGAAGGAGTGTATTGCATCAATTCTCTGAGTCCAAAATATGCACACTTATGGGTAGGCTTCTTTTGTCACGTTTCTCCTGTTTTTCCCCTCCTCTTCGAAATTTTCTTATTCGGGGACTAATATTGTTCAAAAGCTTCTCTTGATTGACATCTTCATCATCGGCGGCGCTCTCAGTGCAGTGTTCAAACTATATAGGCGATGCAGAAGCGACTTCAAAAGGACAAATCGTGCTTTTGGAAAACTGATCACCTTCAAGGGGATTGTCCTTCTGCAATTCCTACAACAGGTCAGAGATTTGAGATTCAGCTTCAAACTAAAATGCTAATATATTGTACCAAAAAAGATTTTGTTTGGATTCTTAAATGGGCAGCTATTCCACGCCAACAACACCCTGACATATAACGATATATACTACGGCATTCCAATGATACTTACAGCCCTTGAGGCCCTCATTTTTTCAGTGATATTCCATTGGTCTTATTCGAATAGAGACTACTTGCAACCCTCTACGCGTCCAAAATATCTACTAGACATTTTCAAAGCCATCATCAGCGCAATAAATGTATCTGATATTGTCGCATCAATATGGACAGCCTGTCGGGGAGGGCCATTTGCCTCATATCTCAATTATTCTTCACCTCTTGATAGCTCAAGGTCATCAAGCCAAGTTGAACTGACACCAATGCATCAATATGAGACAATGCACTCCTAATGAGGCACTCGTCGCGTTGGATCAATTTTTATCATGAAGCTCCTCTTCAAGTTGCCTGCTTTTCATTCACGCCACAGCTCGCAGGAAGTCAAATGACTAGAGGTGAGAGAGCATTAAAGAACTTTATAGCAAAAGAATAATAGCGCACATATACAAGAGAGAGGAACTTTAACAGCTTCCGCTATAAGACGTATGCAAATATAGTGACCTGAATCACAAATTTCTTCTGCATCTCTAGGGCGTGAACGAGTATTGAACAACATTCATTGGTTCCAAGCTCGTAGGGTACTTGGCTCAAATTTGCAAGCTACTATCCAACAGCCACTAATAAGTGGATCGGATGCGCTTCCGTAGCTCAGTTGGTTAGAGCTTCGTACTAATACTGGACTTCACCGTCTAGCCTTGGTAATGCGAAGGTCGCAGGTTCAAGCCCTGCCGGGAGCAAATGCCCCAGATGCGTTATCCGATGATTATTTTTTTCTTCCATTTCAACCTTTCCTTTTTACTACGAACAACTTCCACTTAGACTTGTTGACTTGGCGAAAGGGATATCAATATTTTTGTTAGTCGATGAATAAGATTGAAGTCAGATTACATTCTGAAAGGTACAACAGCTTGGGGAAATGAACGCGTGCCAACGTCGATGATTCAAACGCGATTCAAAATTCGCCTCACAATAAAGATGATCATTCATAATGCATCTGTATGGGCTCGAAATAAAAATCGCATACGGGTAACACAACCTGGTTTTTGAGCTGGTTGAGTGACCATCTCAAGTGATCAGCCCAGTGTCACCATTGTCGTACAATCACTGCTTTGTTTGATGATGGCCTGCTACCAACTACGATGTGATCCAGAAATGAGTAAAAGAAGAGTTGACAATGATATTTTCTCTATTTATACACTATGTTTTGTAATTCTTCTCAAAAAATTTCCCCTGGTCTTCGTATCAACCGCCTGCCGCATGCTGTGTTACTTGACAATCTCAACATTTTCAACAGCTGAACTGCTGCTGATGGTGAAGCACAGAGCAAGTACTATGGCGGTGAATGGATGTCAAGCATATATACCTCTGAATAGAAACTAACCCCTTGAGCCTATAAACTCTTGAATGAGCCGCGGTCTTTGCAATCAGGAATCCTTTATGAGAAGTTGAAGTGAACTTGCAAATTTTCATTGAAGAAAAAAAGAGTCCAGTGCTACGCGCAAAAATGGCCAGTGGATCAAATTCAATCAGTTCAGAGACCTTGGGTAAAGAATCAGAGATTTTCGACAGGCTGTTCGAGCTCGACAGGGAAGATGTTGGCTGGATCAAAAGGCACATTGGCGACCATATAGCAGCCTGCAAAGCCTATCTCAGCGAAAGGCCGCCTCGGTGGCGGGAAGCTCTGCGCGAAGCTGAAGAGGCCTCCATCATCGCATTTGCCGAGGGCATGGGCAACATCGAGTCCAAGATCAACTTCTACATAGCCCACTGCTACAGGGGCATGGGTATGTGGCAACAAGCCCACAAGTTTTACATGGCGAGCACTGTCGATAGTCAGGATATATATTGGCTGCAGGGGCTGCAGGCGTTCAGCAGGCAGAAGCTGGAGGGACAGCGGAATCCCGAGCTCAGGCGGGTAAGAGGCTCTGGCGATTTGCACACGGCTTATAGTGACAGTACGAAGCTAAGGTAGTCAAGGACGTGGTCTATCCATGATGGCCAGAGTGCGAGGTGATATATATGTGAGTAAGATGAGATGCCTTCCACATTGGCAAGAAAATGTCTCCTGATTTTACCACTCGCACGACATCACAGGCCACATACTTCGAGTACAAAGGGAGATTTAGTTCGATGCAGCTTTACAAAAGCGGCTGCTCAAAGAAAATTCCCACGTGGTTAGGCAGGGTAGTCAGTCCAATGCGAGTATAAATGCAATTAATTGACGAGACCAAATATGAATGGTTGAAGTGAGATATGCGAAAAAGCATACTTGATGTAAAGCGAAGAGCAATATTGAAATAGCGATCTTCCAAATGCATCATGTAGCATGCAACAAGACTGATCTGGAACATGACGGTCATTCATGTTGGAATTGTATTTATCCTGGTGAGATACAAAGGTCATTTCACAGTACCTGATGAGATACCCTGGAGCTTACTGAATTATATGAGAGCCACTTTGGTAGGAAGCCTACGACTCCAGGGCTTAGCTTATGGCAATCATGATCTTCATCTATGCAAACAGAGTTCTGTGGGCGACAGCTGCGTAGGGCTCGACATAACATTAACGCACAGAAATTTCGAGTGCTTCACAGAGAAGTCAGTTTGCTTTGGGGCTGGCTCAAAGAGGGAGCAATGACGTTAACAAAGCTCTCTCCTCTGGAATTCCACCACGTCATAATACGCCTCGTCGTGATAAACTCCAAAGAGAACACAGGAAGTACATGCGCTTTGAGCGTAGATGCAAAAATGAATTGCGACGTTGCTGATTTTTTGTCTTTCAGGACTAATACAAAGCATCAAGAGACGTTGCACCAAATCGCCAAAAAAATATAAAAAATTGGGAGCTAAAAAAAGTTTAAGCCCCCTGCCAGACTCGAACTGGCAATCTCAAGATACGCTCTAGCAGACGCCAACCTTTTTGCAGATTAGCGCTAATAGAAGTCTTGCGCCTTAACCATTAGGCCAAGGGGGCTTGTGGTGCCAGACGAGCAAATATTCTATTATGAACCGGGTGCAAATTACAAGCGATTAGAATGCGTGTCTAGGGCTAGGACTTCTGCTAGTGCTCCTCTAGGTACTAGATCAACCATGATGGAAAACATACGGGATCCGATAACAAGAATTGCAACATCAACATGAGCTGCATTATCAGATCAGGCAGCGTAGTATCAACCGTATCAACCGCATATCAACCACAGTAACGTTGAAAATCCTGAAATCATGGGCTATCTTCAATAGGTAGGTCACCACTACCTAGCGCCTACCTAAAACTTGGGTGGATAAAAAGTCCATGCATGTACTCCATAAGGTTAGCACGCTACATGCCTGGTCGTATTACTCCGTAGCGTACAAGTAGGTAGTGAGAAGGAAAGCGTCCATGGCAGGAGCGAGAGAGAATCGAACCATTTGCTCTTGCATCTCTGACTCAAGATTCCAGCAGAGGAAACGGCCTTACTTGTATTATCCAAGCCCGGAGCACATTTTGCCGATACCGGCTCAGTCAGCAATTGTCCGCCTTTGCCCGCCTTCATCTGACGGGTAAACAAAACAAGCCTGCCTTATGCAACCTCCCCCCCTTCTCGACGCTCCTCACGCTCATCACGCTCATCATAGCCCTGCCTCGAACTTCCTGCGGCCCACATTTCGTCGACAGGGCCGAATCCAATGTAACCCGCAGGTTGTGGGCGGCCGTCTGATTGGCGAGGCACGCCTGTCAAAACGCTCGTTGAGCTTGGCTCCTTGATGCTCTGGGTCCTAGGTTCGGGCATTCACGTATTCTCATGCTCGTGTTTATCATGTGGCAGACGACATCATCGAGCAGCGCGCTTCGTCTGCGCTGCAGCCTAGGGGTAGCAGCTGTTGGGGTTGCCTGCTTCGCGGGAGCTCGCCCGTGCTTTGCCAGCCCTCTGGTGCCCGCATGGGGCATGGAGATTTTGCACACGGGTCCGGGTGTCCGTTTCCCTTCCAAGACTGTATCTTCGCTTGTGTGAGCATGGCTATGGCTCCTATCCTCCACTGCCCTATCGAGAGATTGGCAGGGCAGACAGAATAATTGTCCCGACTAACAACGGTCGTGCCGGTCAGACGAAATCTAGATTCCGCATTGCTTGGTACCGCCATCTATGTACTATATATGGGTGCCATGGCTAGCCCTGTTCCTGTCAGATCTGCATCTGTTGCCGACGGGCCACTTGCTTGTTTCTCTCGACGCCACAGCCAATCCTGCCGGCCTTCCCTGTACGCTCTACAGCCGGGTCCACACGGTCAGCGCCAAGCGGCATTGTGACCGGCGACAATGAGTTTCAGTTCCTCCGACGAACCATCACTCATCCTATCTCGACTATCGGTGCCCAAGGCATTTGAAATAGAACGGCAGATGTCCTTTACTTGTCCTTTACTTGTTTGAGTCATGAATCACTGGACCGGGTGCCTACCCAGACACGGAGTCCGTGGTCCGTGGTCCGTGGTCCATGGTCCACAGGCCACGGCACTTGGATAGCCGTATCTTAAGCAAGCAATCCCGCTTTAGCACGCAATCTGGCAATGCCGAGGCCGACCCGTACAAGAACATATGAGCACAAGCCAGGACCCCAGCTACGACAAGTTCGTAGATGTTATCGGCGTTTTTGTTTCAGCCGACGCCTTCAAGGTATTAATGCCGGTGTGGACTGATGGCGGCGCAAACTCCTTCCGCAGGGTGTATCATTAATCATCACCACGGTCAACAACGGTGGACAGGGCGGATTCGACGGCAGATTCTACGGCAGAGCCGCCATGGAAGGCGGCCACCTGCTTCTGCCGCTGCTGACGACTCTCTCAACAAGTAGGGAGTATGGATGTGGTAGCACACAAGCAACGTGCCGGCCCGTGGCTAAATTCACATCAACACCCGGCAGTTTCATCCTGGCGAGACAAAATGATCAAGCGCTAACCAGTCCGAATGCACATCAACGCAAATCTCTGCTAGAACTGCGACAATTCTTTGTGGCATTCTGAGATACAGGTGTCAAGGCAATATCCTGCCTCCATAAGGTTGCGTGCTAGCAAAATATGCTACTTGCCTGCCTCTTTAGGATAGAGCTACGGGCAAAATTCATGCGACGTCTAAAACTTTTTTTTCCTGTTTACCTTGAGCCGAACCTTGACATAACCCTCGCTAGAGGAAGAACAAGGTAATTGCCCTTACTCAAAGGGGATCAAGGCCGCGGTGTCTTGTCTCAACATGTTCCCCGTTACCTTGTCTGAACGAATACCTAGTGTGTACTCTGTCCCCGTGAACGGCCCTATTCTGGCGATCTCGTAGTCGGCCCGTCCCCGGGGACGCAATCACGAACTCAACAGACAGAACTTGGTTAGCTGAATCTCTCCCCCGCATTCTTTTTCTTGTGGGATATCCAAGATGCATGGCTGCTTGGCTCTGTCTGTCGACGAGATCCTTTCTGGAGAGCGTGTATTTCTTCACTTATGGTATTATTAGAAGGTGTAAGCAAGGGGTTTCGTGGTGTAACATGTCAAGTCTTGGGCTGCCGTCTTACAAAATCATTGGTGATACACCATATTACGCTGCAGGCTCCTGCCCGTTCCCGCAATGTTACCATTGCATTATCATATCCCAAAGATCTCGCTGCATAAGTACCCAACAGAGACATCCATGTGGCTTCAAAGGGCATTAGGACAGGGAGGAAGAGAAATTAAACTCAACTGAGAAGATTGGCACAACCGTTGCATCGTCGATGGCCAGCCAAGAAAGGCTAGCGACGAGGGGGGAGGGATTTTCCCATGTCGATATTTTCATGCCATCATACTCTCTTCGGAGTGGAGGTGTGCTGCAGTATCAGATGGATGTCTTTTGAGTCTACCAGGCTCTGGACCGAACTGTTGAGACCCCCCAAAGAGTGAAAGATTAGCACATTGCACCCCTGCACAGACACCGTGGGCTCTTTACACGCGGTTGACATGGATTCGAATCGTCCGTTGCTCATGTATGATGTATCAAGGGCCGAATCTGGAACCTGGAGTCTAGGAAATGGTGGTTGCAAAGGGAAGCTGCGAGGAAAAGCTGTGGGAGGATGGTGCTTGGCAAAGAAACATAAAGACAGACGCCCTGATGCTCTGGATGATCTCTCGTCTCATGGCCAAAACATTTGTGCATTCCACTCGTTTGGTGTCGTAAAGCATATGCCTGCATAATATCTCCGATTCGACAGAAAACCCCTGGTGTTGAGGTTTGAGGTCTTGGTTCAGTCTGAAGCCTCGACGATCTGCTTCGGCTCGAGGCCTCCCTCTTGCTCCAGTCTTTATCAGCAAGATATAATCTGGACTGATAACAAACTCCTTGAGACACCACGTAAGCTCATTCTCATACAAAGGTATTCACTTACAGATGGGTTATTCGCCCGTCCCGTCGGGGCCGGGGTAACACATGTCTGACAGGCATTATCAAGCAGGAACCACCGTAAACAGAGCATCGAGACGGCCCTCACCTTCCCCTTTGAAACGTCGATATCAGGTCGAAAATTCGCAATCTCTACCTGGCATTGCCTGAACAGGTGCTGCTGATTTCGCCTCTCTCGCAAGGGCATCGATATCAGGGCAAATAGTCTGCCTGGGTTGCTGCACGGGTTGGTCCAGAGCCAATCTCGGCATCCACTCCGAAGGTAAATATAGCATCCTCGACGGGCACCTCTGTACTTGCATGTAATCATCAACGGACATTGCATGGAAGCAGGGTTGGTATCTTGTGTCCTTTTATGATAGCTGACAGATAGATAGTTATTGCAAAAGGACATATACCCCCTCTTGGAGCACGACATACTTGTACCCACCTACTCACTACTCTCCTTCACAGCAAGCTTCAGCATTAGCTTGTCACATATCATCTTCTTTTCTTCTTCTTCTTCTTCTTCCCTATCTTACTGTTACCCATAATCACTGCTGGCTCCAGGGGTTTAAGAGTCAAGACACAAGACTTCCTTTGGGCAACAGCTGCTTGCTTTGACGTGGACGTTATCCTGTACCGAAACAGTTCATATCACAGTCGCCCAACATGGCTGGCAGCAGCGCCGCATTCGCACACCGTGAGGAGCTTAACCACCGGCAGATGTACGCATTTATCGGTGCGATAGTAGGACTCGCGGCGATCTTCATCTTCTTCCATCTTGGACGGCGTATTGCGCAGAAGTCGAACGTTGGGGAAAAGGGAGTCTCAGCTTTGGCTTCTTTGTCTCGGTAAGTCTGAACACTATAGCTGGATGTCTTAATTCATCATCGCTTCCAACCTGTGACAACACTTGTTAGCAATGAAAGAACAAGTTGGCACACCGCTTTGTAATAATGAAACTAAGACAAGGGGGAAAATAGGAAACCACGAAATGTCCTTATCCGAACAGCACCCGGTCTGCCTTCACGAGGACATGCCATCCTCGTCTTCTTGTACATTGCCATCAACATCATTGTTACCTTTACAGACATGGATAACTCTGTCTTCACGCTGAACTCCAACTTGGCCGCACGAGCAGCATGGTAAGTAATATCTCCGACGCGAGCCGGCTTTTTTTCTTGGTTCCAATAGGCTGATTATAGAATAGGATGGCAGTCGCAAATCTCGTTGTTCTCATTTTCTTGGCTTTGAAGAACACTCCTTTGGCGTTCCTCACAGCTTGGTCGTATGAGCGCCTCAATATCCTACATCAAATCGCCGGCTCCATGTGCATCATCTTTGTCATCATTCACGCCTCCTGCTACTCCTCCTACTTTGGGTTTGCAGGAAGGATCTCGATCCTCCGGGAAGAGAGCGTTATCTATGGCGAGATTGCCGGCTTGTCCTTCTTCATCGTCGGTTTCGCGGGAGTGGTCATCCGTCGGTGGTGGTACGAGCTCTTCTACTATATTCACATCAGCTTCTGGATCCTTGCCATCGTCATGGTAGGCCTCCACCAGCCCAGCTTTGGCGAAAAGATTGTCTACGTTGTGATTGTCACCGCTGGCATCTGGGTGCTTGACCGCCTGGTCCGTGTGACACGTCTCCTGATATACAGCACTAACAACTCTGCTGTTCTTACGCCCCTGCCAAACGGTGGCACTCGAGTGACCCTTAAGAAGGCTCCTTTGGGCGCTGTGTCTGGGCAACATTGCTTTCTTTGGATTCCCTCGATACGGACGTGTGAGACACACCCGTTTACAATTGCATCCATGGATCCTCTGGAGTTTGTTGTGTCTTCCCATGACGGCTTCACGCGGGACCTGCATCGATATGCCGTGAAGTATCCTGGTGCAACGGTCAAAGCCTCGGTTGAGGGTTCCTATGGTACATTGCCTGATGCTTCCGAATATGAAAGAGTCGTTCTGGTCGCGGGTGGAAGCGGTTCGACCTTTACGTTCGGAATGGCGCTCAACATGCTCAAGGACGTGTCTAGCTCGCAGCTGGATAAGAAGATCACCTTCATCTGGATGGTCAAGTATGAGAGTAAGTCAATCGCAGCCTTATGAAGATGATGCCGCGAGCTAACAAAAATGTCAACAGGTCATCTTAATTGGTTTGCCTCTCACCTCGACACTCTCGCAAAGGACTCCCGTGTAGATCTCCAGCTTTACATCACACGATCGTCGGAAACTCAAGTAGATGAAGAGAAACGCCCAGAATCGATGCCCATTACACCGTCCTCTGATACTGATCTTGAGAAGGCAGTTGGCAATGTGACAGCTCAGCCTCTAGAATCCTCTTCTGGAGAGTCCGTTGCAGAGGAAACAGATTCCACGCCAAACAGCAGCGCCGTTGAAGTGCAGCCACACGCCTACAACAGCTCCATCAAGCGCGGCAAACCAGACGTTTCTGCTTTGATCCAGACCATAATAGGCGAGACGCCGGTAGAGAAGCGCGTGCTGGTGTTGGGATGCGGGCCTGACGGGCTCATGACACAAGTTCGCAATACCACGGCGGCATGCATCCGGTCTGACGGACCGGGAGTAGAACTGCACTGCGAGCAATTTGGTTGGTAATGAGTCCATGGGTACATCGAAACCTTTTCATTTCCGCTGCATCATCGTTCTTGGGTTTGAGAAAAAAAAGTTTTTTTCTGATTGCATTTGTTCCGTCGCATTTACCAGCATTTTCGGTTTCATATTGCTCATAGCTTCCTGGAGTTGGGTCATATGTTGTTGCATTTGAGGAAGAGATAGGGATACCACTGATGTCTTTTTTCGATATATCGTCTCGTTGGAGGAAATGGATCATGCTTTATGCATATTGTATATAGTTTTTCTCTTTTCGTACGTAGGCGAAACATGTATATATCGCCATGAACATCTTGTGCCTTTTTACATAATGTCTTTTCTGAAGTAGTGGTGAAGTAGTTGATGAAGTAGTAGGTGAAACAACGTTGGCCGCGTGAATCGTGCGCTTTTGTCTTTGCTGAGTTGCCGCACCTGTCAGCACTCTATCAAGACGTCCCAGCGGTTCGTCGATAGCAGGCCATTTGATGCTATTCCAGAATCAACCCGGGCTGAGCAGGATTTTCACATAAATAATAAAGCATGCAGAGGTCAACCAAAAATAATAATAATAATAATAATAATAATAATAATAGCCTTTTCGAAGAAAAAGCAAGTACACCCAGTAAACACCAACTAAGAAACAAAACCAGCAAACAAAAACTTGGGGGCAGATTTGCCCAAGTATATATGGCCGGATATATGGAAACCAATATTAAGCGGATTTCCGATCCCTCCCACTTCCCACATCACGGAAAAGCAAGCAAGGGGGGGGAAGTCTTTGCTAAGCGGAACTTGGGGAAGCAAATAGCACAAGGGGATTATAAATGCTTACAACATTTGGCCCCCCCTCCTCTCCGCCAGTGGGCTCATTTCGACAAAAAAAAGTCGCGTGTGGAAACGGACGCCAAGTGGGAAGGTGAGGTGTGTGTCTTGCATTTCCAGAACCTGGCAAATGTGGGTAATTTATGCGAATCTGGGGTTGCCAAGTTGTAAGTAAGGGGGTTACTGGCAGTACGCTAATTTCAGCTGTCATATTTTTATTATAATTTTTTACCGGCGACTTTATTTTGTCCCCAAGGACTACAAGTATGTACATACTTTGACTCCTTTCCTGGTCGACCTCGGCTTCGCTTAAGCGGGACGGACCGTTGTTTGATCCTGAATGTGGGGTAATATCTACCTGTATACATGTATGCTATCTCTGTATCTTATCTGATTCCCCACCAGCTTTATCAGTATCAATATCACCACCACTGTAACACAGCCATTCGAGCCTTTAACCACGACACAAATAATATCAAGCCCAGTAATCCCATATTTATACACACATATACACTCGCACATACAGAATTATATATATATATATATATATCCATATAAACAAAAAATGTCCCCCAAACTCTCCTTCCACCCGCCCCTCCTCAACACCGCCTCCCCCTGGGCAACCTCCCACGCCCATCTCGCCGCCCTCCTCCGCTGCCCCTCCGTCGGCGCCGTCACCACCCGCACGAGCCTCATCGCCGGCTTCCCGCACAATTCGGACAGCCACCGCTATGCCCTGTTCGATCCCGCCACCGGGGCTGCATCTCCCAGCATCGGAACGGCCACCTTTTCTGGCCCGCCGGAGGACTCCAACGATAACGAGGCTGGTCGTGATGATCTGAACACTGATAAGCTTCCGCTTGCATCGCTCAACACGCTCGGCTACAGCCCTCTCCCGCTATCGGAGTACCTCTCCATCATCTCATCCCTCGCATCTTCATTTTCACCTTCAGCCACCCCGCCTAAAACATTCATCATCAGCGTCACAGGCTCCCCATCCGAGATCCTCGCCTGCCACACCCTCATATCCTCTCATTCTTCCTCACTCCCCTTCCCCCTAGCCATGGAAATCAACCTCTCCTGCCCCAACATCCCCAATCTCCCGCCACCAGCATACTCCCCCTCCTCGCTATCCTCCTACCTCGACGTCTTGCCCTCCGAATCCGCCATCCCTATCGGCATCAAGATCCCGCCCTACACTCACGCCGGCCAATTCGATGACCTCGTGTCCTCCCTTATCGGCTCCGAATCAAATCATCAGCCGGCCTCCAAGCTCAGCTTCCTCACTGCTACGAACACTCTCGGCTCATGCCTCCTCCTCGACCCAGCGTCTTCTTCAGACGATGCACTTCTCCCAGGAGGAGGCATTGGAGGTATGGCTGGACCGCCTCTGCATCCTCTCGCCCTGGGCAACGTGGCGACGCTGCGGCGCAAGTTTGATGCCGATCCACGGCTGGCGCGTCTGGACATCATCGGAGTGGGCGGAGTCTATGATGGTGAAGGGTATAGGAGAATGCGCCGTGTGGGAGCCATGGCAGTGGGAATCGCAACGGCCTTGGGGAGACAGGGAGTTGGCGTCTTTACATCCATTGAGAGCGACATTAACTCTGCCTGGTAGGGCGCAGTGTTGTTGTTGTTACAGTTAGATAATCCCTATGTCGAGAGCGAAAGCTAGAGTATGCACGCAATCACATAAACAGGTTCATTTTCATGTAGATGGTTATGTGTACAATGTAAACACTATCTACACCATCTTCATCTATACCCACGCCAAGCTATTGTATAAAATTGTACAGGGTTTTTTATAAGCCACCAAGTCTGTATTCCCACAGACGATATCCAGAACCAGCCTCCGTTTGAGTTATTGGGTATAATTTTAATCATCCATGCCATCAGCAAACACCAAACTCCGGCCATTAGGCAATAATCGTTGCCATATCATATATACAACCAAAAAAAGTGATATATCCAAGGGAGGAAAGGATGGGAAAAGGAAAAGAGCAAACAAGTAGAGTGCTCGTTATAGTCGTCTCTAAGCATTGACACTGCCTTCGCTGTGTTCCACCTCGAGTGTAGGCGAAGACTTGCGTCGAGACCCGTTTAGCTTTGCGCCTAGCCCTTTAGAAACAATGTTCAAAAATCCACGATGGGATGATTTTTCCGCAACGCCAGTTTCTCTGAAAAAATCCGTAGTAATAGTAGCAGAATCGGTGCCGCGAGGCTCCGGTTCGATAACCACCGCGTCAGCAAGCACCTCGTCCATGGGACGCTCCCCTTGGTTCCGCAGCACACGGCGTGATGGACGCGGGTCCACCATTAGCCGGGCGTCCTTGACGAAGGTGAGGAAAATTGGCAAAGCCATCATGGCCACTTGCATCGCTACGACGAGGATAAAGGCATGCTGCACGGTGCCGCCCCGTGTGATGATACCGTACATGATAAAGGGAAAGAAGAGAGGACCGGAGGCACCCATAGTAATAAAGGCAGCTGCCCGCTTAGTTCTCCTGCCCTGGCCGCGCATGCCAATGGCGAAAATAAGGGGCCAAATAGGGCCTTCGCCAAGGAAAAACAAACAAGCAGGAATAAATAATAGATTCGGGTTTGAAGGCTGCAGGAAGACACAGAGGAGGGCAGATACGAAACAGAGAATAATGCTGAAGCTGAGAACGGTCCGTGGCTGAGGCAGCCGGGGATTTTTGACAGACAAGTAAATGAAGTAAGCGGCGGCAAATCGAGAGATGGCGAAAACGGTGTGTCCAACCGTCAGGTAATCCGCAAGAGAGAGTGTGAGTCCCAGGGGTTGATCCGGATCAGCCGCGCTGGCTCCGGTGACAGTACCGGCAGCAGCAAGCATACCAGACTTGGCCTGGCCAGGTATGATGGAGACGATCAGGCTATTGAAATAGGTGCTGTTGCTCTCTTGGCCACCCACATACATGTACTGGGCCATGACGGCCAGGATGAGACTGATGGTCCGCAGCTGCAGACCGCCGATGCTCTTCTTACACGGATCAACAGGCAGCGACTTGGTCGACTCCTCAAGCTCGCTGTCGCTTACCTCTGGCAACGGCATGTAATAGAAGAAAAGGGCGAGCACGACGCACAGCAGAGTAATGCCGAGGTATGTCCACTGCACATTAATCAACATAGTACTGCCGCTTGGCCCAGCACGGCTCAGCGACTTGAAGAAGACCTTTTGTGCCAAGAGCCCGCTGAGCACGCTGCCAACGCCCTGTACGGCTTGCGCCAGCATGAGGCGAGTCTCGCCGTATTGTGGAGGCCCGCAGAGCACCATGAAGGAGTTGGCTGCAACTTCAAGCACCGAAAGCCCAAAACCAACGACAAAGTTGCTGAGCATGAAGCCACCAAAGGAATTAGTTACGGAAGAAGGCCAGAAGATGATGGTACCAGTGCCATATATGCACAAGCCAGTGATGAAGGTCGCCTTGTAGCCCCCAATGTTTTCGTCGTTTTGCCGATGACGCTTGGATCGGCTATGCTCGTCTCGTCGCAGAATCCACTCGCCAACGAGGAGAGGGCCAAAGAAGTAGCCGCCACCAAAATAAGCACTCGTCAGTCCAATCGTTTGAGCTGTGCTCATATTGTCCACCGCAGCAATCGCATTGTTGAGCGTGTTGAGCAACCCGTACGAAATACCCCACAGCAAGAAAAGAATGGCCACAATGGTGCAGTACTTCCAGGATTCCTTCTTGTTGGCGCGAAGCATGCTCTTGGGCTTGGTCATGTTGACAAACCCAAAGTATATGCCATTCTCGTAGGAATGGTCTGTCGAGACCGTATTGGTGGTGCGGGATCGATTGGCAGAATTATTGGCTGTATTGGCTGGGGGGGTCAGACGGTCCCCAAGGGTGGTCATATCGGGAGTGGTCAAGAACTCCATGGCGCTCATAGGCGCATCTGGACCAGGGCTGGCGTGTAGTCGGCCCCCAAGGGCGCCGTGGGCAACGGGCTCTGGCTTGATCACTCCCGATGCGATGTTGTTAGTCAACGATGGGTTTTCAGAGGGTTGCTGACTCTGGGTCTTATCGCTGGTGGTGCTCGGGCTGGCCCTCGTCCCATTCTTGTTCTTGGGGTTGTAGAGCATAGAGGGTAGAAGGCGCAGAACAAGAGGTTTCAAGGTGGGAATGCAGGCACAGGTTGTGCCCACATTGACCTCGACGGCGCTCCACATGAGCGCCAGCGATGCATTGTAGGCAAAGTCGGCTTGGCCACCAAATCTCGAGGTAGGATCAGTGGTGATTCCAGTGGGAACATCGGCGATGGCCTGCTGAAGGTAGTAGATTCGGATGACATCCACGACGGCAACGAAGATACCAAGAGTAAAGGTAAAGACGAGAATGGTCTTTTGCCGCGAGGGTAGCCGCATGCCAGTCAAAACAGGGATCGGCAACGCAAGAATAGCAAGGTCGGTAACGATGTTGACGGGAGCGGCACAGATGAATTCGGTAAGGAGGGGGATGCATTTCGTCGGGCCTTTATAGTCCGCGTTCCAAGCAGCTTGTACGGGCGTACACTGAAAGATATTCATGAATGTGAGGACAACCCCTGCAATATTGACAATGACGAGTGTGAGCCATGAAGCGAAGCGCAGGACCACTTGGGTGTTTCTAGCCAAGCGTAAGTAGAATATGAGGATGCTCGTCTTGGTAGCCATCAAGGCGGGATTCTGGTATACTTAGCAACTCGGCCTCGCAAATAAGGAGGAAGGGGTGGCTTACATAAAGAATCGAGAAGACATATTCGCAGTGACGAAGAGTTGATATTTGCGATGGAGGGATGTCGGTGTCATGCTTGCCGAGTCCATTGGCAACACCGAAGCAGATTGTAAAGGACAAGAAGAAGGAGATGAGCCACGCTAAGAGAATAATCCTATCGTCCCAGGTGACTCTTTTGACAATGAAACAGCGAGAGATCATGCGCGCGAAGACGAAAACCGAGGCAAGGACCAGAGTTGCGGTTGTGACGGCCAGGACGGCGGGCCCACGATTTGCAACTGAGCCACCGGGTTCTATATCTGAATCGGAATCCATGGCAGCTGTTTCGAGGACATGGACATTGAGCAAAGGTAGTATGAACGCGGTGAGGTGAAAGGTTTGGTCAGAATCCGAGCCCAATCCCAGTGGAGCAAAGAAGAGAGAGATGGAAGAGAGACGCCTCGCGGTTGTAGATGAGAGAGGCTAATAAGAGTCGAGCATCTGGAAGACCCAAGAAAGGAGAGCAAGATTTGTCAAGCTAGGTATCTGGTCCTGATGCGGAGTCTGCCATTGCCTCGAGCCCCAGGGGGGAGGGATTTGAATCTAGATCTCGGCTGTCGTCTGGGTTGGAGATGGGCTCCAGACCTGATATGGGACTGCTCGCGCCGTACTTGTGCAGGATCTGACTGCTACCGGAACCACAAGCTGAAGCGGCACAGACACAGGCACAGGCGCAGGCACAAGAATGGAGCAGCAGTGGCAAGTGATATGCAGAATCGAGCCAGACGGAGACTGAGCGGTGCGGCAGCCGGGAGCTCCACGAGGATATACGCGAAAGGCAGTCGGCCAGGGCCGTCGAGCTGCTTGACCGCAGCGCAAGGCTGCTGACCAGGGCTAGTATAAGGAGAATAATTATAGCGCAGGCAGTGAGATGTGACGGGTTTGGGGGCGTGTGTGCTGCGCTGCTGCTTTGTCAGACACGAGGGCATCGCATCTTGGCCACGACACACTGACGATGCGAGGAAGAGAAGAGACTCCGGCTTTGACGAGAGCCAGAAAAAGTGACGCTTACCACGGAGCGCTGGTACCTGCACAGACAGACGATGCGCCAGAGCAGGTGGCGGATTTGAGCTGCGCTTGCCCTCGAGTCTGCGCTGAAAGCCTCTGCTTCCTGCAGGGTGCTGCAGGGTACCTGGAGAGTACCTGGGGGGTGCTGGTTCTCCAGGGCTTGTACAGTACATGGGCCGGCTAGCGGCTGGGCAGTACCCTGATGATACCCAAAAGGCACCCGGGCAACGGCGGTGTTGAGCTGTGTTTAAAGAGGTACCCCCAAGTACCCACCCCAAACCTTTTTGGCGAAGGGTGGATGGGTCTAATTCGCAGCAAGTCCGCAGCAAGTACTCCCATGCACACACAGGGCAAGCTCCAGTCTGGAGCCATTTTGGGATTGGAGACGGGTTTTTCTGCATCATCTCTTCGCCTAAGACGATGAGTATTAGATCTAGTGCTAATGCTGCTACGAGGTGCTAAGGCAAAAGCTTCACGGTAGTTTCTTCAGCTGGTTCTTACTGGGCAGGATCAACAGACTCGCGCTTTTTCCTCCCCAATCCTTTGCCGAAAAGCGACATCACCACACATCCGCATCCAGTTTGGACACCGAGCCCTTATGACGCTACTGGCACACACAGGCATTTGACTTGCATATACTCGCACAATCCAGCCATTGATGGCCAAAGTGCGACCCCATATGCGTTGCTACAGGCACAGGCTTGAATGGTTGAATGGGTACATAGGACGTGCAAATATGCGCCATCCTGCAGACGGGGAAGGAAAATTTTAACAACAGACCGGATGCAGAGCACTAACAGCTCCTCCGCCAGTTCAACGACATATGCCACTCAATCCTGCGCAGACATAGGGCAAAAGAGCGGCGGCAGCAAAGAGGGGCTTGCAAAGGGCTTGATGGCGGTATGGGAGCGGATCCCCCTGCGAGGCGCATCCAGGCGCCAGGTTTCATTCATCCTGAAGCCATCGTGAGAGCATCTCTCGCGTAACGGATGGGGCTGGACATGGACATGGACATGGCAGCTCAGCCAGCACGGAGAGCCACATGACATTGGCGAAATAGCGGGCGGACGGGGGTCAACGGGCACAAGTGTCGAATGGAGGGCTGCAAACACATGGAATTGCATCCAGTACTCGTACAAGCATCGTTAGCCGCCAGGCCAGCAAGAGACGATACAACACAGTACAGCCTTGGTGGCATTACAAGTATACCAGAGAAAGGCGGTAGGCACTTGTTGGGCTGGGTTATGCAGATTGACTCGCCGTCATTGTGCCTTCGTGTTAAAAACAAGTAAGGCGCGCAAAGCGAGCAAATGGGAGCATCTCGCATACACTCCGGCCATGTCAATGGGCCGAGAATCCAGCCATTAGGTGCCTACACCGGCTACTCGAAGAAGAGGCAGAACCGACGGCTGAATGTGGCGACGACGTTTGTGGTGACGGGTGACGGTGATGGTGATGGTGAGGCTGTTGTTAGCACCGGCCTAGCAGCAATTGTGCCTGATTCCGGGGTTGGTTGGTTAGTTGCTCTGTGATGAATGTTTTTTTGGACGGTAAGGCATCTATCTATGTTATGGACACTACTAGGTGTGTAGGAGTATGCACGCAACCGGTATGGAGAACTGGAGCACGTTGTATCCGTCTGCATGCCAGATGTGGAAGAAGTATGTATTCCGTACTAAGGCAGAGGAGGGAAAAGGCGATGACGGAATGGACACGACAAGACAGCTTTCAGGCTGAGAAGGGAAGACATTGGACTACTACTCCGTACTCGTCTGCCCCGATGAAACCCTCAAAACGGGCTGTTCCCAGAGGAGAGGACTCAACTGCACAAGTATCGGTACCCGTGCATCGACGGCATCTCGGACCGCCATTGGCGACCCCATGCACGGGGGCTCGTCCCGCGCTCTCAGACACCAGCGGCAGTGGCACAGGTCTCACAGGGGGGTTGAGCGCCGAAATGGTGGGCGTCTCGCGCACAAAGAGCAAGTACCTGTACATAGTACCTCTGCTTGGACACCCACCACCAACATGCAACGAAGCAGAAAAATCACCTCAACGGTGCGAGGGGGATGCCAGCAGCTCACTGTGCGTGCCAATGGCGGATGCCAAGAGACATTAGCTGAAGAGCTTGGCTTGCCGGGTTCGTTTATTTTGCTTCTTCTCGTTTGCGCCGGCAGTGAATAGCGGCTGTTGTGTTGGGGTGCCAAAGTCGTGTAAAGCGCCATGACGATGAATTGGGCGTAAAAATTGGATGCCTCTGTATGCTGCATGAGGCACTTGTGAACCAACGTGCATCTACACCGTATGTATCAAACCAGAAGGGAAAATCTATTTGGGAGACAAGGAAACATTGGAGCCCCAGCATCTCGGCGGTGAGTTTTGTGCAGATTGAGCTGCATGCCCACTACTGTACGGTACTCCGTGCTCGTACGTTACATGGGGTCTCCGTACATGCAACTTTTTTTTTATGAGATGAGAAAAGGCCAGGGATCTGCACGCAAAGAGGTTACCGCCCTTGTCGATTTTCATCCATCGTCTTCGGTTTTTGCCGAGTTCCCTGGCAACCTGGGAAGCCTTGCTTTCTTGGGGGGTGGTAGCCTCAGAGGCATACTTTGGAGCCCTGGTTTGTGTGGTGGTTGATTGAGAGTTCGTCTAGACGAACTGCCGAACATTCTCTTTCACCATTCAATGTCACTGCCTGAAGCGCTTCGTCATTCACCAAGGCAAAACAGTGAGGCGAGGAAATAGCATCTCCTCGGCCAACGTCCTAGCACCCTATAGATGCGAGTCTGTGTCGAGGTGGCGCAACACCGGAGCGACGGCAAGCCTCTTGTCGCGGCCCACCGGCTGGCTGAACGGTTTCTCGCTTCTGTCATGTCTCTCAAATCCCTTTTTCCCTCGCCGCTGGACAATGCAATGCAATGAATAGGTAGATTGCCTTGTTCGTGCGTGCGTCTTGAACTACAGCAAAAGTGACGGCCACTATGCAAGTGACAGGTTACTCGGCCATGTACATTGGACGCTTCGCCGTGGTACCGGTACATGCGACGCTTGGTTGCCCCATCTGCGAACAGCAATTTTTCTCGCAGAGCCCACCCGCAAGCACCAGCTCGAAAAAACGGTCAACGAATTCGCCCGCTCTTGTGGCTGCCGCCTTCCATTCCACTGCAACAACTCTCATGCTCATACTGTGCATATTTGGAATGCTTGTACGTATACGTGTAATCCGTACTTCGTATACAGTAATACAGGTACGACTACGGAGTACAGCGCCGGTACTTTTGCCCTCGATCCAATTTCAAATCACCCTCCAAACCCACATTCTTCAACGAGCCCCTCCCGCGGCTGAAGCTGCCGCGCCCCGCTTGCATCACCGACTTTAAATTGTGCTGGTCGGATCCCCCAGCCCGGATGGAGGCGGGTCTTGTGTTGACTAAGCTCGCGATTCATTAAAGGCGAGAGAGTCTCTTACTTGTACTGTACGGCTGTCGTTCAACGGCGTCGAGTACCTGGACGGAATACGAAATACGGCATTCGCAACCTCTTGCTCCTGGGGTTATTATAGTACATAGTGCGATACACCCCCCTCCCCCAATCCCATCGCCCTGGGACCAATCGTGGCCCTTGTCTGCTCTCCAAAAGTGCAACGGCGGGCTCAGATCCAAGCGTCGGCGTCAGGCCAGAGCTGCGCCTGTCGCGAAAAGAGGCATAACGCAGGATGCTTGTATGAGATGGCTGGGCCCCCTCTTAAGGCTTTGCCTGGAGCACAGATTCCGTGGTTGACAGCCTCGCGGGTTGCACTCAAATCAGAGCGCCGCCTCGTTGTGACTTGGGATCCTCTTCAAGGCTACGTGGATCTATTTCGTAAGGGTACGACATGCTCAATCAAGCAAGCACATATAATTTTCGCCATTGAATTCGTGGTTCCGCCGCTTCGGGTCTGCCTGGGTATCGGATCTTGGCCATGATTTCAGTCGGCTGCCCATCGCCAACAAAGGGTTTCAAAGGGTTCGACTGATTCAATAAACAGACCCTGGCCCAGCTCCCTGATTCAGCATCCAGCAGAGGATTTGCTTAAGCTGGACCCCTTTCCCAACCACCACACCACCAGCGATGCAGAATGACGACCTGGTTAATGCGTTTCCAGAGCAGTAATGCGGCTGCCTAGACATAGGCGCACCCTCGAGATGCGCCCGACGATATTTTCCGGCAACTGCATCAGTCCCCCATGTCCCTGTGAGACGCTTTGTCAAGCCATTTTCTCAATTGCTTTCTGGATGCGGAAAACGGCCCTCTCTGGTCTGGGGAGGAAGTCGGAACTCGGATCAGCCAAACGTCAACGAAGCTGGGATCACTGTCAGCCCCCAGTGTTCCGGCAAATACTCCGTCTACACCCAAATATCGGAGCGCAGGGTGCTCCTAGCGCAAAGGACTCAGATGCTTTGAATGTCTGTCAGGCTCTCCGGAGAATTGGTACTGGTATCCTACTTGGTGGTAAGTTGATTCGTGTAAGTCGGCATGCAAGTACCGGTACAAAAACGTCATCTGCAAAGTCGGGAATAGAGCCGAGCCAGTAAGACGAGCACTGGCTAAAAGGCACCAGAAGCTGGCCAACAACAGCTGGCCAAAAAAAAAAATTCTTGATGCCCACGCCTCAATCTCCAGCCCGTCAGATGTCTCATGCCAGCTTTGAGACATGCATCCGGGGCGTTACCTGGAGTTTCCACTAGTCTGGCGGTTAGTCCGGCATCGATCTAATAGCATCGCATTGACCTTTTGCCCCTGCTCTACTCTACTATGTACAGCTTTAGAGATTGATGTGATTCACTTTGCGACGGGACAGGGTTGCGCCAAATTTGGGGCCACTTGATTCACGCCATCTTGCACTACTTCTTCCCAGTATTACGGACCGGCACCACTCAAAGGTGATTCACGGCGAGATTGAAATTAAAATCAGCGTCGAATCCATCGCTCCGCTAGCAAAAGTCCGTCAAAACTGCCAACAGCAACCCCCAATTCCCCGCAAAGCTGTGATGAACCTAGTCTGTGGCGAACGTCGTCCCCCAATAGATCTTCGCATCGACACTGAATCAGATGCCCACCACCAGCTGTGAGACCACCGGAAAACGTGCCCCATAGTGATATTATTAGCCTCTCAACTCTCTGCCTCTCCCTCCCACCAAAACCGTCAACATCGGATCGGCGCCCGAAGTGGATTCTTGTGCCACCTAGCCGCGCGAGGCAGAAATGAGCCACGATATTCTCCTGAGACAAGAGACTGAGCCTAAAATATTACTCTACCGGCGTCTTAATTCGCGAGCACAAGTCATGAGATGCCAATGGCGTTATGTCTTGTGGCTCTCCCGAGATCAAATGCCGTCGGCTCCGATGGTCCCCTTTTTTGAAATAAAGATGCGAAGGGTGCTTTTAATGCTGTCTGCTTGCTCCAGTAAGTGGCATGGGAGACCCGTGATCGCTGGAACATGCACGTACCCTACACGAAATACCCTTTTAAATTAATACGAGTAACGTTAGATGGTGATGCATTGGTTTTACTTTAATTTTATATTCTGATGATTCAACATTGTCTCGTCTTGGAGGAGTACATGACTTGTCTTGATACATCCAGTGTAGCACAGCTGCTGACATTGCATTAAGAGATTGAATTGCGGCTCTATTGAAATCGTGTTCCATCGCGATATGTTTCCTGTTCTAATACAGATGCCACCGAAAGTCAAAACAATAGCAGCAACACATAGAATAAAACACCAATCCAGATACAGACAAATAGGCGAACAGGATCACCACGGACCCTTTTGTGTTGTTTTCCAACACAGCAGACCCTTGTGTTTCACCACCCCCAGCCTCTGCTGAAGATGGCGTAACGCACGTGTCGACGGCGTCTAAAAAGCGCCACCGCAGCGGTCTTTCACATGGGGGAGGCGTTTGGATTTGTTTAGCCCGCTTGCGGAAGGAGTTGTTCCGCCTGTCTTGTGTCACAGGCCTGCACATGTTTTGAAAATAGACTGAGCATTGGCTTACACGTGGCGTTGACGGAGCAGCCGATGAAGCTTCCCCAAGATGGGCGATCCGACCTAAGCAAAAGGACGCCATTTCGGCGGAGGGCCGTAATATGACGAGGGCCCTTTGACGTATTCGCGTTCTTTGCTGTTTCTCGATGGGAGCTAAGCATTGCTCCAGCTCCTCCCTTATACCACCGAGGTGAAGCCATGCTTTAGCTCCTTACATGATTGTACTGTACCTGTATGCACATCTCCTGCAGGGTCCCGTGTGCTACCAGATCAGGAAAGCCACATGTAAAAGTATGATGCCGCGTCTTTTCATGCATGTGGTAGCAATCTAAGCCATGCTGAGAGCGTTGAAGATTTCACGTGCATGGATATCTGGGAACATCTGACTGATTACACACAATTAGTACGGTGAATGCAATAAGGTCATACCGCTGAGCTGGCGTCCTCAAAGATGAGATAAAGCTGCAGAAAAACATATGCCGGCTCTTTTGTTAAGTGATCAATACATGCCTCTATGTTGCGGTTGTCTTATAACTGTCTCGGGGAAGCTTGGGCCGTAGCGGGCCGATGCATGTTGATGTATCTAAGAGACTATCACAACAGGAGTGTAATGAGGTACAACTAGAACCAGAAAAAAAGATGAAGCCAAAAGAGAAAACATAGACGTATTTACAGATCCTTCTATAACCTCAAATTAGGCACAGCGAAACGCCTTAGCTGAGGAGGAAGAAGATGACCACATAGATGTAGCCTTGCGTATTGCAATGACCTCCATTTTTCACAGCTTCAATCCTAACTAATATAAATAAATCAAACAATAATAACAAATTACAGATCCAAAGCTGGATGGAAGAGTTTTCTTTTTGAAAAAGAATTGAGTGCTGTAAACCTCAATATTCGATGCACATGTAGGCTCCATCTCAGATCTCAAACACCCCCACACATACCGTTATCCACTGCTCACGAGACAACACCAAACAACCTTACTCCAATCACGTCATCGAACAAACCAAAACAACAACAGAAACCACCCTCTTTCCATCATCTAAATGACCCGCGCACTGGCAAGCTAGATAGACACACGCACACACTTACATAAAAAGTTTCGTCTCAGCGCCTCCCAGTTCATGGCCACGGCTCGCAGCACCGGCGCCGAGCTGCTGCCGGAGCACACGGCGCTGCTCGCCGGCCACGAGCCGCATCCCGGCGAGGCTTCCTCCGGCACATGGACGGACGACGCCGGTGCGCAGGGACGGGAACCTTTATGGCGACAGACGGCAGCGAGAGCTCCGGATGGACCGAACCATGCGGTCGGCTTTGCTCGCGGCGTGGCCGTTGGGTTCAACCTGTTTGTGCTCATCTTCATCCACTGTACGTTTATCTTTTCATCTCCCTCATCTCATCTCATCTCATCTTCATCATATCCAATTCCATCTTAAACAACTAACACCACGCCTGCCAAGCAACAAACATGTCCGGCCTCACCATGATCCAAGGCCCCCTCGCAAACGACCTCAACGCCCCGACCCTCGCCATGTGGTTCACCACCAGCTACCTCATCTCCATGTCCTCCCTGACGCCCCTCGTCGGCCGCCTCGCCGCAATCTTCTCCCCGCGCGCCGTCGTCCTGCCCAGCATCGCCCTCTTCGCCCTCGGCAGCCTCTCCGCCTCCCAGGCGCGCTCCTTTGGCGCCTTCTTGATGGGCAGGATTGTCATGGGCGCCGGGGCGGCGGGCATCGTCGTCATGGCGGTGGTTTTCGTCATTGAGCTTACGGGTAAGAGGTCGAGGGGCGTCATGATTGGATTTGTGAATGCTGCTTTTACCATGGGCGTGTCTGTGGGCGCGGCGGTGTACGGCGTGTTGCAACCCGTTGTTGGATGGGTGAGTTCAATGTTGTGAATCGAATCCTCACATCTTGTATTACTTCTAACCACCCCACCGTTGATACAGAGACCACTCTTCTGGTTCCAAACTCCCCTCGCCGTCATCGCAGGTACTGGGCTCTATCTCAGCCTCCCAGACTCCATGTCGTCGCCCTCAACAGACCAAGACGGCAAAGCCACCCCCCTGAGCCGAAAACTCGCCAGCATAGACTATCTAGGCGCCATCCTCCTCGTAAGCCTCCCCATCTTCAACCAACGCAGGAAAGACATACAGCTAAACTCATCCCCATCCAGACCCTCACCATCGTCCTCTTCCTCTACTCCCTTGCGGGCGACATCCACCCCGTCCCCCTCATCCTCTCCGCATTCTCCCTCCTCGCCTTCGTCATCGCAGAATTCCGCCTTGCATCTAACCCCATCATCCCCCTATCCGTCCTCTCCTCCCGCGGCGTCCTGCTCTCCTGCATCGCCCAGCTCGGCCTCCTGACCGCCCGCTGGAGCATCCTCTTCTACACCCCCGTCTTCATGCTCGCCGTCCGCGCCGCCCCGGCCGCCGCCGCCGGCTCCGTCCTCATCGCCACAAACTTGGGCTTCTCCCTCGGCGGCCTCGCCATCGGCTGGCTGCACATCCGCCGCGCCGGCTCCTACTACTCCGCCCAGCTGCTCTCCCTCGCCTCCGTCACCCTGACAATCGCCTTCTTGGCCGCAATCTCTCGTCCCAACACCCCGTCCTTCATCTTCGTCGCCATCGTCTGCCTCAACGGCATCGCCACCGGCATCTCCCTCAACTACGCCCTCGTCCACCTCCTGCACCTGAGCCACCCCAGCACAGAGTACGTCACCACCAGCCTGCTCGCCACCTTCCGCGGCTTCGGCGGCAGTTTCGGTACCTCCCTCGGTGGCGGCATCTTCTACCGCGTCCTGCGCGACCGCCTGGTCGACGGCTTCCTGGCCCTCGACGGCACCCCCGAGCTCGGGTCGGCCCGCCGGAAGCTCGTCGACCGGCTGCTCGGGTCGCCCGATCTCGTGTGGCACGGCGATGTACTGGCGCCACGGGAGAGGCACGTTGCCGTCGACGGATATGCAGATGCCATCAAGGCCGTGTGGCAAGCCGCTGCCGTCTTGGCATTGCTCGTCATTGCGGCGCAGGCCGCGGCTGGATGGACGTCACCCAGAGAGGAGGCAGAAAGGCGACACCACGAAGACGAAGAGTGAAGAACACGTATGTATTGCGTAAATCTTGCTGTATATACACCAGCATCAATCTAGTTTATATCGACCTTCCAAGAGCATTCACTTGTCCGAGATGTGTTACACATAGAAAACTCCGTTCACACATTCTAATCTCAAGCTATGCTGGCAAAATATATTCTCTTTTTTTCATTATTTCAACATTAAATACTTGAAAAGGTTACCTTGAAAATCCTGGTATTACCAAGCCACACATCCTCCATCCTCGACTCTTCATGCCCACGCTATGTAAAAGAAAAGCGGCCAATGTTCCACGCACTTCGTTTCGTTATATCATACATGTAGTAGTTCCCTACATCCGGTTTTATACAAGTCCACCATTGTAAGTAATAAAAACTCTTTGGTAAGATTTTTTGTCAGCATATACATGCCACTCCCTGCCGTTGTGATTTTTTATGTGATTTTCATATCCAGCACAGGGAGAGCTCGCCCATCCATTTATATATATATATATATATATCGAAATCGCAACGCGGAAAGTGAAACGCAAGAAAAAATGAGGGAAAAAAATAAAGGGACGTCATGAAGTGCTGCTGCCCGTCAAGAAGAAATCAAGCTCGCTCTTCAACCCGCTATTCTGCCGCTGCTCATCGTTGGCAAGCTGCTCCAAGAGGCTCATAAAGGGGTCCTTTTCTTCACCTCCCGTCGTGCCCGTGCTACCCGTATTGCTCTTTGTGCTGGGACTGGGAGCCGTGGCGCCCGGTGTCGCCTGGCCAACCGCTGGTTGCCATTGAGCTGGGCTGTTAAAAGCGCTTGGTCCGATCGTTCCAAACATGGCGTCGAAGCCTCCGCTGGCGTCGTTGATGACTTGCTGTTGAGGGACGCCGCCCGCTGCATGTGAAGGTCCAAGGTTATAGTTGAAGGCGGGGTTGAATGCCATGCCGCCCATGGAAGCCATGCCTCCTGCGCCAGCGTGGGTAGGATGCCCAAGACCAAAGCCAGCCATGGCAGGGTGGGCGGCCGTAGTGACATCTACAGTGCTGCGCATGGCACCCATGTGATGCTGCTGCCGCGGGGTCTCCATGTGAGTGGGCAACATCTCAGCCATGGCGCCAACTCCGGGCGTTGACGGCGCCGGCATCAAGCCAGCCTGCATGGATACGGACTGGCGGGGATAGCTTGTCACTGTCATCGTAGGTGTGAGGGGTAGAGGTATACCCTGGATGGAAGACTGTGAAGTGGTCTTCCGCTTGAGATTTGGCCTGTTTTCGGTAGGCCAAGGAGATTGTATATCAGGCAAAGGAGTCGGTTCGTTGGAGTAGTCAACCAATTCGTCCGCTAGGCTGAGATTCGCTGTATCGAAATGGAAAGTCGGTCCACCAGGCCCACCAATGTTGGAATATCTATCGAAAAAGTCCTCGAGCTGGAAGCCGGGCGTATACCGCATTGCGCTGCCGGTAATCGTCTTTACGAGCTCTCTGTGTGCTTCGTAGAGTCGCTGGAGCATATCCCGTTGGTGCTGAACAATGGCCCATGTGAACCGCAGGTCGCTCAACAGCTGCATCTCTCGGGACAAGAAATCCGAAGAAGAGCTGAAGACACTAATTTCGCCGCTGGTGCCTTGCTTGCCGTAGTGCGCACCGTGGATGTGAACGGTGCCGGCGGTACAGATGCAATAGCCGACAAACGACGGCCACTCAATAGTCTGCAACTGTCTACCAACCTCGGCGAGCTCCGTAATGGCATTCGCATGGAAGAAGCACATGTTGGTCGCTTCGATCTGCCATGACTGGTGCTGCCCATTTCCCGCCAATTCGGCCAGGCTGATGGGGAGGAAGGGTCGGTAGATCAAGCAATGGATGAGATGATATATGAGCTTGCATAAGACGAGAGTAGTCGAATCATGTTGACCAAAGAGAACCTCCATCGAGGCGAATATGCCGTCGGTACCGGATGCCCACACATCTAGATCCTGCCTTATTTTGGATAGATTTGATAGCGAGTGCCAAGGAAAATGGGAATCACCCTTGACGCCTCCAGCAGCCAGATATCGATTGGTCACGCCGAGAATGCGCGTTATGTCGATAAGCATACCTGAGGTGCCCTGGGACTTCTTGCCACTGCCCTGAAAATACTGCAGATTTGATCCGCAGAGGAAGAAATCACCATCCATATGAAGATTAGAGGCCGCTGAATACCATGATGGGAGTCGCAATGCGATAGAGTCGTCACTAATGAGTGATGGGCGCTTGGAACCGGAGGCCGAAAAGCGATCCAGGAGATAGCATGACCAGAAGAGCTGCCTTCGCGTTTCCCGTTCCGTCGTGGTTACCTGTGCTTGTTGATCTACCTCACGATGCAATTCGAGTGCCATGATCATGCCAATGGCATTTGCTGCACACCCAGTCAGATACTATTCCTCACCGTAGAGGAGACAACGCGAGGGGGGAGAATGCACGTACTTATTAGCATAAAGGCCTTCCTACCCTTGCCTGAGGCAGTAAATGCAATCGCCAACAGAACAATGGCTTGGAGATTATCAATGGAAGGCTCATCGATGTCAATGGCACTCCTGGCACGAGAGGCATATTCATCGCCTAGCTTGACAGCCGCCCGGAAACCAAGAGGATGCGGTGTGTGCCTGCATAAGAGGTGAGACTACCAAACACTCACATGGCAAAATAAAACAGAAACTCGATGGTTTAATAGACGGGTGAGACATACCTAGCGGCGACTGCGGCAATGGCGTCGAAGAGGAAAGGAGGGAGCTGGTTTTGATTAATGCGTTTTCGGATCAACGACTCGTCGAAAATGTGAAACGGCTTATTGTGGAAGCGATTAAAGTATGTATCAAGAAGAGCGTCTGTTTGTACAGAAGGGGTGGCGGGGTCCCTGCGGCTTGTATGAGTATCGAGTGATTCTAGCAGTAACGGCATATGGAAACAACCTACCCAGCTGTTGAGGTCTGTGGAGAATAAAGCGGCAGCTCGGTGACATTGGGCGTTGTATTTTCTTCGGTGGCCCTGCGCTTGGCAACAGGTTCCGCAATGTCTCGCTCGGCCGGCTGCCTCTTTGCTGATGTTGATGATCCAGCTGTTGATGGTTCTTGTTTTGTTGTGGCTGATGACGAGGAAGCCTGCTCGCCCTCGGCATTCTTCTCCTTGAGCTTGGCTTCCAACCCATCCACCCTCTTCAAGAGGGCCTCCAAGACATCTGTCTTTGGCCCACGCTTCTTCGGTACGGCATCTATACAACCAGTGAGTACGAATGTTTCCGGTACAAAATTACCGTCACGGTGTAGTGGTGGTGACACATCCAAGGGGTGGCTGTCTCGGGCGAGGTTCGAGGCCCTTGGCTTCCCACTCCGGGAAACCACCAGACGGCATTAGGGTACGTCAGAGCTTACCGTATACACATGGGCATTGAAACACCAAGCACGCCTCACAAGAAGGGCGAAGGCGATTACACTTGATCTAACTCAACAAAGCAAAGATTGGTCAGCGGCTGCGCATAGCATTCACATCAAGGGGGTCTACAAAGAACTTGGGCGCGAGGAGGCAGCAAAAGCAGAAACTCACCTTTCGCTTCCGGCAAGACTTGCAGTTCATGGACTCGCGGGGCTCCGTGGTGACATTGCGAGTCGGCAAGCGCTCAATGCCAACCTGCGGCCGCTGCGGCGGCAAGGCCACAGGCTGGGCCGGAGGACGATGCGGAGCGTTCATATGGGACGAGGTGGCCGAGGAGGTGCGGGCGCCAGGTTGACGATGACTCCGGCGAGTTGGCTAATCGGCCAAGCAATGCGGGAGAGCCAGCCGGCGCCAGCAGGCGCCAAAGAGGTCGAAGGCAAAGGGCGCAAGCAAAGCCAAGATTGAGGCAAGACAAGACAAGACAGGGCAAAGCAAGGGAAAAGGTGCCGTGGCTGCTGAGGAAGCGCAAGAGAGACGCAAGAGACGAGATAGCCGGGCGATGGTTTGCCGCGCAGGTAATTTGGCGTTAGTGATTATGGAATACGAGATGGCGGGCTGATCTGCAGCGCATTCATGACCGAGGGCCCTGTCGCTGGTGATGGACGCCGTGCTGGTTGTCGCGGTTGCTGCAAGTTGGAGCTGGAGGTTTCGAGGACTGATTGCGGCGGCCAGACCCACCGAGTCACCGTCGTCGAGCAAGGGAAATCACTGCGTAGGATCGTATCGTATCGTGTCGTAGATGGCATGCGCCCAGTAAGCGAAGAGAGAGATAAAGGACGTGGACGGCAAGATAACAAAGCAAAAAGCAGCAGCAGCAGCACACGCAACCCAGCGTCTGTCTGGCTTTGCTGCTGGCTGGAGTCGCGAAGTCGGCAAATGCCTGGAACCCCCCAAGGCTGGAGGTGGAAATGAAGAGGGCAGTTCCTAGTTAGCCTAGTTAGTGCAGCTTGGGGAAGCAGCATCCATCAATCTGCAGCGTCTGACCTCCGTGCCGCACAGGTACAAGTACTCGTACAGGTACTCCCACAGGTACTACTCGTACCTGCTCACGCCTACTAAGGTACCTAGCCTATCGCCCGTTTGCTACGCTGCTCCGCTTCCGCTGCCCGTATTCCGTCTTTTTGGCGCTGGGGCGGAACCAGAGCTGCACTCGTCGCATTAGTATCCGGCCATGGCAGCGCGCTAGCAGCTACCCCATTCATTCAAGTACATCCATACTTGTACTATGTAATGCCACTAGCGGTTAGTGCCTGGTAGCCCTACTGGAGCAGTTTGGGAGCGCTGGAGCTCGCACCACAACCGGCTCCCTTGCTAATATTGGAGTACAAGTATTGGAGCACCTGGAGCCCTGTCCATTCGCTTTCCCCCACCCGCGGGCCAGAACAGAACTGCCAGCGCGAATAGGTTCAATACTGTACCTGGTATATACCTGTCTAGCGAGGTTTAGTACATCCATTTAGCGAGCGTTCCATAGGTACTATCCTGCAATGTACCTGTATATATACGAGTAGTATCCGTGGTGCTGGGTAATACTACCTGACCAAGGCACTGCAGCACATCCCCGGGCTCGACTCGTCTGCACGAGAGCAAATCAAGGCTATGGGCCACGAGGACGGACAGGCGTCGATGCTGCAGCAGTCTTTGATGATGACGCTGAATCGTACCAAAAAGGAACCTTTGAACATTTCCCTCGGAGAGAGACAGAGCAGAGAGAGAGAGGGCGCACAGCGACCCTCCCGAGGAATCCACATCCACACTCTGGCCTTCGCATGGCGTCCATACCAAATATCTTCCTACCTAATACCTACCTAGCAGTGGCAATTCAGCATCTTGTCTCATGCAGTGAGAAACGGACCATCCCACATCATCACAAGACCGAGGCAACGACATGCTTGATTGCACACCGAGATCCGGCACAGACGAGTAGCCTATCTGTAAGCTAAAGGAAAGAACCTGCTCTATCTGTATGCATATTCGCCTCTTCAGCTCAGTCAGACGCAGCCCGCTGATAACTTGCCGAGTCCAAGTCAAGCCCGTTCAACCATCATACTGCACTCGTACATTGCAGTATGCTTTAGGCTTCGCTATCCCGTCGAGAGCCGCATGAACTATTCCAAACAGCGTAAACTATTCCAAACAGCGTAAATGTAAAGATTCCACTCGAGCCCAGTATATCCTCGCCTCGTACGGAGTACCATGTGCAACCCGCATCGGACCACATGCTTCATCGTCAAAGACGTACCCGAAAATCCCTGTGGCTGCTTACCACATCATTTTTTTCGCGTCAAAGTGTCAGGGACCAGGGGTCCTCCGGCTTGGTTTCGATGTCACTTCTTCTTCCCTGAATTCTCCACGCCAATTCAATTTTGCCCAGCCAGAGTCGCACCGGGCACGAGGCCTCAGGGAATCCCGCGAAGACGCGCGAATCCGCCGATTTCCGTCAGGCGTGGCCGGAAGCGAATCAGCTCAAGCATTGCCTGGTCGCTCTGGCTCTAGCTCTAGCTGCTGGCTGGCTTCTGCCCTCTCTGTCTCTCTGTCTCTCCGTCTCCTTTTTGATGACGCCCCCAACTGCCGAGGAACAGGTACTGCCTAGTGGGCGGTGGTATGGTGGTGATATGCCCGCCAAAAAGCCGATGCCGCGACCCAACGGACCACTAAAATCCGCTCGTTCTGTATATCGATGTGATGTATGCAGTACTCGTATGTGAGAGCCGGGCTTTCTGACAAAGCGCGTGCCTCACTCTCACCCACATTCCGCTTCTCTCTCTCTTGCACATCATCCCCTTGTGAGCCCATAGCCGGTATCCAGCAAAGGGGAAAAATGCTACTGTACCTGTGCCACTACTACCCTTTTTCGTCTCTCCTCTCACGTTTGGGCTATTTTGTGGGGAGTTGCCGGGGGTTCGTGCCGCGTCCAACAACCCGGCATGGCAATCTTCTGCAATACTCCGTACAGTATGGCCCGTTTCCAGGGCGATTAGTCCAGTTCCCCTCGGCAGGCTAGCTCTGTCTTGTGTTTGACTCTTTTTGCCCTTTTTTTCCTCTTTCTCTCTCTTTCTGTCTCTCTCTTTTCAGGGGGTCGTTTCTAGCTCAGGCACAAGGTTGACTAGTCGTGCTTGCATGGACCTTACAATCTTACTGTACGAGTACGGTGCAGCGCAACTTGAAGTCGAAAAGAAGAGTAAGACACATGACGCAAATAGAAATAGACGAACCGAAACCTCAGCCGAATCCCCCACACGCAGCCAAGGTCAGACGACGCAGACACACACAAAGAAAAAGCGGCGTCGGACGAATTGGATCAAATCTAATCGATCGAGGAGCACGACGCGCATGAGGCTTCAAGACCAAGCTGTGGATTTGCGAAAGGGCAGAAAACAACAAGGGGCCAGCCTTAGATGGGCGCCGCCTCCACTTGGAGCCCTTCTCGGCGATACTTGGCGTGCTGGCTCCCCCCCTCCCCCCTCTTCAAAGACTGGCGGCCGGGTTTCATCAGTGTCGAGACTCCGAGCTGAGGGCGGAATTGGCCATCATGTTCATACCGCCTTCTGCTTGGTCATCGTCTCATGATGGCAAGTGGCTCGGCTCGCTCAAAGTCTGGGCGCGTCTCGGCACGGGGGGGGGGGGGGAATCGAATCTTCGAAAAACCTTCTCGCCTCGACCAGAATTCAATGCCTGAGCATGCGGTATTGCTGCCAAGTCAATTATTTTTAACAATGGATTAGTACTCCCATTAAGGTTATGCCATCAGCGAAGATCATTGCGGAGGGGCTTTAAACAACATCTACATGTACGGCGTGCGAGTGCCATATCTCGTACGAGTACTCTGGATTAGTTAGTCGTGGCGATTGCTTGAGGCAAACAATCTCGAGAGCTTCTTTTCTCTCCCTTGCCTCCTTGCGACGCACCAGAAGCCCTATCCCTATTCCACAAAAGCTAGCACCAGCTGCCTTTAGATAAACGTAGCACCTGAGTTGAGAGCCCCTAGATTGGGCTCCCCCCCTGTCAGCTAGAAAATTCTCGTCTGCAAAGGGCATGCACCTCCCATGTAAGCCAGAGTAGCGAGTCCGGGGGCAGCATAAAAGGTTAATGAACAAGACAGATGTGGATAACGCCGACCAAAGGAAACAGAGCTTCATTGATAATAGCTTAGTCCAGCTGATCATTGAGTACGAGTATACGATTACTGAACACTCCTAATACGAGTCCACGCTGCTATTTTGCATGCGCTGATGCTATACTCGTACGAGCAAGGAGCAAGGAGCAAGGAGCATAGTTTGCTCAACCACTGTCATGACTCGGGGGTTTGCTTCGCATCGCGCATGGAGCTCACATACGAGAGATGCAATCGCAGGGGCGCAAAGAATAGCCTCAATAGGCAATTCCTATCCGTCAACGCGATTCCTTCGTCAGCAATTCCTTTGATTGTATTGCGCTTCGTACTCTGTACATAATGCAGACCCCTCACTCATCAGATCCCGACTTCCAGCCAATCTTGCCGCCCGGCTGTACAGTGATGTAGAGGTAAGCTGACTCGGTTTCGCTTACCACTTAGGACAGTGCAAGGGGGGGAAAGTAATTGCCGACAACTACCTAGTACCTAGGTCGCCGATTGTCCGACGCACTTCGTCATTGCAGCAATGATAACAGTGATGGTGGTGTTATTTTCATCTGGCCGTACATCTCCGTATTCTCTCCTCTGGTTTCCGTGCCCGAGGGTGATATTTCCAATCAAATCAAACCACAGCCTAACCGCCCCCCCATCCAATGACAATAACTATATACAGCGTGTATAAACCCCTCATATACATACCTATATATACATGTATATATAGAAAACCAAGACACAAGGGAAAAAGAAAAAGTCACCAAGACAGTGCGCCGTGGGTAAAAATAAGCATGCCCTCTGTGTTGGCCTCGCTTCCAACGCCACAGATGCAAACAAACGAAACAGGATTCCGGGGCCGTATTCCAAAATCGGTGCGCCGAAAAGCAAAAAGGCAGCTCAATAGACCAAAAGAAATCTCCCTCCTTGCCAGCATCGATCCAGCGGGAAAGGAGAATTGGTCTAGGCTCGCAGTGGGTATTATTATATCAGCCGGATCCTTTCAAAGTAAAAATAGATTAGCTTCTCAGAATAAATTTCGTCCGCTTGCCAGCCGTACGAAGCTGTACGGTACATTTTGCCCGACAAGCAGCCGTAGGCTCTCGACTGTCGTAAAAGCCGCAACGTCTGCAGCGTCGTATGCGGTGAA